TTTCTTTACTCCGATTATTGTGAAGATCCGACACTTAATAGCGTGATTAATAATAGTGTTTTTTTTAAAAAAGAGAAGAAAAAAAAACTGAACTTAACTAAACTGAAAATTAAATTAAAGTAAACTGATTATATATATATATATATATATATATATATATATATATAAGAGGAGGTGGGGTTGATGAGAGGGCTGATGTTTGTATAGTCTAAAAAGTGAGGACAAAAAAAAATCTATTAAAAAAGTCAATTTTACAAAAATTCTTGACCAACAATGATATATATTTATACATCACACACTATATATATACATATATATATATATATATATATATATATATATATATATATATATATATATATTATTATTATAATATATATATAAGCATCTGCCTGAAATAACAGTTCAGCAGGCAGTCCAGAGGTACCAGGAGACAAGAAGCTATGCTAGGAGGCCGTAATCAGGCGATCCAAGGGTGGCAGGTCCAGCTGATATCCGCTATACAGATCCTCAGAAACCACTAAACTTTAGTTAAGACTTCTCATCGATCGCATATTGCTTGTGGTGCAAATGTCAGTGCACACAATAAGGAGAAGTGTCGCTGAACTCTACCTACATGCTAGGATTTCTGTTTCCGGCTCTCTACTCACTACAGCACACTGAGAAGCTCGCCTTCACTTTTGTTGTGAACACACTGCCTGGACAGAAGATGATTTGGCTTCTGTCCTGTTTTCTGATGGTGTAGCCTTTATGATGCAAGTGTGGATAAGACCAGGTAAGCAATATAGTGGAAAGAGTGCAGTTCGAAAGAGGGTCGGCTATGGTTTGAGGTGGAATATGTTTAGAGTTAAGAACAGACCTCCATGTGTTCCGAAGGCCTACGCTCAATGCACACACATACATCACCAACATCCTCGAGTAATAAGAAGTACCTTTTGGTCTGTTTATCGCCCTCCTTTTCTTTTTTATGCAGAATAATGCTCGCCCACACATTGAAAATGTTGTAAGGGGCTACCTAAATGAGGTTAGTGTCCAAACCTTGAAGTGGTCAGCTCACAGCCCAGACTTCAATCCTATTAAGCATCTTCAGAACCAGCTTAGTACGTTCATCCATTGACAATAGAACCCTTCAAGTACATGAAATGAATCAGATTCAACATTGCGTAACCACCTTATTTGTAGTATGCCTATGAGATTACAGGCCATTATTAAAGAAAAGGGAGGCAACACTAGGTACTGGAGACTCAGATTTTGAATCATTGAAGATTGAACTTTTCTTTATTTCTTCCTTACAAAAGAGTACAGCATTCCCTAGCGCCTCTCTTCTAATTTTCTTCCAACACCGAACGGAAAAACAAGACTATCTTCACTCCTTTTTAATTTCTGAACAATCCTTTAAGCACTTTAACACATTTTTAATAGTCATCTAGATCATAATGAAAACTAATTCAATGAGCCAAATCTTGTGGTGATTCAAAAATGTCATTTCCAATCTCTTGAGGGAATCTAGAATTTAATGAGTACCATGAAAATGAAGTAAAATACGGTTTTTATCTTAGTAAAATCTGTATTAAAGATCATTAAAAAAATAATGACATGGATTATTTATAAATACAAATTTATTTATGTTTTATCTGGTTCAAACAACCTTTGCTCCATCATTTCTGAAATTGGCAAACCCTCTATTATGTTCAGTTATGCGGTATTGTATCAATAGCTATCGAAGGGGCTAATTAATTGCTACTATTTATATATGTCCTCACTATTTGAAATAAAGTATTTTGAAACCCATGCACATTGAATTTTTCCGCTGAGAATGGTTACTTGCTTATTAAAAAATGACTAAATAGATATAGACATTTATCAAAATAATTTTATTAATTTTGTGTTCTACTTATAGACCCTGTCTGTTCCTAATAATTTTAGATGTTATAGTGTATTGATAAACATAATTAAAAACAAGAATATACCTTAGTGAACAAAATTTATATACAATGTAAGTATTCACAGATTTATCAGAAAGAAGACAAATTAAACTTTTCAAAAAAAAAAAAAAAACAGATTAATTTCTGTTTATTAGTATTTTTCTGAATTAGCTGTGTACTTTTGCATGATAGACCATCCACCACTTTGATTATAAAATATAGAATTCTACATCCTGTTTTCTTTCATAAAGTCTTTTAATTTCTAGAGAGCAATCTTAGATGATTGGTTCAAAAATGTGAATTTTTTATTTTTCATTAGTTCCACGAAATGTTAAATTTCGTGCAATTAATTTATTAAAATGAATTAATAAAATTTCTGAGGTAAAACAAATAGATTTTTGTTTCCATTGGTCTCAATAATATTGTAACATGTTTATTTTAACAAATTTTTTGGTTGTTGTAAAAATGTATTTCCTTTCTTAGTAATAATAAAAACACTCATAGATCACATTAGTTCTACTTTGTTTTTTTTTTACACCAACCTTCTCTCCATACTTTATGTCTACACCAACATTTTAGCCCTTAGGCCATTTTCGAGGCAAGAAACCTTTAACAAACAAAACAATCATTATATTGTACATTGACAAGGGCGATACAGCCCACATGGATTTAATTTAATTTTAAAATAGTTATATAAAGATAATATTTAAAATAATAAATGGACAAATGTAATTAGGCTGTGATGATTGTTTTTGTCAAAGGTTTCTTTCCTTGAAAATGGCCAAAGAGCTGAAACGTTTGTGTAGAAAAAAAATAAAATAGAACTAAAGTAATCTGTGAGTATATTTATTATTAGTAATAAAGTGAAGTCCTAACCAAAAGATTGAAATATATACCTTTCCTTTCTTTTAATACAACACATGCAAATAAAAATGAATGAAAGAAATTTCACAATATAATAATCAGGATGTCAATTACATGACTTTTCTTTATTAGTAAAACAACTTGGTATTTTAACAGTATTTTATTACCAGCTATGTATATCAGCATCACAAAATTTATAATACATAAATTAATATATCTATATTTAAGTACTTCAAAAAAGGAAATCCACATTAAAATTGTTACTCACTTAATAATTTAAATTAAAATAATAGTAATGTAGTTCAATATTTTTTAAGTAGACTTGGCCATTAAATTCAGATAAATTATTAGTATTTATCAACTATTATTTAAGTACTTTGAACAGGAACTCCATATTTTGAAATAAAAATAGTAACAAACAATTAAAAAAAAAATAATAAAAAAATAACGAAGAGGTCATACTGTCATAGGAAGAGAGAAATAAATTCTAAAACTTTCTGGAACTACACTGAGTTTATACTGCACTACAATTTTCAAGTGAAGTTAGTAATACGAATTTATAAGAAAAATTTCATTCAAACTTGTGTAGTTTTGAAAAAACGAAGATGTGTGCTTTAGACGACATGATAGAAGTGAAAACATCAATTAGGCAGTATTAATAACAGGAAATATAAATTATAAATAATAGCTCATTATAAAGAGGATGAAATGAAAATTCTCCTTTCTTACATGCAAGTCATGTAAATGCAGGTCCGATTTTTAGTTCCTGAAATATTTAAATCCATAAATTCTATAAAACTCGTTATCATATGGTTTTTGACACTATTTTTCCTCTTGACCTCTCTAACACGGCTTCATGTTAAGATATAATTTTGAATAATAACTCAATAAAAATAAAATTTAGTGCTGAACATTTCCCTTGCTTACAGTCAACAGATCCAATTTTTAGTATCTGAAATATTTTAATCCATATGTTCAACTAAACTCGTTATCATTTGGTTTTAGACACTTTTTTTTCCTTTTTGCCTCCCTTACACGGTGTAGCGTTAAGATGCAATTTTGAATTATAGCTAATTACGGAGAGGATGAAATGCTGAACGTTTCATCGCTTACAGTATGCAGACCCGATTTTTAGTTTCTGAGATATTTTAATCTATATGTAAAAACATTTCAATTAGTCGACTCTAGCTGACTTTAAACGAACATTAGTACTTCGAAAATCTGACTGATCAATCTAATTCACTCTCCACGAAAAAGTGCAAAACGCGCCTAAAGAAGTTTTCACTTACAAAAAAATTATTTTAGCAATCATAATGTTTAAAGTAAATACCAATAAAAATATTTGTTTCAATGAATGAATGAGCTTCAATAAAAGCTCTTATTAAACCCAACCTACAAGCTGTATTGAATGAAAATATTCACAAATTTCATCATAAAATCCACCAGAGCCGGAAGCTAACCACCCATAGTCATATCATTTTTCATTCTCAAGCTTACATTAACTAGCATCGTAGATCCAACCTTCAAAACAATGCATTTTAGCCTAAAAATTAATAAGTTTTTCAAACTATGTTAATTTATTAGAATACACTATATCTTACTCCAAAATATAAAGAGCACATTACTAGATCATTTGTACATTTTAATATGAATCACAATAAATTAAGTTGAACAGCCACAGGATCATAAAATATCAAATATTTAACATTAGATTTATGAACAAAATTCTATGAATATATTCACTTATAAATATGTTCAAACATTACTGAATAATATTTGAAAATTAATTGCAAAACCTATATGCAAATAATTTTTAAAAATTGTTTTGTTGACAAATATAGAATTCATAATATCAAAATTCGAAAAATAGATTGTGAAGAGATCTATTGTTAAATGATAATAAAATTACTTGCTAAGAACTCTAAAAATAGTTACATATATTCATTAAATACAGCTTCAAAATAAGAAATTCAAATAATTGTTCAACATTAAAGCATTTATAAAAACTAATATCACACAAAAATCCAGTAAATTAATAGATAAATACCAATGGAATGTAATCCATTACTTCTAGACATCAGCTGATCAAAAATAATCAAATTATTTTCAGGGTTATGATTTCATTTCGATTTTACAATAGTTTCATTAAAAAGCTAAGATAATATGTATATATATATATATATATATATATATATATATATATATATGAGAGGAACAAATAAATAAATGCAACATATTCAAATAGGAGGAATGCACTATTTTATATCAATCTTATAAAATAAGGTACTATTTTGTAAATTTTACAAATTTACCCTAATACATACAAAGTGACACCATTCTTCATTGTTAATGTTACATGTAATGTGAATTAAATTAGATTTAATGATCTGCCATACTTGGAAAAGAATTATTTTATTAGAAAATAATAGAGATATTTCCAAATCATTCTTCAGAAAACTTCTAGAAACAATTAAAATCTAATGAATGGGTCATTTTTGTCATGAATAGAAGATATGTTCAAGAAGTCATATTTCAATCTAATATCATTAATAAATCGATTCATAACCACAGAAATAAAAATCATCAAATTTTTTTAATAGTAAGAATAATTACTCAATAAGATTTTAAAACAGAAGGCGTTGACTGATACGGCTGACATGGAATAGAAAACCGGCTATCTTGTGTATAATCAAAATAATTTAAAAATATACTAATTTTAATTAAGAACTTCTGAAGAGAAATGATTGAGGAATCAAGGGAGGTTTCATTATAAAAATATAAGTCTTCAGCCCCCAGATCAAATGAAAAACCAAATCTCATTATTTACATTTGTTCAAAGTTTATTTGATGTGCTGAAAGTTACTGAAGAGAAAAAAAAAATTATGAATAGGAAACCAGTACATTTATGACTACCAATATGTTTATAAATTGCAATCCTCAAGACAATAGATAAGTTTGTTGGAGGACAAACTATTAGAAGTATAGATACAGAAATTAAAGAACCTAGGAGAATGAAGCAATATCAACATATATGTTATGTTCCTACAAATATTCATGATGCAGTAAACAATTGAAAAAAGAAAAAAAATGTTAGTTGTTAAAACACAAATTACTTAAGTTACAGAAATCAGTATTGGCCTGCATAAGACATATAAATACTTATGTGAGTCAATCAAGTCTTAAGAATCAATTATAAGCTATAATACGCATATATTCTTTAGAAAAGAGATGGGTTGAAAAAAATTATTATTCTCTTTGATGAGGTAACAACTACAGTGAGTCAATGTAAAACAGCCTTCCAATTTAGGAAATATTTTTATATCTAAATTATCCTTCGCATATTAACTATGCTAATTCACCCTAAATTAATAAAATTAAAGTTGCATAAACTGTTATCTTAATAGGCAAACCAAATGTACTTTACAAAATACATATAATACTATAAGTACTATGCCAATAAGTGCACTTAGTGACCAATAATACAAATTTTGTTTTTATTGGTGAGTATATGGCTATATACTTAATCAAATATAACAAAAAGTAAAAATTAAAAAAAAAACTGGAACGAAATGGACCCATACCTAATAAATAGTGCAAGGGCTTCTCAAAAACATACATTTGTAATTAAATAGGCTTTATATTCACATAATAAAATTCTAATTTTAGAAATTTTATTAGTTCCTCATAAATAAGTAGTCCTTTTTTGTATTAATAGTTCAAATAATAAAATTCTTTATATTTATAGATAATCTATAAATGAAATCATTATTAAGGTAAATTTTCACATCGATTTAATGATTCTACATTTGTATTTATTTCTAATAATTTCATTTTATTTAAATGCTTTTGATGCTCAAATAAAGGTTGCTACAAATATTTAAAAAAAATTGTAAGGCACTGAATCCATTTTATGGCTTTAAATTGTAGAGAATATTACCACTATAATAGTATTAATAATAAAATTTTGGATATTACCATTATATCATATGAAGTGATATAAATTAAAAAATGAATAGAAGAATCAAGTTCTCAAAAACAATAAATGTATAAGTATATAATACCGCGAAGGTACATTTAGGTAATAAGAGAGGAACCCATACCAACATTTTTTATCAGACACATACAAAACAATAGTTTTTAGGAAGCCCAAAATCACAGGTGCACCACTATTTTTAAGATGCAGAGATATCTAATCATCAGTACAGTTTTCTTCTTCTACACTACACGAGTTTGACTCTTCTTCTTCTCGTTTACGTTTCAGCTCCATTGCAAGTTTATAACCTAATTCTGGACGACGATCCCTTCCCTCAACCATTCCTTTTACCTACAGATAATATCATAAAACAAAATACAAAATGATCATTATTGACACAAACTTGAAGAAAACATATATAATTATAAATAAATTTTCTCACAAAACAATTGATTTATAAAATTATTCAAAATAAAATCAATCTGATCTCTTTATATCATGTAGGTCTTTTAAATCAAGTGTATAACATTACAAAAACAAATATAAAATGTGTGCCTACGATTGATGTTCAATTATTTTTCTTTTTATGCTGGTTTCCAAAGGAGTCTCCATAACTGTAATCAAAAACTTCATCATTCATTTTGAAGACTTGTTTGCTGTATATTAGAGGTTCTTGTACTAATATACAGCTACGTGTACTTTCTTCTACAGTTCTTGTACTAGCTTGTTTCACTATCAGTTTCTCTCAAAACTCAGATTAAATCAGAAGAATCACTTTCATAACACAGAGTGGACTTAGGATTGGAAAGCTAAAATTCCAACAGCCAAAAAATGTAGTAAATACTAGAATTAGGGTTAGGGCTATTCATTCTATTCCTACTTGTTTTGTTGTGACAATAAACAAGTTATATTGTCTTTGGTAAAGAAGCCACAAACTGTGAAGAGTTACCTAGGCAACAGCACAAAAAAGAGGCAATTTAGTATAATTAAAATTACTCCCTCAACATTCGCAAATTTTATATCAGTGTGTTTGTATTACATGTAAATACAAAAATTGGGAAGAATTTCATATTCATGAATTGTGTATTTAAAAAAATCACAAGCTTAAATGATTTCATGATGATGAGTACAGTATGTATGCAAACAATGAACAGAATATTTATTAGCAACATTAATGAGAACACTGTTCAACAATGGCTCAAAAAATTTCTGGAGGGAGACTTCAGCCTTGAAGGCAAAGAAGGTCAAGGCAGGACTTGTTGACGATGCTCTGCGGACTTTGGTAGAAGAAAATGCCAAAACAACTGTTCAAGAACTTGCAGAGAAACTTAACCTAAGCAATTCGACCTTCGATGACCACCTCAAGACAATTGTAAAGGTAAAAAAGACAACTCATCACAAAAAGGTGATGGTTACTGTTTGGTGGGCTTCATTTTGTTTGATTCGCTACAGTTTCTTAAATCCTGGAGAAACCATCAATGCTGAATCATATTGTAACCAAATTAATGCAATGCATCAGAAATTGGCAATAATGAAGCCATCTTTGGTCAATCGGAAGGGACCCATTTTGTTGCTCACAACACCTTGCCACATCTGCATTACTCTACAGACCTCTCACCCACGGATTATCATTTTTTATACACCTGGACCACCACTTATGTGACAAAAAATTCAATGGACAAAGGGAATTAGAAAATGCGTTTTTGGAGTTTATCAATTCTAAAGATGGAAAATTATACTCCGAGGGAATGGAAAAATTGCTAATACGCTGCCAGAAATGTATTGATATTAGTGGAAACTATTACCAACTAAATCTAGACTATTATAACCAAAATCCAGAATTATTTTCCGGGACAACCCAATAAAAATAATAAAAAATATTTTTCAATTAATTTTTGTTTTGTCTTTGTTGCCCTTCATAAAATGTAACCCCCTATTTACTTAGGAAGATGGACAAAGCATTCACAAATTTGTGATTTGCATGATTTTCCTGAAATACAACTCTCATGAATGTTAATGAAAAGGATGGATTACTGTACAAACATAGAAACTTGACAGTGAAAATTTCAAAAATAATTAAAACAATGAAGAATGTATCAAGAAAATTATCTTTCAGTTAACAGCTAACAGCTTGTTTAAAAAGTTTTTATCACCCCCCCCCCCAAAAATTAAATCAATTCTACAACAGCTGATGAAGGTCCTAAGAGACAGACTCTAGGTAGAGATCTCTAATTCTTGATCTTACATTATCAGCAGATAAATGGTCAATAATGTATAAAACACATGAATAAAGAAAAAAGGTCACTTGTTAATAGTTGAATGGAGTCATAAAGCGTCTATCAAATCATATTTCCTGTCATGAAAAATGAGAGGATGAGGATATCGTCATCGTGATAAATATTGCTAAAATAATAGGTTAGAGATAGTGGACAAAAAATATTATGTTTAACCAAACACTAAATAAATGAAAAATTTACATTGAGACATCTTGCTTTAAGTGATGAAAGATTTAATGTGGCATACCATAGCTTCAATTATTTTTTTTATTTGAAAGTGAGCAAGTTTATTGTAAAATAGCAATACCAAATACAATGTGTACTCATGATTTAAATGTATATAATTGTGACAATATGTTTAAAAGAATTTTATTAATCTTTCTTTTAATGAATACCTATTAAAAATAAATAGGTTTTCTCTTCTTCATCCCCTCATTATCGTACAAAATTCCGATGACTAGTTACTATCAGAAATTGAAAAATTTAATAATACTAATAAACATTATTTTTCAAGGCAACCACGGTAAAAAAATTATGGGCTGACAAATTGTTAAGAGCTTATGAACAGTCACTAAAATAAACTTCATCTTCCTATAAATATTAAATACAATGATTTGTCATTTATTAATGTATAAACCAAAATTTAAAATAATCAATAAGCTGTAATACCTCAATAAATATTATGCTAATGATTAAAGATATTACTACCTGATCAGCATTGACAATAACACCAAATTGATTTAAAACAGTGTTTTTCGTCTTTTCTATATCAGCCAAATCAACACCTCGGCAGCAGTCATCGATTAAAATAGTTCGGTATCCAATAGAGAGGGCATCAGCTGCTGTTGCTCCTAATGAAACATTTTTAATAAATAAAGACTTTACATTTTGGGTACTATATTCAACTTAATACATTATATTTATATTTATTGACTACTCTCCCCTTAGAAATACGTAATCAAATAATGTAATGAAATTCATACTAAATATATATACATTTCAACAAAATATATGATAGCCAAAAAATCTACCCTAATAACATCATTTGCATGGACTTTTAAGTAATTCCCGAAAGTAGACAGATTCAAATAACTTTGGAACATAACCTCAATAAATCATCAACTAACAGAGATAAAACAGGGAATAACAAGTGCAAACAGAGCTTTCTTCTTCCTTTCAAGAGTACTGAAATATAAAAAAAATTCCAGAAATCTAAAACTAAGGGTGTACAATGCCATGATAAAGCCAGTTCTGCTGTACGGCTGTGAAACCTGGGCTGTAACCAGCACCCTAGAATGCAGAATTGAGAGATTCGAAAGAACATTCCTTCATACGATAATCTATCTGGGATCAAAACCTTAACACATGAAGGAGAAGGAACAATAAAGAACTGCTAAGAGAAACTGGTCAGTCAATATCTCATGATATGAAGGAAAGGAGGTTAAGATGGACGCAGCATAAGATGTAGCTCGAACCAATCCATTAGGATGCCTTTACACTACCATGAATGCCAGAGTAGTAAGCAAGACACCACGTGGGAGACCAAAAATCAACAAAGATACAGCTGAGCTTCATGCCACAAAAAGGAAAGCAGTAGCCCAAGATAGGCAGAGGTGGAGAAGGCTGGTTCAGGCAACCAAAGATCTATAAGGTCTGTAAAGCCAACTGAAAAAAAAAAAAAAAAAAATATATATATATATATATATATATATATATATATATATATATATTTCATTGTTTTAAAGCTTCATATTTGGTGGATCTAATTAATCAGTTACTAGTTAAAGCTCATAAGTGTGTACTATTTTATCAAAACAAAAAAACATTAACAAAAATTTCTTTCCTTCAATCAATTACACTTTATTTCCTATCACTTTCAAGTCAACCTTTATCATATTTACAAAACAAAATGTTTTAATTGAAATAAATAAATATATATAATTTATTTCAATTATATATATTAAAATATGATATAGGTTGATTTGAAAGTGATAAGTACACATTTATGAACTTTAATTAGAAACTGATTAATTAGATCCACCAAATATGAAGCTTTAAAACGATGAAACATTAGTTCATTCTGGTTTAAAGCTGGAACATCAGCACATTAAATAGCCTAATCTCACAACACGAAGCGCCCTTTTGTAGCTTTTTTGGAAACCCCAGGTATTCCAGCCTCTCTTTACCCTATATATTGGTGAAAGAGCTAGAAATGAGGGAAAGAGTGAAACTCAATCATTAGACTCGACTAATTTTTTTCATCTTTTAAGTGCAACATGAAACACAAATACTTAACATTGAATTAAGGAAAAAAAGATACAATAAAAACACCAGTATCATCAACAATATAGGTAGATTTAAGTGTATTTTTTTTTTTATATGTCCATTGAATATGTTTTAAAAATTCACCACAGTAGTGTTCCAGATAGACTTTTCTTATGTTGCTGTTTAATATTTTAAGTGCAATTGTCCCTTGTTGAATAATCCAATAGCATGTAGGAACTTACGTAAACTTTAGAAAAAAAAAATGAATTGAAAAATAATTGTAAAGAATAATATTTCATTTTAATAGAGAATTATAGAAGAAAAGGTCCTATTGATGTAATTGGACTAGTTGAAAAAAATTATAATCAATATTAAAAATTATTTATTAAAAGGTAGAGATGGAAATATTGATATATATTGCTTCCATATTTTTTAAATATACCAAATAGCAGTTCTCCTAATAATAGCTTTAGTTTATTTTAGAATATTTTGTTTTAGAAAATTATTTCAGCTAACTAAATACTTACCAACGCAAACATCATAGGCCAAACCACAAACATATACATCAGTAGCATTTTTTGATTTAAGTTGGGAAACAAGAGTTGTCTGAGTCAATTTCTTATTATCCCAAAAAACAGAATATGAATCAACATCTGGATTTGTTCCTTTATAAACTTTGACTGAGTTTTCAATAACCTAAAATTTGTGTGAATACGACTCATGAGGAATATACAATAAAATAAAGTAAATAAATAATATTAATTTAAAACTAAAGAAATGTTTTATGCTTAAATGGTTCACCACATAATAAACAGAAAATAGATGGTACAGAGTTCAAGAAAACATCAAATAATTGTTGGAAATTTATTAAAAGCCAACAATTCAACTCATAATGTAAATTTTTATTAGGGCAAAGCAGTTTGTCGAATGAATGTCAAAATGTTAGCACAGAATATTAACAATTATTGGATGATGAAGAGAAGAATAGTTGGGGTGCTCAGTCAAAAAAGGAAGGCAAAAATAAATTATAATATTTATTTTTTACATCTGCCGACGTTTCGTATTTCTTATTATTATTATTATTATTGTTATTTCTTCCCTCCTTCCTTTCATTCCTTTTCTCTGTTGTTAACTCTCTATTATATTATACATTGTCTGTACATCTTGATAGACTTTACAATATCTCAATTTACTATCAAACTACTCCATTCTCAATGTTTTCTTTTTACTATTTATTTTATTCTCATTTCTTATATAACTTTACATTTCTTTTTTATGTTTTTACATTTTATTCTAAGATTCCCAATGTAACACTATTGTCACCCCCTTTTTGATTATGCCTACTTCATCATTCCACGCTATGTAACAGTCTGTATTATTTATCTCTTAGTTCTTAGTCATTATTCTAACAATTTTATTTTACTTTATATCTATCTATTTTATTTTTCTTTTATCTAGATCTATTTTATCTAGATCTAATCTATTTTATTTACTCATTTTTTTTTTTTGTTATTATCTTTTTTACCATCATTACTTAAGTTTCTCATACCTTGTTATCTGGTTATTTTCTTAGCCCTGATGATGGCCTGAACTTCAGGTCGAAACGTCGGCAGATGTAAAAAATAAATATTATAATTTATTTTTGCCTTCCTTTTTTGACTGAGCACCCCAACTATTCTTCTCTTCATTATCCACGACAGTCAACCAATTACCAATTATGAATTATTGGATGACTTTTCAGACCGTCTCCCAGACCATTTCTTTCTTAAAAAAATATTATTTATTAATCGACATCAAATCATATTTAATGAATTAAAAGTAAATAATATAATAGAAGAAGAAGAAATAATTTTTTTATCCTCAGGCTACATATGCTCAGAGTGGATTTTCTAATAGAATATCAAATGCCTTCATATGATGGACGAGAACATCCACATTAGTTTGTTTTGTGATCACATCGTCCAAAACTAACACCTAATAAACAAACATACTAAGAAAGGAAATGTAAATGAATCATCCTATCAAATAAACACTTCAGGTGATCAATGCAATAAAAAACATCTGATTTTATCATTCATATATATATATATATATATATATATATATATATATATATATATATAAACAGACACAAACACATACACACACATAGAGGTGTGTATATAGTTTCCCGTAAGAAGAGGAAATCATTTAAAGAAGTGATATCACACCTTAAGAAGTACACAAAAATGTATAAAAACAATGGTCTGATTTTCCGCATATCAAAGTAAGATATTACTTGTCTTGTTTTTTTAAGTAAGTCATGTTTTTTTTAGAATATAAAGCAGTAATTAAATAAAAACAATATTAATTTCATTTGCTGCACCTATGATCTTTAATTCAGCAAAAATTATAATTATTGAAATTATATACTAATTGAACCGACATTTAAAGAAAGAAAACCCAACCATATTGTTTTCACATTTAATAATTGATTCTATTAATTAAATATAGCGCTGTAAAATCACATGACATACACATAAGTGCTAATTTATCTTTTATCGTAATAACTGCATTAAAATTACGTAATACATTAACATTATCTTCTAGGCACAAAGCATGATTAAAAATACATAAACTTGAAGAAAAAAATATTGGATACACGTGTATGGTTCCCTAAAACATATTCAGAAATAATAACCAGAAGTGTTAAACAAAAAAAATTATATTAATTGTGTTTTAAAAACTAAATAAATAAATAAACAAAAAAATTTACATTGTATCATGACTTGGTTCTATTTATAAAACATCGTGTAGATAACTTTTGTGAAATATTATTAGGAGAGTTTATCGAGGTCAGAAACCAATTTCATGCTGTCAGGGAAAGGTTAAGGTTGAACATCATGCAACCCCCAGGTGATATCTCCAACATTGATTATTTGACGTGTTAATTACCATTAAACCTTCAAGAGCCTTCAACTTTTCTATTCAGGTGTTGGATAATAGATCTATTTTTTCACCTGTTCTTCAATGCGTAATGCTATGAGAAATGATCATAATTAAGCAATAAAAATGAAATTTAAATTTAAATTAATAGATATATAACAAATAGATCTAATTCTAAATTAGATAATTTAGAAACAATAATTTCAAATTCTAAAAAATATTAAAATGAATGGTAAATCATTATTATTTCAATTGTCTTCTTTTTTAAATAAAATTTAAACCAGAAGTTTTATATAATAAATTTATTTCTTGAATGTTCTCTGCTATATAAATATTCTTTTAAAAAATGGAAACAATAATTGTGTTATATTCGCTCACAATAAAAAATATTACTATGACTAGAGCAATCTTTATAAATTAAAGTATTATTAAGATCAGTTATTTATTAATGTTTAATAATATCACATTGAATATTTAGAAATAACTAAAAAATAGAGATTATTTCATGGTCATGGTATAAGAGAAAAACAAATAAATTTTGAAATGCTTCAAAGTAAAAACAGAATATAGTGTAACAATTTAAGATAACAGATGAAACAAAATACATAAAAAATAAGAACTGATATGAAAATGGAACCATTCCTAACCAAACTATTAAAAAATATATATCATACATAATAGACAGACCTTAATGAAATAAAATGAGGTTCCAAGAAGAAATCAGAAATGACAGGCGAATTATGAAATAATTATTCATCTAATCATTTATTAATGAGTGTTTATGATTATTTATACTACTAACCTTCAAATCTTTGTGTAACTCAGCACCCCAGGAGCCCTGTACGCAATGCCTTGGCCATAACCTCTGGTGCATTAAATGTGGACCATCAAAAATCACAGTATCATACGTCTGAGCTTCCTCAGCAGAAACCTTTTAACATATTTTCATTGTTATTGTAAACATAAAAATTCTTAACAAGATATGCAAAATCACTCTACTTACTGGACTAGATGGATGTACTTTTCGATTTTTCAGATTATCTATAAATGAAACATGGTCACTAGGATGCCAGTCTAAGGAATAAAATATAGCATCAAAACTAACTGTTTCCAGGAGGTGATTAATTGGTTCAATAACCTATCATAAAAAAATAAATATTAATGCAATACTTAAAAATGCTAAATATTACAACACAAAGATTCATTATTTCAATAGTCATATAAATAAAAAAATACATGATGTATCCACTAACAATAACTTTCTTTACCACTTTTGGTGTAAGTCCAATACAAAAATCTATAGCAATATTTCGCTAAAATTGGTTGGATTAAGTTTTTTTTTTCTCTCTTTGTAGACAATTAAATTATGTTTCAAATAATCCAATTTAATGTTCCAAAATGTCTATACTTTCAAGTAACCAAAAACTAAACATAGGTAAGGTGGTTTCCATAAAAACATGTGCAGAATATTTTACAAAATATGGGTAGATAGATGAAAATCATAATATATATGTGCTTAAATAAATATAAATACAACAGTAAAACACATATTAAAAACAAATAAAATAGCGAGCCCCTATATCACCTAATCTAAATGCACCCTCTAATAACAAAAAGGCTCCTCACCAATTGAATATCCCACAGGAGAGGAAGTACTTCCTTCGAGAGTACATTATAAATATTAAAAATTTAATTTAAAATTTACAGATATATATTTGCTAAAATAAATAAAAATAAAAACACTAAAATATAAGAAATACAAACTTTACTACTATATCTACTACAATGACATAATGATTTTTTTTTATTGATCACAATTTAATTACTTTCCAAAGAATTATAGAAACAAAATTATTTAGAAGTTATGAAAAGTTCTGGGGATCATTCTGGATTGAACTGTGACATGGGAACCAAATATCCAAACAATATGTCCTTCAGTCTAAGAGAAAAGACGGAAATGGCGAACAAGGATGGGTAGATTTTTTTTGGTTAATTCAATTTTTGGATTACAAATATCTTAAAATATAAAACCTGAAATTTTAGGAGGGTTAAAAAAAAGTTTTAATGGTCAATTACAAAACTTCATTATAGAGAATTATAAATCAAAATACTAATCAATATTTATAAAACTTACCTCTAAACCATTCTGTTGAGCTGAGCATTGACTTATGCTTAGGGACCCAGAAATAAAATCATTCTGAACATCAATTATCAAAAGTGCACTCACTGGGCGTACTATCTGAGAAACGTAAAAAAAAAATTTACGTTTACATATACATAGTAATTGAAATAAATATCCATAAAAATAAAAAATCCTAAAGGTGCGTTTACACTCAAGATAACTTTACCAATATTTTATAAGTTACCAACATTAAGAAATATTTTCTCTAAAAATGTTAATAAGTTTTGCATATACCATTTTACTGATAAAAATATTATCAGTAGCATTGCGTTGTAAAATTGAGTATCCAACTATAATAATAACATAAAAAAATAACATTTTAAATTTAAATTCACAGATTATGTAATCATATAAAGTATTAAATTAATATTGTTGAAGAGAAGTTGGTTGAGTATTGCAGTCATTGGTAAGCAAAAATGAATTATGATTTAATTACTAAATTATTTATTACTTAATTAACAAGTTATGTACTTCCAATGACTGTAATCTCCAACCAATTTTCTTCAACAGTATCTTCTTACAGTCGATAATTATCCATCATAATTCAATTAATAGAGTTAAAATATTAAAAAATAACAATGCGCTCACAAAACTTCTGAGCTAATTAAGATATTGGAGGTAGGATTAAAAATGAAATTAAAATGATTTAATCTTTCTCTTTTTTTTTTTTAATTTTTTCAGAAATCAAAATATAACAATGTGGCAAACAAGACATAAAAATATTTATGTATTAGCATTTAAAACATAATATAAAACACTTTTTAAACAAACTGATATTGAAACTGAGTGTGGTGTTTAAAAGTTAAAAAAAAATAAGAATGAAACAAGAATAATGAAGGAAATGAAAAATATCCATTCAATCCAAGTCATTTAATTAAAGTAGTTTTAATTACTTGCTGTTTTGTAGTTTGAAAATGAACCTAAATTGTAATCTGGAATTTCACCAGCAAGATTGGATTTTATTTTTTTATTTCTAATATATATTTTATTACTTTATTAAAACCATCAAAATATGCAATAATATGCATACATCATTAAATGTGGAACATACAAAAAACTGATTCATAACGATATTTGATCAGCATTGTAAAAACTGCACACATACAAAATATGGAATTGCATTAAAAATATGGCCCTGCTTATATCCTTATAAATATTAATTATACCGTTTTTATCCAACAGTTCCAGCAATAACCAAATTCATCTCTGCTAATCTTCCCATCCTAAAAAAGTAAAATAATTATTGATCACTAGAACTATGAAGAATTCATTTCACTTGTGCTGCAATTTCATTTAAATATTACTAACTTTATCAAAATCAAAAACATCAAAAGTTGCTCGAAGTTGATTGCAATCAAATCCATAAACTCTGCCAGTGTCATTACGAAAAAGTGCTTGGCAAATTGATTCAAATTCTTCAATGCTAAGATAGCCATCACTGTAACAAATGAAAAAAAAAATTCAACTTTTAAATATATTCACAAGATCATGAATATCTAAAATTATGACAAAACAAATTGATTTCACACCAGATAATTGAATAATTTTAAAAATAATAAAGTTCTATGATAAATTTAAAAATCAACTATATATTGAGATTTATCATTATGCAGTATTTATATTATATTACATTTATAGTAGAAAAATACTATTAATTTTTATCTTATCAGATTCACTGCTATAACACATTTACCTGAAGATATCTATTTTCTTTTTAATTTACAAGATTATAAAGTCATAAAAAGTATTCTTTTTAATATCCTTGATTTTCAATATTTAATGATTGAAAACATTAAAAAAATAAACCACAGAACTTATATTTTGTTTAGTCAAATTAAAATATACCAATCTTTATCAAAAGCTGTGAAACAGGCATCCATATCTTCAAAGTTAAAGTCTTCAGATGAACACATTGACAATTTTTCAATTCAAAATAAAGAAAGGAAACAAAAAAAAAAAAAAAAAATCACCACAAATTTTAAGAGTAGAAATGCGGATCTTACAACTCCGAAAGACTTGAAGTCCTATATAAGAATAAAAGCTGAATGAAACGGTCAATTCTCGGTGCCTAACACCGGCAGGTCCCAAAACAATTTTTGATAAAATCACCTGTAGATAAGAACTGTATACAAGGTCGTGCTATCAACTGTCAACAACGGATGACAGCTAAGTAACCTCCCTTGATTAAAAATCGAATTTAATCAAAGACTTTGCCTGTAAAAAATATCTTTATATTACGCGAAAATCATCAAATAAAAATTAAAAAAATAAATTATTACTTTTTTACATTAAAACCATACATGCCATAAGCAAAAAAAGTAGGATCTGTTTTTATTATTGAAATAACTACTTAAGTAACATCGATACAGTACATAATAAAATCGATGTGCCATGGATTTAATATCAGTGGCGGTTATTAGTTTCAAATGGATTACTACATTTACTTGCAGCCAACTATAATTTATTTCCATTCCATTATTTTCGCATTACCTTTTGACAATGGAACCCTTTCTGACCGAATTAAGCCAAAAAATTGAGACTGTAAAAATCATTGAGTTACTTAAACGTAATGAGGCCAATTTTTTATGTGCCAAATGGTAAGACTAATCTATATTTACATATTGAGATTTTTAATTGGAATTTATTCTTGTCACATTTTAATATAAATCTATCAAATATATTTATAACATGAAATATAAATATTTAATTGATTCTGTTCATCTCTAATTAGAGTACTGTTCTTAAAAGTTGTTGTTATTTATTTTGATGTTTTAAAGTTATATTATTCTCTAGAGTACAATATTATTCATTTAAAATGTTATGTACCGATATTTCATAAATGTTTGGAGAACTTGGTTTGGGGTTCAGAGGTGAAATTTCACATAAATAAGAAGTCTTATTAAACTCCCTCCAACTTACTTCTCTCACTAAATATCTATGGTAAATTATATCTCATGAAATTTCTTTCTTTTCTAGTGGCCATGTTCCGCAACGTTCATTCATATCAGGAGATTGTGAACATAGCTTTTGCGAATCATGTGTAAATAAAAAGCCATTTTTTAAACGTTGCCCTAAGTGTCAGAATATTATTAGGGAAGAGTTTATTATCAACGATGAAGCATACATTGTTTTTTCCAAGTGTTACGAACATTACAAAAGTACTTTGTCACGGTATGTAATTTACTTTTTAATTTCTTGCTTTATTTTATTTATTTATTTTTGTACTAGTTCACTAGAGAGGACGGGATGGCCGAGCACATTGGGGAGTGGGTCCCAGACTGCCCGGTTTTGAACATTGTGAGTTCGATTCCCACCTGGGTCGGTTACTTTTAATTTCTCACCAGTCCCGAGAAATGGATCGCGACATACCCACTCTGGCAAGTACGCGGCGGCAACCTTAAAGGTAACCGTCAGTGGTTGGCAAAAAGGACCACTATAGGCCCACTTGCCGGACTAGTTCCCACCACCCAGTACCAGTGCCATTACTAGTTCACTAGAGATTAACATGGATTAGACCTTGGGTTACTATCACTACGGTCACACTTTTTCATGGAATGCCGAAAGTGCTTGGGTTTATCGAAAAAGTATGGAAGTGACTGATATTTTAATTACAAATAACTTTTTTGCAATTTAAATTATTGTATACCATTAACTATTTATAGTTATACAGCTTGAAGCAACTTATATTTTAGACCTGGGCAGAATTTATTTGAAATAATATTCCCGGAATAAATCGTTAAATATACCTCAATAGTTATTTCGGAAATAATTTATTTCATGAAATAACATGAACTTTATTTCCGAAATGATTATTTCTGGAATAAATTATTTCAGGAATATAGATATAATTATTTCAGAAATAATGTTCTGGGATAATCATTCTTAAAGCTGCAAAACGGCTTGAAATAACCAAAATAAAAACATGACAGTTCTCCATCAACCTTTTTGGAGACAGCCCTGATGAAGGCCTGAACTTCAGGTTGAAACGTCAAAAAATGTCAAAATAAATATAATTTATTTTTGCCTTCTTATTTGACTGATCACCCCAACTATTCTTCTCTTCAAAATAAAAACAGTATTGTTCACTTAAAACTTACTTTTCGCTAACACCCCCGTTTATCCCCTTCCTCCCATACTAAAGACAGGCAGTACTCTTTTACTTTTATGATTTGAGTACTTTTGTTAGGAAAAAGTCTATATAGGACCTGACCACACCTAACCACCCAGTAATCCATATTATTATGTTTGCGGGAAGGGCTGCTTTTTATGAAGATACTGTCAAATTTGCGATTGCGTTCCCCCTTCCACTCTCCATGCATCACTTTTTTGTAACTTTCCAGATTCTATCGATATCAGGATTGACTATTATGTATTCGGGTTAGCTTATTATAAAAATACTAATGAATATGCGATTGCACCCCCCCCATCCCCCCACCGTCCCGCATCAACTTTTTGTAGCTTTTCAGATTTAATCGATATCGGGTTGACAATTATGTTTTTTGGTGCCCTTTTTATAAAAATACTGTCAAATTTGAGATTGCACCCTCCCACATTGACTTTTTGTAACTTTTCGGATTTAATCGATGTCAGGGTTGACTATTATGTATTTGGGGTAGCTTATTATGAAAATACGGTTGAATTTAAGGTTGCGTGCCTTCTGTCCCCTTTTGACTTTTAGTGACTTTTTGGATTTAATCGATATCAGGGTGGCCTTTTATCTATCTCAAATTTGATAATATTTTCATAAAATGATACCCAGAAAACATTATAGTCGCCCTGATATCGATTAAATCCGAAAAGTTACAAAAAGTTGATGTGGGAGGGTGGAAGGGTGGTGCAATTGCAAATTTGGCTGTATTTTCATAATAAGCTACCCCAAAAACATAATAGTTGACCGTGATATTGATTAAATCCGAAAAGTTACAAAAATCGATGCGGGAGAGTGGGGGATCTCAACTCTACAATGATTACTATGTGTCAAACTGTAGTAAATATTAATTCTATAGTCCGCCTAAGCCCAGGAAACAAAAAAGGGCCATTTGAAAAAATGAAATTGCTCTTGGGCACACTCATCCTTGACAAAGATTAATATGTATCAAACAGCATTAAATAAGTAGTCTAAAGGCTGTTAATGGTGGATGTTGGTAGACTTTTTATGTTATTTCAGAAATATTTATTTCTTGATTCCTTACAATAATTTATTTTTGAAATAAATAATTCTGAAATAATAGTTATGAAATAATTTATTTATGAAATAACTCATTTCGAAATAAATTACTTTATTCCAAAGAATGTTAAAATATTGAAATAATTATTTCAGAAATAAATTCAGTAGTTATTCCATCGAGATTATTTCATTGACAGTTTGAAATATTATTTCAGAAATAACCATTATTCCGGAAATAATTCATTCGTGGAATAACTACATGATTTATTTCAGAAATAAATTATTTCAAGAGTGCCCAGGTCTATTATATTTGATTTTAGGTTACATCACATGCCCTTAATTGGGCTTATACGTACATTTTACAGCTGTGAAAAAAAAAACCTTAAAATCTTAAATTAATATATCACTGAATGCTATTTCCTCATATATTTTTTTCGTATTAATAATTTCTATTATTTTGCAGCATTGATATTCTTCATCAGCTGTAATCCTCTCCATATTAATTTATTCCTAATAAATATCGAAATAAATATGTTTTTTTTTTTTTTTTACTGACTACAATCATGGCTCCCTTTTTCGGATTATTAAGCAAAATAACTAAATAAAAAACCTGTGCCACTATAACCCATGAAGGGTCTCTGGTTAATTCTTTTATTTTTTTTATTAGAATACTCCTTCTTACCATTTTTGGTATACCTTATGATATAAACACGATTTTCATCACAATCTTGAACTTCATTTTTAGCCTTTTATCTTGCTAGTTTCGCAATTGACTACACAGTGCTACGTTACAGAGATACTTACCCTAAATAAAATAATTAATCAACTACATTTTTTCCTCGGGAGAAGAAAACGTTGGGCTGCTGTCTTTATAACTTCCCATTTCGAAAGCATGAGTTTTCTATCTGGGACATAATTCTTATTATTGCAATCAAACGGGTGATTAAGTTTCATTTGTTTGCAAAGTTAACATGTGGCTAGATACAAAGAATCAAAATTTAGGTCACATACTGGTGTAGCAAAAAAGTTTCAGACCAAAACTTGGAACAGTTTTCTGAATTTGTGAACTTATTTTTTTGTAGCAAACAATTAAGGAATATTTTGTAAACAAACAAATCTTATTGCTGCTTGACCTACAGTTCTTTAATAAAACACCGCAGAGTTACTCGAGGCACTATGGATTTTAATATAAGATATGGAGCTTTGACTTAACTTAAAATGCGCTTTTATTGTTATTTAAATTGACCCCTACACCTGTAAAATCAAGCCTTTGATTAACTTTATATCTTACTTTTCTTTTATCCAGATTTAAATTGATCATTGTTCATTTCAAATTAGAATTAGGTTTTTTTTCATATTACTACAGATTATACCTAACTTCAATTTAGAGTCTGTAACTCGTAACACAAGAGTAGTAATCTACTCTAATGCTAATACATTTCATGTATTAATATTTAAACAAAAACTATGATTTTTGCATCTTTAAAGTGTTATATAGAGAATATTTCTCTTTTTGAGTTTTTATTACACGATTTGAGTTTTATACTGCACACTGTCTGAGAGTACTGAATTTTTACTTTCAATTATCTATATATGTAGTATATAGTAAGAAAAGTATTGCGATCATGAAAATTTTCGAATTTGAGTTTTCAACAGAAATACACATTTTGAGGTCCTCGTAAGTCCAAATAACCAAGTCCCGCAAAATGGTCTGTGTGTGTGTGTGTATGTTATCAGTATAGCTCAAAAACGAAAAGTCGTACAAAAGTGAAATTGTATATTTATGATTTTTATATACCTGGGATGTTACACTTTTTTTGTCAAAATGGGCTAACTGGAAGTGCCACTTTATATAATCAATTTTACATATTTTTTATGATTTTCTCGAAAAGAGCTCTAACGATTTTGATTAAACTTGGTGCATCATTATATAATTAACTGATCTTTAATGTCATTTATATCTTATCCCCATTGATGTCACTTTACACTGCTCAAATGCCCAATGTTCAACATTTCTTCCTATAAAGTACCTTTAATTTAATTTATTTTAAATAATTAACTATATCTCATTGTTCGGAGTTATGGAAATATGCTTAATATAACTTTTGAAAGAATTTGATAATTGAAAAATGGAGAAAAAAGTGAAAATGTTTATTTAGGTCGAAAATGAATCTCTGGAAATTATGGTCAGAAGGTATACGTATAATATATCATTGGAAAAGCAGAGAATTTTAGAAAAAACAATATTTAATATAGAAAGTCGTAAAAGGCAATAGAGAGTGACTAAAAATTATAATTTGTAAAATTGTATTAGTAATCTGTGAAAACTAATATTATTTAATGGAAATAGCTTGTTTTCAAGGAAATTAAATGAAATTTATTAACTAAATGTGAATTTTTAAAATTGTTTTCAAGTTTGAAAAAAGTATTTAAAATCCACCTAATCAAGGCAGTAATATTGTTGAAAAAACTATTTCCTTGTACTTGTGTGAAAGAAGAAGTGAAATATAATAATATTTTACGGATGCATAAAGAATATGTTTGTAACCTTAAATACATTTATTGTAGTTTAATAATTCTAGATCTGATTTTATATTTAAATAATTAGGTATGAACGTCTGTTTATTCCGAAAAACCGTCATGTAACCTTTTAGAAAATTAAATTAGTGATTAATTTGATTAATTTTCCCTTTGTGAAATCCCAACTATATCCATTTACAATAAGTGTGACAAATTGTGATCTATCTATGCGAGGCAATGAAAATTTCGTAATTTCATTTTAGTAAACTTTAGAATGGAAAATAACAGTTTAATAACTAAGAGATGTACAATCCATAATCATTTATAGGTTGGATATACAGACATACTTTTAAATCTCTCTAGGTGTGGATATATATATATATATATATATATATATACAGAATATATATACATATAGCTCAGAGACTGGAGTTATGTGTTTTACAAAAACAGTTGTAACAAAGTTTTTATTTTCTACCATTGATATTATTAATAGGGTTTTGTTATAGTTAATGATTTTTTAGCTATAAGCTTTAAGCTGTAGCTCCATTAAAAATGCAATTAAAAAAATTTGTAATTGCCTAACATTGCCAGAAAATAATTTATATTCAAAGTAGAGTAAGTAGAAGTTGTGTGTTACACGCACCAGATTTTTTTTTAATCAATGTAAAAGGTGTTGATTATTTCTTTTTTAAATGAGTTCTTATATCCTTTTCTAAGAATAGGTTCTTAAAATGTCATGTCCCAATGAGTTTTATGATTAGATCTTAAATTTCAATTAGCTCCATTTACATCACTTAAATTAATTCTAAAACAATTTTATTCTTTTGAAAACTTATTATAAAGAGAAGATGTTGAATAAAAACATACTATGTTTTGTAACCATTTTTTAAATTTATTTTTATTTAAAACATTATTTTAGAATGGCTGAACCTGACTCTAAAAATATCAGAAGCCAAAAAAAGAATTATGATTTTCTTCTTCAAGATGAGTGTCGTAAATTATTTAAGAATCGTAATGGTTCAATAGATAATATAAGACGATTATTATCATCTGGAGCTAACCCAAATGTATTGAACAAGGATGGATGGACTCTTATGGTGTGTATTATTTAATACAATTTTATTTGATTTTTTATATTTTCTCTCTATTATATAAAAAAGTTTTTAGTGACTGTCATATTTTATTTTCCAATCTCAACAAATTAAAATGCTGAGATTCTCTCTATTATATAAAAAAAGTTTTTAGTGACTGTGTAATATTTTATTTTTCAATCTCAATAAATAAATAATTCTGCGATAACGGCTTGAATTTTTTTCTCTGCTTACACTATATTGAAAAAATAATACAATCTAAACTACAGAATACATGTAAATTACAGTTATTCAGTTTGGGTTATGAATAGTAAAATTAAATGAACAGCTGTATAATTTTTTATAAACATAAATATAATAATTATTTATTGTATTAGGGTTTGATACCTATGTAGCTAAGTAGTTGAAGTATAAAAATATAAATACATAATATAGAATAAATGCTATTTTAAATTATTGTTTTAATGTTGTAGCTCATTCAGTCATAATGCAACAAACATTTTCCTAATTTTTAAAAATTAGGAAATTAAACTCTATTGATTAAAAAATTAAACCCTGCCCACTTGAAATAATCAAAGAACCAATGGACAGATGGGTAATAGTCTCAATGGTAAATCTTGATGTAGATGACAGAATAGTTTAAGGTCTCATCTTGTATTTTAATGGAGGTATTTAGTCGATGAAGGAATTATTATTTGAAAAATTATTTGTAAACTAAACTTACATATATACACGCATACAAGAAAATATTTACATGAAAACAAAATTTAATTATGTATTCACTTTTTTTGTCACATAGCATTACATTACGTTTCGGTTTACAATTGCCAATCTCATCAGTATAACCTACAACTTCCCAACAAAAGAAATAAAAGAGAAAAAAAATAATGAGAGTTTTTGATTTTCCTAGAAATAATGAAGACATGTAAAATTTGAATTGTATTTTTGTCAGAAATTTAATATTTTCTTCTTCCTTCATCCTCCATAACTTTTAATTTGTTGTTTACGTCAGCTTCCTGCACAACACTACCAAAGTTTGGTACACTTTTGACCCAACTTTTCTATAAAATTTGTCTTTTATAAAATGCCACATAAGTGTATTGTGTAAAAAACGGAAATTTGAATGTATCTTTACTAATAAATAATTATTATTTTTAGCATGAAGCAGTTGATTACGAGAATCTAGAAGTTTTAGAAATCTTATTAGAAGCTGGTGGAAATGTCAATGCTTACAGTGGTGACAAATGTACTAGCTGTCTTCATGATGCTCTCAATGAAGTTGATATATCTACTGATATAATTAAGTGTTTGTTAAATTATGGTGCTGATATAAATGCAAGGGATCCTTATGGAGAAACACCCATGTAAGGTTATAATGAAACTGCCAATATTATTTCTTACTTTTTTTAAGCTAAGTCCATAAATAATGCTTATTTAATGTTGGACCATGCTTAAAAATGTTGTGCATGCTAATAAATAATTGAAGCATGCTTTCTTGCTTTTACTTTATTTTACATCATGGAGATGTGTTCCTGAATAAAGTCTCTTTTCAGTTTATTGTTAGTATGATTCCAGTGCCACTAATATGTCAATTGGCTTGATTGTTATTAAGATTTTTTTTTTAAATAATGGTTGGAGGTACCACATTAATTTTTTTAAATCTAGGTTGCAGGCTACCATTCCTTTAGTTTAAAGAATGGTTAGCATATGTTACTGTTCTGAAGTTAACTAAACATATGTTTAAAGTACTTTAATATTTTAAAGGTTTTGTGTATCCAAGCCTTTAGAATTTTTTTCCTTTTCCATTGGCCCAGCAGACATATAGTTATTTCTGGCCTGCTCAACAGATCTACCCCACTGTAGTCCATAATCTGCCAGGTTAATACTAATAGACTGCTATGTCCGTCCTTATTTTCGGTCTATAGTTTTAACGCATCCTATCTGGATCATACATATGTAACCTTTTTAAATATGTTAAATATACCTTTATTAACATGAATATTTTCATTTCCTCATAGAAATGGTATATTTCTTTGTTATTCTTTATTCTCCATCTACCAATTTCTTGTACTGGTCAGAAGATGCATCTGAAGACTTGTCTTTCAAACCATTTTTTTGTCGTTTTCTTTTTGCTCCCTATTGGGCTATTGCTGCCGTAGAGGTTGGTTATCCTACAGATAACCGCCATCTTCTAATCAGAGTGGAAAATTTGATATTTATTTTGTGTGTTTCCTTCTGACTAGAGATTGATACGTTGACGCCTCAACACACTTGGCCATCAAATCTTTCTGTCTTTCAAACATCTCAATTTTGTCTGCAACAGATTAGGCGATCAAAGAAGAAGTAGGAGATGTGGGAGATAAATAAATGGATAAAACGTGATTATAAATTAATGATAAGTCATGGATGCCAATTGATTGAGCTCAGTGGTGACAATCTTTTTAGACCCTTTTCTCTGATGGGAGCTAGGGAAGTCATTAATTTAATATGTCTTTATATTATTATATGTATATTATGAATATATTTTATTTAAGAAGTTATAAAAATGAATTAAAGTATTAATATGTTTTGTTTTTTATAGACAAAAGGTTGGTGGGAATGAAGCGTTACTTGAGTTATTTCAAAAGCACAAAAAAATCTATGACATACCCACAAGGCCAATTCCCATCAAAGTGCCATTGTTGTATGCTTGTAATTTGTCTTCAACATCTAATAAAAATTTATCAACATTCTGTCATACGCTAAAGTTAAAATTAGCTGTTCCAGGAAAAAAGATCAGGTATAGTATTATCATTATAAATTTCCACCAATAACATACAATTAAATGTAAATTACAAGTTGTTATTACAGGACTCTTGTATGTTCTGAAGTCATTTTGTATAATAATGCAGCATGTTAAAGTTCTAAATTAATATGTAGCAAGTTTTATGATAATATATGTATAACAATTACAAAGAATTATCAATTATTATTTATATTGCATTTCCAAGATTAATTTTATCTTTTCCATTTTAATTTTTAACTAAACGAGCTTGAATTAATTCATAAATATAGGTATTATTTATTCTTTTGTTTAAAAATAATTATTTTAATTGAAATAATGACATTTGAAATAATTTTGCATATTCTTAAGATTTTTTTTAAATATATAATTGATATAGTAGTAATTTAAACTAATTAGTTTCAAAATTATAAAAAAAAAAATTATTAATTTTTTGGTCTTTATTATTTAATGACCTGTTATTTTCATTTCACTTATCATTAAGTATATAGTAGTGGAAATTATTGCGATTGTGAAAAAATTCGAATCCGAGTTTTCATTTAATTATTATTACTTTAGTAGAATTCGTTGGTTTAGCTGTTTTTGTAAAAATGTTTTTATGATTTAGAAACAAGGAAACCTAAATTTAATATAGGATTTTTGACTGTATATTCATTTTTATTAACTGTTACTGTTGAAGTTTTTTTCAACATTGTTTATTAAATTTTTACTGAATCTACATTATTCTACACCCAACCTAAATTTACTGTCAGATTTTCAATTGTGTATGCTCATTTTGATTTCCTGAGCTATAACTTGTGTTGATTTCTTTCAGCAAAAATATTACCCACATCATAGTTGAAGAAGATCTGTGTGAACCATTTCATGAAGTATTGTTGGGGATATTATATGGATGTTATATAGTAAAATATCTTTGTAAGTTGAAAATTATTATTTGTGTTAATTTATTTTGTACATTTCTATACACTCTTGCATTTTAGGTCTTCATTAGACTATGTTTTTTAATATGTTGGATAGGACAAATAGATATTTAAAGTATGTGTAAAATGAATATTAGTGAATTAAAACACTTTATCTACATTAACTAAATTTTAAAATATTGTCTGCTGTCTTTAATGAAGAGTACAGTGGATCATCATCCAAGATGCTTCAACTAAAGCAGAGTCAAGGCCTCTTGCAGCTTTATTCCACTAGTCTTTATTGGTTGCTGTCACTTCCCAGTTGCAGATTTCCAAGAAGGACCTTGCATCCGCTGCTGCTTCATCAATCCATCATAGCTGATGTCTTTCCATTCTTCTTGTCCAATAAATCCTTTCGTCTAGGGCCATCCCAGGAATCTGATCCGGGTTTATTCTACTTATGCGTCCGGCCCATTGAAGGCATCTTACTTTTATCACCCTTATAATGTCTGGGATCTTATACTCTTGTTAGCTCAACATTTGTCCTTATCCTCCAGGTTCTATTGGCTCAAACTGGGGTCGTCAATTCTTCTCAATATTTTCCTATTGAACCTTAAAAGTACGACCTCCTGTATACAAGATTAATGTCCAACATCTTATAGTATTGTGCATTAATATGTGTAAAATACCTTTTTGCTTTCACTTATCTATATATATCATAGTAAGGGGAAGTATTGCGATCGTGAAAATTTTCATCTGTGAATGAAAATTTGAGTTTTCAACAAAAATACACGTTTTGTAGTCCCTTAAGTCCAAATAACCAAGGCCCGCAAAATGATCTATGTATGTCTAGCTCAAAAACCAAAAGTTGTATTCAACTGAATTTGCGTATTTAAGGTTTGTATATGTTTGGGATATTACAATTTTTTTGTCAAAATCGACTAACCGGAAGTAACACTTTCTGTCATCATTGATTTTACACATTTTTACAAATTTCTTGAAAACAGCTTTAATTATTTTAATTAAATTCATTATACCATTGTGAAATTAAGCACTTTTTAATATAATGTAGGTTTTATTCTCCAAATACCTTTCATTTTTTTTTAATTTAAAATAATTAACCATTTCACATTAGTAACTGACATAAAAAATAGTTAAATATGAAAGAATTCCATAAGTATCTAAAAAGGAGAAGTAACCTAATATCATTCGTCATTAATAGAGAACAGACAAAACCCGAGCATTGTCAAAGGTTAGAAAAGGCTTCTATACATAAGCATGTGTGGTATTTATAAATGCTACATTGATATATTATATTTAATTGCATAGATTATAGCAATATAAAAATTAAAATTTACATATATTTTCCAATGCTTAAACTAATAAAAATACCTACAACAAAATATATATAAATTTAGCAGCCTTCATTGTCAGTGGCACTTATGTCGGACTAAAAATATTCTGTGACACTTTATTATATATTATATTCAAATAAATAATTAAATGCAATGATTCACAAAAAAAACACAAGTATAATAAATTAGACAGTCTGTGATTTTTACTTTCTCTTCTCTTTGTCTGAAAATACCGAATTCTCCTAAAAGAAGGGTGGTAAGTGAAAGTTGTGTGGTGCATGCACCGTACCAGATTTTTAATATAGCCATTGTTACCTTTATCAAATATTAAATTCAGTACCTCTTCTCATTTAATGAAACCAGATAATTCCTATTGATAGTCAATGAGGTCCAGGGCTTGGAATAATATTGATAAATTTCTGCGATTTACAGAACTTATCAAAAAAATTATAGTGTTCCAAAATATGCGGGCTAATTATGGGGTATAGGAGGACATTAGAGATCTCAAACTAGGGTGATAGGAATTTCTAGTGGTGTTGTACATATGTGTTAATCAGCAGCCATTTATTTCTATGGGCCACTTTTGCCAACATACCTTGCCGAGACAGAGCCTTTAATGGTAAATAAAACTTAAGATTCAAAGAAAGAAAAAAAAATTAAGGTGATAAAATTTTTCAGTTTTAGTAAGTCAAAATATATAAGAAAAAGTAAAAAAAAAAATCCTTAGCAGTTTTTAGTTGCAGACTTGTGTTATTAGACTTATTTTCCTCTTTAGATATGTAGTGTATGTATGTATTTATTCTACAGGGATTGAAAAGTCGATAGAGGCAGGTTATCTTCTACCAGCCGAGGATTATGAAATATCTGGTACTAAGAGTTATCCAGATAGTAATGCTCCTAGAAAAAGCAGACTGAATTATGAATCTCTGGTAATTTAATTTAAGCATTTTTTTATAATATGGTTTTACATGAAATGAATCTTATTGTTTATTTATTTTGCAAGAAACCAAGATTGTTCGCTTCTGGTCAGTTTTATATTATGGATGGAATGGAACAAAAATTGTCTCATAAGAAAGAAGAACTTGTGGATCTTATAACTGCTGGTGGTGGAAAAATACTTATGAGAGCTAAAAGTTTTGATGAAATAGCAGAAAAAACTGTGTTTTTCCATGCAGATACAGAGGGATCATTGAAATCATGTTATGTCATTGTATTATACAAGACAATACCTACTATAGTGTATAGAATGGATACTGTCAGGTCATTTCATATAAGTTGGCTGAGTGAAGCTATTCAAAGATTTAGAATTGAAGCTGTTGATACAGGTAATTCTTCATTTATTAGTTTAAATTAAAGATAAAACACTTAATCCTATTTGCAGCTAAACTGTGGTCAGACAAAAATTGACTTGTTATAGAAATTTCCACATTAAATGAATTTTTTTTTGGGTCCTACCCTTCCTAACCTTTAAGGCTATACAGGGTTTTCCCGGGCCAGGGGGTGAGGGAACTCATGACTATTTTTATCTATTGTCAGGTTGCTGGGCAACGGCCGTGCTGTGCACACTCGTTAGCCCATTCGGTCACCCCATCCCCCAAATTAAATGAAATATAATTTGATTCCAGACTAGAAAATGAATCGTTCAGTGTATACTAGTGGTAGCAGTTGCATTTTTGTTTTTTTCTCTTTATTCCCTGCTTTACTTTTTCTGGTATATGGGATGGTAAAGATTTATTTCGTATTTATGAATTTGTTTGTTTGTTAATGTGAATTAGTTATATACCATTACTTAACAACTTTTACAGCCAAAATATGTGTTTTAAGGTCCCTTAGTAAAATAGTCTCACAAAAGGGCTTCTGTGTGTATATGAACAGCCTAGCTCAAAAATGAAAAGTTATATTAAATTTGAAATTATGTATTTAAGGTAGGTAAATGCCTCGAATGTAACTATAGCTTTCTTTGCAAAATCTAATTACCAGAAGTGCCATGTTATATCTTCAATTTTACATATTTTTACAATTTTCTCAAAAATTGTTCTAATCATCTTGATCAAATTCACTGAAATAATTTGGCATTGCTTAAATGCTGAATTTTCAAAATCTGTTCCTTTAATTTGGTTTATTTAAAGTGATTAACCATCTCACATTGTTAGTGCTAATAAAAAAACGCATAATTAAAACCGTAATTAATAATTATTATATTGATATATTGAAGTCACATAAATTCAATCAATTAAAGTAATTTTAGAGTTTATTTTTCGATTTCTTCTATCATTGTATAAATAATGGGATCCTCTTCGGCATTATTAATTGAGCACAGCCTAGGTAGCACACTGATATCCTCTTCCCTACATAGATATCAGGGTATCTACCTGTCTAGTGCCTATTTTTTTTTTTTTTTTTTAATCTGGGAATACCTTCTTTATTGAATATTAATACATTCTGCCACATTAAAGGGCATTAATATTAAGGCTACATGATTCATTCACACAATATGTACAAAATAAACAATAAATAAAAAATACAAAACTTAAATACAAATATACAAAATAAAAATACAAAACTCTAAAAAAAATACAATTAATATTTCAATAATAAAGAAAAATAAATATAAAAAAATAAAATAAAAATTGATATGCTTGTGCTAAAAAAAAAATGAAATAATAGATAAAAGCTAAATTAAAGTAAATCACATTCACACCTATGTACAATATTTACATTCACCCAGGTGATTCTGAGCCATGCCTTATCCCCCGATGTGGAAGCCAAGGCAGGACTCCAGGGGGTCTAGTGCCTATTAAAGGTACCTTTGAGATGAAATTTTGACTATTTTGTCGAGTTTAATCAGAACTGTTGAAGCCATTTAAAAATTTTGAAATGTGTACAATTTATGATATGACGAGCCACTTCTGGTTGTTAGATTTAGATAAAAAAAAAAAAGTTGCTGTTACATCTGAAACATTTACCTACCTCAAATACGTAAAAAATTCAATTTCATAAACATTTTTTTAATTTTTTTTCATTTAAGCTATTCAAGCCCCACACATTGAGCTAACATATGCTGAAAGGTGTATTCCCATTGAAAAAAATGTTAGAATAAATTATTCAGTAAAATTCCATTCTGTTGTTAAGTACAAAAAGCATGCCAATAAGATTGTAAATGGTCATGCAAGCATGAGAAAGTAATATGAGCTAGTGAACAATATTTAATTTTAATATTAAAGAAAGTACAAAACAGCAGACATTTTCCCCTCAACTCTCCCTTATTATTGTTTTTAAAAATGTATTTTCCTATTAATGCTGACAAGATCTTAATTGCTAATAAATATTTATTTTTCATTTAATTTCTTTCTTTGATATGACTATTGAGCTTTAGAAGTAAATAAACTTTAATTTTTCACAAAATAAAATTTTATAGATGCTTTCAACAAGGCTATTCAGGTACTGTATACTATATATATCATAATATATAATTATATCATTGAATGAAGTTAGTCGACTGATCTACTTATCGTAATAGGTGACAAATAGTCAGGACGCAGTCATTTTAAGATTTTTATTGTTGCGGATGTTTTAACCCAAGCTTGTGGGTCATCATTCAGGGCATGTTATGAGCACTGATGACAACCCACATGCTTGGGATGAAACATTGGCAACAATAAAAAAATTAAAATGATTGCATCCTGACTATTCATAACATATGAAATATATCAATAGCTTACTTAAAATCTATCTTAAAATCTTATTAAAGTTTAACTCACTATGTACTTGTAAGGTATAAGGGGTAAGCCGACGATATCATGTAGTCTTATCAAAAAGTTAATTTATATATTAAAAAAAAAAATGAAAAGGCTTTTAATTCGATTTATAGATGTTCTCTAAATGTCAATTTTCACTTCCTAGTTTTCGTAAAATTCTTCTCAGGTTTTTTTCTGCTGCACTGAATATTTTTTAACTTTTACAATACACACTTTCTTTCCTTTATTTTATTTTATTCTTAAGTTTAGAAAGGAGTTGTAAGTGATAAAAAAAAAAATTACAAAACTAGTTCTTCCTGAAAAGTAAATGGTAATGGAAACTGAAGATTTTCAGTAAAAAGTACATGGTGCTATTGATGTCACTACATAATCAATGTTCTATTTTGAAATAATCAATTACAAAATGAAGAACATTCTTATTGTTTTAATTTTATTGTGAATGAATATATATATTTAATTAATTAATTACATTTAATTGATAAAAATAAAATTAGGCAAATGATGAAGAAATGAACTTAAAGCAAACTAAAATTTGTTCAGATTAGTTTTTTGGCAGAATTATATTTACACATTTAATTAAAAACTAAAAATTAAATAAGTAATTTGAAGTTAGATCAACATGTCACTTTCTGATAAAATTATTCTTCCTTAATAACATTTGAATAAGAAATTCGTTTTGAAGAAACTGGTGTGGAAATGAGGGTAGTTTTACTTCAATTCCTCTGGAACGCTTCCCAAATCTTATCTGAAAATTTATTTAATATTTGTTGATTATAATAAACATTCAAGTAAATTAAAACTAGACTTGTTAATAACAATGTAAATAAACAAATTAATTAATTAAAGTATGGAATAAATATTTGAATTAAAGGGTGAAATAAAGCATTTTCCACGATATTATACATTTTATTATAAATATATGCCCTTGAAAACGTTTTGAAGATTTAATAACAAACAAATTAATAATAAAACTGTTGTAAAAAGATCACTATAAGAAATTCAATGTTTTCACTTTCTCTTTAGATAAAATTAAAACCTGTTTTCAATTAAAGATAATTCATAAAAACAGTTTCAAGATATTTTAAAATTTATACTGCAGAGGGCTTTTGTAGAAGTAAACTTTTCTCTATTTTTTTTGTATTACTGAGCTTATTTTTGTAGTAAAATCACATTTATCTGTGATAATGAAGTGAGTTAAAAAAATTTATAAGTAGGTAGGCATATGCAATGCATAAATGATGTTTACTAGCTGACAAAGTAGTCTTTCTCTCTAAACAAATTATAATAAAGTGATCTATGACCAAAAATAAAAATAAGGAACTTTTCATCAATAAGAGTTGTTATTTTTTTGTTCTTATTGTGAATTATTTTGAATCTTTAATTAAATATTTGTATTAAAATAATGTTTTATACTTGTTCAACAACCGTTTTCTTTAAATGAAGGATTAATTTAATATAAAAATAATCAGTTAACAGATACCAAAAATAACCTGTTCATGGTAACAAATTTTAAGATGTTCACAAAGGAATTTTTGTAATTTGATTTAACAAAAATTATATTATTTGAAATTTCCATAATGATTTACAAATTAGATAACTAAAAAATTCATTTAACATATTTTCACCGATGTGGTTTAACACATATTCGACCGCATGACAAAATTTCATCGGCATATATTACAGAAAATACTTGATTCTTGTTCTTTTAATTCAAAATAAATTACATTCTAATTTTAACCAAACAGAGATAAAGAGATACCGGCATTTTGTGAATCACGGTGTAAAAATTACCGGGCACATAAAACCTTTCCAGACGAATATGCGTTAATGATTTTCCCTAACTGTTTCATGATTTAAATTGTTCAATTATTTTCAAATTTAGTAATTTATTTTTAATGTTAGTGACATTGTAAACAAACTATTAATATTTATAGGTTGAATGGTGGGTGAAATCGGTCTTATGTCTATCTCAGAAATTAGCATTTTTTTATTTCTAAATAAAGAGTGATTTAATCATTTATCGAGATAGTTTAAGAGAAGTTTTTATCCTAAATAGTTGAGATTCAAAAAATATATATATTTTTTGTTCTCACTTATAAAGGTCATAATCACTTTGAAACTCTTAATATATAAACTATCACAAGAAAATGGCAACATTTGGATTTAATGTACATAATATGATAATATTTCATCTTTTTAGTTTCATTTAAAAATTTATAAGCCTTACTAAGAACATAGCTTAAAATATTTATGAGTTTATTTTGTGTGATTGCTCTCTACAAAGCAGAATAGTTTAGGGAACAGGACAGTTTTTTTTTTTTTTAAACTAAATTGATTTATTAATAATCTGATTCGAATTAAAATTTGTTTCTAAAATTATTTAGCAATGATAAAACCAATGTGGTTTATTAACAATTATTAAGGTTGAATTATTTCCTATAAAGTTTTAAGAATTGAAAATATTATTAACTGAACATTATATTAGAATAATGGGCTTAAAAAAATAAAGATACTACTTACCGGCATGCGTGTGTTACATTGATTACATTGATGCTCCAATTGCATTAATTTGCAAAGTCTCTGACACTTTTTTTCTTCAACCAATTCAGAAAACTGTAGTTCTTGTCCATGTGAGCCAAGGATTACAAAAATTAAAATCAGTATCACTGATTTCTTCATAACTATTCAACCAAAGCAAATAGAGAAATAATTAAAAGTAGAATTGAAGAGAAAGAAGAAAAAAAATGTGTACTTACCGTACTGATGAAGTAGTTGACACTAGTGATTGGATCCTAAGTAGGGAGAACCAGTTACTTGGTAAACTGCTTGGCAACTCAAGTGAGCTAGGTTACGTTTGAAAAGGCTTTATCACATACTTTCATTCAATTACTTTAATGCAATTCCCCTTAGGGGAAACTGCCACCTACCTTCACAATTTAATAGCAATACCATTAAATTTATTGCTCCGAAATCTTACCAGGCTGTTAATAAATAACTTTTTTTTTATAAAAATGATAATAATAATTTTGATAATAACAAAACATATTACAAAATATCTCTTTATTGATTACAAATATTTAATGAAAATTTACTAAAAGCTTTTCTCATCCCTAGAGGTTTAAGACATGATATACATTCTTTCACTATATCTAATATATAAATAAATAATATCATTTGGTAAAAATACGATTGACTAGGTAATTGATGCAATGTCTTCACTAGCAAACGACTCTAAACCATCACTGTCACTGTTAGTTGAAGTGTGTGTGCTACCAGGCATTGCAACTCGAGCATATTCATCAGTATCTATGCTTTTGCAGAAATGTATAGCATACTTGAGTTTCTCTCTTAATACCACCTATGAAAAACAAAGTTTTGACTAAATATCTTCATACACAACACTATTATAAGTTCATAAATATAAATAATACTAAATTCTTAATATATATTTTTTAATATCACTGTTTGCTTTGTTCTAGCTGATGAAACATGAGGTGAAATGAGGGTAAAGAAAAACATGTACATATGAAATAATTTAAAGCTGTTAGATATAAAATTATAAAATAAATTAAAAGTTATATTATTCAATTTAAAAAGTTTAAATGTTTTTTTTTTTCTCTAACTCCTACAAAATAATAAACCTTAAGTTAACTTATATGTATTTTATTGACATTGTCTATATTTATTAAAATAATGTATTTATAATATATAATGGTTACTTGCTTTAATTAATTATGATTCATAAGCCAGAGAGTTGGATTAATCAAGATCTAACTTTTAAAAAATTCATGCAAATATTTTCAAATTTAATAGGTTTAAATCTATTATTTAGTATTTAATTTAATTGAGAAAAAAAATTGTCAATTGTCAAAGCATTACAAATAGCTCAAACCAGGATATAATGTGGGTTTAATTTCAGCCATTAAAAGTTGTCTTCTATTTTGTTTCAAGAATAAAACTTGACTGCCACACTCTAATCAGAAAAAGCTGGTAACCCTTACGAAAACCCACCCTTCCTGCTATCTTCATGACTTATTAGGATAGTTAATTTAATCAATAAATATATAAAAAAACTTCATTGGTAAAACTCAGCAGGCATAAGATTTTGCAAAGGAAAAGTTGATAAAGAAAAAAGTAAAAGCTTATTTTTAAGTCATTACTTGATTAAAAATTCATGTAAGAGAGAAGCACCTGGATTCAAAAATCAAAAAGATTGACGATTAAGGTTTAATGCAATGGGTGTGCCATAAGTATTGGGAAATTTTTAGAGGAGTAATAGCGAAGATAGCTCAAGAGCTACAAAAAAGTTCATATAAACAATGGGCCAATTTTCAGCAGAAAAGTAGGAAATCTATGTGGTTTTTTTTTTTTTAAATAAGTCGTGTGTTTTGTAGAATAGGAAGTGACAACTAAAGAAATATTCAATTTAAGTAATTAACAATTGCTTCATTGAAAACTAGACAAAATTTGCTTAAAAGAAAAAAGTTCATGATTGTTAAAACCAATAAAGAGAACTTTTGAGCAGCTTAAATAAGCCAAGTTCTGTTTTAAATAAGAAAAAATTATTCATGATTTTTTTTTTTGTTTTATCATAATCCAACTGTACTACAGATACCCCAATTTTTAGGAAAATTTCTTCATTCAGCTTTAAATCTGTTGAGGTTAATTAGGAAAAAATTTGAGATTCTACTCAAGTTTTGTAAAAAAATGTGATTTTTGTCTATCAAGTAAGTAAGTCTATCAGCAAAAAAATCTACCATTATTTTTTGCACATGTTTTATTTCTTGTTTTTCCATGATCTGGAATGTACTATAACAAACATAATTGCCTAATTATACTTGTCATTTTTTAAAAGAACGAACTTAAAAATAATGATGTTTCAAATATTTTTCATGTAAAATATTTATGCAACTGTTATTCACCTAGATCAGTAATAAAGGAATTTATGGGTGTTTATAAGTGAAAAAATAAATTTTTCTAGTCCTAAAATGTATGTTAAAAATAAAGAAACCTGCTGAAGTTTCAATATGGACCAATTCCTATAATATAGATTTGGATGAAGATCCCGGTTTCATAAACACTTCACTGGAAAAATATATGAAAAATCAATAATTTTTCAAATTAATTTTATAACGAATAAAAAATGTATTTAAGCAATTATATGTTTATTATGAAACATACCAAATCATAAATTAAATGATTTTAACCATGACAAACTGCTTTAATTTAAAGTAAATTTTGTGCAGCGTACATTTAATGCACTTTTTAATTAATTAAATTAAATATTTCTTTAGTTATCGTGTCCTATTCAACCAAAAAACATGACTTACTTAAAAAAAAGAAAACTTAAATTTCCCATTTCTGCTGAAAATTGGCCCATTGTTTATATGAACATTTTTGTTGCTCCTGAGGTCTGCTATCACTGCGATAAATATTTCCCTCTACTTATGGGATTCCTTGTATATAGAAGACTAGCTATAGAATAAGGAAAAGTGCTTAGGATTAATAAATAAAAATCTTAAAAAGCCTAACTTTGTTTTTTCTACTTTATAAACCGAACTAAAAACTTTTTCAACAAACATTTAAATTGAAACATTATGTTACTTTTCCACAAACTTATTTAAAGCCATATATTTAGTTTTCAGTTTATTTATAACTTTATTGGTTAAATTAAATTAAACAGCTTATTGGTTAAATTTCACAAACACTGGATGTAAATTTCAGTAAAACAAAAAATAATAATATATTTATAACACTCACCTTGCAGGAATAACGAGGCATTTTAAGCAGAAAGAAGCAAGTATAGCTTTCAGGTAAGAAATGATCAGGAGGAGAATACTTATCCAAAATCTGCAATGAAAAACAACGAGCGATTAACTATAGATTACAAAATTCATGTTAATCAATAACTTATTCTTCAAGTTCTTCTCATTTAAAAGACAGCAAGGCCAAATAAATTATAAGATATAGTTTTATCATTAATATACAGAATTCTCTAAATATAATTAATTTATTAAAATAAGTTAGGTAAACGAGTAATCATACCGTATAAATGTTCTTTGTTATTTAGAAATTTATATTGTATACATATTTAATAAAGCATTTCTCATTCATTCATTAAAATAAGTTACATTAAGCATTTTATCAACTTTGCAGTGCAGAAAATACAAAAATCTGGTGCGGTACGCGCATCACACAACTTTCACTTACCAACCTTAGAGTAGATAGGTATTTTCTTATAGGAAGTCAGAGTGAAAGCTGCGGTATAACTTCATTTAATACAATTAATAGGGTGTATAAAAAAATGACCGTTTTATCTAATTCAAGATTTCAAAGAACTGTAAATGTGTTCTTGACCAGCGCACTGTGCAGTGTTGGTTTGAAAAATTTAGCAGTGGAGATACGATGTTGGAAAGGAAGAAGGGCTCCGGGCAACCATTAATAAATAATGATGAGATTCTGCAGGAAGCTGTTTAGTCAAATCTGTCCACAAGTACTCGCGAACTTGCCAGAGAGTGTGGTGTGTCAAAAGATACTGTTAGTCACTATATACTCTCCATCGGGAAGGTGAAAAAGAGCAGTAGACTGGTCCCTCACGAACTTACTCCTCAGCAATCAGCTAAGAGGTTAGAAATTTGTGAAAATTGATTGAAAAATCCTTCTGATATAAGGTTTTACCGGAAGATTGTCACCTATGATGAAAAGTGGGTTTACTGATGAAATCTGAATACCCTTAAGCAATGGCTAGATCGGGGTCAAACTGCTTTTCCTGTTACTGCAAGGGGGCAATTTGAAAAAAAATTCATGCTTTGCATTTTTTTGAATTTTGAAAGTGTTATTCATCATGAATTTGCTCCTGATGGATGCTCTATGAATTCTGACCTCTACTGCGAACATTAGATTTATATTAGTGAACTCTTAACATTTCACATGAAAACCTTTTAAAAAAATAAAAATTAAAACTCTGTTCAGAGGAGTACCGGGTATCTGTAAAGAAAGAGATCGGCTAAGATCGGGTGCTTTCGGCTAAACAACTTCCTACCATTATTTCCGCTTTAGTTACCAATCAATTTTCTTCATTCACTATATTTAATAATTTTTTTTATAGCAGGTTCAAATCTGAAATCGTTAATTATTTCAAATAAACAAATTAAAGGTACTTAAGGTGCCACTTAATAATACACTGACCTAGAGAATTTGATTAAAACCGTTAGAGCGATTTTTGAGAAAATCATAAAAATTTATTAAATCGATGATTAAAGTATCACTTCCAATTTGCCAATTTTGACAAATATGTTGCTGAAACATCCCAGGCATATAAAAACCTTAGCAATTTCAGTTTCTTACAACTTTTCATTTTTGAGCTAGGCTGTTCACCGACATTCAGACCCTTTGGTGGGATTGGTTATTTGGACTCAGGAGACCTCAAAACGTGTATTTCCGTTGAAAACTCAGATTTGAAAATTTTTATGATGGCAATACTTACCCTTACTATATATTACATATATAGGTGAGAGAAAGTAAAAATAAGTAGAAGGATATATGAATCATATTGAAGAAACTGCAAACAGATAGAAAACCAAAGTGTAATACAAATCTTATATTGAAACTTTCAAAGACTGTCTAGTATTAAAATATTGTTAACAAAATATTTTAAAATTCTAAGGAGGGATGGATAAATGAAAATTAATCATCAACACATATAAGGTTATAACTGATTCCGATGTCATACAAAATTTTCTTTGATGCACTTCGATAGAAAAGTCATAAGAAACCATATTTTAATAAACTAAAATAAATTTTGAAGACATAAATTTTACAACAAAATAATAATAAATAGAGCTTTAAACAGTACTGAAAAATTAGAGTTAGGTCTACACTAATTTTTTTCCTCTATGACCCAACTCAGCTGAATCTGCAGGAAAGAATAAGAATGATCCATCAATGGATAGGTAATAAATCAATCTTTATTCATAATATAAATAGTTATGCAAATAAGTTAAAACAGTAAATAATTGTTTCAGTTCATTTCATTAGTGGTTCAGATACAATTGACTGCTATTTTAAAAACCTAAACTTGGATATGGACATTTTCCACTTATAACATCAACTTAACCGCAATCCCTAATTGAATCTAATAAAATAAACATGAATACTATTATCAATAAACTTTTTTAAAATAATAAATTAATTTACCTGTAAAACAAAATCTCGACCCCTAAAGTCGGCAATAGTCCTTGGGAGTCTGGTTCTTCCCCAAACAAATCTGAGAAACAGAGATCTTTCTTGGTTAGAAAACTCTTCCATTACTTCCCAAAACCACTGAACTAAAGAAGACGATTCATCAACTCCTGGACATAAATAATTTAATGTTAGAACATATACAACATTGACAAGAATAATTTGATAATAAACAAAAATATCACCTTTATAGGTAGCAACAGACTTGAGTAGATTTAATGGAATATCCGGTGAACCACAAACCATAGTTTCTAGCTCATATCCACTAAACAAGGACAGAAGCGGGACTGGAATGACTTTCGCCATACCTTCTCTCACAGATTGCACTTGCTCATCAAATTCATGTAATCTATATAACAGTACAATATGAGTCAAATAGTATTAATAATCAACAATTAATAATTGAATTGAAATAGTTTTAAATTCACCTATAATTAAGAGCTAAGCGTATGTATTCATGCTTGTTAGCTTGGGTTATTTTCCTGTAACAAGAAGACAAAGGAACATCGACTCCTGCAGATGATGGAATCGAGAAAGGCATATCCAGGGTATTCAATTCTTTATCATCACTACCCATATCTCTTATACAGAGTAATCCTACAACATAAGAAAATATAAACAATTTTAATACTTAAAAAAAATATTTAAATACAAGATATGCATAGTCATCCCTTATTTCCACTATCCCTTATCGTCCCTAAAAGGATGGTGGTCAGAGTCCACCCCTTCAATTTCCCTACAACTAAGCAGGAAATTTAGGCAAGATAGAGGGTCCTTCAGCATTCCCAAAACAGCAACCCCAACTTGTGACTATTTTTTATCAATCACTCATATATCAAGTTGCCGAGCAACGGCGGTGCTGTTAGTTTTTATTATCTAATTATACAAACTATTTTTTTCATTTTTCACGGTAAATTCCAACAAAACCATAAAATCCTAAAAAATTAAATTTATTTCTTAAGCTGTTTTATATTATGTAATACTTACATTTTATTCCATTCCATATTTCTCTAATACAGTTGTTTTATTAATAGGCTAAAATTAATTATTTTAATACATTTTTTTTCTAAATTCTTAATAAGTGGCAAGAACCCTAATTTCGGCGTACCAGAAGAATTGCCCTAGTTACCCGGCCCTACATCTTTTACAAATTTTATATTAAAATTTTTAAGATTGATGAAGTTTCTAATAAACCAAGAATATCAGAATCAAAACGGTTGTTTATAACTAACAAAAAAATTAGTGTCCATTTAAATGAATTTTCTAACCATTTTCTTTGCTTGCTAATTCATAGATAAACATTTTTGACTGAATCTTCGCTAATATTGGGCTAATTAAGGGGCTTATTTTTGTTTAAGTTTAGCTTTCAAAGAAATTAAACGATTTTTCAAATAAAAAACTGGAATGTTCCAGAGGATATATGGTTTCCAAATTATTTGAGAAACTTAATATGGGTAGGTAATAAACCAAACCTGTTTCTTTGATAATATTGTTCTGATTTAGAATATTTTTATAAAATTAATTGTCTTTTATCAACTTTTCATTTGATGAGGGACAAGTAGTATAGTACATTTGTACTTTTTTTTTTTTATGGATCCTCTCACTTTTTTATATAATTTATATTTATTATGTTACATTATCGATGTTTCGGGTACTTTACAATATTAATTTAAATTGTAATTAATTGATAACAATAATAAATAAATTTAATTGGTTATTATTAATCAAAGCTGCCTGAAATAAGTATTATTACATTTAGTGATCCAAAAAGGGATTTGAAAATTTATTATAATAAATAACTGTAATAATAATAATAAAAAATACCATTTTAGTGATTTTTTTTCTTATTTAATGAAAAAGTTTTTGTTAGGAAAATTCAAATATTCAAAACATATATTAAACTTTGAGGTAAAATTTGACTGGACTATTATTTATCCTATCCTATAACATTTAGACATGTTTCATTAATACCATTAGAGCCGTTGGGACACTACAGATTATAGAAATTTTTTTAACAAATTTTTTAATTATTGCAAACTGAGTGCCTAATTTAGTTGATACACAGTATTGAAATCTGTTCACATCACTATATTCTTCATTAAACCAGATCATGTTCAATAATATATCTGTTGTTCTTCTTAGACACTACCCCTCAACAATCTGTTTTGATGATCCACAATATAACCACCACATTAGTGTTATCAATCAGAAAAACAATTATTAAGCTATACTTAAAACTTTTCAAGACTGTATCAGAATAGGTTTTTATTATTAGTATAAAATACAGGTACCAATAAAATTAGTATCAATAACAATACCTGGAATATAATCCCTATCAATTTCTGTAAGGTCAGCGAGAGTAAGCGGCATCCCAGCCAATTGCTTCCAGACAGGTTCTGCAAGATTCAAACTAAGAGGACTACCAGTCCGTATTGCAATCCCCATCAGCACACCTATATCATTGACAAATATATAATAAAAACAATATGTTAAGATATACAAAGATATTAAGAAGTACAAAAAAAAAAAGAAAAAAAGTTACCAAGAAAATTAAACATATTCATATGTAACGCTGATTTAACATGTGGATTAAGAAGAAAGCAATCTCGATTTGTTCCTGTTTCATCCCTTCCATTCGGAGTAGGTATTAAAAGGGGAAGTGATCCATTTTGAAGCTCATCACACATTTCAGCTATGCTTTCACTATAACCACCACCACAGTCATCAACACTTTCACCTGTTTCAAGAGAATCCTCATTATCACAATATTTAGCATGAAAAAGATTCTAATTGTTTAATATATAAGGAGAACAACACAGAGACTAATTATTATGTACTTATACCTAGCCCTGTCATAAACATTGTTACAAGAAAATATATACAGATTTCAACAGAAAAATTATTTTTTTCAAATACTTTATTATAAATTAAAATGTATATCTATAGAGAGTAAAACAAAAAAAAAGAAATCACTCAAAATGTCCCCCTTTTGCCTTGACACAGGCATTTCATGGCCAGTCTTGAGGAAAGCTTTCAACTGCTCGGACCAGAGGCTTTCCAAGTTAGGGTGTGCTCTGTGGCATGCCAACCTCTCCAGTTCGGAACAAAGCCGATAATCTAGTGGGTTGAGATCAGGGCTTCCTGAGGGCCAATCCAAGCAGAGATGAACGCTGGAATGTTCTTTTGCAGCCACTGCTGAGTTGACCTGGCCTTGTGAACTGGAGACGAATCCTGCTGGAAAACCCGACTTTAAGCAAACAGAGTATCAATTAGAGGCCCGATAACATGTTCCAAAATATCGTCCTGATATTCAGCTGCTGTTTTAACTTCTTTTTCACAAAAATAGAGCTTTGTGGTGCCTGTTTGATTTACTATGCCAATCCCTTCCAAGACTGTCAGGGATATTGTCATAATAATTCTGCTTTAAGAGCTGGTGAAAATTTATTGCTGTGGACTGTAAAATTAGAGGAGTTAATGGATTAAAGAAGTGAATGAGTAAAATTGATTGCTATATTTTATTACATGTATTTTATAAGGAGGTTAAATATAGGTGGGTTGGGATACTTGCATTTTTTCTTTTCTTGTTGTGCCAGTCTTCTTGTTCATCTTCCCTCTCTTCCTTTCTTGGCCCCTTGCCGGCCGCTGTAGTTTTTTACTCCATTTTTATTAAACCAGTGGAATCACAAGTTTTTGAAATCACAATGGAATCACAAACACGAAATTTGAACTGGCCAGTCTTGTCATTCTCTCACGCTACGTGAGCGTCTACGCTTCAACAATGGCGGCGTCACAACAATGACTGAGGTATATATGCAGCATAACAGCTGTGTTGTGCTTACTTGATTTAATTCAAATATCAAGTTTGATGTGTTCCCTAAACAAGCCGCCCACCTAAATTAAGCTACGCTAATTTACAATGAAAACAAAAAGCGTAACATAGTGCTGTGATGTGCTAATACAAATTTGGTAATACAAAATAAAAAAGCTTGTCATCTTGTTTGATGAAATTAAAATAAGCAATCATGATTAATTAAGGAAGTTAATGGTAATTGTAAATAAAATATAAAAAGAAAATAATCGCACTTTGATTGGTCAAAATAACAAAATTGGTTAAACAAAACATGATTGGTTAAACAAAATAAAGAATTTTGGTACTTATATTTATAAAACTAAGATTAACAACGTATATAAAAGGAAATAAATGGCTTAAAGAATATACAAATAAAATATATACAACTAAGAGGGAGAGTAACCATCACTAATAAAAGGGATCGAACGACGCAAAGAGACGAACAGAAAATCTACCATATGGACTTGTTTAAGATAGTGATTGCTCTACTTGACAAGATCTGGTCGGACATTCTGGTCATGCTGGAAGTAGGTGATCGATGATCGGAGTGAGTGATAAAATGATAAGATGCTCTAAGCGTAAAAGCTACCTTTGGAGTTGACCTTTCATGGTGATGTTTCCATTGCTGACGATCAAAGTGGTTCGGGAGTTTCGAACGATAGCTGCTTCGTTCATTGGAGTGTTTTCAGATGACTGATGAAATCCCCTTTCTTGGCGCTGAGACTTCTGTGAGAGTAAATAAGCCTCGAATGATTGCTGTGTCTGGTGGTGCGTGATTGAATGTTGTTCGTGCTGCTGCACTAAATATTGTCGCGGTAGTTGCCGCACTGAGTGCTGGGCCAAGTGCGTTAGATGCTCTTGGGAATGCTGCTTCGCAGAGTGATGTGACGATATTTGCTTTGCCAAACGTGGTGGAAACTGCTGTTGCGCCAAGTGTTGTGTCATACGATGTGATGGTTTTTGATTCCGAACGTGCTGTCGAGAATGCTGCTGCGCTGAGTGCTGTGCCATATTCTGTAATGGTTGCTGTTTCCGAATGTGTTGTCGAGATTGTGGTTTCATTGAGTGCTGCTGGGTTTGGAGTAGAAACTGGGGTTGCTTTTGCAATGATAATTCTGCCTTTGCTGCTGTACCTGTTGCTGATTCTGCTGCGGCAAAATGCTTAATCGATGGTTTGGAGAGGACATGTAATGCTGTATTGGTTGGCGGATGGTATTCTGGACTTGCGATCGCTGTTCTCTTTGAACCGCTACATCCGAAGTTGTCGTGTACCGTACGTGAGGTTTGGAACTCAATTTGCCATTTCTGTTGTCTACAAAACTGGCTTTATGAGAAATAGGGTTTGGCATTAGGAATGCGTGATCTTTTTTGTCCACATGGCATTGACTTAAGGACTGAAGAACATTGAGTGCTGATTCATTTTGCTTCGATAAGGTACCAAAAGATGGAACAGTAGTTGCTTGTGGTCCATTTGTTTCCACAGTTTCGCCGCCCACCTTTATCTTGATACTTATCTGGAATCCAGTGAAGACCGAAGATTTAGTTGGATTTGAAAGGCATGCTGTCTTCCCCATTAATACTAAGCCAAACACTGTTGGCTGAAGGAATAACTCATCAACACCAGAGCTGAATGGAATTCCGTTGATGATATGAGGATAAAGATCAATGCCGATCAAAAGATCGATGGTGCCGGGTATATGGAAGGATTCATCTGAAAGCTGGTATCCAGATAATAGCTGGATAACATAAGGTTCCAACGGAGTGCTGGGAAGTGGTGGAGAGATGGTATCCACAACGATTGCTGTTGCATTGAATTCATCACTGCTAAACAGTGATTTGAGGGTGCAATCAATTGAGCCTTTTGGCTTCACAACTGGATTACCACCAAGACCAGCGATGCTAATGTTTAACGGATTGGTCTTGAATCCAAGCTTGCTTACAATGGCTTGTGAGATGAAGGAGTGCTGGCTTCCGGAGTCTATTACTGCTCGGACAGTGTGCAAACTATGCTCAGGGTCCAAAATGTTGAGTTGAGCCGTTCCTAGTACATAATAGGATTCAGAACACTGTTGTTGTGAGGCTGAGCCAAATCCTGCAAAGTGTGTAGAAGTAGGAGTGCTTTGTGCATTTGATTGAACCTCGTGCAGGAGACTATGATGACGAGCCTTGCAGAAACGACAGGTGAACTTTGACTTGCACTCTGATGTCTTATGATTTTGGCGAAGACAATTCTTGCAACATTTCAGACTGCTAACGAATGCTATGCGATCTTCTACGGAGATGTTGCAAAAATTAAAACAGCCTGGCAGATCATGTTGTTCTTTGCAGAACGGACAATAGCGTGGTGGACTTTGGTATCTGGCTGTCCGAGGAGTTGAGAACGTTGATTTTATGCGCTTCGGAGACATGCTAGAACACCGGTTAGTTTGAATTTTAGTATGCATGAAGCTTGAAGCTCTATACTTCGGTGATCCTCCTTTTGGAAACTGTGAGTGCTGGTACTGTGCTTTAACCCGATCGCCTTGAGTAGTGCTTGAAGAGGAAGCAATGTCTCTTGAGATTGTGAGGGCTATCTTCCTTTGTCTGACAAAGGTGATTACGTCGTCTACTGTTGGGAATGTGCTTGTTGAGGCCCTTGTTATCTCAAATTGCCTTCGAGTCTGCGAATCGAGAGCCCTTAATGCCAGAAACGCCAACAGAACCTCGGATGAATGTTCCAAGTTGAGAGCCTTATAACCATGAATGTTGTCGGCTACACCTATAAGGAAGTTCTCATAATTCTGCAGCTCGCTCCTTGTATTTTTGGTTTCAAAATCCAATATCTGCTGAAGAAAATATGTCGCTAGTACCCTGGGATTGTCATAAGTTTGCATCAATTTATCCCAAGCTAGGACATATGACCTATCTTCTATTGGAATATTTGAAACCAAAGCTGCGGCTTCACCCTTTAGTGCCCCAAGTAGGTAATAGAATTTTTCGGTGTTGGTGAGTGATGTCTGTTGATGGACTAGTGATTCAAAGGTGTCCTTAAAATGGGTCCAATTCTTTATCTCACCAGAGAAACTTGGTATGGGTATCTGCGGTAAATAGGCCTTAGCGCCAATTGTCCTGCTCGTGGTTGGTTCCATAGAACGATTTACAGGATCCTGAACTGCTGGATTCAATTCCGCTGCTAGCTTCCGATTTATCTGGAGCATAATAGATTTTGCTTGTATTACTTCACTCCTACAAGCGTCGTAAATCTCCTGCATACGTGCACTCGGGAAATCTTCACCCGCAAGAGCGTGAATGGTGTCACATTTCTCCCATTTTTCCATAAACAGCGCCCAATCGGAATTTGCAGCATCTAGTTGAGCTTCAAATAATGGAGCTTTCTCAAGATCCGAAAGTGCTGCCGAACCATAATCTGAACATCCCACGATGTTCCGGTGTAAACCTCTGAGCTGTCGCTCCAGGGTAGTGATTTGAGCGTTGTAATCAGTGGTAACTGGTGGCATTTTCATAAGAAAAAACGACGAAGCAAGGGGGTACAAGGAAGAGAGAACCGATGAACACAAAGAAGACTGCAATGTAATAAAGGGAATAGAGAGACAACTATAAACAAAACAAACCAGGCATGAATGTGCTAAAGACCATGCAAAAACTGCTGTAAGAAAAAAAATTGCAATTTAAGCAATAAAAATTTAAATGGATGAAAAATGAGGTATCTAATTATAAACCATACACATATATTTATAATCAAATTAATTGCTTTTAATTTGATATAGAATGCTAAGTTATAAAATATGTGTGTATATATAAGAATAAACATCAAATGAGTGCGTGATGTTTTTATCCAATAGAAGTTGATATAACAAAGAGAAATTAAAAGACTGCTACCTCTTTATTTAGTGAATGAATCAATAATGAATGCTTAACTTAATGGCTGGACGAACGATTATGATTACTATTAAAATACTTATTAAAGACAATAAGTGCTAATTAATTTCTGATAATATACAAACTAGTAATGTAATTCAGTAGATAAATCAATAAATAATTTGAATACAAAAAAAATTATTAAATGCCTGGTAAATAAATGTTTCTCAATTAAGGTAGTGGTTGTTTTAAAGAGGGCTACAAAAATGATAATTCATAACTGATATGGATTCATTATGCATCAAAACCTAATTCAAATATCAGAAAAAGAAATAGGCCAATGAATAGAAATTAATTAATTAATTGCTGAATTTGATGTGATAAATAATATAAGAAGGTAATTACAAAACTAAAATGAGAACAAATATAAATATGAGTGCCAATATACTACGTTTAACCTGAATGACATAAGAAAATTTTGTATGATTTAATCTTTAAAGATTTTAATGATATCGGGGCTCGGTGGACCATATGTTTGATTTATTATTAAAGATTTTAATAATATCAGAGCCCGGAGGACCAAATGTTTACTTTACTATGCCAATCCCTTCCAAGACTGTCAGGGATATTGTCATAATAATTCTGCTTTAAGAGCTGGTGAAAATTTATTGCTGTGGACTGTAAAATTAGAGGAGTTAATGGATTAAAGAAGTGAATGAGTAAAATTGATTGCTATATTTTATTACATGTATTTTATAAGGAGGTTAAATATAGGTGGGTTGGGATACTTGCTTTTTCTCTTTTCTTGTTGTGCCAGTCTTCTTGTTCATCTTCCCTCTCTTCCTTTCTTGGCCCCTTGCCGGCCGCTGTAGGTTTTTACTCCATTTTTATTAAACCAGTGGAATCACAAGTTTTTTGGAAAATCACAATGGAACTCACAAACACGAAATTTGAACTGGCCAGTCTTGTCAATCTCTCACGCTACGTGAGCGTCTACGCTTCAACAATGGCGGCGTCACAACAATGACTGAGATATATATGCAGCATAACAGCTGTGTTGTGCTTACTTGATTTAATTCAAATATCAAGTTTGATGTGTTCCCTAAACAGTGCCATTGAAGCAAACTACCCAATAAACCATCACTGAGGAAGGGTGATGATCTCTTTCCACTCTTCCAATGACTTCTTGGGCTTATGTGTGCATACACACGATCATTTTGGCAATTAAATTTTTCTTCAATTGAAGAAAACATTTTTTCATCACTAAACAAAATCTTTCGATGAAGACCATTGGTGTAATGACCAAGAAGCACTTTGCATCTATACACTCTATTTTTTTTTTTTTTTTTTTTTTAGGGAAGTGGTTAGCCTTTGCCCGATCATTGTTCGAAATGCACCCATCCTAAGGTCACTTTTTACTATGCGAGACATTGATCTGACAGAGATTTCAGTTTCCCGAGACATGATTTGTTGTTTTCGAATGGGATTTCTTCTGAATCAAGCAGCCACTGCTCTCACTGCGTTTGCCGTTCTCACAGTGCGGGGACGGCCCAGCCGAGGTCTGTCACATACAGATAGGGTCTCATTATATTTAATTATAGTGTGATACACAAACATATAGCTGATATCCAAAGGTTTCAAAGTGTTGAAAATCTCTGACCTACATTATCCAACTTTGTGTAAGGCGATCACAGCTATTCGGTTTTCTTTATCACCCCACTCCATGTTAACTAAAGAAAGAAAAATACAAACTAATTGGGATTATTATCCTGACGTGTAAAGAAAATAACCTGATAAGAAGTAAGATACCCACGGATGTAAACAAAGTTCAACTTTTGTAACAGTATTTATGACAAAACTAGGTATAACAAATAAAAATTATTTTATCAGTAATTAGGGTCTGAAAAGGATTCCTATTGTACATTGAAAGAAATAATAATCGCTTGATGTCTTTCTATTACAATTTCTTCAGAATAACAATTATAATGTAAATATAAAATGTAGTCTATTTTAATATTATAAATCGGTAAAATTGTTACAAAATAATTGTCTTTAAAAAGATTCAAATAAATCACGATCTTTTGAACCAATACTTACCAACAAATTTAACCTTCCAAATCCGATGAGGTAAAAATAAGGATTCTTGAGTAAGAGATGATCTTTTAGAAACCATTTGTCCAAAAACAGATTTCATACCATCAGGGCCTGCTAAACCACCTTTTGCCCTAGCTCTTTTGACTTGTATTCTATTTAATTCAACAACAGGACCGTGTGGCCGGTCTCTAACCATTGTACTCTGAACCACCTAAAAACAATCATAAAATTAATAATAATAATACTACCAATCATTTTCCATACACCTCCCGCCACTGGCAGCCTCCAAACCTAACCCTGTCAGATCGGTTTTAATGCATTCTTCCTACCTTCATTTTGATCTACACCTTGAAAGCATACCAGTGGGCACATTATATAGGGCATATTAACCTTTTAAGGATTCTATATAGTAAAATTAAATTTCAATAAATATTTAGTGAAATAAAATTAAATAATAGCCCTTTTTTCCCAGAAAATATTTTTAGGGGATTAAACATTACCGGTAATGGACTGTACTGTCATTTGTGTTGCCCAAATGACTTCCTTGTTTTATCAACTAAATGCATCATCTAATAAATATTAAGTAAAAGCAAGCCCATAAATAACCATCTAAATATTTATAAGTTGATGTTACTTCATGAGAAAAAATAATATAAAAACCTAGAGGAATAAACACCAAGATTACAGAAACTAATACATTTTCAATGGAAATAGAAATCAGATATTACAATAAAGATCGAAGGATATATATACAAATATCTATATCTATGTAAGCATACTAAAGTAAGAGAACAACCATGTTAATCTGAAATTCTTTATCTATTTTAAATTTAAATTATACCTTTCTAAACGTAGCTTCTTTCGTAGAGTATACTAATATTGAGCGTAAAGAATTGAGACTTATTTCTCCATTTAAAGGCAGCATTGAAACAATAGGGCAGAGAAGATCAGAAGCATGGTGTAAGAGTACTAATCTGTTCCTGAGAAGGTTGGGCGAGAAGTCTTTTAGCAGATCATACTCCATTGGAACCTTAGAGGGGACTCTGCTACTAGACAGTGGTTTATCTGTACTCCACGCGAGGGTGTGAGCAGAACCACATGCAACTCGAGTTATTTTTTTACCCTGTAATTAAACATGACTATTAAAAATCATTTAACATAACACAAAGTTACTATTAAAAATGCACAAAAAAATAAAACATTTTAAAGTTTAAGAATGTAAACTAAAAATAATAATATTAAACAAATAGATTTAGTTTGGTATCAAGATTGCTATGCTTCATACATTCATAACCCTAAATGTTATAAAAAAAAACCTAAAGATATTTTTCAAAAGGATTGTATCAGAAACATTACCATTAATTTTTGTAAGGATAACTGACGAGCTTTTGAAATAAATAATTCAGAAAAATGAAATACAGTATTTTAAAATATTATATAGGCCTGACCAAATTAACCAAATACTGATGTTGTAGCAACTGATTCTATATACTTGGTCTGTAAAATGACAGTCAATTTTTCACCTTTCTTACCTCTTCAACTATAAATATTCTAAATCTGTGTTGTTACTTTAATCTAATTGTCAAATCCATACTTTTCATAAATTGATCCATATATGTTAATTGAAATACTTATAATTCACCAACAACTAACCTGTAATGCGACTAGAAGGCGTGGTTTCTGAATGGCATTAATAGTGCCATCGCCTAGTTGTCCTTCATCATTGTCACCCCACGTAAAAACTTCTCCTTGATCACTGCAGGCGACACAATGCAAGGATCCTATGTAAAGAACAAATTGTAAGTAAAACGAGTAAAGATATACCTATAATATATAATATAATAGTAAAGATAACTACTAACTATGTCATTATTTTATTGACAACTTACAAAAATATATTTTAAATCATTATATTATAAGTTGGAAACCTTTTTAACATTAGTAGCTAGTAAGATAGTTGCAATAGAGGCCATAATAAATTTTAATATTTTACTTTTGCTAATTTTTTTATAAGTAAATACACACACCCATATATGTATATTCAATTTAATTGTATCACTAGGTTAATGATAATTGTTCAAAAACTAACGGGAGCTGCATGCGGCCTCTGAGACCACAGGTTTCCTGTCTGTGCACTATACTATTATTTCACATGAGAATTTGGATTATGTATCAATATTCAATTATCTGATATTATTATTCAAATTTATGGCAGATTAGTAACTCTTATCAATAATACACAATGTAACAAAAAATAAATGAATAAGGGGCTAGAACCTGTCAAGTACTACAAAATAATACTATGTAATGGTTATAAGAAGGAATCGAAGGAGCGATCAAGAGATTCTTAACTTTTTTAGTAAAGCAATTTTATTAATTAAATTGTTTTCCTGTTGTTTTATTTTTTTCAAATAAGTATCGTTGAAGACTTGAGAAGCAGAACGATAATCTGAAAGAAAGCTGGACCTTTAAAAATAATTAGTTTTAGAAGATCCTGCTATAACATTTTCCCCAACAATGATGTTCCTCCTATCATAGCCAATTAGGTTGTACCCTCCCTTTTAACCTGGTCATTACTATTTTTCATATATCAAAGATATGAAAACTTCATTGATTATGAAAACTTGCATTGTTTGTTGGAACTTTCAATCGATGATAAAATGTTAATAAATAAATTCCATCCCATCAGCTTAGAATTTATAAAAGTTACAAGATATGAAAGAAATCAGTAATAATCTGAAATAAACATTAAAGAACTAATTAATTATCAGAATACCTGTAGCTATGCATATAATTTTTTTCCCTTGAAGAGCAGCCACTTTCTTTGGTCGCCTCACATGATCATCAGTACCATGACCCAACCTATGATAATCTCCTTTTCCCCTAAATAAAAACAAAATGTTATTAATATGTTTCACTTACCTAATGTTCTGACATTAAACAGAAACTGTTTGCGACTCAAATTACCATGTATATACACTTCCTGACCGTGTAAGTGCAACTGAAAACTGGGAACCACATTCAACTTTAATAACACCCAAGCCTGCAAGTGACTCAATCTTTAATGGAACCTGCAGCAAACAAAAATATATGATCTCGTAACTAAAAAATTCATGAGTTAACAATCATTATTTAGGAAAACTATTCTTAAAATCAGTTGGCAATTAACTGAAACATAATAATAACACATATTATTCAAGTAAATCCATGACCACACTAGGCTTGCAGAACTGTGCTGAACCCAAGTTGGTGAGCAGCTCTATACTGTGTAGGTTGTTTGAATGGATATGATGATAACATTGTATAACTTCAAATGTGCCGAAACACGGACTACTCCTCCATGTTGGTACATGAAAAGAAAGTGTTCATTTGTGCATATGGTATACTCATAGACAAGATTTGAAATTCACATGCACACTTAAAATAAAATTAAAAATAAATCAAACAATTGGTTTAGCGTTAATCAAATGATTTTGGTAATCACAAAATTGCTAAAATGAGTTTATTTTAGTTTTATTTCAATTTTTTAAGTCAAATTTAAGATTTTTTAATTTTGATCAAATTTATGCTTAGGAAATTAAACTTTTGTGAAGTGGAACAGGAAGTATTTTGTAAATATGTGCAAACATATTTTTCATTTGTCTACGTTACATTATAACAGCAATCACAGAAAAGATGATGTTTGACTTTTAATATAAATTTATGATAAGAATAACGTTTTTAAAAAGCAATTAAGGATGATACATAGTGTTTCTATAGTTAGTACTCTTCAGTATTTCCTGATTGATTAAATCAAGCAGGTAATCAAAATATTTTTAGAACAGTTAACAAAAATTTCCAAACTGTTCTTTGAGTAAACGAGTAGGATAAGAATTATCTCACTTATTAACACCACAAACTCATCAACTTGTCAAGCTGGTGAGATTCAATGTCGAAATTTTCTCGATTTTATTTCTTTTTTTTATATATATATTATCAATTACAATGAATGCAACAGAACTTGAATGACAATGCAACGTCATGAACAAGAGCCGACTTCACTACAAAGACCCAGCTACGAAGCTCAGCACCAATGAATGTTTTTTTGGTTCATCACAGTTCTGTGCACTCAGCAAAAAAGTGGCTTAACTGAAACAATAGAAACAGATAAGGAAATTCACTGTTACCTTGCAACCATCTGATCCTCCTCGTCCAAGTTTTCCATAATCTCCATCACCCCAAGACCAAACACTATCATCTTCTGTAATGCAAAGAGTTTGAGCATCACCACTTCCACAAGCAACATCAAATACGTGATATCCAAGAATTGCTTCAACCTAGCCATTCAAAATATACTTCATTTAGAAAAACATTAAGTAATTTTAAGCAATAAGAACTGTGTGGTTTATCATCAATTACCAATTTTGGTTTCAATTGGTTTTCTGAATCACCATGGCCCAGTCTACCATATCTTCCTTTTCCCCAGGTATACAGTTCCCCATTTGCAGTAATGGCTGCAGAATGGGCACCTCCACAAGCTATATCAACAACATTTTTACCATGCAAAACTTCTATGACACAGGGCCTGTCACACATACTGCAAAATGATATAATTTGGTGTGAGAAATTTTAATTAAATATATTAATAAAAGCAAAAAAGTATTCTAAGGCTATAAATGGGTGAGTACAATATCAAATTATATTTTACAATTTATTTTGGTTGACTACAAAATATATATATTTTTTTTGCACTTTCATTTATTTATCCGTACCTGTCAATTATAACTATCAACAATCAGATGTGCTGGCATAGTCATGAGAAAAAAAATAACAATAATAAAAAATATAAAAAGACATGACAGGCATGGGGAAAAGCAATACCAAGCAGTATTCCTTCCATCACTTTTATTTAGTAAAACATTATTTAAGTTAAAATAATTTTAAAAATTAAAAATGTTCAATATTTATTTTAAAAGAACATTAAAAGAATTATGATATAACGAAAGAAAAATGTAATTAAAGTTAAGTTGCAATACTTCAATGAAAACCTTTTATTTCCATGGCCAAGCTGCCCATCTTCACCTTCACCCCATGAATAAACTTCTCCATCAGCTGACAGTGCCAAGCAATGCTTTCCTCCAGAATTAACTGCCACTTTTTTTATGAAAACTGTTTGCAGCGTATCTATTAGAGTTGGTGTAAGAACGGTGTCAGTTCCTCCAATACCTAATCTACCTCCTGCTCCGTAACCTGATTCATAGTTAAAAGAATACAGGCAATCAAAATTTATTGTTACTAATGTCGGAAATTATATGACTAAATAACAACTTAATAAAAGTTGTATTTTAAAATAACAAAAAATACCAGTTGCATAAACTTTCCCATCAGGGGTAACAGCCATCAGTGTTTGTTCGCCACCAACAAGCTGAACTGGATGAAGTGCTGAAAGTGATTCTGATATCGTAGGGAGGCGAACTTTGGCACCCTCCACTCCACCCAGCTGACCACGGTGGTTATGACCCCAACCATATATTGCACCACAACCTCCCCAAGAGAGCCTCCAATCATCACTTCTTCTGAAACATTTTCCATGTATAATTTTACATAAAAAAAAGTATAAGCATTTTTATTATAGTTCTTAATATTAAAATATCTATTTACTTTTTGAAGAAAATACACATTTAACAGATCAAAATTTAAATTTTTGTAATTTAAAAACATTTGGAAAATGAGCTTTTTTGGAATAAACTTCATCTCTAAAAGAAACTATGTGCCCTAAATAATGTACTTTGTATGAGCAACCCTTTGAATCTTCTAATTTTGTTGACTTTTTCCATTATATAGCTGACCTAACATTATATAAAATCTCATGGATTATTTTACACTGTCATGAAGGATATATGACTCTATTCTAAATATTCTATTCTAAGAGTGTGCCAAAGGAATTATTGAAAAGACAGAATTTTTTTTTTTCAAATGTTCAGAATTTCATGTTACAAATTATTCTATAACACATAACCCCTCCCTTCTATATTCATTAAATAATAGTGCTAAAAAATATTATATTTAGGTTATCAAACCTAAAAATGAATTTTCGCTCTCATTATTTTATGTCACTGACTGCAACAAGTTCTGACACTGCAAATCGCAGAAATGAAGACCTTCATCAAAAACTTTATAGCACTATTATTGAAGTCTGTACTGACGGCCATCCCAACCTACCATCCTCAACCTGGATATCTATATGACCAAAAATAACAACTACATGTTTGTTAGACTGAAGCAGTTTAAGGCTATCTAAAGAAAAGCTCATAGAAACAGAATCCCTGGTTGTGATGAAGTACAGACTATCCTTCTGAAACCACTACTAAAAAGAATCACTGATCACAAAAATCTAGACAACTCATGCTTGAGGCTGAGATATTTCCCTAACATATAGAAACATGGCATTCTGTTTCCACTCCTCAGGTCGAAAAAGTCTCATTTTTAAAAGACTTTTCACTCTCATTATTTTTAAATTGTCATATTAACAAAGCCATCAAAATAAACAACTGAATTAGATCAAATTTATATACAAAAGCTCAATTTTTTTCATATAGATTTGATATAATTCATCAACTACCTGTCACTAAATTGATAAGAGGTTAAAATGCCTCGAGCATTAATATTTTCCAAACAAGCATCCATAAAAAAAAGCATATAAACCAACAAGAATTAAATGCATAATTATTTTGCAAAGCCTATTTAAACATAATATACCTATTAAGCCACAGTAATAACTGTTCATCATTTTCTTGCTTGAATATTTCATGATTTTCATGTTCCAAATTTAGTTCTTCATTTCGAGGAGTGAGTTCCAAAATTTTGTTCTGAACCTATAAAACAACATTAACAGGCACACTAAAATATATAATTGAATATTTAATTAATCATAGTTGTAGAATACACAATGTAGTTATATACCTCTTGACAAAACTGCTGTGGCAGAACATTCCTTCTGATTAAGGCAGAAGCAACTCTGATGCCCATACAATATCGCTTAAACCAAACCCATTTGTGAATATCAGATGTACATGGTAAAGTATCCAGTCCTAAATCAGCAGCAAGAGCAACAAGTGACTGGAAAAAACAGGAAGAATATATCAGAATATATTTTTTAAAAACAATATTGAAACAAGCTTTTTTAGAGTAAATTGATTAGGCTTATACCTTGAAAAATGGGCTGTACATAAGTTGTTTTCCACTTTTCACAGCTGGATCTTCATACTCATACTGCTTTATTAGAGCTATGGGCATAGTTTTAAGAAGGCAAGAAAGAGATGTGTCCATGGTGTCAGACTGAAGCATTGATGTTATATCAAGTAATTTTCCAAGGGGAGAACTGATTACATCATGTAACCTCTCGAGACACCACATTCTTTCTTCAGCACCTGTAACATTTACAAAATTTTACAAATACAGCTTTAAAGATATTTCAAGAATAAATTGTGGACAAATATTCAAACCTAAAGAGCTAAGTTGGGCACAAGAAGCCAGAGCAGCTGCTAATCTTGTAATGAGATTGTGTTGAGCAGTAAAAGAAAGACATGGTTCTAAAAGGCACATTACCACTTCAACAGAAGGTTTACTCAACACATTTCTATCACATCCTAATTGATTCTGCAGAAGCACCACAGGATAAACAGTAAATCTCCAGCCCCAGCCATTCACAGAGCTGTCACTAGAAAACTTCCATCTCAACTCATCACCTAAAATGTTGTTGATTAAAAATAAAAAAATTAATTACTTTATTTTATTAATGTAAAAAAAAAAATACCTTGAACAATGACTGGACAGCACCAATCAGACCATTCTCTTCCTGACTTAACAGCTAAAGTTTTCCCAGATGGATCCATGATTACTAAAGGATCATGTCTCCTCTCAGTGGAACATTGTCGATCAAATTCTACTAAAAGTTCTTCAGCACCTAATGTAAAGAAACCAATGAATAAATTTACACGAATGTCTTACATTATAAATAAAAACCATGAATGTTTTCTCAAACCTGGTATTTTGACTGTTCCACAAAGACAGACATCATCTATGTAAGGATGGCTACTTTCTTGAACTACGGGCATTGGCACAGAAATTAAATTATTGTTGTTTAAAGCTACATCTTCCAGTTCTGTCACACACAGTTCAAGCAGCATACTCGCAGCTGAGTTTTGATTTTTTGCAATTCCTATTAACACAATTTTTTAGTAAAATCAGATAGTTAAAATACTTTAAAAATTCCTTCTTTTTTTTTCCACTATTTCTCAAAATAATAGATTTCAATTTAAGTAGAATAAAAATACCTATCAAAACAGATGTCAATGTTTCTTTTGCATTGTCTCCTGCTCTATTTACAATAGCAAGTTTTAACAAATCCACAAGCATGCGTGCTTCATTTAGACCAAGTAGAGCAGTGAAGTCATCAGACGTACTATTTTCGGTCCCATTTGTATCTGATATCCCAAGCATCTGAAACAAAGTTCAATATTACTAAACAGAAAATTAATAGAACTGAATTGAACATAAGAATAAATAAATACTACACTTTTAAAATAAAATAAGTTGAAATCAATTCTATTTATATATAACAAATATCTATTGATCTGCATTAGGAGATAGGAAAATGAGAAAATTTGGTGATTCTGTTATTGACTGCAATGCCATTTAGTACTATTTATTAATAGTAAAGTGGTACGCTTTTTCAGGGTAAAGACATTAGTGATAATATTGAAAAGTTATTAAATATGGTGTCTTCAAGGAATAGCAACTATGGTTGCTCATTATCTAGTCATATAACGAGAACTTACCAAAACATTTTTTTATATACTAATTTTATGAACTACTATTATGTAGTATACCCATCGTCATCGAATAATTTATTCCTCGTCATAATCTCCCTTAAATTTTTACGCATTGATTGATGCATGTCTCCCCAATAAAAATTTATGCATGCGATTATTTCATTAGTTATAAAATTTCTATTACTGCTTACTATTATTATATTTAAACTTTATGCTCACCCAGTACAGAACTACCTCCTCCGTCTACTTTTAAATATTGACTGTACATATGAACTCTTTAGGGATGTATGTCTTGGTAGAAATTAATTAATGATTGAATGGGATCTAGTTCTGTTGATGTTTATTATTATCTATTGCCCTATCTAATTAAAAATTTAATTCATTTAATATACAGATATAATGTTGGCCTATATTTTGAACATCAGATTCAAAATTGACTGATTTATTCATGTTTTAGTAATATAAATTGATTCCAATGTTTTTCTAATTTTCTTGTTTTGTGCTGTGATTAAAATTTTTATATTATTGAAATCAAATGTATGTTTTTCTAAAATGTGATTGGATAAAGCTGTGGATTTTATGTTTTTCGGATTTTTTATGTTCATTTTGTGTTGTTTTATTCTGTTTTTTAAATGTTGTGATATTTCACCAATATAATGTTTGGGATATTGTTTACACGGAATTTTGTAAATCACGTCTTTTTTATCTGTTTTACTTATTCTATCTTTCATACTGGATATGTGTCTTTCCATTATGTTGTAATTGCAAAGGTCGAATTTGAGTTTGTGATGATCATATTTTTTAAAACCGTTTTTTTTTTTTTTTGTTTCCTGTCAATTTGGGAATGTATTTTAATTTGCAGTATATATTATATTCACTGTATTGTTCTTTTTGCGTATCCTTTTGATTGCCATACTTAGTTTTTTCCTCGCCGTCCAACACTTTAAAATAATCTGTTATGAGATTTTTATTTCTCTTATTCATGTGCTATTTTTTATGTTCTTTATTCTTTTTAGGTGTTTTATCTCGGCTGCCATCTTTCGTGTTATCATTATTTTTATTATTTATATATTTATACCACACTTTCTCGACCATTTCGTGCAGATAAAAATTACTCACCAAAATATTTATAACATATAATAATAATTAACATCAACAGACCTAGATCCCATTCAATCATTAATTAATTCCTACCGAGTTAATCCCTAAAGTGTTCATATGTACAGTCAATATTTAAAAGTAAACGGAGGTACTTCCGTACTGGGTGAGCATAAAATTTAAATATAACAATAATAAGCAGTAATAGAAATTTTATAAATAATGAAATAATCACACGCATAAATTTTTATTGGAGGGACATACATCAATCAATGCATACAAATTTAAGGAAGATTATGACAAGAGGAATACATTATTCGGGGACAATGGGTATACTACATATACATAGTTCATAAAATTAGAATATAAAAAAATGTTTTGGAAATTTCTCACTTGTTATGACTAGATAATGAGCAACCATAGTTGTAAATTATCTTTGTTTAATTTTAATTGTTATTGGTAGATGACTTGATAATGAGCCAATCAGCTCGAAAAGTCGTCAGAAGTATAATAAAAAATTGTTGAAAATATAAGGGCCTATTTATTCCTTGAAGACACAATATATAAGAACATTAAGTGCCCTTGAAAAATACTACTGAAGTAGCTAAATATACACATAATATTGAAAAGTTTCTGATCTAATTGCTCATCTGAATTCACTTCCTACAAGTGTTGCGACAAGGAGATGACTTGGCTTGTCTTCTGTTTAATTTTGTGTTACAGAAAGTGGTGAGAGACTCTCGGCATCCAGACTCGAAACATGATCTTCTCCTGAATGATACAGATACTTGGTTACACCTATGACCAAGATATAGTTGTAAGGTCACGGCCAGAGCTAGAAGAAGCATTCCTTGACCTTATGAAGTTCAATGTTAGCAGCTTCAACCATTGGCCTAGTTGTGAATGAAGCCAAAACTAAGGGTGGAGGAGATTCAAAGATGGTTATTAGCTCTTACACTTTTGAAAGGATAATAGAGTTCACTTACCTTGGATCCCACATGACAGCTTAGAATGATATGTCAACGGAAATAAAGAAAAGATTGTCCACTACGAATCGGTGCTATTTTGGACAATAGAAGACCTTTCGAAACAGACTCTCAAGAGACTCTGCTCCAGCAGACAAACCCAGCTTACTCTTTAATAAGACCTTAATCTGACCTATTCCCACATATGCCTCAAAGACATATGTGGACCATTTCCGAATGCGGCGAAAAGGACCTAATGATTTGTGAACAAAAAATCTTGTGGCGCATTATTGGTCTGTTGAGAATTGCCAATGGATGGAAGATTAGGAAGAACCAAAAGCTGTACCAAATCTACAAGGAGGCTTATGTTGTCAGATTCATTGAGCTTTGGAGACTTAGGTAAGCTGGTTACATGGTTAGGATGACTGAAGAAGGAATCCTGAGGGAGGTATCTAAGAAAATTCTTTATAGAACCAGAAAAGTTAAAAGTTAATAGAACGGTTAAGTTAAGAGAAAGCTAAAGGTTAAGGTGGGCTGACAGAGCAACAGCGGACGCAAGAAGCCTCCTAGGGATCACCAACTGGAAGGTGACAGGACAGAGCTGAATGGCAGAGATTTATTGTGAAGGTCAAAATTCACTCAGGATTGCAATGCCACGGAGATAGACTGAAAAGCCTCAGAGGGACAGTAGAAGATTCAATGGCTTAGTTGAAAAGACGATATCATGAGGTGGCACAGGAGTACCAGGAAAGAAAATTTTGTTAGCACCAAACAAGAAATAATCACATAATTTCATTGAGAGATTCTGCATTTTAACAGAAAAATACAGGATATAATGGTTTTATGTCACTCAATTTAATTACTTTTATTAGATGTTTTTCAGTTATGAGTTGAGTTTGGAACTTCTTCCTTCATAAAAAGATAAAATATTGTAAAAGAAGGATTTGTATCTTACCACAGATGTCTTAAACGTAACCTGAAAATTTAGATCTATAGGTAATAATATTAAGTTTTATAACATAAAAGATGTATATGAAAAAAAACAACAACAAATAAATAACAAAAACTTGATTTCATCTAAGTATCTTATGATAATTGTGATAGTGGTATCTTATGATAATTGTGATAGTGGTATCTTATAATTGTGATAGTGGTATGATAATTATGGAGAAGTAGTGAATGTAATGTACTATAGTGAATAATTGAAGAGAAGTTGGTTGGGGTGTTAAGTCAAAAAAATATTGTAGACTAACACCCCAACCAAATTCTCTTCAATAAATGTGTTATACTTTTCTAACATCATAGTACTTATCCTCATTGAATAGTGCATCATAATATCTTTTATACAAAAAAATAAAATAAAAAAAAATAGCTTAAAATAGTGATACAACACATATTCTAATATAATTATGCTATTTATCCACATTACCATATTGGGTGTCAATTGTGGATTACATTTGATGGTAGCCGCAATTATGCTCATGGCACTAGCAGACATTCGGGAAGTGCGTGACGAAACACTTGTAGAACTTGTTGTTAAAGATGGGAAAGCTTGTAATGGACTTTCCGCACTTTCAGGTGACCACTTATTAATCTGAAAGAATTATTCAATATGTTGACATTACATAACTAAGCGTAAAATTACAATTCAACCAACCCAAGGAAGTAATAATGTAACATACCAAAGATGCAGCAGCTTCAGCTTCCGAAGCGGGAGCCTCGCCACCACCCTGAGCGATTTCTAAATTATTATGCCCATGTAAAAAAGATATCGTACTATCCTCAAGTCCATCATCTAAAACATTAAAATAAAATTACTAATTGATTAGAAAGCACAAGTAAATTTTTAAGCTGTCTCTCATGCCTTTAAGGACGGAATTGATAAGAAAAAAATAATGAATACTTTATTTGAATGTATCCCATTAGTTTTAAATAGAATTGTGTGGCCTCGTATCAAAGATGGACATTTATCATTTTCAGAAAGTGGAGAAAAAGTCAAATCAAACTATTGCTGATCATTTTATTTAAAAACTAGTTGACACGTGTGAATAATTCATAAAGTATACTGGTCAATGAACAAAGAACAATGTAATATAGATAAGTTAGAGCAATGTATTATGAGATAGAAAAAATAATTTTCTTTTTCTCAGTGTAATAACAATATTGCATTCATAATATTAAACAAAAACATGTCTACATTACAATAGGCTTTTTTCTTTGCTAAGAATTGTCCAATTTTGATGATTTTTATTTTTTTTTGCACAGAATTTCGTAATCTTTCAATTAATTATGAGTACAATTGAGAAAAAATTGATATTCTTTTTGAGTTATTCGCAAATAAAGTTTTTTCCTCTAAAATTTCGGAGAAATGTGACTATTTTTCCCACCTGAAGGAGAAGATCTTCAAAATGAGGGCTCAGTCATTGGATTTGATGAAGAATTGACAAATTTATGGCAATGCAACAAAAAAACACCTTTGAGAAATAATATGTAAAGATGTTAAAGTTGATTCACGAAAAAAAAAAAATCATTAGAATTGGTTTAAATTGAAGCTATGATATAAACTATAAGAATAAGACAAACCATTCCTAACAACTGTTTATTAAAAAAATAAAAGTAGTACAATAAAAATTTGTTAGAAATATATAACTGACTTGTTCAGAGTAAAGACTGATTTACATCTTTTATAAATAAATCAAGTTTTAGTGTGAAAGAAAATTCATAAAAAGTATGAAATTAAAAAATTCATAAACATGTCTCGATTTGTTCACAGTTAAGACTGACTTACATTTGAGTGGCTTCATATCAAATACGGAAATCTATCATTTTCAGAAAGTGGAGAAAAAGTAAATTTTTATTTTAGGTTCAACTCAGTTTAAATTGAGGCTATGTTACAGAAAATTGTATTTTTTATCAACTTTCTAAAAATGACAGATGTCAGTCATTGATATTAAGCCACTCATTTTTTTAAACCTAAGGTGAGGAAACAATGGGAGAAGAAAAAGGTGAAACTTCTCCCAAATTAATTTTTCGGAAAAAAATCCAGTGCTGTAACCAACCACACAATTTTAATTTACTGATCTTAGAGTAGATAGGTATTTCCATAAAAAGGGAAGTTAAATTGAAAAAGGCGGTATAACTTCAATTAAAAAAAATTAATTGCCATGTTTTCCCTGTCCATCTTTTAAATTTATATGTTTGCATTACTTTCCATTTCCTTTTACGACTGAGTACCAAACAATACTAATGATTATGGGAAAAAGAGATCTTTTGAAAAAATTCTGAGTTTTATCAAAACATTTATCAAGAGTGGTAAAAAAAAACCTAAAGTTAGTACATATTGTATATTATTAGGTTTATATTAGTAGATTCTCAACATTTCATGTGAAAACCTTTTTAGAATGTTATAGCTAAGAGATATATAAAAGCCCTCTATAGATGGGTAATGGATATCTGTAAAAGGAGAGGATCGGCAAAGATCGGGCGCTTTCAGCTAAACAACTTCCCACCCTTATTTCCCCTCTAGTTACCAATCAGTTTTCTTCATTCACTGTTAGAGAACATCAATGAGAATAAGACCTACATTATATTAAAGAAATTTAATTTTATATTGATATAATGAATTTAATCAAAACCATTAGAGCCGTTTTCGAGAAAATTGTAAAAATGTCTAAAATCGATGATATAAAGTAGCACTTCCGGTTAGCCAATTTTAACGAATAAGTTGCAGTAATATCCCAGTCATATACAAACCTTAAATATAAAATTTCAGTTTTGTACGACTTTTCGCTTTTGAGCTAGACTGTTCACATACAGACCATTTTGTGGGACTTGGTTATTTGGACACAGGGAACCTCAAAATATGTATTTCAGTTGAAAACCCGGATTCGAAAATTTTCACGATCGCCATACTTCCCCTTACTATATATTACATATATACGTAAGTGGTGGTGGGGTGACTGTGAGCTAATGCGTATGCACAGCACCGCCATTGCCTGGTAACCCGGATCAAAGATAAATTGATAAAATAAATATGAGTTCGAGTAACAGTTCCCAGGAGAGAGGGAGAGGGCTTATAATTCTGGAATTAATCCTCAGCCCTCACACTCTGCCCTGAGAAAACCTTGTATAGCCAAAAACGCAAGTAAGGGACGCAAGAAGACAAAAAAAGTAATATATTTAGGTGAATGAAATTAAAAAATATGGCTGTGTAAAATATATTGACTAGTACCAGTAGTCATGAATAACTATGAATAAATTATTCATTATTCATAATTTTCCTCATCAGGTAGAGGAAAATTATTTTAAAAATCCACTTTGTAAGAAATTAGTCTTACTAGATGCATCAATCAAATTAGTTAATTAGACAAAGTAATTTAAAATATAGTACTTGATTTGACATAGTTTGAGATATGAAATAGTTGGATAATCGATTTATTATAATTTCTCCCATAGGCAAGATGGTACTTTACGTCTAAGGGGCCGCTACTGACTGCTATCTGCCAATGTTTATAACCTGAACACTGATAACTCCCATAAAGCACTGATAAGCCTTCTTTTACTTCATATCTTCGTATTATTGTATTAAATTCGTATTATTGAAAGTGCAAACAGATACAAAAACGAATTTAATAACAAAAAAAATTCTTTTATTTGACGACACATGTATTAATGAAATAATAAAAAAAACACTTTAAGAAGATATGTACATATAAAACATCAAAATGAAATAATAAAAAACACATTTAAAAGAAAATATTTACATAGAAAAGAAAAAATATAAAACGAAATCGGTTTTATAAAAAGATAAAACATTCATCTGTTTCTCGACAAACTCCACCAAACATCCACTGCTGAGATAAAACTCCCCCCACATGATTTTTTCGTTTAGAAAAAAGACTTTCTTTTACTTCAACCACTTTGCCAGGTCCTCCAATTTTTTTTCTTGGCCTGTATAACATGTCATGGGCACAAACCTCTCTTAGACATTTGTTCCACGTTACCTTAGCTCTGTTGAATAGTTTCAGCTGCTCTTTGGCCCACTTCATCGTTGTCAAGCTATGGGACCATCCATAAATCAATTTTAAAGCTGTTAAAAACGAAATCCTCGAGCCCTCCAACCATGTTCCTTTCCTTATTGAAAGTTTTGTGTCATAAGTCCTACGAAAGCATCTCCATTTGGCCTTCCTGGTTGACTTCATTCGATGACCTCGATCACACGTCGATTCAAGTCGGCAAGTACCCCAACATTTTAAAAATATTGAAGTGCCTGTTCTTCTGAAGGCGTCAAATTCCATATTCTAATAAGATCCATAATATGACGAAAAGAAACACAAAGGGGCCACAAACTAAAAAAAAAGTAAAATAAACACAAACGGGCCAAAAACTAAAAATAATGAAAAATAAACACAAACGGACCAAAAGTAAACAATTTAATAAGTGAACGTAATAAGGGAATAAGAAGAGGGAGGTTATGTGACGTGACGTTGGATAAGATAGATAAGAGGTGAGGTTTCAGTCCGGCCTGCTAGACTAAAAGTACCGACAAGATAATATTTCTCCTAAATTTTGTGGTCATATTGGTAGTTACTAAAACATCCACAAGAAGATCTAATCCAGAATTTAAACAATTTATATTTGAGTAATATATATGCAAATAGGCAACCTTGTAACTAGTAATCAAACAAACAGCACTTCAGAGGATACCTGATAAGTAGCATTTTAGCATTATATACTCCTAATGTTTAACCATATTTTTCTTCTATAGGGAATACTGATAGCTATATCAATCAATTATCACTAATGGTATATTCTATGATGTCCTTCTTTCATCCATTCTAAGCAAGTGACTCAGCCTCTTCAACCTCTGTATCCTGGCATAAGAGGAGATGCTCAAGTTACCACATGCACAACTCTCCATTTTTTCTTCTTCACCATACAACATTTTCCTGTACTGGTACCCGTACCATTTTCCTGGAGGTACCAATGAGGCCTCTGATGATATGCCATTCAATTTTGTCCACCAACTGTGAAAGAAACAAGATTAATTCATAAAATTATAATAATAATAGAAATTACCAGCAAGAATTGGCTCTTGGGCTTTGGTGTGGTTTTGCAGAGCTGCCACAACAGTATCTCTAGCATAGAGAATTCTCAAACCATTTAATATATGCTGAAGTGCATTTTGTTTGGCAACATTAGAATCCAGGGATAAAATATTATGGGCTAAAGAGTCTCGTTGATATCCTGCATTTCCACAATTTGTTCCTTCTTTTGAAGTCTCTTGATCACCAAATCCTAGAAAAAAAAATGAATTAGCATCGATCTTGTCATTATTTTCCTTTTCTTTTTAAAAGTATATTGAAATCAGCTCACCAAGGAGACTGGTTCCAAGAGGATCTTTGGCTTTAGCAAACAGAACTGGCTCATGAGACACAGGTGGTTTTGGATCTGGGGCAACCCAAGCTACAGAATGTGAAGAACCACACGCTACCCTATTGACTTTCACCTCACCAAATCCATGAACTAAACTTGGTTTTCTGTTCACTAAAGTTGTTCCATTCCCTTGTTGGCCATGATCATTATCACCCCAGCTATAAACCTGAAGTTTAAACAAAGAACAAACTAGTTTTCATATAGTCAATAAAAACTCTTTGTTATTAAGAGATAAATTTGTTTATTAATTTTTAATATCTAGATTAATCCAAATATTCAAAAAAGGTGACAACAGAGAATATTGGAATTAATCAATAGAATTAAGCAGGAGAACATTTGGAAGACCAATATATCAACAAAGGATTAACTCTGGAAATAATGAGTCTTTATAGGAACAACTTAAATACATTGTTATTTCAAATAATTAATTGTTAATCGAAAGAGTTTAGAACCAATCTTGGGATAAGGGAGAGTTACAGCTTAAGTCCTCATATATTTTCTGTTTATTCTAATTCTGGATTCCTCTATCGCAAAGACCCAGATAGGAAGTATTCACTTCCAATTTGAGACACTTTTAACCAGTTACCTATAAATTAATGAGTTTCAATGATGATGTAGTAGGCTTTGCCAACAAGGACAAATTCCTGATTCATAATATTAGAAAAAAAGGTTGCTTTTTCAAAAAATGATCACCTGAAGTGATAGTGGCCCATGCTTTGTTAAGGTGTAATTGCCAAAGCTTTCATACATCGTACAGTAGGTGAGAATATTGCCTTGTAATGCCAATAGCAGCACTATCAATAGCAACTAACTATTAATATTTAGAATGGAAGAGCAACAAAGTAACAAGACTGAAAGAGCAATGCCAAAAAGACAAATTGAAAAAATAAATTCCTTTGAATCATTCTTAAACACATACATAGCTAATAGGGAAAACTTGATAAAACCTTTTTTGAAAAGAATTCACTTTGGTTTAATTTTTTATAAGTTTTGTTTTTGGTTTAAGTCAATATTTAATGAGATATGTAAGAAGTGTGACCCGTTTCCCTCAAGCTCAACACCACTGAGAACTTCCAGTATGTTGGACAGGACATTGAATGAGCAGAGCATGTATGCTAAATTTCAAAACTTCATTGTTTTGGCTTTTTTCTTCTGTTCTGGCTAATTTGACTAAACTAAATTAGAAAAAATAACCTAAGTCGGATTCAGCTTTTATTTTATTTTTTTACCTGTAAAGTAATTTAATACTCTAAAATTAACTTCATGGCTAATTAATGATTTAGTATAAAATATTACTAACAGTGCCTGATTCAGTTACAGCTAAACAGTGTAGAGCGCCAACTGCAACATCAATTACTTTTTCACCCTTAAGTCCTTCTACCAGAGTTGGTTTTCTTACATGCTGATCTGATCCAATACCTAAACGATAATAATCACCTTTTCCCCATGTCCAAACCTGAAAAAGTATGTACAATAAAGAAAAATATATTGTCTACCGTTATTAATAGATTATAGCTGAACTTGACCAAACTTTGGCCAAGTTACTCCATATATTACCAATCTAAATAATGGAAAAACTTCAATTTTAAATTGAATATTTTTACAGAATTTTTACTAAAAAGTTGTTTCTAAAAAAATAAAAATAAAACAAAATTCTCTGTATCAGTATTATTCTTATTCTTTTAGAATAGCTAGTCTCTTTATTTTCTATCATTTAAATTTTTTTTTTTTTTTTTTTTGATGAAGGAGAATTTTCCCAACAGAAATTGAAGGATATGCTGAATCTTAAGCTATAAAAATGAACTAGATTTGTAATGTTGTCAAAAGCAGTATTTCAGCTAAACATAAATCAATTTGACTTTCTAAAGAGAAAAACAAATCTTCAAGAGAAACTTGTCAGTGGAAAGGTATGGTAGCTACATTATTAATAAAGACAATCGTTATTGTGGTATGGGTAAGAGAGGACAAATTAACAGTTTTTGCCTCACAAAATGGCGTACACTAAAATAAATAATATAAGTAGCATAATGATTCCTTTATAGTCACCATTGATGTATTTTTTAGTGGGAGATATCAGATATATTAACTTAAAGAACAATAACTATTAACATCAAACGACCACATTTAAAGAAGAAACATATATGAGATGTAATGGAATAAATATCACACCAATCCATTGCCTGATACACTTTAAATTTTTGTTACTCCAAATAAAAGAAAAAATTGACAATTTTAATAAAATTGATACATGAATTTATCAAAAAGTAATTGCAGATAAATAATATTAAACAGACCTGTCCACTTTTTGTAAGTGCAAGTGAAAATTGAGCACCACATTCAATATGGATTACACCAAGCCCATTCAAACGTTCAACATTTTGCGGAAGATCACAACCTTCACTTCCTCCTCTTCCTAATTTTCCAAAATCGCCATCACCCCATGAGAAAACTAACCCCTCACTGGAAAGAGCTAAAGTTTGAGCATCACGGCTACCGCATGCTACTTTAATAATATGGTGACCTGCAAGTGCTTTGACCTGGGAAAAAAGAAACTCTAATTAACATTTTACTGTAATATATTGGTAAATGCATTAAATCACAATTAAATAAGTTTGGTATCGTTCTTTTAAGAATTTGTTCAGCATTAATGGAGTTTTGACTTTTGAAATTAAAAATAATTCAATTAATAAAATTTTAAATTATTAACTCAGAGTTCTTCTCCTAGTATGGGTCAGAGACCAATGCTGGGTTATCAACTGAGAACAGACAGAAAGAAATACAATAGGTTATTAAACATTTAATAATATGTCTGGTCAAAAACTATATTAGATTGTCTTACGGTTGACAAGCCACTGGAGAATAATATTGAAACCATCACTGAGTGTATTACGTCGACCCTTTCAACATCATATTAGGTTTGGACAGCCATCAGAAACTTTATTTTGCTTTAACCACTGAGCTACCCATCCTACTCCTACAGAGGGTTCTAATCAATTCACAAATAAAGTACAAAATCCTGTTCCAGTCCAATATAATTTTCAGAAGGCTTAGTAGGCACACAAAAGAAGTGCTTCATATCAAATCTTTAGATTAATTTTGTATAATTTCGCAATTTGATGTCTGTGTTATTTGAATGAGTGTCAAAGAAAAATATTTTTGTTGTTGATATCAATTAGTCGCATATTGTAGGGCATACAAAATAGAGTTGAAGTGGGACATTAATGTTTAATTTCAATTGTCTTATTGAGGTGTGGCAATTAAATAACAAGACTGATGCCGCAAAACTTATTTTGATTTCATATATATTTACTTATCACACCCCTCCTCTATTCCTACAGTGCTCCATGTAAATCTTCTATTGTCTGAACCAGTGCTGTAATCTTCTTCAAGACCTGTGTCTCTTTCTCTTTCACAGCTTCAACTGACACAAGTCTAGTTTCTTTTGATGCAGATTTCACCGTAGGAAACAGATAGAAGTTGCACGATGCAAGATCTGACGAGCAGATAATCTAGCACTGGGATACTGTACTTGGCTGTAAACCTCTTGACAGACAATGCAGAATGAGCTGGCACATTGTCTTGTGAAGAACCCGTGACTTGTTCTTTCACAATTCAGATTGTTTCAACATCAACATTACTATATTCACATTCTTGCTGAACTCCGTAAAAGAATAAGGAAAAACTTGGAAAAATAAAATAAAATAAGTAAACTAGATGGTTTCTGAGGGTATTTAAAGTGTTCTTTTACGTGCATTTTGTGATCAGTAGTGCTGCTTGACTCAAGGTTGCTTAGGATGACTCCTCTACAATCTCAGCCACATGACCTTGAGGAAACTGACGAGTCAAATGATATTATAGATAAATGGAATAGCTTAGAAGCAATTATATTAAGAAGAAAATGTGACAAAAAGGAATAGAGAGGGGCAAGTAATGCTAAAAAGAGATACCAGAAACAACAGAGAAAATACCTTATTTGCAGGAGAAATGCTATTAAATTGTGCAGAAGAGAGAACAGTGGAGGAGGAAAATTGAGCTTATGAAGGAAACGAAAGAACACAAAGAAGAAATTCAATTTTACAAGTCAGAAAAAAAAATGAGGAAGGGCTTTCAGCCTAAAGTGAATATTTCATAAGGATGAGTTATTTATTGGTGATTGATTGATCAACTTATACTTGATAGATGAAATGAACATTTTGAAAATGTTTTGAATGAAAAAAATCAACAAAAAAACAACGAACTGGCAACTAATAATATAGATCGTTATACCATCTTGAACATAAAACTTGATTCAGTTTCTTCCGCTTATTCTTCTTCTTTTTAGAATTCTATCTAGAAATTCTTAGATGAAAGCATGAACAAAATACAAATTACCAGTAAACTTAGCATAAAAGAATTAAATTATAAGGATTACTAACCAATTTTGGTTTTAGTTGAGTTTGAAAATCACCATGACCAAGTCTGCCATATTCACCAAGTCCCCAAGAATAAAGTTCGCCATTTGAAGTTATTGCAGCAGAATGAGAACTTCCACATGCAATATCTCTAATTCTTTTTGACTTCAATGTTTCAATCATCCGTGGCTTTTCAAGACTTTGGGTGTTACCATGTCCCAAGTTACCATCACTGCCTTCACCCCATGAGAACACCTAAGAGAAATAAATAAAAATTAAAAAAAATTTGTGAAAAAGAATAAATAATATACACGAGTGAGAACTGTCATATTAGTAATATATCATATTTTTCTGCTCCCTAATACATTTGGAGTATAAATAATATTAGAAATAAATGCTTATTTATATATACAATATAATATTATCAAAAAAGGTATATTCACTCCAGACGATTGGTGAAGCTTCAAAGATATTTTATAACAAATGCTTAAGTAACAGTTAGAAGTAAACAGTTTAAAAGTAGCAGTTACAGTCAGCAAGTAATTAACTTGCCCCACTCCAAAATATCTTTTCAGTTTAACAATTAAGTAATGAGACAAAGGTGTCAGTAAACTTTTACTAATCCAGTATTGAACATGCCGAGACCTGCTGGTGTAGAAGAGCATGATTCTTGTTTCATAATTCTCCTACTTATGAAGGATGAAATAATTAACCAAGAAAATCAAGATATGATCATAAAACATGTTTATTTTTACTAAAAATATCAAAACATTCTTTCTATAATATCCAAGATGCACAAGAGATCTATAAAATATTCGGGTCTTTTTTACTTAAGTATCGCCAGTTACTTTTTTGTCACTTATTTAGAACTGTTACAGATCTGTCCAAAACACATAATTTAATAAATTATTACGATTGTGCTAATGAGGTTATAACTTGAACCATAAATATATTTTTGAAGTGAAAACTTCGTTAGGCGTGTTTTGCACTATTTTGTGGAAAGTGAATTAGATTGAACTGTCAGATTTCCAATGTGTAACACTCGGGTAAAGTCGGCTGGAGTCGATTTATTGAAGTGGTTTTGCATATCGATTAAAATATCTCAGAAAGTAAAAATCGGACCCACATACTGTAAGTGAGTGAATTGTTCAGCATTTCATCCCCTCTGTAATAGTCTATTTGTAAACCAAATGATAACCAGTTTTATTGATGATATGGATTAAAATATCTCAGAAACTAAAAATCGAAGCTGCATACTGTAAGTGAGGGAAATATTCAGCATTTCATCCTCTTTATAATGAGCTATTATTTATAAATTATAATTAATTTCATTTATCTCACCTTGTTAATGTGTTCACTTTTATCGTATGGACTAAAGCACATACCTTTGTTTTATTGATTGTGAAATTTAAAAAAATGAACTTCTTAAAATTAAATAACATTCTTTCATTACAAATGAAGGAATATTCAGAAAAAAAAGTGTTCCTGAGGACATTATATGAAATTTTACATTTCCAAAAATGATAAAGCTATGTGGAGGTATAGCCTAAGCTAAATATTGACAAACATTTAGAATATTTGTTATCCTCAAAGTTAACCTATTTTTTTTTTTATCTATTGCATAATATTAATTTCCAATAAAACATTTATTTATAAATGACAAATGATGTCTAAATTATCACTGTTATTTTACAAAACTAACTGTTACTAAAACTGTCTGGCGATACTTAAATAAAAAATACTCAAATATTCTCCTTTGTATACATTTCCAAAAAATGTTTAATAAATCATGTTTAATTTTTAAAAACCTTAATAATATACAATAAATACCCCATGATAACGATGTCATCTAAGAAATTATTGCTGGAATTATTCTAGGCACATATATTACCTACAAAAAAGTATATTTTAAGACTTAAACGCAGAATGTGATAAAGGTTTTTATGGAAGTTCTTGATGTTTGTGGCAAAATTTTTAAAAACAGAAATTATCCTGTCTCGATCTGTCAACCTATCATCATCAGATTTTTGAAACCTCCTATTTATAATGACTTTTATTATAGTTGGAGTACAAATTTAAGAATCAATAATGGGATGTTACTTCTCTGAGAAATTCCTTTTGTTTTGATACCTCGTTCGACAAAAGAGTTCCTGAGAGCCAAAAAAAGTTATCTATTATACTGTATTACATATATAATAAATATATACCTTGCCGTCGATAGTAAGTGCTAATGCATGCTTTCCTCCTGAATGAACAGCAACTTTCTTCACAACATATTGACTAAGAGTAGTAAGCTGTCGTGGCATAGAAACATTATTCGTGTGTCCAAGCCCCAATCGTCCATTTGTGCTTTCACCACATGCAAACACCTGATAAAGTAAATAACTAAACTTACCAATTTATAATTATAACTAAAATTTTTTTTATAAGAACTTGACTGCTTACTTACTTTGAGATAACCTATAGTTAGTATTCTTAGCTAGAATAACAACTACGAGTTATCTTATACTTTGATTAGGTACCATAGTTTTGCAGCTAAAATATGACATTGATAGTACCACTTTTTGTAAAATTAGTTTTTAATAATATAAGATTAATTTTAATTGATTATTGAACTTAAGTTCATGTTCATTCAAGTTGATTTGGACAGTCAACATGTTAACAAAAAATTAATTCTATAACGGTTAATATGTAAATTCATATTTTTAAAATTATAACGATAAAAATTTCTTTATTAGTAAACAATTCATATAATCTTAGTTTTAGCAACCTACAACAACTATGCCATAAAACAATTAACTGAAACAAAACAAAATAATCATCACATTTTAAAGTTTTTCAAAAGGACTTATAGACACATTATGGGGTTTAATTTTTGATAATTAAAGCTATTTTTAAAGGTTATATAGTCACTTTATTTTTAGAACTCCTAACCAACAAGTAATTTATAATTGTAGTATTGGTTTTCATTAAGGATGGGGATACAAATTTTAAAAATTCAAAAATAAATATTCTTAGTTCAACAAAGGTATAATTTTAAGAAATAATCAATCAAAGTACTATTCTAACATCATACACACCTTTCCTTCATAAGTCACAATGAATAATGATTTTGAGCCTCCAGCAATGTATATTGGTTTTAAAGCAGACAACGTTTCTGAAAAAACGGGGTATTTTATTTTTGAACCTTTTAATCCTCCAAGTTGATCTTTGTCATTGAGACCCCAAACAAATACTTTAAAAGCACAATTAATACTGGAGGGATATATCCTGTTAAGTTCCTACATAGAATAAAACTCATTTTAAAATATTCATAAAATTAATACAGTAAACTGATTGTAAAAAAGTTGAAGGTAACTTACACGAATTTCACTACAGTCACTTGCAAGGAATGATACTGCAGATGGCAACTCACTGAACATTGGTTTTCTTCTCCCACTAATAAATAGATTGTGTATTTTACAATCAATACCACCATTCCAACATAATTTTATGGCTATTTCCAAACATGGATAGAACTGCAAAACATTTTTACATTTTTAACTTTTTAAGTTGTAGGAGGATATGAGTAGCAATTTGTATTTGATAAGAAAAGATTATATAATTTATGGAAACAATAAAGAAAAAGAAATTTGATAATATTTTTTAAAATAGTGATTGATAGAATATTTTTGGGAATCCTAAAAGTAATTTTTCTGGAAACATGAAATTGTACAGCGTCACAGGAGCATGTCATCAGTAAAATAATTACAAGTGGAGAAAAATATGAAAAAAAAAATCACATGTTGTTTCACTTACTTAATCTGCCCAACCTTCTCTTCAAAACTAAATTAAATATTTTATGATTCGCTTAGTGATTGCAACACCCAACTAACTATTCAATCATATTATTACAGTAAATTATTTCTTCGCCATTTATTTATTTAGTTTAACATGTCAGCTATTTTATTTTTGTATTTTTAAACTTATTTTATGTATTTTTTAAATAATAATTAATTTAAAAATATTTTGTTTCTCATACATATATATATTGCATTGATTCGATTTAAGAATATCGAATGAGTTTCTTCATCTTTCCTTTTAATGTGGTACAACATCCCACATGGGAACAGGTTCTCTGACAACATTAATAACCAGGCATATCTGTTCTGCATTAATGCTTTTCTATTCTAGATATCAAAAATGGATAGGGCATCTTTGCCTAAACCATCCATCTGCCTCAAACTAGGATGCCTCTGCTTGGTTCACCATTGATTTCTTCTTTTAGCTTTTTCTTTGGAACCTGATATTTAGGCATTCATAAAGCACTGTGAGAAGGTGTACTTTAATGGGCATAACTATACCGACATCCTCATACAACTGTACCAATTCAGCATTTGTCAGTTGTCACAAAATTCCATTTAAACAGATTGCCCTTCAGGCTCTGCTGTTCAAATCTGTTCTGTTCTGGATTTTATTATTGGGAAATAGTAAAATTCAGGCAAATAATATTGGCTAAAAAATCTTCTAGTTACAATTATACAATTTCAATGTCTGGTGAATGAACTACATAAGATCAACTGACACAAAAAAAAAATATGATAATTTGAATTCACTCAGTGTATACCTAATATCAGTATAAGATAATTCTAAGGCTTCTTTATCTCAAAGACATATCCTTTTCTTATGGAGATCATAGCCTTCTTAAAAATAAAATAATCTGTTTTTTATGAAATAGACACAAATATGATGAGAATAACCTTATTACCTCCTTCATATCACTCAGCAAAGTAACAACAGTGTCACTATTTTTTATGTAGATAGTTGAAAGTTCTTGAAGTGATACATAATTTGGACCACCACTAACAACTACTAAAGAAGGCATGTAACTGCTATCTGCAGGATCTACCCTCATCCTGAGGGAATGTATTAATATATCTGGTTGCATATCTAAACGAACCCAGTGCTAAAAACAAAAGATATGATTTAGTTATTTAATTTATGGATACGTAATACAATTACTCTCACATCAAAATAAAAAAGTAAATAATTCAAATGACGGTAATATTTTATTTATAAAGAAGACAATTTACCTTTCCCTGAGGACCAGAACTTTGCCAAAAATTGTCACCATGTGGATCAAAGAGATTCAATGCTGAGGATTCCTTGCTAGATACAGAAAAGGAATGTATACATTGAACCCAGTCTTCAATAATATCAGGATCACTAGGCAGAAATTCTTGACGAATGTAACGACCAGGTCGTCCAGCAAAAACAGCTGCACTTCCTAATAATATGATGAGATTATTTATAATTTGATAAAATCATTGTTATGTTTAGACAATACAATAGATCACCACAGTCACAACTAATTCTATTAATTAGTACATTTTTTTTATATAAATTACTATATTGGATTAGTATAGGAAAAGATAAAATGATTTGGGTCTAACAAGTTTATAAGATCAGGGGTAAGAAGGAGCAATGAACTATTTATGATTTTTGCACATGAGAAATGAGAAGAAGGATGGCCAGTTATCTTTAAACAAGAAAATGTTCCAAAAGTTTCCAGCTATAATAAAAATTGGAAAACATAGGACAGAAGCAGGGTCAATTCTCTATAACTTGAACTTAAAAAATAACCATAATTACTGAATAATACAATTTCTTTCTTTTTTTTTCGAATCCATATCATTTCTTATATTTTTTTCCTTGTGGTTACCTCAATCGAATATTTCAAAATAAATACCACAATTTGAGGAATTTTTTGTCTAATAACAGCCTGAAAAACTTTCAAAAGTCAAAGTCCATAACTACAACTCAAACTTCACAGATGCCTATATGACATGCCATATTTGAAGAGGTCCCTCTGCCCCACCCCCTTATCGATCCTACAAGTGAAAACATGTTCATGTAAATTTTCTCTTAACATACTTTTCAAATATCTTGTCATTGTAAAACATTGACCGCAAAGGGGAAGAAGGTTATTAAAAGGCAGAAGATGAAAACTACGGGGGAAAATCAACAATGCCAAGGAATTCAGTCCACCATCTCAACAATTTTGAAAAATCTGGTTAATTAAGATGTAGAGATTAGATTTTGGATCAGCTAACTAAAGAGAGCAAAATGAGGCGATTTTACTTATCTTGATGACTGTGTCTTTAATTGATAAGTGACTAAAGAAAAATTGCATTAACAACGTTTCCATCAGAGGGCCTATTTTATGAGAAAAAGCTTTTGAGTATGAGCATCACCTAGGGCATAAACGGTTTCAAGCTTCAAATGGATTGACATAATATATAAGGATGATTTTATTTAATACCAAGCATTTCCAAATACTGGTTTACTACTTAAATAGGGATATAAAAAAGTTCAACTAGGAACCTTTATAACACGAAGTTGGTTACTTTAGACCTCGATAGCTCAAACCTTGATTTGTTAAAAACGCAAAACATTAGTCTTTGTGATTTGAGTTATAGAGAGTATTAGGTTGTATAGCAGGTTTGGACTCTGTAGATGGTTGAATGGGTTTGATTGTGAAATGATTCATAAGCTGCAATTATATCTCAAGGATGTCAGATGGAAATGCTTTTTGCTCTGATGACATTTCTAATAATTATAATATCTCTAATATAAGTAACAGGTCAGGGAAAAATATTTTAAAAAAGTATATAAAAGTAAAGAATGATGCACAACTTTGAATCAATCTCAAGAAAAAGTAGTGATTTTGAGTAACCTAACTTTTAGTGATCACTAGAAATTATATCAGAACAGACCCTAGATGATGTAAATAGGAAGTATACCGAAAAAATGATTATATTTATAGAAATAAAACTTCAAAAATAATCTTTTTCCTTAACCTAATTTCATTATTCTCAAACATTTTGATATATAGACAAGGATCAATGAACAGACTAATTATTACTAACAAATTTATTTCTATTAACATAAAAAATAATAAATTAATATTAAATAAGGTAAAGAAATGTAAATAAAATTAATCAAATTAACTTGTAAGGAGTACTTAGTAATAGAAAATTTGTTCTTGCCTACCAGCCAAAACATTGGAATAAAGTCGAATGCAAAGAATCATTCTGAAGTTTTATTTGTAATACAATACCACATTTAAATAATATAGAAATATACTTATTAGTTAACACAATTGATTACAAGGCAATTAAGTAAATAGCATAATAATAATGCTTTCTAGAGGCAAAATAAATTAATACCTGGTTCAGTAATTCTGTTGAAACAATGTCTGTGTCCTTTTTGGGTATAAAAGCAGTTTTCACAGTAATTAAAATTTTCACACGCTTTGCACTTGAATCTAGGACCTGTGATTGGACTCAAGTTACAACCACTACAAGAGACGTCAACATGGCAAGATGGAACAACTTCCATCTCTGAGATAAGTCCAGTCCAATTACTCTGTTCAGGAAAATTAACAGTCACCCTCCGACCACTGTAACTGATTCCTAAAATGATTTTTAAAAATCTAATGATCTATAGCATTAACAATCTAAACAAAATAAAATATGGAAGAACTGTTAGAACAATAAATGAGTAATACAGTCGAATCTCTACATATCAAACACAAAGGTTCCTTGATAAAAATTTCATAAATAATAATAATAAATTTTAATGCTTACAAGCACAAAATCTATAGCAACGAGCCGAATTTCAAATTAACAATATGGCTTTTTAATAAAATTCTTCTTCATTAACAAATTTAAAGTGACAACAGGAAAATATTTACACCTTTTTTCTCTGCCACCTTGACTTTTCCACTATACGGAGTTTTTCTAGGCCAGGAGAGAGGGCAGAGGATTAATGCTAGAGTTAAAAGCCCCAGCACTGGGTCTCGAATTCGTAATCTTCTGTTTATCAGGTTGCAACATATGTTTTCCACAAACGTTAGCCCGTAACCACCCTGCCCCTCAGAAAAATATTTTTATTTGCAACAATTCAAAACAATAAAACAAAGTAAGATTCAAAGGCCTTTTCCTAATTCAAATCTCTTTCCAAGATTCTTTCTTAGTCTAATAAAAAGTGCCTTAATTTCAGACAGAGACAAGATAGTCTATGGGCCAGACCCCCTTACCGTGCAGCCCCCCCTCCCACATCCCTATAAATTGCATATCGTTGTGTTCCTTGTAACTATTTATTAAAAAAAAGCCAATGTTCCCACAAAAAAAAGTGAACGCACTGCCCCAAAATGGCGTCCAAAGATGGCGGATTGACGACTTTGACTTTAGTTAGTTTTTTGGTCACTGAGAATCAGGATTTGGCTTAATTTCCTCATAGTTGGTCTTTTATTAAAGCTGAATAGTTATAGAATAATAAAACATGAAGAAATATTAAAAAATAATTGGCTTAGGCTATGAAAAACACCGGTAAAGTCAATTTTTTTAATAAAAAAATTTTCAAGTTACAAATCAAGCGTCGTTTGTAATTAAACGGCCTACAATAACGCAAAACGTGCTGAAATAAACCATCTGGAGAATATATTTCTCTTTTTAAAACGCTGATTACTTTTCACAAATGTTTAAGCAGTTCCGTAGAAAATGCACTTATGCGGCAGAAAAGCGGTACTGGCGTGGGTGCCTAGAGGCCCCTACCACACCATTCAGTGCCCATAAATGGCTTAGTTATAGTGATATAATAACATTTTTGGTACATTATATTGGTTTAATTACCGAACAAATATTAATACAATAATTTAAATGTAAAAAAAAAAAATTAAAATTAAAAAAAAAAATTTATTATTATTTTTTTTTAATTTAACCTCCTTTATTCTGTACGTTGGTCGTTTAAGAAGACCTCAATTGTAAAAATGATATAATTATAATAATAAAAGTTAATTAAAAAATACTTTGCTAAATATCTTGATTTTTTTTTTATTTAACGTTTGCAATTGAACACTGTGTTTTGTATATTTACTGATTCTTAGAAGTAATTAAAATGTTTATATACTTCCCAGGAAATGAGTCATATTAATACCTTTTTTATAAACTAAAATAATATATACCTAATCTGAACTATATATAATGAATAGCTACCGGGTTGTTTAGTAAAACTCATATATCACTAATTAAAAAATTAATTTTTATTTCCTTTATTTTGTGCAGAAGTTGGGCTATATCATAAATAAATAGGAAATTTTAATATTGAATGAATTATTCTCTATGCACAAAGAACGATATAGAGAATAATTCATTCAATATTAAAATTTCCTATTTATTTATGATATAGCCCAACTTCTGCACAAAATAAAGGAAATAAAAATTAATTTTTTAATTAGTGATATATGAGTTTTACTAAACAACCCGGTAGCTATTCATTATATATAGTTCAGATTAGGTATATATTATTTTAGTTTATAAAAAAGGTATTAATATGACTCATTTCCTGGGAAGTATATAAACATTTTAATTACTTCTAAGAATCAGTAAATATACAAAACACAGTGTTCAATTGCAAACGTTAAATAAAAAAAAAATCAAGATATTTAGCAAAGTATTTTTTAATTAACTTTTATTATTATAATTATATCATTTTTACAATTGAGGTCTTCTTAAACAACCAACGTACAGAATAAAGGAGGTTAAATTAAAAAAAAATAATAATAAATTTTTTTTTTAATTTTAATTTTTTTTTTTACATTTAAATTATTGTATTAATATTTGTTCGTTAATTAAACCAATATAATGTACCAAAAATGTTATTATATCACTATAACTAAGCCATTTATGGGCACTGAATGGTGTGGTAGAGGCCTGTAGGCACCCACGCCAGTACCGCTTTTCTGCCGCATAAGTGCATTTTCTACGGAACTGCTTAAACATTTGTGAAAAGTAATCAGCGTTTTAAAAAGAGAAATATATTCTCCAGATGGTTTATTTCAGCACGTTTTGCGTTATTGTAGGCCGTTTAATTACAAACGACGCTTGATTTGTAACTTGAAAATTTTTTTATTAAAAAAATTGACTTTACTGGTGTTTTTCATAGCCTAAGCCAATTATTTTTTAATATTTCTTCATGTTTTATTATTCTATAACTATTCAGCTTTAATAAAAGACCAACTATGAGGAAATTAAGCCAAATCCTGATTCTCAGTGACCAAAAAACTAACTAAAGTCAAAGTCGTCAATCCGCTATCTTTGGACGCCATTTTGGGGCAGTGCGTTCACTTTTTTTTGTGGGAACATTGGCTTTTTTTTAATAAATAGTTACAAGGAACACAACGATATGCAATTTATAGGGATGTGGGGGGGGGTGCACGGTAAGGGGGTCAATACTAATAGTTCTTTAATAGCTGTGCCATTTTCCACTCTTAAAATGGCTTTCTCATAATCTGGAGGCAATTCATCTTTTATCTTATTCATTCTTTCATTAAATTAAAATGATTCTCTCTCTATTAGACAGGGCAGTAGCTAACGAAATATACCACAGTATAAATAATATCATTTCTTGTTTTACACAGTGGTAAGCTTTCTTCTGGCTTAATGATTTTTTAGTAATAATAAATTCTTGTTGGATGAATAGAGGAAAAGTTTGAGTTCTGTTAGCTTTATTTCGACAATTAGTTGGATTTTTGCTATGAGCTACGAGTCTTCATATTCATGCATATTCAAGGGGGCTTATAGGTCTGTATATGAGGCTGAATAAGTTATTGGATAAATTCTATGTCTATACCCAGATATTAGTTCTGAGTTTTCTCAATAATCCCATTCAAATCTTTCTTTGATAGGATAGATTGATATTCCATAAACTATTCACACCTCAATACTTCTAGAGTATTTTGTAAATATATCACCCAACTAAAAGGAAGTTCATAGAAATTTGACAACTTAATGAAGGTGAGGTAGCTCATTTTTCATAAATGATACCTGGCATGATAAATATGATAAATGCCATCTGGCATCTATAGTAAATCATGAATAATGAAAATATTTTCTGAATCTCACTCCGGTGGTTAACACTATAGCTTCAATAGCAAAATAGCAAGAACTTCCTGAATTTCCAATGCTTTTTGAAACTGTGAAGTATGCTTTTCTAATAAAATTCAATGATATATAAAAAAATTGATCTATACAGATTTTTGATATACAGAGGTTTGAATCTATTTAGATGGCATATAAATGCATAAATTTACACTTGTTTTAATTTAATAATTAAGAAGTAAAAACCTCCAGTGCATAATAGTAGCATATACTTAAGATAATAAATTATATAACAATAAACTTATGCATATAGGATAAGGTATTGTTGTGCATACCTGTCACAACACCAATGCTGTTATGATCAATATATCCCCATTTAAATTTGGGTACAGTTACAGATGGACGAACTCTAACTTTATCTCCTATTTTAATAGGTGGTGGTGGAACAACATTAGAAGAAAACCCAAGCAATTCTACATAAATAAATCGCACCCAATAAAGGCCTCCTTTGCCTTGCCAGTCAACCTAAAACATTTTCAAATTAATTTGAATAAATTACATTAAATACATTCAAAAATAATAAAGTTTTAATTAAATAATGCATAAATTTACTAAGGAAAATATTATAATGAGGAAACCTTTAAAAAAAAAAAGAAAATCTAAAACAACGTACTTCTTGAAAGCAGGTAAATGTTAAATAATAGAATTACTGTAATCAAAGGTTACCCATTTTTTGATGTACTTAAAGAAACATTAAGTGAACAGACAACAGAAAAAATCTTAGAAAAACTTGTCTGGAGTGAGTGGTAGATGAAATATCAGAAAGGACAAAAACTATGTCGCTTAGAAGAAATATTCAGAACAATAGGTATTATTAAAATCCTTAGAAAAAGCTTGAAAATTTCTTCAGTAATTGTGATTGGAAATTTTATTATATCAAAATCAAACTGGAATACCTATCCAAGAACTCTCCCATTCAATATCTATCATTTTCCTTCCAAATACATTCAAAGCAAAACCAATGCTAGGGAAACACGTTTATTCGTAAAAACAAAATAATATTATGAAGAAAGTCTTTAAAACAAACGGGTGAAGCTACATACTTTATAATGTACGGTCAGTTTACTCAATAAATAATTAGCTTGTCCCACTGCAAGATATTCTTTAATTTAACAGGTAAGCAATAAGATTCACCTACCCGTAAACTTTCACAAATGTATCATTGTACTCATGAAAACCTATTGGCTTGGTTAGGACGAAAAGAATCCTTGTTTTATAGTTCTACTTATTAAGAGTGATATATATTAACAACCAAGAAAATTAAAATATTTTCACAAAAGTTATTTACTTTTGTATTTAAAACATTTTACTATTATCTGAACTAGTGATTGCTGCTAGAAATGAAAAGGCACGAATTTGAAATAATATACAAAAATGGCAACAAAATAGGGTTTGTAATGAATGAAAACAAAAGTAAATATCTAAAACTGTCCTAGGCAGCAAGTAGAGAATAATGGCTGGTAATAGAGCCAACTATGCAAACCTTAAACTTCTCAAGTTTCTATTGTTATCAAAAGTTACAAAATTAAAGCTTTATAAAACACTTATTAGACCAATAGTCACTTATGTAGCGGAGAGCTAGTGTTTGTTGCAAAAGGATCGCCGTAAACCAAAAGTATTTGAAAGAAAGTTAATAAGAAGGATTTACAGTGGTACAAGAGTTAATGGTGAATGGAAAATAAAGAGCAACAATGAAATTGAGGCTATATTAGAGGATAATAATATTATTAACTGTATCAAGGCAAGTAGGCTGAGATGGGCAGGACATGTGGTCAGAATGGAGAATGAAGAAGAAAATATTGGAAGTGCACTTTAGTGGGAGGAGGAAAACAGGAAGACCGAGAAGTAGGTAAAAGGGTGAAGAAGAGAGGACGCAAGTAACTTAGGAGTTCGCAATTAGAAGAGAGAAGCACAGCAAAGAAAGAATTGGAGAAGAATAACCAGGAAAGCAAGGAGCATGCTAGCCTGTCTGTAGCTCCGGGGAATTAGTTAGTTAGCATTATCTGAGATGCACAAAGGATTTCGAGTCTGTTATCCTTCATTAACTTTTCATCCAATAGATTTAAGTAATGAATAACAAAATATAACATGATGGGTATAAAAACCTGTAAGTTCAAGTCATGGAGACCTTCATGATCAACTTTAACTACACGCCCTACATCATTTTCGACAACGTCTTCATAGGATTTACAACATCTGACAAACATTCCTGGAGCAACATTATCCCTCACGTACATTGCATATTCATCATTGCTCAAAAAATCACTTCTTTTGTTGTACTGTGTGACCACATTTTGTAGCTAAAACAATGAAGAGAAACTTTACATCATTATTTAAAATATTATTACCATTAAAACTGAAATACATTAATATACTTATTCATAGAATAATCAATGCTTGACCACAGTATAATATTGAGGAAAGGGATGGTCTGGGGTTTGGACTATTTTTGGCTTAAAATAAAATAATTTTTTACTATTTTAAATTTTTTTTATGACCATCACCTTTGACCATATCTTTCCTCAGTTAGAAGCACCTGTACATTGAAAAGAAAATTGCAGGTATTCATAATTATTCCTTATTTTTTAAATATAGGGAGAGTAAAGTATAGAATTTATATTTTTAATAAAAGTGTAAATACATACAATAAAAGATTAGATGCTAACACCAAAATAAATATACCTCATCAGCAGCTGATATACATTCCTCAGATAAAGAATCACGGTCAGAAAGAGCATCAAACGAAGAAATAGATGCAGACCTAGAAACAGCTTCATCAGGATGTTCAAGAAGCCAAGCAATGACACGATCGATATTTATCCCTGATTCACTTGCAGTTCCTAATAAAATGTATTATGTAAATTAATAAAACTTCATTGTTTACATAGTTTTATCTACAAAAATGAATTAATTCCAAACAACAACTACCTAAAAATTTAATTGCAGATTCTATAGTTTTTTTGGAAAATCCCATTTCTACCAGCTGAGTGTAAAGGGGAGAAGAGACTGTAGAAGAATAAATAGCAGAAGTTTGCGTAACAACTGGAGCGGTAGGTATTTTGCATACTTTACTTTCGGATTCATGCATCACAAAGGCTTGAGTAGCTAAGTACTGACTAACACAAATGGCTGCTTCCTTAAAAAAAATACATAAATTTTAAATACCAAAATAAATTACTGTTCATTTACATATTATTTTATTTTTAAAAATAATTAATTTTTTTAAAATTACATCCACTTATTAAATTTAGCTGTTTATTAGTTGTTGATTTTTTACAAGACTTGTAATTCTTAGGATACCTGAGAATATTAGTAATAGAACAAGAACAAGTTCACGTGGAAATGTAAAGTGCACATCGGAATGAATCATAAAATCCTTGAAAATACAGATAATATAGCTGCCCTCGGAAGAATCAAGAGAGCATCAAGAGACTCGCTAAGAGTCTGATAAGAGAAGTACAGTAATTGGCCAGCAAGCAAATCATTATAAAATAAAATATATGAAAGTAAGCTGAAAATCATTTCCAACAGTAGAATAATTCAAATATCAGAAATGGACCAGCATATAACAAACACAAATAAAGCTTTCTTATCTCTGATAAAGGTATTGAAATCCTGAAAAGTCTATAAATTTCAAATTATTGGTGTAATACTTTGATAAAGGCAGTTCTAATAAAACGCTGCGAGACCTGGATACAACCAGCACCCTAGAAAGAATTATCAACAAATTTAAAGTGCTGCTCACTTAGGCAACATTCTAGAGTTTAGAGGTGCCAGTTCAAATTCGATCTGATCAGGTTGAAATTTATTTTATGGTGGTCCCACATAATGAATCTTGACCTACTCAGTCTGATAAGAATAGATTGGTTGTACGTTTAGAATGAACCCTCCCCCCTCCCATGTGCCAGAAATGATAGGATAAAGAATAAACGGGAACAAAAAGTTATCGGACATATTTATATTGTTGATAATAATGTTAATTATTTTTGTTTAAGCAGATTGAATTGAACAGGCAGGATTAAGAGGTTAGATTAATTTTTTTTGTAAGCCCATTAAGACTGAAATGACTTTTGTGAATGCAGAATGAAAAATACATATTGGTAAGCATTTGTATATATTTTGATACAGAAAGAACAATTGGATCTCATTAAATTAACTTTGGAGGGCCTGGAAAAGTCGTTGAAGTAGACGAGAGTCTTTTTTCTAAAAGAAAAAATCATGTAGGGAGAGAAACGGGGAAGAAAAAATCATTCTCTCTGAACAATGGATGATTGGTGGAGTTTGCCGAGAAACAGACGAGTGTTTCATGGTAAAAATAAATGACAGAAAAGCAACAACTTTATTATAATGTATTAAAAATAATATAGAAAAGAGAAGCAGCATTTATTCTGACTGTTGGAAAAGTACAACACCCAACAACTGAATGAAGCAAATTATAATTATTTTAAGATGAATCACCGGCATAACTTTGTTGAACCTTCAAGTAGGGTCCATACTCAACACATAGAACGATTGTGGGGCTCAGCTAAGTGGAACTGCGAGGCAACACCTGGATAATATTTATGTAAATTTTGTGGTGGCGGGCTCACAGAGAAGAGAACTTTTAATTACTGGCAAGATATGACTTCAAATAAAATAACCGTTCTATATTTTCACACTAGTAAAAGATAAATATAAACTTTTCTAAACAGATATATACATTGACTAAATAAAATAACTTAAAGCTCACCTCCAATTCAGTCCTGCTATATTCAGACTTCAAAGGTGAAGGCTGAACAGCATTCAGAATTAACTGATGAATGAGGAGAGAGTGTGGATCTGAGTCTGTATCATCACATTCATTCAAAGTCTCTAAAGATGAATAAGGCTGTTTTAACACTCTTCGTAGACGACTCTGATAACTAAGAAGTAATCTACCAGCTTTTACTGCTGCCAATACTTGCTGTTGGTTGTGAAGAAGTGGCATATTAATGCATCCAGCTAAAGGAAAAAACAGAAATTAATAAAAAAAGATAAGGAAAATATAAATACAAAATAACTATACAACCTGGAACAGTCTTAAACGAATGGGAATAAGTAGTAAGTGACAACAATGTAGCCCATGTTTCCAATAATGAATCAGTCAGTGGCATTTGATCCAAGCTAAACTGCAGGGAAGGTACAGGCTTCAGAGCATGAAGATTTACTATTTTTAAACCACTTCCATCATTCATTTGCACCATCAATTTTCCTCTTTTGCTTATTCGACAAATGATACCTGAAAGTTAGAGATTATGAAAACAACTTTAAAAAAAAAAAACGAATAACCAAGAATATTTTTCAATTTGAGACCAATTATTAATAGGGTGTATAAAAAAAAAAAAAAAAATGACTGTTTTTCAACCAAATATTTGTATTATTATTTCATTGATATAAAATATAACTAGCCGGCCTGTGCGAACAATTCGCATAAAATGTTAGTCAGAAAACAACTGATAGAATAGTATGGAAATATGTTAATACAATGTATTATGATTTGGAAGAATTGATTTTCTTTTTCTTGGTCAAATTCAAATAGTTAATTCATAAAAATAAACCAAAACATCTGTACAATTTACTGTAGTCTATATCTTTGCTCATAATGGTCCGATTTCCATTTATATATATTTTTTATTTTGTAGGACACTTTGTAGCCTCTTAATTATTAATGAAGTTAATCCACCGTAAATTGCATACTTTTCCTGTTATGGCTAAATTAAGTTTGTTTGTTTTTCTGAGACGTTGGGGAACTTATGAAGATATGGCGAAATAAAACACCAGTGAGAAAAAATATAAAGTATATATTGTATTTATTTATGAAATTGCTTTGTATAGTTGTGTTTTTCTAATAAATAAAAACAATTTGATGCCATCTTCGTGTTAAAAATTTCAGCAATATTATTTTCCAAACCCACTTCACTTCAATGTTCTTTATAGGCACAATGCTCACTTTAGATGTGCATCACCGTGATATCTATCAGGGAGGAAAGAAACTCAAGGGATACCCCTTTGTAAATAGGTTTTCATGTTTTAGCCTTGAGTATCCGATTTGTAGTTTCTTTGCTGATCTCTTTTATTCTTTTCAACTGCAAGTGCATTCAATTTTTGTCTACAGAGGACTGGAAATTGAAATTTTTTATAAGAATCAGAATCCATGACAACAATGGCATCAAGATTTCCTATCGCTGGTATAAGGTTGGGCTCAAACAGAAACTGAAAAACTGTACATTTAATGGTTTTAAAAGGCAGTTACTTAATCTTAAAAATTGTCAGAGTTATCCTTTACTACACAAACACCAGAGATTAGGAAAGTAGGTTTCTAAAATGGTACTTGTAAAAATGATAACTAATATTTTATAACACTTCTTTGAAAACTATATTAGAAAACTAAAAAGAATTATATATATATATATATATATATATATATATATATATATATAGATAGATAGATAGATAGATAGATAGAAAAAAAAACTTTATTCTGGGACTAAGTCCCTTCAGAATAACAATAATGTACAAAATAATAGAATATTACTGGCCTGAACGTTGAAACAATAAATAAAATTGATAAAATAAAATAAAAAGTAAAGAAAACCTTAGGTGCACAAGCTATATACAAACAGATAAAACTATGTACAGAGCATTTAAAATTATGAACAAAACAATTAAAACTATGAACGAATCACTTGAACTATGAACAAAATTATATTTAAGGGTTGAACAACATAAACATACACTTTGAGAAATGAAGAACGAAAAAGAGATACAATGAGTTCATTTCATAAAAAAAAAAAAACTTTACTTGAATATATATATATAAAAATAAACAGTTACTTATAATTGAATAAAAAAAAAAAATAAAAAAAAATGTATGTATTGAAATTCCTACGTCGATAGTAGGAAATGCATGTACTATCTCTTACCAAGTGTTATGATTATATGATTGCTACACAATACATATATAATATCAATAGTTAGCTGGTATCAGACTGTTTTTGGAACAGGAATTGGAATAGGAGGTTTTTGAATGTATACAGGGAAGGGGCATGTCGAATTTTGATCGGGAGGGAATTCCAAAAGTTGACAGAGCGGGCTATAAAGGAATTTTGGAATGAGGCAGATCTATGAGAAGGGATGTATAGGTCAGAGGGTCGGGATCTTGTAGTGAGTGAATGGATTGAGGACTTAAATTGGAGAAGGTTGTAGGCATAAGAAGGACGATGATCGGTAATGATTTGATAAAGGAAAGTGCCAAGGAAATATTGTCTTCTTAAGGAGGGGAAGAGCCACCCTAACTCAGTGTAGTGGTGGGAGACACGGGAGCGTCTCGGGGTTCCAATTACAAATCTTACGAAGCAATTCATAAGTCTTTTGAGTCTATCACGCAGTTCCACCGAGAGGCCATCGTACACCACACAGCTGTAGTCAAAGTGGGGAAAGATGAGAGAGGAAACTATGAGTCTACGGGTATTTTGGGGTAGAAGATGGCGGAAGTGATGGAATAGTTTGAGGGTAGAAATTGCACGGCGGGATATATGAGAGATATGGTGATTCCAGGAAAGGGTTTGATCTATGAGAAAGCCTAAATTTTTAACAAAGGGATAGAAGGTGATGGGGTGGTTGTTTAGATAGAGTGAGGGAAAGTTGGTGTGGGATCTAAGAAGGGGCTTGGAACCAATGAGAATGGCCTGAGTTTTGGCAGCATTTAGCCTTAATCCATTTAAGTTGGCCCAGGCACTAATTCGATCTAAATCTTCTTGAATTTTGGCAAATGCCACCAATAACTCAGCGGGAGAAAAGGATAAATAGATTTGAGAATCGTCGGCATAAAGGTGGTGGGAACAATGGATAATTGAATCATTTAGGTCATTAATATAAGAACTGAAAAGAAGAGGAGACATGCTTGAACCCTGTGCAACTCCTGAGGATAAAGGAAGGTAGGCAGATAGAGGTTGATTAGGTATGGAAACTGCTTGGGTTCGTTGTGAGAGGAAAGACTGGAACCAAGAGATGGAACTATTGGAGAAGGATAATGATTTTAGTTTGTTGAAAAGGATGGAATGGATAATGGAATCGAAAGCTTTGGAGAAATCAAGCAGTATAAGTATGGTTAGTTTTTTGTCATCTATTGCAGTCTGGATATCACTAGTAATTTTAATCAGAGCAGATTGTGTAGAGTAGCCAGGACGGAAGCCAGATTGGAGAGGATCGAGTTGGTTGGATTGTTCAAGGTAGTTGGAAACTTGGGATTGCACTAACTTTTCTAGGGGTTTAGAAAGATTGGAAAGGATTGATATTGGGCGGAAATCTTCGGGAGAGGATGGATTAGGCTTTTTGTTTAAAGGAAGGACAATGGCTTTTTTCCAAGAGGTCGGGAATATTGAATTCTGCAGGGAGAAATTGTAGATGAAAAGGAGTGCTGGGAGGATTTCAGGGAGACATAATTTTATTAGTTTGATAGGAATGCCATCTGGGCCTACGGAATTGGAACGGGATTTCATTATAACGGTAATAAGGTCTGTGGGAGAAATGTCGGAAAAATAAAAATTATTGTCGTTAAAAGGTACCTCTGGAGGAAAGCCGGAAGGGGATGGTAAAGAAGAGGTGGAAACCGATATAAAGTGGGAGTTTAGGTCATCAGGTGATATTGGGAAAACTGAGGAAGGGGATCTAGAAGGTTCACAGAGGGAAAGCTTACGAAGTAGAAGCCATTTTGATTTGATATCAGGAGCTGAGGAAAGGGCTTCGTGAAAGTAGTTCGCTTTCGCTTGTCGGATCCTTGTCTGTGTCGTGTTACGAAGCACTCTGAATATTTGATAATCATCTGCAAGCCTAGTCCGTCTGAAGCGTCTGCGTGCAGCGTCGCGTCTCTTCTGCAGATCCTTAATTTCCTGACACATCCAAGGAGCAGGACGATGACGGAAAGTGGAGGTTTTCAGAGGAGCGTGGGTATTGAGTATATTGAGAAGATTGGTGGTGAGAATATCAACCATGGTGTCGACAGAGGAGCAATGATATATTCCATTCAAATCCAATGTTACTAGATCAGGTAATATTTTTTCTCGAGTAAGGGTATCCAGTTGGCGGAAAGTGATAGTTCGAGGATGGATTGGAGGAGTGCGGATATTATACGTTATTTGTATCAGATCATGAGATGAAAGAAAGGATACTGGCAATTGAGAGGCGGAGAGGAGGTTTTGTGCTGAGTCGATGATGTAGTAGTCTAGCCAAGTGTCAGATCTGGTGGTGTGGTGGGTGGAGGAAAAAGGAACGATGAATAGGTGAAGTGAGAAAAACAGATTTTCTAAATAGGATTTGTCATTGGAGTTTGAGAGGAAATTGGTATTGAGGTCACCGGAGATAATTATTCTGGGATAGAGGGGAACGAAGTTGAATAGAGTTGATTCGAAGGACGGGTCAAATGGCACGAGAGGAGGGCGATATACCACGGCGTAAAGGATAGGAGAAATATTACTGAGAATTTCTACTAAGAGGTATTCTACATGAGGATGATCGGAAGATGGGGAGCAATCGAGGATTCGGGTCTTTAGGCTATTGTGGACAAACATGGCTACTCCACCGCCAGTCCGGTTTACCCGGTCATGACGGAGCAGGATGTAATTAGGCAAGGAGACTGAAGATGAAGGAATATAAGGTTTGAGCCAGGTTTCGGATATTGCTATGATATGATAAAAGTTTTGGGTAAAGTATTGCAGGAATTCGTCATAATGGGCAGAAAGTGATTGAGAGTTAACTTGACATGTGATTAGGGAACTAGACATACAGTGGATTTGGAGAGAAACAGTCAGTGTTTGGTAGCGAGAAGACAAAACGAGTAGAAAGTACAGAAAAGCGATTATCGTACATGAAACTAAGTGAAGAAAAAGTAATATTAACATTAAAAATAAATAAAGAGAATGTACTTGAAAATAAATAGATTGATGAGTGACGGTGTAGAGATAGCACTAAGAGAAGAAGTAAGACTATTTTAATGAGGCTAAGGGGTTGACGGCTTCTAGGTAGTCAGTCAAATACATCTAGATCCGAGGCCTGTTCTATCAGGATGACTCTATGTCCGTCCTCTTTTCGACACCGCACCTTTCCGGAAGCAAACCACGTATATTTGATTTTTCCCGCCGCTCTCTTCTGCCGGGCTAGCCAATAGAGGTGTCTGTTTGTGCGAGTCATCTCTTCACCCAGATAAATTCGGTGGCAGTCATTTTCCTGCCAACCGATATCCCGCGTGGAGAAATCCCTCTTCACTTTCCTTTTCGTAATTAGATCATCTCTAATTGATTGCCTGACAAAGCGTGCGATAACAGGCGGTGGTCGCGAGTCATCTTTTCGGCTTCTGCGGCGATGTACGTTGTCCAGGTCCTCCACACTAAGCCTGATCCCCAAGCTTGCTCCTATACTGGTCACCAAAGCAGCGGGCGTTTCGCCCGGTCGCTCCGGTATACCGCGGATCTCCAGTGATCTACTCAATAGTCCTTGCTCTGCGTTATTCAAGCGAACCTCTAATTCGCCCACTCGGGATTTGAGTGCTTTGTTTTCTAATAGTATCTCCTCAAACTTTTTAGCTTGACCTTCCAGATGTTTTTCAATCTTCGTCAGTCTTTCGTTTAGTTCAAAACTGAGCTCTCCGTATTTATCTAGTGCTGTTTTCATGTTTTTTATATCTTCGTTCACGGTAGCGTCTAAACGATTTACTGCCGCAAGTATTTCTGAGGGGGACGGCTCGGTATTTTGTTTTTTCACCTGTTCGCAGTTAGAGCAAACCCATGTTTTTTTAATTATTTTTAATGCTTCGGTGTCTTTATCATTAAGGTTGACGCACCTACCATGAAAAATTATTTTACACTTAACGCAGTGTATATTGTTCTTATCTTCGCGTGCGATAGAGTTGTTGCAAATATTACACTGCACCATTTTTTAAATTTATTAATGAGAATTACTTCGCAATTAAAATATAAATAAATACCAGGACTGTTGACGGTAGTAAACAACGTCTAATGCTGGTCTAATGCTGTTAGGATTAGTAGACGCCTGCCAGCTCGTTGCTCCCAGAACTCTATCAATCTCGCTGCGTTTTCTTTACTCCGATTATTGTGAAGATCCGACACTTAATAGCGTGATTAATAATAGTGTTTTTTTAAAAAAGAGAAGAAAAAAAAAACTGAACTTAACTGAACTGAAAATTAAATTAAAGTAAACTGAGTCTATTATATGAACGAATTACACCGATGTACACACCAGGGCGTCTCAGGCAATTATATATATATATATATATATATATTACAGTTATATATATATATATATAAATTACAATAGGCTGTATCTTTGCAAATAATGGTCTGATTTCCATGTTTTTTTTTTTTGTTTTGTAGGGAATTCACCAAATTTTCAGATAATAATGGTTCTAATCAAGACAAAAATTTATACCTTTTAAGTAATTTGCAAATAAATTTTCTTTTTATACATAACTTTTTCCTCTGAAATTTCGGGTGGATGTTACTATGATTAGTAACCAAAATCCTTTTATGGTTAACGGTGCTTTTAACTCTGGCATTGACCCCTCGCCCTCTTCCCTGACCCAGGAATAACCCCATATAGCCTAAAAGACGAGGAAGAAAACAAAAATAAAGTAAGTATTTGGTTTTTTCTCATTCACCACTAGTCCCACTTCAGCTGCACCTTTATTTAGTCCAAAAAAATACTTTGATCATATCTGATAACATTTTCCCAGATTATCCGAATTATCTGCAAAAACCAGGATTACCACAAATTTGTAGAATATTCTCTCTCTCTTATCTGGAAGTTCATGATTTTCTTACTGAATCATATTCCAGAGACAAGTTAAATAGTAAGTAGGACAGTTATTTATCCTTTCTATAAGCCAAAGTTTTGAGAAGTATCACCGTGAACTTGAAAATTGCACTGTACTTCTTTGATCGTGACATTTATCAGGCTTATAAATTTGGTTATTTGAAGAAAACACTGGTACAGTTCATCTCTGATGATGATATATGCTTTTCGAAAATCAATGAATATTTTATTAATAAATGGTGAATATTTTTATTGTTTCTTAAGTTTCTATAAAATGTTCTGGACTGATAAAATGTGGTCTGTTGTATATCATCCTCCAAAGAAGTCTGATTTCATGTCCTGCAAAGAATAGAAACTTTTGGAAATACATTCTAGAAAATCCTTATAGGCTTAGGATAATAAGTACATAAGACTATCAAACACATCACTCTTCCTGCGTATTAATATTTTTTTGTTCCATTCAGTGGAGTATTTCTTCAGCAGTTCCTTCTCCATTTTTCACCCCATACTTGAATAGTTTACTTCAAAGCTCATACACCTCAGGTTCCTTATTATGTTTCAACTTTTGAATAAGCTCCTCAACACCTACCTTCTGGATCAGGCAGTTGCAGCTCACATTTTGACAGCATTATCTTTAATGGTGTATTAAATGAAAGAGCATGAGTACTTACAATGTTATGTTTTACCTCATTTTATTCAGAGATAGTATATTTTAAGGTTAATGTCTGTGATGTCAATAACTAACTCTGCCATTACAATCGCAGATCCTTTTTATTGGTTTATATAAAGATAATTATGAAAATGTTTGAATTAATAAGATTCTAGCCTGTCCACCTAACATCCTGGATTGTAGCTCTGTTGTAAGAGTCCACTTGTGCCAGGGGTACTTGTACTTTCCAAATTTAATGCATCCTCAGAGCCCACAAACTTAGGGAGTGTACTGTCCGATGATGCCTGAGTAGGAGGGTAGAGTGGATGTAGAGTGCTGTTAACGGTATAAATGTGTGTCAGTGTGCTATTTCTCCAGCCTAGAGTAAGTACAGGTTCAAATACAAATAGGTTCAGGCAGTGACAAGGCAGTGGGACATAGTCATATCATAGTTGTTTTTGAGCATTATGAGCTTTATTTATTAGGTAGAAATGTATGTTTTTACTTTTAAAATATTTGAAAATAAATTCCATTGAAAAAAAAATCAATATACCAAGACCCAAAGGGTGTAATAAAGCTCAATGGACACACATCAGAACCTTTCCACTTTTATAAAGGAGTAAAGCAAGGGGATAGTCTTAGTCCTCTGCTTTTTATCCTTCTCATGGATGAAATTTGGAAAGTGTGTAAAAGAAGAACCCCAAGGGCTATTGTGGGATATTGGAATTTGACACCAATGTTGGCTCAAGTTATATGCCGACGATATAATTCTTATAGCAGACTCACAAGAAGCTCTACAGACATCATTGGTCGAGTGGGAAGAAGAATTGAAGCTGCGAGGGCTGCATATAAACCCGTCTAAGAGCAAGGTTATGTGTGTTGGAAAAGATAATGCGGAATCTATGATGTTAAGTAATGGCGAAACGCTAGAGGTAACAAATGCATACACGTATCTGGGGACAATCATCAATGAAGATGGTAAAATAGACCAGGAGGTACTAAATCGGGTGATGAAGGCCAATGGGATATATTACCAGATAGCCAATACAATCATAGGAAAACGGGAAGTAAGCAAAAAGACCAAACTCACGATATATATAAGGCAGTGTTCCTCCAGTACTTCTTTAAGGATCTGAAAGCTGGACAACCCTCGATAAGCACTTATGCAGAATCACAGCAGCGGAAATGAGATTCCTCTGAAGAATAGCCGACAAAACTAAGAGGGACTGTGTTAGAAATGACAGAATCCGTGAGGAATTGGAGGTGACATCAATCCGTGGCATCCTGGAGGAGAAGCAGTTGAAATGGTTCGGGAACATCTGCAGAATGGACGACACCCGAAAGGCCAAGTGGTTTATGGAAGCTAGACCGGAAGACAGCCGACCTCGTGGCAGGCCGAGACATACTTACCATGATTACATTGGAAAACTGGGCACAACAAGAGGAAGCACCATACCGGAGATGAGAAGACTGGTCAGGGTCAGAGACCAGTGGGCAAGATGGACTGGGACTGCAGCTCCACGCTTAATGGCACAAAGGAGCTAGAGAAAGAAGAAGAAAAAAAATCAATCTTTTCCATGCTGTTATTTTGTTTAATGTTTTTTGGGATAATAAAGGCACTCAAGGTGCTTTTCCAACCATAAACAATTTTTATATCCAAGTCAAACATATAGTATTAAGCAATAGTGCACACCCCTCCACAACTCACTTTCACAATTTATTACAGTTCTAACTTAACACAGATGGACAATTATTTTATAAGTCCATTCAAACAAAAAATAAAATAAAAAACAATAAAAATAAAACAAACTGGAAATGTATATTTAATTACTAATCTAATATTTCAGGCATTAAAAAAAACAAGCAGCTTTGTAAGCATAAAATATTAATTTATTATTCAGAATAACAAAATTTATTTACCATTGGATGGAGGACTAGAAATAGTAACAGATGCACCAAGATGTGGTCGACTATCAATTCCACCAAGTACTAATAATGAAGCCATTGCACTGCATTGCATACTAACAGTTTCTGGATCAATTTCATTCTAAAATAATTTAAAAAGTAATAAATTTACTTCCTAAATGACAAAGAAAATATAATTAAAAATATTAAAACCAATACCTGTAAGTTAAGCAATGGGTGAGAAAGAAGATCACCAGCAAGAGCTAGCTTAGTAGTTAGCATTTGATTACAAACTGAATTCCATTCATTCATAGAGTGCAGAGTTCTCACGAGGTCAACACTTTCTTCAATCAATGTGCTAGTATGCGATGGAGAAATTAACACAGGTATTTTTATTTCTAAAACAATTATCGCATAAAAAAATGTCTGAATAAAAGCCAGTAAGTAAATACATGTCATATCTTGTAGATTACATTTTGATAGATTGACATTTAAAAAAAAAAAAGAACATATGATCGAATTCATTCTTATCTATAAGAACAAATAAATTTGTGAACTTTTTTGTTTAACATTATGTCAGGTTATATCAAGTTGCAAAGAGGATCACAATGAGTAGAGAAAAAAAGACACAAGCTGTTCTTTAGATAAATAAAATAGAGGGCAGATGTGGTGGGCAAGAGGGAAAACACGGATAGTGTAAGTATTTCTAAAAATTTCATGAAGATTTAGAGACATTGCAGTCATTTGTGAGTCAACTGGAGGACTACTTTGTTATGTTTGAGATCAACGAAAGCCAAGATAGGAAGAGATATCAAATCTTAATTCACAATATGGGCATCAACACCTACCAGCAACAATCTAATCACTTTAATCTCAAAAAGCTGAATTCTAAGAGTCACCAGGAACTTGTTGAAGCTGTTGAGGCCTTATTAAACCTTAGGGCGAGCACCATCGCCAAGCTGTAGCTCCTTACCTCCATAAAACAGCAAGGAGGTGAGCCTGTTAGACAATATTTAACTAAATTAAAGAAAATTGCAAAATATTGTAAATTTACGTGTCTAAAGTGTAAAGCTTCAACACAGGATGTACATATTAGACAGCAGCTTATTGCTGGCCTTTTTGACTAAGTCATTTTGAAGAGATTATTAAGAAGCCAGAACACCAGAAGGAAATGTTACAGATATCTCTCAGACATTATATGGCGGATGATTGTCCGCTCAAGACAACAATCTAAGGGTGTAGGACATATAAGTTAAGGACACATACAGTTAAGGACTGTTGGAGCAGGCTGAAGGTTGCTGCGATTAGGCAGATTGGGAATATAACGCATCACTTTTAAACCCGATGGTTCATATAAGTATAATTTAACTTTTTATTCTATGTGAAAATGTGGTATTTATTTATGATAAACAGTTAAATTATGTTAAGAAAATAATGAAGAAATAATGCTTTCTAAAATTAATAAGATAATCTTCACAAAAAGGCTATGTAATTATAAGAGATAAGATAAAATAGAGATATGGTAAACAAATAAAACGTAACACACATATTTAAAAAATAAACATATACAAACAAAAAAATATTACACTATCAAAAATGCATACCTCCATTGTAAATATGAATGTCAGCTTTACAACTAATGGAAATTTCACCCAACAAATGCAGGAGTCTTTCCAAAACAGAATATTTCTCCTCAATTTCACTAATACCAGAAGGTAAGATCACCCGGAGTAAACGATAAGTCAAAACCTGCAAGTATTGAGAGACATAATTACCAATCACTTATAATTAATCGGTTATTTGTACACAATATGGTAACAACTTTGTGAGTTAATCTAACCTGTGTTTTTAATTCCTTTTTTGAAATAGTATTTATAAGTGAAAAAAGCTGATCTAACCAAGAATGAGATGAAAGTGATTTACAAATTGACGAATTTACACTTATTGCTCTCAATAATCCTAAATTGATCCAGCATTTACTTGGCATCGCATTCTGCAATTCCTCATTAGTTGCATTCTATAATGTAATAATATTTCAGATTTTAAATTTATTTTTTTCACTGTAATATAATTATGAAAATTCATAACATAGTAGAGTTTTCAATTGTAATCAAAACTTTATTTACCTTCAACATAACTTTTAAAAGGCTTGTAAAAATTTTTAGACTCGAGTTTTGCATTTTATGTGCATTCAAGCCACAACTTATCGATAATGACCACAGAAGTAAAACAGCAGAATGTCCAAGAACTTCATTAGGATCATTATCTTCAAAATGTGAACCTGAAGGACCAGCATAAATTAAATAACTAAATTATTGTAGCTAGCCTAGCAATAAGAAACTTCAAATACTAAAATGATAAAATAAAATTCAATAATTATTATTACATTCCATTCTATTGGGTACTTCATGAGTGCTAATACATTGATATTGATATTACTACTAGTATACATTGATTTTACTCAAGATTGATTGAAACAAAATTCAGTGATCAAACAATAAATTACAATATGTAATATAAGAAATAGAGAGTCAATCCTTGTTAGGATTACAATTATCATTAAAAAAAAGTCTTTCTGTGTATTTTAAAGATGTTCTGTGATGTGATATTTTTGCTATATAATAAACTTTTGTTTGCTATATAAACTTTTACAAATAAAAGCTTAAAATAAAAATAAATAAACATTGATTAAATTCATTTTTATTAGTGCCACTGAAATAAAAAATTTAAAGAGGGTATACTTTTCTGCGTGTCTATTTCAATGTCAATTTCAGGATCATTCTCTTCGGCCAAAGGAGGATCTGCTAACCTAAGATCATATTTTCCTTCTTTACCCATCCTGTAGGAATTAGCAGAACCATTATCCCATTGAACACGTATCCATCCATCTTCACCAAGTTCACCAATTATTCTTCCTTCCCCAGGAGGTGGGCCATCCTAATAATTATTCATTATTACAAAATTTGGTACAATGGGTGCATCACACAACTCTCACTTACCACTATACATTGAGTAGAAATAAGTATTTGAATATATATGAAACTAAAAGAAAAATGTATTTGTTCATACACAAACACTTGAAATGAAGAAAAGTCAAGTAGAAACAGGATTTAGTTCTTGCTTAGTCAATAATTTTACATAAAATTAACTTTTTAGTTGAAAGTAAATAGAATTTAGGTAGTAAAATTTTAGAGATATATTATATTTGAAAAATTAAAGGACCCCGGGTAAGATTTCAGGAAAATTTCTTAAAAATTTTTAGATACCACTAGCTTAGTGAATTTTTTTTCCTTAGTTATAAACAAATAGAATTTAATTAGTAAAATTTTAAGAGATATACTATACCTGAAAATTTAAAAGAGTCTAGGGAGAAGACTTTAGAAAAGATTCTTAAAAATTGTTAGATACCACAGTATACAGAAAAATATGTTTTATGCAAAAGGGTATTTGATTTGGTACAAGGGAAAATCTTATTTAAAAAAAATTGGTGCGCGCAACACACAACCTTCACTTACTGCTCTACTTGAATAAAAATTATTTTCTGGCATTGTTGGGCTATTATAACATTTTTGAAGTACATTTTTAACCGAGCTAAACCTTAAAAGCTTTCAGCTAACAAATCATTAATACCATTAAAATAACAAAAATCCTATTTATTATATCACGGGTTGAGTATGGATTGAACGACTATTAGTTATTAAACTATTATTTTCCATTGCAAAGTTTACTAAAATGAAGTTACGAGATTTGCATTGTCTATCACAGACGGGTCAAAAATTGTCACTAATTGTAAGTGGATACTGTTGGGATATCACAAAGCGAAAATTCATCAAATTATTCACTAATTTAATTTTATAAAAGGTTGCATGATGATTTTCCCAAATAAACCGATGATAGACACCTAATTATTTAAATATAATACCAGATCAAGAGTTATGAAAACTATTCCGGATTTCCGTATAGAGGTTGGTAGGGAATTCCAAAACGAAAATCCAAATTCCAAAATTAATATAAAATAAATTTTCTTTTTAAAATAAAGAAGACAACCTGATCACCCCATTTCCAGTCTGGTCCTCTGACAACCCTTGTTCCAATTGTAAGTAGCGAAATTATATTTGATCCTGCAATTGCATTCAAATCAATTTTTTGACTAAAATCTTTAGTGTTTTCTTCATATATAACATTAACATCATCAACAGTTTTCTCTTTTTCTGGAGGAGTATTATTAATGTCTAAAACAAATTATTTAGTTGGTATAGTGTCAATAAGTTTAAATAAAATAAAATTGAATAACTTAACTATACTTAATATATTTACCTAAATCCTTTAAAATAGTTTCTATAAGAGATAAAATTCCTGAATTTATTAAGAGGCTCAGTTCATTACCATCAAACTTTTCAGTAATCATGCCTAATATAACAAGCACGAACCTGAGAAAGATGTAAAATATAATCAATAATAATATTAATAATAATCAAATTTTTCAGTAATTATGGCTAATGTAATAAAAATGAACCTGAGAAACATGTGCAGTAAAATTTTTATAGAAAAAATAAACCTTTTTTATTTTAATTTGAATAGGTTGAGAAAAATATTAAATAGCACATGAATAATAAATAAAGAAAAACTTCAAATAAATTTTTATAGAATAAATTAAACTCTTTAAACATAAATTAAAATAAATATGAAAAATTTCATCAAATTAAAGCAACCGCACCTTGTCCAAGAAAGTTTTCTTGTAGGAATTACATTATTTTTTAAATAGGCTTTGGACCAAGGCCATCCAGGCTGGACTAATTCTCGTAAATAGTTCGCAGACCATTCAATTACATGACTTTTTGCTAAAAGAACTTCCAATTTCTGGTTAGGAGTCACCAACTGAATGTCATCCATAGCATGCTTGGGCATTTCTCTATTAAAAAAAATTGTAATCAGCTACTTGCTTTTAAAACATATATAAAAAATAAAAAAGTAAACATTTAATAGTAATTCATAAAAGATATGATTAACCAAAATTAGATCAGAATAATATAAAGGCATGAGTAAGCAATACACAGTAATGAGATTTTTTTTTTTAAAACAATAATTACAACAATTGATAATATTTTTAAAAAATTTTGATTTACTAAATGAATATATTTGCTTCTTTAAACATTTAATTTTTTTTTTTTTTTTACTAAACACATGAAACAACACTGTTAAATGATCATTTGAGCCATAGAGTAAATGTACCTAGGCAGGAATGATATTCACTATCTCCATTACCCTCTCCCTCCCCCTACTCTTTTGCTTAGTTTTTAAACATACCTTGGCACATTTGCAGCATAATTTGGACCCAACCAACCATTCAAAATATTATACTTAACAGAAGGTATTAGGAAATTTTTTGTTAACAAAACTAAAATCATATCTAGTCCCTTTTTTCTAAGCTGAGCTCTTTCAACCTAAAACAGAGAGATTATAATAATTCATTAAGCCAAACAGACTATATCAAGTAAAAATCGAACTATGAATATTTTGAAGTTAAAATCAGACGTCAAATCAATTTCTGATGGGTCTGGAGTTTATATTCCACATTTATACCCAAGATTTTATTTTATCATAAATTAATTTGAAAATACAATAATATCCACACAGTAATGAATATTGTCTAAAACACTGACTTCTACTTACCTGAGCATACATTGCTTTCCTCAGTGTTTCTATGTCAGTACCATCTTCCTGAGTAACAAAGTCAACAATAGAATTCATTAAATCAAGATCTACAGGCCCTCGAACAGGAATATTTCCATCATCTTCAAATGAAAATATACTATTACATTTTTATTATTTTATATAATAAAAAATATACATGAATGCCTATTTAATGATTTATACCTGTAGAATAAGAGTCTCTGTACTTGTGCTCTTTAGAATTTTTTTCAGGAATATTAGAAATAACTTTCTTTGATTTTGTTTCAGCTGACTGCAAGAGAAAATTACATTAGAATTAAATTAAATAAAAAAAAAATTGTCATTTATATCATCAGGAGCTAAAAAAGTAACAAAAAGTGGCAAATAAATGAAATAATGGTACAGTAAATAGTTGTAACAAACAATTTTTTTTTAATTCCAATTGAAGTTAAAAAAAATAAATAAGAAAATGCAGAGAGAATAATGAGACACTAGAGCTGTTAGAATGCGGTAGGCAAGTAGACAGACATCACATAGCAAGTAATGAGTGAGTAAAAAGATATTGTACCTAAAAAATATAAACAACTAAAACTACAATTATTACCTTTAAAAATTTAGATGCTGTAGAAGACTGGCTATGCTTTAGGTCGGATATGTACTTCTTAACCCTCCTTTTCCACGGAGAGTCAATAAATAATAACTGCAAATTCTTAAGAGCATTAATTTCATGGCTAGTAGCAGGTCTGACTTCAAATAGCAGGAATCTAAAAATCATAATTAATAATAATACTTTAAATCAGCTGATAATTATAATCATATCTTAAACTACAGGGAGGAAGGCCACACAATGAATGGCCTTCGATAACGGCCTACGATAGTATGTGTGTGGCCTCCATGAGCTTTTGTTGGGCTTTCACAAATGTCATCTGTAGTAATGACATTTAATTACATGAAATACGAAAATCTCAATTCATGCTTAAATAACTATCAGAACATGCCTTAACCCTCAACCATTCATTTGATTTTGAAAAACCCTCTATTCTTGCCACGGTCCCTAGCCATGAAAAAAGACTCATTTCCGAATCCATCCTCATTCACAAGAAACAGAATCCTGTTAATCATAAAGTAGATAAAAACTGCATTTCTTTAACATATTTACACATTTTAAATCTTATGCGTGAAAAATAACTTATATTACATCGTATTATTTTTATCTACTTTCAATTTTTATTGATTATTTCAATTTTATATTTACTTTCTACATCAATGTATGATCATCCATTTTCACCATGTATTCACTTTATTTTTTAACCATGTCTCAATATTATCTAATGTTTAAATGTAATTTTCATACGTATGTACACCTAAATATAATTATAATTATTCATATTTTTTTTTTCCTCTCTATACTTCTTAAGTAGTTCTGCAATGTATGGTCTCTTATTTCTATATTTATATTTTACTTCTATGTTACTTCTTCCATTTTTGTTTTTATTCACATTGTACTCTTATCTATAATTTCTTAATTCTATTTTATATGTATATGTATATATTTATAATTTATTATTTCATAGATACAGTATTTTTTCTCTTGTATCCATCCATATCTTCAAATTCAGCAAAATTCCCTAATACCTACCCTTACCCTTATTTTCCAGTTCTAAGTGAAACTTCTAGCTGAACACACCTGTAAGTCTCTATTTTTATTCTTCTAATTTTATATACTTATTTATTTATTTTTGGTTTTCTTTTCTTTCTCCACATTCCTATATGTCTATTATTTCATATTATATCCTTTTTCCTTCTTTTTCAATCTCTCCCGTAGATCTGTAGAAGTATATTCACATTTGCATATATTATATATTACACTATAACAATTGTTACCATCTATTTACTTCAGTTTAGGATCTTGTTACTTAGCTTACTCTGTTTATATTTTAATTTAGTTAATGTTTATAATTTTAATAAGCTTATTCACATTGTTTATAATTTTTTTCTAAATATTATGTAACTTCCAGAATTCTCTATATTTTTTTTGTAACTTGTCGGTTCTAAAAAATAAAATAGTTTTGCCACTATTTAGCATATTTATGACCGCCATACTGGACCAACTCCTTCCTTTTAATTAATATCCCTATGGAAAATGACAGGCATATATGCCCACTCCTTTTTTTTTTTTTAATTATAGCAATTTGGTCTACAGAAAATTTCACTCGAATGGCTTGATAGTTAAAGTGTTAAAACAGATAAAAAATTAAAAAAAAAAAAAAAATTAAAACTTTAATACATCATCAGTTTATTGGGAAAAGTCATTAAGTGAGATTTTATAACCTTAAACAATTATGAACTTTAAAGAATTTTCCCTTAGTAATGTTATCAGAAAACTATGTGCTTATTATAACAATATATAAAGGGTTTGTGTCATTTTACTGGACTTATGGGTTTTTGTATTGATAAATAAAGTTAAAACCATCAAAAAAAATATTTGAAAGTTAACTTATATACAAAACGCACTAAGTGGCTTTATGCAATAAACCAACAATAAAAATTGTAACTATTTAGGTATGAATAGAAAAACATTACAATTTTTGAACTGTGACACATTCAATTTTTACATTCTTCACCTAAAATAAATACTGGATAACTAGATGTATTGTATAACTATAGAGTGTGCCATACTTAATTTCTTATTTTGATGATTTACACTAAGGTATATGTCCTTGGTTTAACACTTAATTAACATAACCTAATTATACTTAAACCAAGCAATTATCTAAATCGAGATTAAATCAAGAATAGAGAATAAATAAGAATCAAGAAAAAAAAAGAAACTGTATCGACCACGCACCTGCACTTTTCCATTATTGGAGCACAAACCTCCTTATATGATCTATTTTGCTCTTGCCTCATTTTTACCAATTTCCATTTAGTTTGATGAATCGCTTTGGCCAATGCATTAAAACAAGAAGAATTTACTTGTCCTGAAAAAAGTCATAGGTAAAATAATTAGTAATTCATTGACCCAAATTTAAAAATTACAACTTAGAAATAGATAGGTTAGAAACAAGTTAATTTGTTTCTTTAGATAATGAAATATATCATTCCTGATCAATATTCAACCAAAAGCTTAATTTAAACATAGTATAGAACCAAAGCATTAATTTAGTAAAAAACGAAAAATTTTGATGAATAGAGGAACAGACAGATCCTTCCAAGTCAGTTATGTCCAAAATAACATTCAATGTTCTCTAAAAGACCATAATTTATTTTTTATGGGGCTATCAGTTCACTTAGCCTTAAGATAGATAGGACAGGAACTACCCAAAACTAACTTTTAATTGATTGGTATCTCTGTGAGTATATACATGTTTGTGTGTATATAATAGGGTGAATAAAAAAAAAATTACCGTTTTATCAAATTTAAGATTTCAAAGGACTGTAAATATTTTAATCCTATTTAATACTTACCAATACTTAATAATTCCTTTAGAGCATTCTCTTAACTTGTTTAATCCCATTCGACTTCTTAAAAAAAAGCCTCAGTTTAGTTATTTGTTTCAAAGAAGAAACATGATAGTGTCCTACGAAATTCTCGTAATTTTAAGGTATTACTGGAAAAAAAATTTTACAGCCGCTGAAGCAACTCGTGAAATTATTAAATATGAAGGGGAAGATGTCCCTGACCAACACCCTATACAGCATTGGTTTGAAAAATTTAGCAGTGATGATACGACGTTGGAAAGGAAGAAAAGCTCTGGGTGACCATTAATGGATATTGATGAGGTTCTGAAGGAAGCTGTTGAGTCAAATCCGTCCACGAATAGTCGCGAACTTGCCAGAGAGTGTGGTGTGTCAAAAGATATTGTTAGTCGCCATCTAATCTCCATGGGGAAGGTGAAATAGAGCAGTAGACTGGTCCCTCATGAACTTACTCCTCAGCAATCAGCTAAGAGATTAGAAATTTGTGAAAATTGATTGAAAACCCCTTCTGAAATAAGATTTTACGGGATGATTGTCACCTGAGATGAAAAGTGGGTTTACTGAGAAAACCTGAATACTCGTAAGCAATGGCTAGATCGGGGTCAAACTGCTTTTGCGGTTACTGCAAGGGGGTAATTTAAAAAAAAAAAATCCATGCTTAGTGTTTTTTTGAAGGTGTTATTCATCACGAATTTGTTCCTGATGGATGCTCTATGAATTCTGAACTCTACTGCGAACAACTGGAAAGATTTCATGCGAAGTTATCAAAGTGTTATCCTGCTTTGATCAACTGGAAAGTAATTTTATTCCAAGATAATGCTCGTACTCATACTTCCCGTAGAACCAAAGAAAAGATTAAAAAACTTCATAGGTTCGAAGATCCATGGCCCATTTTCTTTTAGGGAAAAAATTTGATAATTTTGCAGATGTGCACTTTTTAGTAACCATACTTTATAATAATCATGATTATGCAATTGTTGAATTTTTTATTTATTTTGAATTGTGCTGGTCTTCCAAGCAAGCGAAATTACTGGGGATTTTATATAGAACAATTGACAATAGGAGTTAGTAATGTCTATTTTAAGATATTTAATCTTATTTATAAGTAGAGTAACTATTAAAAAAAAAAAATCCACCAAAATTGTAAACAAATACATATATATATATATATATATATATATATATATATATATATATATATATATATATATATATATAACAAAGATATATATATATATATCTTTGTTTAAAATTTAGTAAAATAACAAACAACATTAAAGAGAACTCCTATAGAAACTTTAAACAAAAAATCCTACATAAATCTGAAATAAATCAAATACATACACAAAATGGAACATAGAGAAACAATTTTTACATTAACATTATATCCCCCAACTTTCACTTTTGGTATCAATTAATAAAAAACATACACGACCGAAAATTCATTGCTTCTTTAATAATTATTGACACAATTATGTGAAATGCTTAGGATTGGGGTATAGTCCAAAAAAAAAAGTTTGTTGATGAGGGGAGTTTAAGGACTACATAAATTTAAGAACCTCTGACCTACATTAATAATAATATTTAATAATTTATTTATTTATTCCATGATGGTAAACATTCGAGGGATAGACCGAAGCGAAGTTGGGAAGATTGCGTTAAAACCAATCTAAAAGGACTGGGTTTGGACAGCGAACGGTAGAGGGAGATATGTAATAGTCGATTGGTGGTGTCAGTATCGAACTTTCGGGTCTGCTAAACATTTTTTTATCATTATTTATTCCAGGGCAAGTATCTTTAGAATAAAATATAGTAACAGGATTGGGGGGCTTTAGGGTCTGAGAGCGAAATAAAAAAGAATAACAAGTAAAAGTAGAGTATAACTGTAATATATTTTTTGTATGAGTAAAATCGTAATTCATTAAACTAAAACTGCCAAAAATAAAAAAAACGCACAATTTATGAGAGTTGAGGCAAAACAAATAATAGGCTATATTAATAACTAATCCCAATAAACATTTTTCAAAATCACATTATTTTAAAATATTGTATAGGAAATTATAATTCACAGCAAATTAAAAAAAAAATGAGATTAAAATATTCTCTGGGGGCTAATAGTTGTCCATCACTGATACATTGAGATGGGAAAGTGAAATGAAATTCTACCTTTTTCAGAAGTAGTAAACAGCAAAGGATTCAGGGCAAGGTGTTTTATTAGAACAGCTAGTAACAGCTTTGTGACTTCTTCAACAGGATGGTCATTGCTGAAATCACCATGCACCAGAAGGTTATGCTGTTTATAATGTCGGTCCAAAGAATTCATCAATGATGCCATTGCTTGTTCCTATAAGTGAAAGTCAATAATTGTAAAGGTAAATTAATGTAATATAAAATATGAAATCTAATAGAATTCATGTATAAAATCATCACAAATAATCCAAGCTCAGATTTATTAAAAGAAACAACTTCAACTTTTAATAAATAAAATAAAGTAAAAATCATAATAAATATTTAAGTTAACTTATTAACTTTATGAATCAATACAAGACTAAATAAAAATTATAATGTCCCGGTAGATCTGCTGAACCTTCTCTTTTCATCTTAAAGTAGTAATAGCCCCCTACCAGTAATTGCACTGCCACATGAGACACCATTCTATAGGCTCTAGTGGCCCGAAGTAAAGCCACACTCTCTGAATTGACGCTAACCTACTCTTCTGTTGGTGCGAGAAGTTTAGATTCCAGGCTGGGAACGCATATCTCAGAATAGCCAAAACTACTACTTTGTAAATAGTCATTGTAGCTGGGTATCTGAGAACCCAGGAGGGGGCGCCCCCGACACGACTGAGTTCATTTAGGACCAGTGTGACCCTAGTTCTCATACAGTCCAAGTGAGGAGTCATGTTGAACTTTCGACCAATTCTCTTCCCAAGAAAGGTGACAACCTCACTTGGACATACCCTTTTTTCTTCTTCTATACTCAACATAATATGATGAGCCCTGCCATTCGGGCCCCTCAAGAGAATTGCCTGGGTCTTTGTGGCAGCCATCTTCAACTTCTTCCTCTCGCACCATCTTCCTACCAAGCTGGCGCATTGTTCAGCTTCTGCTTTCAGACCAGCTATGCTGTTTGAGGCCACCACGTTTTCCAAATCGTCAACATAGGCCGTGGCAGGGAACTATTCCTCTTCAAGTTTCTCCAAAACCTCATCAAAGACCAGCTTCCACAAGGAAGGACCAAGAACAGAGCCCTGAGGGCAGCCACTCTCGACGGCGTCTTCCACTTCAAAGAATTTTTAATGCCCGGTCCTAGAGGTAGCTGCTCACTAGATCATACAGGTTACTGAGAGTTTCATACTTCCGGAGTTGCTGGAGAACACTCAGCCCCTCTCCTCTACACTGGGTAGGCGATTAATGCTAGAGTTAAAAATTCCCCAGCAGTGGGATTTGAAATCGTAATCTTCGGTTTATTAGATTGAGGGTCAACACATAATTAAAACAGATGTTAGCCCCCTCGGCCACTCCACCCCCTTCAAAGTTGTATCTAAAAAACTTGGATGGTTGGAGGAATTTCTTCGTTAACCTCTTGATGTCTTGTTCTGTCTCACTGCTGCTGCCTCTAGCTAGGTATAATCATCTGACACAACATCATAAATATTATACATAAATTAGTCACATTTATGATTAGAATGTAAGATGAAATACTGATTAAAGATAAAACCTAAGTGAACTTAAGTGAAACAACTAAATGATTAACTACAAACAAGTAATTAATAACTAACTAGATAAAAATAATAAGAAAAGCATAAACAACCAGAAACAGGTTATTAAATAACAAAGATTGTATTATATATCTAATCACGTAAGATAGAAGCAGAAATGTATGAAAATATGAACAGTATCAATAAAATGCTGTACCTGCATAATTAGACAAAACCAGACAATGGAATGTCATAAGATTTTAAGCGGACTTAAACCTGTTACAGAACTCATATCAATGATTTACACTGTTGTGACTGATCAATTATTTTATCATATGTAAAAATAAATTGTAATACTTCATTTACCGATATTCCCAAATCATTATCTAAATGTAATGAATGTGAGAGAGGGGAAGTTGGTTCAGTAGGAGTAGAACCAGTACTTCTAGCTTCACCCTTTTCTTCATATGGATTAGGCGGCATAGCAACATGCAGACCACCCCTTAAAAACGTTGAATTTGTCCAAGGTGCAAGCTCTTCTTCTGATACTTCAGTACTAACATTCAGGTAATGGGCGTGTAGACCTAAAAGATAGCCCAAAGCTCTTTCTGCATCAAGTAATGCAGAGGTGATGCTTCCGCCATGAGAAGTCTAAAAAAAAACAAACACTTTTTGTATAATATTTTTAAAACATTAAATGTACTATAATCATATAAGTAAATAATGTATTTATTATTTATTTGTTTTCAGGGAAAGCCCCCATACAAAAAGAGCTGACCTCATGAACTTAATAAATAATTACAAAACAAAAGAATCGAAAGTCTACTAAGACATATACTTATAATTATATAAGCACATAAGAAATAACAAGGAGTAAATACTCTATATAAAATAATTTTTAAAAACTATAATACAAAAAATGAAAATGAAAATAAACACTTATTAAAAAAAAAGAATGATATAGGTTAGGTTACAAGTAGTCCTAGGGGATCAACAACTTGGTTATTACGCCCTTGAGCTATGATGTTATTATTTTTAACTTATCTTTATTTTTACATACTAAGATATCGTCGTCAGGATCTTCATAAACCCCAACACAATATGCTTGCAAAAGGTCTAATGGTAGTTGAGAAATATTTGTTTGTTTAAACCCAGTACTGCCATCAGCAATCAGCTTTTGTACTAATTCATTGCAAGTTTCATCACACCTAAAAGAAAAAACTTTTAAAAATAAGTTGTTTTAATTTTTATTATCTTATAATGAATTCACTTAATGCATACCTTAAATCTTGAATATCGTAGACTTTATTATTAATTAGAATCCACAACCCACCATCTCTATTGTGATTTTCAAGATCAGCTTTTCGAATAAATGGTAATTCTTCTCCTGACTTTGATTTTGCTATCAAATAATGAAAGGACAGTATACAGCAGACAGTATTAATTGAATGATGTTTTTAAACCTAAAGGTATTGTTGTACAGACCAGGATACAAAATGTTGGAAACTCCTTGATAGTTGTTGGATGTTTCTTAGATCCATTTTTATTTTATTATCCATACTTGTGTCTCAATTCATGTTTTCAATACTGTATCACTTTGATGCTCGTTCTAGAGCTTTAATCATATTAGCTAAGGATGTTAAGAAACGTCTGCCAAGTAAGGTGCCAATAGCTTCCTAACAGTTTTCATTGACTAAATAATATCGATATTTCAAGGGCTAAAATTTTTCATATAAGAATAAAATCTCCGCAAGAACCGTTTTCAAAATTACAGTGATCCCATAACATTTGTGGGATTGATATCAACGAATTTTGTTCATCAGTGAATACTAAAATGTGGAAGAGTTCTACATTTGCAAATTGCGTATTTGATGTTTCTTGATTGAAAAAAAATATTTGTACATACTGAAAATGCATATCGATAATGCTAATGCAAAAGTTTGTATGTAAATATTGATTTTTTTCACAGGAGCTATAGGTTAATTAGATTAGAGCTAGGGTTGTTAAAAATTTAAATATTACATATCATAGGAATATTGTATAAAATATAAAGTAATATGATATATTTATTTAAATTAATGATAACCAACCTCATGAAATTCGACCAGATTATTTTTGAACCACTAATTGGCCAAGTTTGCTGCACACACTTAGTGATGTTTTATATTTGAAATGGAAAACAGGGATACAAGCAACAATCAACAAATTTCTTTGAGACCATACCAGCCAATGTTGCTGTTTCCCTCCAATATGTTGGTAGTTGACAGGATACATGCTAATAGCACAAATATCAACAATTTACCATCATTTTGTATCATGATATTGTACCTTAAGGATGAACTTTAATCAAAGCTATGTTTAATTAACAATTATTTTCAGAATGTTGGCCCCAATGGCATTAAATCCAATTACATAATTCATTAATTCTACTGAACCAGCCAACAGGGAAAAAATCAACTGATTTAATTCGAACATATAACCAATGAATGTATGCACATTCAAAACATCCATATCACTTTTGAAGAAAGAAGAAGTTATCACTAGGATTAACTTTCAAAATGATGTTACAAAATAATTTTATTCTGGGATAAAGTCCCCTAAGAATAACCAAATATTACATAACAAAAGAATACTTCTGGCCAAGAGAATTGCATTAAATAAGAAGCGTTACGTTAAATAAATAAAATACCTTGTGAAACTAACAAAATATACAAACACAAACTAATCGAAACTAAATACAAAATGCTTAGAACCATATACAATACTAATAATAAATGAAACAAAATAATTACTGCTTAGATAAAAAAATAATAAAAAGAAGATGTTAAGAAAAGCAAGAAATAAATAATAAATTCCTCTATTAGATGAACAACAAGTAAAAATAACAAACATAAAGTAAAAAATAAAGATTTAGGTATTTTATGTTAGTAAAAAATCAAACATTAATAACAAAAATAGTAAGAAAATAAATAAATTAAGCAACTATAAGAGTTCAATAATCTTGTAGAACAGAAAAGATGTGATATGAAAAATATATGTACAAGTTTAAAAGTACATGTAAGTATACACATAAGTTCATGAGAAGAAAAGAAAAAACCAAAGATATATGTATATACATATAGATATTTAGATAGATAGAAAACATTGATTTTTTAACCAAGACACTGAAACTTAACACGTGGTTAGCCATTTTCTGACAGGTTTTTAAATAGGAATTGGAATAGGAGGGTTTTAAGGAGGAAATTCCAGAAATTAGCAGAGCGGACAACAAAGGAGTTTTGGAAAGAGGCAGATCTATGAAAAGGGGTATAAAGGTCAGAAGATCGGGATCTCGTGATAAGAGAGTGGACAGAGGACTTGAATTGGATAAGATCATAAGCATAGGAGGGGCGTTGGCTGTTAATAATCTGATAAAGAAATGTGCCTAGGAAATATTTTTTACGGAAGGATGGGATGAAGATGATAGGAACAATTAAGGATTTATTTATGAATATCGTTTATGTATGTAATAAAAAGAAGTGGAGAAATACAACATTGTTATGCTTAGGCAATGTTTCAACATGTGAAATTTAAAGTTTATATAAAAAATAATACATAAATAAATAAAAACAGTTAAATTTTCAATACAAACCAGGCATTCCTGACCAGGCTATATCGTCTTCATCTTCACTTTCCAAACCCGGTATATACCTATTAAAACTTTCTAATGAATCTAGAAGAGGTAAAAGCAAATGCAGCCAATCCTCGGAATGCATCAGTAAAGGAACCTCTTCATGGAGCATCACAAGGGAAAATATAAGCTCAGGTACAAGAACCTCTGGAAAATAGAATAATAATTAGGAATTTTTAAGAAACAAACAGACTTCCATTGTAATTGATACCACAACTAATATGAAAATTTTTCCATATTTGTTTTTCTTTCTTTTTCACTATAAATCAGCAATAATGGAATTAATGCTGAAACTAGTACAATAGTACAGAAATTGATGGCGTGTTTGAGTCCAAACCAACAACTTTTTTTATTAGATTATTTGTATGAATAAGTACACAGTAAGCATTTTTGTTGGAAAATATTTATTAAATCTTTAAACTTCAATCATAGTCAATAAAGTGCACTGTCAATCTGTTAAGAGATCCCTTAGGTACAAAATGATTCATTGATTTTTCACCTACTTCAAAATTCTCTTTCTTAGAGTGAAGTTTAATATGCACAAATCTGAAAAGTTCTAGGGCCGGACAGGTAAGCACTATTTTACATTACAAAGTAAAATACATGAAAAAAAAAATCCCCTTAGATTAATAAAGAATGTTGTATATATCACACTATTAATTCCTAATTTTCAATTTAGTCTTGTTAGTTTTAGTCAGTGAAACCAACTTTCCAAACATGAAAGAGTAAAAAATAATAGAGGAAATTGCTATATTGGAGTTTTAAAAGTTCCATTTCAATATTATAATGAACATTTTCTATTAGTTCATTGATAATAAAAAATATGTCAGTTCATTTATTAACTTTCCTTAAGGTTCAGGCCTGTTAGTGTGTGAAGAAGAGGTTCGTGAAAAGTAGCAAATATAGGGTGATCAGCCTAGTTATTTCCTCATCTTTTCCTAACTCAAAAAACACTTCCAGATGTTACTTCTAATTGGCTGTTATATTCATAAAAATCATAAACAACTTTAATATCTGTGAGGGGGAGGTATCTATATTGGAGGATTGGAGCTGCGAACTATCACCGGTGGCTACACTGAGTTCAGGAAACAGTAGGAAGGTTCAAAAAACTGGTGAAGGAACCATGTCTCCCATGTTAACACTGTAATCTGTTAAATAGAAGCCAACAGAAGAATACACCTTTATTAGGATAAATCCCACGAGTAGGTAACACATTTATTGATGTATTTCACAGCAAACTAAAGTACCTCGTGTAGTTCAGTAATGATGGGTGGTTCTCATTATCGATTTCCTATCAACCATATTAATCGATTGGTACAGAGGAATTATACAGTTGTTTCTTATCAGTGGGAATATCTTCCTAGGACGTAGAAGAATATGTTAACTTCTGGAAGTTGGACATCTGGTTGGGAGTTGGACTATTTATTGCTTGTGATATTATTTTACCATATTTATTTCTTGAGCATCCTACTAATTATCCTTATATAGACATATATCTAGCATGCTCATGTTGTTATTGTTATTTTAGTTATTTATATGTACATTGTTATTTTGATATATTTTTTATTAGTGAGTTTCTATTTATTGTAAATGTTAATAGATTGTTAATAGTACTTCTACATTTATTGTAGATAGTATTTTGAGTAGATTATATTTATTGACTTTTTATATAATTTAGCCTATAGATATGGTTCCATGCATGTTGAACAATATAATGTATTCGTAGAAGCTCAATTGTATTTATTTATTATTTTTCCTGGCACCCATCTTACAATATCACTATTCAGCATTCATTTTATGATTATAAGGTACATTTCCCAGTTTCAGTAAAATCAATAGATATCTATCTTGATGAAGACTTATGTCAGTGAGAAATTCTCTAGGAATCATATCCATTATGATGCCACACTTAGCAAAATTGAAAAAATCCACAGTGAAATTAGTAAACTTAATGGTAGATTTGGGTCAAAAGAGCTCACAAGGAAACTGAAATTAGTGAACTAAGGTCAGTGACCCGATAACTACACTACAACACATGTCTTCTAAAGAGATGGAAGATGAAGGAAAAACCTTTGGGTACGTACCCAACACCTGACTGTACCAAATGAGGAATAAACATATTTTTTCATATTAAAATGACACATCAGAATAGTGATAAAAATATCTAAGTTCTGGTTTAAAAGCAATATTTGAAAAAAGTTAACAAAAAACAACAAATTAACTTTAGAAAGTAAGTTATCAAATTATTTTCATAGAAACTATCCATTCCAACATGGACAAATATAAAATCTGAGATGATACCTTTATAGTTAAGTGCTAATTTATCTCAGAATATACATACCAATGCAACTTCCACGAATAATTGATGATACTAAATAAAAATATTTATTTCCTTGAGCAGCTGTTTCAGTTGCAAGATTCATGGTACAAGTTACTTGCTTACTCAACTGTTCAACGTATTTTTTTAATAAAGCTTCAGCGCCAATACGTGAATGTTCTGTAACATACCAAATAATTTTTAATATAAAAACCACATAATAATAATGTCAAAAAACTATTTTATAATTAATAGACAAAGTTGTCTAGAGGAATAACTAATGAAATTAAATCTATCAAACCTTGTATTAATTATATAAACAGAAAATGTTTCATTTATCATTTAAATAGTAATGGAAGATAGAACTAATTTAACAGAATTGGAATTACATTGGATAGTTAGATTAAATACACAGAAATGGTAAATTATAATAGAATACTTTTTAATCTCATGTGTACAAAAATTGAAGGCCATCACTTATACCTCAAAATTTAACTATAATTAACAATATAAAATGTTTTCCATTTCAATTAAAAACAGTATAAAAAAAAATTAATACCTGAAAATGGTTTATCCTGAGAGCTATGAGGATATATTTGGGCTATAAGAAGTCTTTGAAATTTCAGGAGAAGATTGAGACTTGGTGAAGTTTGATGGTTATACCAAGTTTCACAACCCATTTTCGATAATTTTGTTTCTACTTGCCATAAACAGTTTCTAAAAATATAAATTCATAATTAGTAGCCAGTAAATTAAAAGCTAAAACAATAAAATCAACTGTATAAAGAAATGTGTATTTTTTTTTTCCCCCACTATTTTATCATAAAATTGTAGTCAAACTTCCATAACTAGATAATTGACGAATATGAGCCTAAAACACAATATTTTTGCATATTTTTTTTTCCTTAAATTCAATTAACAATAGTTTCCAAAGGATCAGAACACTAGCAACTACTTATATGGACTAATAAAAAAATTTATTTTTTCATTTAGGGCAGGACTGTACTTCCGTAGACTCTTCTGTATCTTCCTTCTTTCCCCAACACAAAGGCGTACCACAAGGTAGCATCTTAAGCCCAATCCTCTATTTTATATACACTTCTGATATCCCTGAGCACCCTAATACCACCATTTATTGCTTCGCTGACGACACTGCTATCCTATCTTCACACAAAAATCCTACTATCGCATCAATTGCCCTACAAAACCATCTTCATGATCTTGAAAAGTGGTTTGAAAACTGGAGAATCAAAATTAATAGTACAAAATCCACCCACATTAGTTTCTCTTTTAGGAAAGCCTCATGTCCACCCATAACGATTGCCAATAATCCAGTGCCTTCAAAGAACTATGTATGGTACCTTGGACTCTACTTAGACAAAAGACTTACTTGGAACATACATACGAAATTAAAAAGACAAGAACTTACCAGACGATATAGCCAACTTTCACATCTTCTGGACTACAAATCTTCACTTAACTTACGAAACAAGCGACTTATCTACAACATCTTACTGAGACCAATATAGACATATGGAGCAGAACTTTGGGGTTCAGCAAAACAAACACACATAAACAAAATACAAACAGCACAATAAAAAATTTTACGAAAAATTGTTAACGCACCTTGGTACATTTCAAACACTACTATACATAACGACTTAAACACTCCAACAGTAAAATACACTACATTTCATTCTTCAACCCAAAATCACTTCAATCCTCTGGTTCTTTCTATCTCCTGCTTCCTGTTACCTGAGCAACGAAGATTAAGAAGAAAATGGCCAAGAGACCTACTACATCAATAAAAAAAAAAAATCAAGCAATTACACCAAGACAATAAAAATACAATAAATTTGCTGGATGCGCAACTGCGCAGGTGCAAATTGCATAAAATAAAATAAATAAATAAATAAAAGGGCAGGACAGGCCTTAAGCAAGAAAGCCTGCCCATTAGAGATTGACCTGTGACAAACATCAATTCAATGAATCCACTGCCGAAACAAACATTTTTTCAAAGTGAAACAATCTTAATTTTACTTTTTACTCTTTCAGATCCCTCCGAAAAATTCAGCTACAATATTCAGCTATTTAGCCAATAAATATCAATATAAGTATGTTTAGTGTAAATAAATTTTTTTTAAATTATTTGTTGTTTTTGAGTACAGATCATAAATAAAAATTATTTATTTGATCAAATTCACTTTTCAATTAAAATAACAATAATAAAAGTGCCGGTTGTTGTTACTTTTTCAAGATGAAATTTTGTCTCACATTCCAGGGGTAGGGGTACGCCCCTTCCCTGGATCCGCTAGTGACTGTAACAATGAATGGATAGGCATGGTAATTATCAAACTTCATTTTAATAAAAAAAAAATATATATAATAATAATAAATAAAATAAAGGAGATAATATTAAGAAGTCTAAAAATAACTTATTTCTTATTTAATTAGTTATGATTTTTTAAATTTTCTCATATTTTTCATATACATGAATTATTATTCATATTCATATACAAAACTTATTAAAACGTGCAAAAACTTATTTTTCTATATGGCATTACAAATACCAAATTTAAACATTTAATTGTCCATTTTATAGGTCTATTGTGTATTTTTTAGTATTTTATTTCCATGAGATGTGATGTAGTATCTGATTCTTAACTTTACGAAATGTCATAAAAAGCTAATATGAGATGTTGGTTTAGTATGCTTTTATTTATCTGTTGTTGTTTAATAATCAGGTGTGAATAGTTTCTCCGAAATAGATAAGTAGTAGAAAACAAAACGTTTGGCTGAAGTAAGAAGAAAGTTGCTTAAGATTGGTCTGCAAAAGGTAATCGGAATGAAAGTAAGCGATAGTGGGAAGAAAAGAAAAGACTGAGATTCATGAAGAATCAATAACAGACTATAGAACAACTCTAATATACGTTTCAGCCAATGACGTAGGCTTTTATTAGGGACAAGCAAAACAAGGTACAACCATGAAATTAATAAAATGTCAGGGCTTATCATGGACCATCTAATTGCTCCCAATATACATTATATATGATCCATAATGATCTCGTTCATCTCATAATCACCCTATTTCCAAATGACATTCTCGCTCTTAATCCTGATAAAATTTCTGATATCCTATCTGCTTTTAATTACTACCATCCCCTCTCCCCCATTACGTTGAATGTGAAAATTAGTTAGTGTTATCCGGTTCATGTAAACCAAGTTCATGATAACAAGGGATAACTGTGTTCTGAAAGATTCTATTTTCCTTAAGAACTGCTCCAATATTATGCATCTCTTCTCTTGCTCCTAAATGTTACTTCACTATAAACTTAATAAATATGCCAGCAAAGATAGTGTACAATGAGTCAGCAAAGTTCAAACTTAATAAATCGTCTTTATTGAACGCACCCCATCTCATCCCTAACTTCTTAATTACAGCAATAGTCAACAATATCTCCATCATTATAAATCTTAATGTGTTTAATTGTAAAAACTAACCTCAAAAGCTGCTTAACTAGGTAAAAAAGAGGAACAGTAGTTAAGTATTTCTCCTTAGAATTAGTTTCCAAAGATGTGATTCCTTCGGTGAATTCTGTGTGTTCAGCTATAACAATATTGACAAAATTAATTTTACTTAAATTAAACCGGTGGTAATTATCAACATATGGATATATTGAATTTTAAAAGAAATGTTATGGATGCATTATAATAGCTTAAAATGAGCTCCTAAGGAAACATGAATCAATGATCAATGGTTTAAAATCATGAGTAACAAAATACACAAGTTGACCCATTCTATAGAATTTGAAATTTTTAGGAAATTTATGCTATGATTTCATTCATTATCTTGTCAACTATAGTATGAGCTAAGTTGTAAAAAAAAAATATTTTTATTAGAAAAAAATTGAAATGTGTTTCATATTGTTTTCTCAGCAAAATAATGAAAGTAAGGAGAATAATTACCTCTAATAGCAGCATCTAAAGAAATTTCCAAGCCACCATCAGCCATTAAACTTGATACTAATAAATCTGTCATAAAATGTTGGCCTTGGCTAACATTAGTATCATGCCAATCTAAAACATACAACAAATTTATGAAAAAATTAAATTGACACAATAATGAACCTACTTCACCAATGCAGTCTACTAACATAGCCAGCTACTTATTCTGTGGCTCAGCTGACCTATTCCAGTAATGCATTTTACTAACTGAGCCACCTACTCTCACAGTACAAAGATATATTAAACTGTCTGTTCTAGATGAGGAGGGAGCAAAGGGGAAAGAATTCCTGAAGTGTTCTAAGTAATTAGGAACTTATGAATCGTAACTTAATGGGAGGTGCAGAAATGGCCATCAAGAGCCCTTCCCCAGGTTAAAAAACCAATTCATCTAGGTCAGCATTCATCTCAATAGTCTAGTAAACTAGAAAACATAATAAATAATATTAATTTCCTAATCCATATGAACCTAAAAGTGGATAATAGAAAAAGAAAAAAAGAACCAAGAATTGTCACAGTTTATCTAATAAGAACATTATGGGTTTTGGGAAGGGGGGAAAACTGATATACTAAATGAAAGCTAAGACTCAAGAATTGATTACAGTAATCTCTCAACATTCCTGGATTTGACATCCGCCACTTTTGATTAAGTGCTAGTAATAAACTGTGGAAGAATAACACATTCGTGAATAGTGTATTTCACTACTTTGGTTTGATAAGTTAGTAGCTGAAATCTTTGTCTAAAATGATATTATTGGTGCTTCTGGCATTCTTTTGTCTAATGCCCATGAGGAACTAACTCTATCTGTGATCTGTTAAGAAATATCCACAAGTAAGATCTTAGGCACTCTGTGTTGTTACAAGGCGCTTTAAGATGACAACAACAACAGGTTTGGTTCTCAAATAAGTTGAAAGACTAAATACCTCCTTTGCACAGATTTTGATACATTAGATATTAGTATAAATTGACAAAATAGAACCTGATATTCATCTCCATCCTTACCATAACATAGTGAAAAAAAAATCATTAATAGTTAAATTAACTTTTGATTGCATTCTACTTTTTGGAGAAATGTACTCTTACCAGCAGCAGGTAAAAGCGATGATAAGGTTTTGGCTCTTTCATCTACAGTCGGAAGCAGAATACTCCAGCCAGCTTGTAAGGTAGCCTGTGCCGCAGCTTGGATTGTTTCAAGTACACCACTATTGCTGGCTAGCTCTACAACTACTTTCTTGAGATTCATTAGAAGACTAGAACCTGTTTCAAGGCCAACTGACTTCACATCAACATTATGAATTGTCATTGAGTGGAGCTAGAAAAAGTCCGAAAACATGAGATGTTTACAAAAGCAGAAACACAGAAATTAGATAAGAAATGCATTCAAAAATTAAGAAAGAAACAAATGGGAATTAGCTACTATATCAATTGATCAATACATAAAATTATAAAAATATTAAAAACGGAATGAAAACATAAATATTGAAAAATAAATAAATTAGCAAATAGGAATTAGGAACGAGATCTAAGTATGAAATAATAATTACATTTTTAGAACCTAAATTTTTCTAAATTCGGTATGATTTAATTTATATTATATAACTTTCAATAGTTCATATTTTAGATTTGAGGATTTTCAAGTATTATCTAAAACTTTTTAATTTAAAACACAAGTTTTTATTTTACATTGATATGATTAATAAATTACCTGTAATCGTAAAAGATTAAGAGTAGCAACAATCATGCACTCTTTTTGCTGAGGGGGAGGCCAATCAGAATTGCCTAGAGCGCCCTCAGAAGATTGTTGTAGAATTTGATCTAACCGTTCAATTGTTTCAAGACAAACATCAACTACAAATGGAACCCTTAATCCCACTCTCCAACTCTCACTTGTACCCCAAGCAAAGCTCTGTGAAATTGTTTTTAGGAATTAATATTGGTATATCTAGGAATCAATCTGCACAATCTCTAAAAATATCATAAAAATATGGGTAACATTATTATTTCTGTTTCATTGTTATGGAGATTACTTCAAATAATGATTTGACAATACATATTACAGTAAAGTAATAAATTACACTTTAAGGTGAAATAACTAAGATTTGATTTATTTTATTTATTTATTACTTTTTTTAAGTGTAAACTAAGACTAAGCTAATTTACCTGTGTAGGACCTGCAGCAATTCCTATGACGTATCCTGAAGAAAGTGCTGGAATGAAAGTTGGTTCATCGCTAATACTAACATCCCCCATCTGAGCATATTCTTTTTTACCCCATGCATAAACTTCCCCATTATCTGTCAAGGCTAATACGTGTACCATTCCAACGGCTACTTCTTTAATAACTTTACCTAAAATTATATATTACAATAATATCAATTTTATTAAATTAATTAATATAAATATTATGAGTCAAATATTCCTCTGTTCAAACTAACAGTAAATTTTAAAACTAATTATTATAAGTTGATATCCCATAATATTTATATACAGCTTTTCACTTATTAATATCATAAGCATATTAGTAAAAATAAAATAAAAGCCTGTATTAAAAATAATTACATTAAGATATTGAGACCTCTTTACAATAAGATATTATTAATCTTTTCGTTGCTGCGAATGACAGGCTTTAAGTCTATCGCAGTGCTAAATAAGACAGCTATCCACCTACCGGCCATTGCTTCATACTTTTTACATGCTTTCCACCCTTCATTATTGGTCCTTTACAACAGTCTGTAAACCTTATTTTATTGTTTCCATCCTCCTTTTTGATACGGACTGTGGACCGACTAACTCTGTTAGAGTTAAAACTTTTTTTTTATACTCTTAAATATTTATTTAATAATTCAATTTTGTATGGTTTTATCATTAGAAGAGAACAACTTTACAATTGTGGCGTTCTACTTTTTTTTTGTGACAAATATTTGTTTTAGAACAAACTAAATATCTTCTGTAGGTATATATATATGTTTTTCTTCTAATCCTCTGTTTCTCTCTTTTAAAGAAAATACTGAAGAAAAAAAAAAGAATAACTTATAACTAAAATAATTAATTTAATACGGTCACGTAACTAACTAAACTAATCCTATTTGATCTAATTTCTAACTAAAATAACTGAACTATGCTAAATAAAATTTATATAAACCCAAAGCAGTTGAACAGATTGTTGTTCCACAAAGAACGCAAAAACAAGAATGAAAATGGCCAAGAGAGCCAGAGAAAGGGCGGAGCAGGTAGTCACCCACAACAGTTTACGAATTCTACAAGAAATACTCCAAAATAAATCCCCACACCATCTGTAGGCTCTCGTTAGAGTAGCTTTATTTCACTAGGAATCCAGTAGAATGTAGCAAATTCGCGACTGTATCCGACATTAGCTAATGGAAAGAAAAGCAGTTGGACAGTGATAGTCGATGTTAGCACCGAGGGCAGGAGTGGGACTGGGCCGACTATAGCCATCATTAGCAACAGGAGCACGTTCTGTTGCTTCAGCTATAGCCATTGCTAGCAGTTAAAGAGTTAAAATAATTATATAAATTAAATTGATTAAGTAACAGAAGGACTAGACAGGGATGTGTGGGGAGTCACTACAAGACCCTTTTCTGAATGATCAGGCCTTAGTGCCCAACACATTGCTTGTGACTTCTCAGGCCTCTCTATCACTATCGATGTTTATTGCCACTTCGTGGGCATCGAACAGAACTCGGAGACCACAGAAATGTTGTCTATAATGACACGCTATACCCCATTGTACTTAGTTGGCTGCAGAGAAAGAAGGTATTATCTGCCTCTCTATTTACTCCCACCGTCATGGGACCAAGATGGTAGAGAAATTGTATTTTTATGATATTCCTTTATCCAAAGAACACTCATCTTCCTCGGTGCATTTTAATATTTCAGATATTTATTCAATAATAATTGATGAATCCTTGTTTGGGGTTCTTATCAAGACTTCAACCGAGAAAGTCAAGGACTCCAGGTAAAAACCGATACGCATTAGGACAGTGTGGCGACTACACTTCTGGCAGGCACAGTTACAAAGACTTCAGCCACCACTGAACAAGAAGTAGGTTACCTGATTCAGATACCTCTAAATCCAGCCCCTTACATTCAATTGTCAACCAGTCAGTAGCCGGAGACCATGCACTCAGGAAGCGAAATTGTAGGGACTCCTGAACTTATTTATAAATATATAAGTATACCTATATTAAAAAAGAATAATGATTTACCTTTAAAAGCAGAAATCAATTTTGGAAATCGGACATGTTCATCTGATGCATGTCCAAGTCTAAAATTGTCTCCTTTTCCCCATGAATACAGTTCTCCAGATGTTGTAAGTGCAAGACTGAATTGGTTACCACAGAAAACCCTAACAACATGGATACCTTGCAGCCTTTCAACTAATTTCGGTAATTTACTTCCATCACTGCCACCTCTACCTATATTAAAAATAAAATAAAACAAAACTATAGACTAAAAGATATATTTGGAATAACAATGATCACACAAATTTTAAACTTTTCTGCATAAATAAAGAAGCAGAACGCATAGAAACCATCAATTGTTGATATTTTTCTATCTGAATTATTCTGGGACATAAAGTTTCCGAAGAATAACAATAATGTACATTAAAACAGCATTTGTCTGGCGGAGGAAGCTTTGTGAATGGAGTTAGGTAGGAAATTCCAAAACAAGAAAGTTCAAATTACAAAAGATTTTTCAACTGAAGCTGTTCTGCAAGAAGATATATGCTAATTGGTTGGGATCTCATATTTAAGGGGTGGGTGGAAGAATGCAGGGTGATGAGATCAAAAATATAGATTTTTTTTTTATTCTAAAGGATTGGAATAGGAAGGAAGGTATTGACCTCAGAAATTAGGAAATCACCAGTCTTACTCAGAAAAACTGTGAGATGTGGAAGCATCAGGGAATAACAAAAATAAATCTTGTGGAACAATTAATTAATTTTGTCAGTCTTATCTCATACTCACTAGTTAATCCTCCAGACTCTAGGCAACTATAGTTTGGGGAAAAAGGGTAGAAACTAGGAGAAGAAGGATACTTTGGGGTAATGGACCATAGAACCCTAAGAGCTGTTTGAACATTGAAATAGATTTATTCGGAACATATGGTAATCCCAGTTTAATCAATGATCAAATTAAATAAATTTTTCATTCACATCTGGAGTTGAATATGGACCCAAAGGTAATCCAGCACCTCAAATCTTCTTAAAATACTGTGGGATTTAATATTGTTAATTTTACCAAGTCAGGAGATTAAAAAAATAAATAAAAGATAATGAATACAAACTAAAAAAATAAAAATAAATATAATAATTTCTAATGACTGTCAAATCTTACCTAACTTCCCATAATCTCCATCACCCCATGAATAGACCGAACCTAAGTCAGTCACAGCTAATGTTTGGGCGTCACCACTTCCACAAGCAACATCAACTATATGCAGTCCTGAATACAGAAATAGCAAAAAACATTTAGATTGAATACTCAATAGCTTGATTGAGGAAAGAGTTGGTCCAGGGATGAGCATCACCTCTAGAGCATATTTTTACACAAAAAATATTTTTTTTTTTAATTTAACTTAAAGCTTATAATAAAATAAAATGATATATCACATCGAAGCACAATAGAGATGAATATACCATTTATATTTAGACAAAAGAAAATTAATGATACAAGATGAAGACAGAACAAAATGAGTAACCTATACCTGAAAGTAATATTTATTTTTAGACAGCAAAATTCTGAATCTAGCAAGTTTCTCACTTATAATGAGCATAACAGGAGATACCAGTGCTTCTATCTCAATGATCTTACTTGAAAGTCAGCAGAGGCAGATTGAGGACAGTATACCTGTAACTACTCATGGCAAGAGTAAAGATACTGGTCAGTCCAATTGCATATTTACAAAAGATTTGGAAGTCAATATTTTTTTTTTAATATACTTAACATTAAGATACATACATATGCTACATCGATGGCTCAAGAAACCATTTAGTGAGACTGGTCTAATCTAAGAGCCTCCACTAACTGGCTATATTCTGGGCTACAGTTGTCCAATTTCTACTGCTTAGGAATGTCCTCATATCAGTTACCACTCTATCAAACCAGTTACTTTGTCTCAACCAACTTTTTTGGTTTGATGGAGTTCTTGAGTCATTAACTTTTTCAGAATCCTATTGTTATTTATAAGACACATATCTGGCTCAATGAAACCATTGTATTTCAACAAACTAACTTATGTCTATCATTATTTCAAACATCTTAGATCCACAGGGGAGAATGGGAAACTCTGTTTTTTAGAGAGTTTTGATTTTATTAGATAGGAACTTACTTCTTAACTGGTTCGTCGTTTCAATATGGAGCCCATTAGCTGCAGTGACCATTCTGTTATTTACAGAATGATCACAGCGATTCTCAAAAAATTCTCGAAAATATCATTCTTAGAATTAAGTTCTGTTCCCAGATATACTAAGGAATTCACTCTTGGGAATTTGTTTTCTTCAATTCAATTTCTATGTATGTTCCCTGAACTGTTTTTCCACTAGCATCCATGTATTTTATTGATTAAAAAAACAATCAAAATTCAATGATATACCTCTCAAAAGCTATAAATGCTACTGATCTGGCAACTATGTCAAAATCATCAGCAAATCCAAGAATCTGGATTAATCTATTAAAAAGGTTGGCTCCTACTAGTATTCCTGATTTTTGGATCATTATTTTTTATGTAGAATTAAAAAGAAGGAAAGAAAGTGCATCTTAACAAAAGATATAATCTGTTGTTGATCTCCCTCTTCTGAACCTCCTCTTAGACCAGGGGACAACTTTTTGGTTTGCAGACCACATTGAGGCCTCCAATAAGTCCCGCAAGTTGCATTAAGGCCTCTGCTAAGTATCGCAGGCCGCATAGGGACCTCCACTAAGTCCCGCGAGCCATGGCTTGCGATGAATAATTGACACTTCAGTTGTGAAATAAGCTTTTTAAGAAAAACAACTCATGCAATAAAAGAAGTACTCCCTGTAGAACCTCCTGTTTGAGTGATTTGCAACATTTTGTATTTTTTAAAATAATTTTAAAATTTTATCATGTAATCAACGAAATCTTCATGGGCCAGATTGGAAGTACTAGTGGGCAGGATCTGGCCCACAGGCCGTAGTTTGGAGACGCCTGTCTTAAACCAAGCTCTGTTTTAGAAAAAAGTATAAAGTTCTCAAGTGGAATATTTCAATGCACTTGGTAAGTGAAAATTAGGAGAACAATTTCTTGGTAGTTAGCACATTTCAATTCATCTCCCTTTTTGTGAAGTGGGCATACTATTCCTAGATTCTAGCCTCCAGGGATCTGCTCTTCAGCCCAGACCAAAAATATTAGTTCATAAATAGCTTTTACTAACTAAACCATCTGAGCCAAGGGGATATGATATTTTTCAGCTTATGAATAGCTTTTCTAGATCTTTTCCTGCAGAGGGTTCCAAGCCTTTCTCCTTTTCTTGATTATCATTATCACTATGACCTATTCCAGTGATAATTTTTTTTTTTAAATGGTTCACCCATCCTTCCCGAACACTCTTGGAGTATAGAATACTTGTCTTAGCAAAAAGTAGCTCTCGGTTTGAATGAAACATAAGAAACACAGTCCATTGAATTTATATGAATTTTATTTTTACATCCTATAGGTTTTATTCTCTGAGTTCCTTTTTTTTTTTTCACCTTCATTTATTTTTTTTTAGCAAGCATGGGATGAATTTCTCATATATTGATGTACCTTTTTTTAAATATGTATAATAATGGAATGAGTCTGAAATTTTTTTTTTTTATGTTTGAACTTATTTAACTGAGGAATCGTAATTCCTCTCTTATTTATATTCGGGGGCTATAAATTGTGATATGAAGTTCTTGTCTCCTATTCTGGCTCTGTATTTCTTTACCTTTCCTTTAACTTTCTTTAACTTTGTTTACTATGACCGTTAAGTATGAAATTCTCATAATTTTGATCTATTATTGGAAACAGAAGTTTTCAGCAGCTGAGGCCACTGGTTTAATATGTGAATTTGAGAATAAAGGCTCTTTAAATAAAATGAAAGAGGACAGTGAGAAGTTGATTTCGAAAACTTAATGAAAGTGATGTGAGCCTTGAAAGGAAATCAGGATCAGAGCATGGTTCAATAGTCATCAAGGAGCAACACTGCTGTCGAAGATCTTTCGAAAAGCACTCGTGAGTCGTCAGCTGAACTCATAATCTACTGTGAATCAACACCTGTGAGAGTTGGGAAAAGCGAAACATACATGACAAGAGGTACCCCACCTGCTTACACCCAAATAAGCTTAATGTCATGTGGAAATTTGTTAGATGCTTTAAAATTCGATTACTAATTGTTTCATCAAAAGAATCGTCAAGGACCTATACTTTCTGTATTTTAGAATTATAAAATTGTCACTAAACTACAGGTTCATACCTGAAGGTCGCTCCATTAATTCACAGCTCTATTTGAAACAACTGCAGAGAATGCACAATGTTTTGGTTTAAAGATATCCAAGTTAGTCAACAGGAAGCAAGGCTTTTTTCAACAAGATAACGCCAGACCCCACACCTCTAACCATCCAAAAAAAAACTAGCTGATTGGAATGGAATCGAGCTTTTCCCACACCCAGCATATAGTTCAGCACTATCATACCATCTGTTCATTTCCTTCATGGAAAAACATTTACCAACTTGAATGGAGATGAAAAAGAGGTGTGGGAGTTTTTCAATTAATAACTCAAAAAGTGGTTACATCAAGGAATTCTATAAGTTACTTCCAGACGGTGTCAAACGACAGAGCATAATGGTTTAAAATTTGATAATTAAAATTCACATAAATAGTAGGAAAGTAAATCTTAATTTTTACCTATAAAATAGTTTTTCTGACTTATACCATTATTTCTTTGATATTGCTTCTTGAACTTCATAAAACCATGAAGCTCATAAAAAGGACATCTTGTCAGGTGCTTAGTTCAAAGAATTGACTTTTGTAAATAGATTATTACATTGACATGAACTGAAAGAATTAGATGGCTTCAATGACTGAAAATTTTATTACTTTGATTCAATGGCTTTAAAGTGCTCGACTACTCAAGATTAGATGTCTGGCGGTAAAAGGTTGACAGATATGTCATATTACATATTACATATTACACAAATAAGGATGACAAATAGTAAATAAATGTAGAATTTGAATAAACTAAAAAAAAGTTACATAAGTTTATTTCATATCGTTAGTAAAGAATAATTAAATACTTTTTTAATGTTTATTCACCTTTTAGAGCAGAAACTAATGTAGGAAGACTGACATCTTCACTACTACCATGGCCTAATCTCCCATAGTTACCACGTCCCCATGTGTAAAGTTCACCACGTTCAGTAACAGCAGCACTAAAATCAGAATTTAAAGATAGATCGAATCAAAATATCTTTATGCCTAAGCCAAATTTTTTAAGTACCTGTAGCTACTACCAGAAGAAATCCTTGTAACTCTATGGGAAGCCAAAGCTTGAATAAGATGGGGTTCACTTCTGGACTTGGTATCACCATGGCCTAATCTTCCACCATCACCCATTCCCCAAGAATAAACTTCTCCTTCAGAAGTAAGAGCTAAGAAATGTTTACCATCAGCTCTGCATGAAATATCGATGACGTTTTTATCACTCAATGCTTCAATTTGTTCAGGGCACTGGAGTAAAATATAAAAATTAAAACTTTTATTTCAAGTATATCTATCTATATATATATAATTATAAATGTAATGTACATTCAAACATCTATATGAACAATAAAAATCCTTACCAGAGCTTCACTGTTAATAGAAAGTAAATAGACCTGGTGATTGACAGTCAAAATTAGGACTGATTTCTCAGAACAAGACATTTTTGTAACTCCTATTTCACCTAGTTGATTACAAGCCTCATGGCTCCATGGGACCCATCCCCAGGTTCGAACTTCTTGAAAAAGTTTTGTACTCTGAAAATTAACATATATCTTAATGTTTATTAAAAGAAATATTTCTCGTTTGAAAATAACTAAAATTACAAAGTAAAAACCTCTAGAAATGTTGGAGGCGGGAGATATGGAGTTGCTAATCTATCTAAATGAGCCATAATAACAATAGCTGCTAACTGAAGGTCCACGGGTTCTGAATCATCTGATGGCATATGGAGGTAGCGTAAAAAACATTCTGTAGCACTTACCTAAAGATATTCAACATTCATAATACAATGGCATATAATATTTTAATGCTAAATATAAATATTATAAAATAATTACACAAGATGTTTCACTCCATGTCTCATTATTTCTATTTCCTTTAAAAGATTCTATATTTGCCAGTCGTTTAAGTAATGGGATAAGAGGAGGGTTTTCAACAGAAGAATCATGTCTGTAAAAGATTCATAAACATTTTTTAGCCGTTGAAAGATTCATACACCATTTCTTTTTTAATTGTTGTAAATTCTATACAAATATTAAAGATTATTTATTAACTGCTATTAATAAAAAAAAAATTGAAAATTATTTCACAATGGTTTATTTTTTCCAAACAATTATACATCTAAAGTAACAATACCTTCCTAGTAACAAAGAAAAAGAAATAAAAGGTGATTCCAATTATTGGCCTAAACATTTTATTCTTCATCATTAGTAATTTGCTAACAAAAAAATATCATTACTTCAGTAACACATTCAAAAATCAAAATCCAAAATAAAGGATATAAACTTTGCAGTAGAATGTATAAAAAGCATCTAGAGACCATACCTCCAAATTTACCGATTTTAACAATTTTTTTTTTTTTTTTGGAAATTTCATAAACTTTCAAATAACCATATACACTATCAACAAAAATTTGTATACTTTTTAAGTTATTTGGAATCTAATTTTACCATCCCTTGTAACTTTTTTCCAGCTTCTTTTCATGTTATAAAGATAAATTTAAAGGGCATCTTGAAGAAGACTTTAGCCAAGTTTCATTAAAATCGGTACATTCGTTTAGACGCTAGTCTGTAGCAACGCAGGTTTTGTGGCCGCTATCTTGAAAGAAAAATGCAGATAGTAATGTCGATGAAGGAGGATCATCCTATAGAGGGTGACCTCTGACTTTAAATCCAAATTTTAAAAAAATCGGTCCAGTAGTTTCGCAGAAAATGCAAGGACTGCGGACAGACAAAAAAATTTTTATTTGTTTTTCGAATTCGAGTATCCTGAAACATAAAACCTCAAATTTTGAGAGGGGGTTAAGTTTTTGAATTTTTAGTTCGATTATAATGGTTCATTATTAAAAATAATAAACCAAAATAATTAAATCAACCATTTCTAAGACAATGGATGAACTCTGAATATGTAATCAAAGTTAAGAAACAATAGGCAAACTAAGTGGATCGGTGACTAATACAAAATAGGTGACAATTTTCCATGGAAAGTAAGATTCCATCCAGCCAGCTCTATTCAGTTTATGGGGATAATTAGCCTATTGGAGCCAAAACTCCTCATTCAACTCATTGTATGCAAAATCAACCCCAAAGAGGCTATTGAGCTTCAGGTGCCCTGTTTCTGTCATCCAAACCATGATCCATAATCATTGTGTAAGAGTGGGTGATGTTCTCCAGACTATGTGTGTTCCCAAAAATAATAAGAAGGCCATACAGTATGGCCAAAGATACTCAAGGTATATCTCTGGATATTATATAAAATAGAAATAATTAAAAAACATTTTAACAAGTGATGTTACAAATTTAATAATTGCAAAAAGATAAATAATCATGAAGAAAAATGAATTGTTTCAAAACATCAACCACTTAGAATTTAAAAAAAGGAAACTTAACAGATCATAAATATAAAAAAATTGTGTAAAAAGAAATATGATAACAAATGTTTTGTTGGAGTAATAACAGAATTACACGATTTTGAGAAGTAAGTAATTCATAATATAATAGAATTTGAACCCTGAGCCTTAGATCAATGGTTGTACTTAATCTTTATCATTATTAAAACAAAGTTTGTACACTTCATTCAAGAGCTGGTGCTTAAACTTGCATATCAAGAGAGATTAAACATCTTGTAATTAAAAGGCATATTAGTCTCCCTACAAGAACTTTCGACTAAGAGTTAATCCAATGCAGCCTAATGTCACAATAACCCAGCAGGCTGAAGAAATGACATTAGGTTCCCTCACAGTTGATAAACAAATATCTACTTTTAATTTTAAAAATTCCATGGTGGTTTAAAGGATTTATCCACAGTTCTTCAGCCAGCATAGAGACATTTCAGTAAGTTTTGTTTCAGACTGAAATTATTAATTATTAAATCCCATTAATAAATACAAACAAAATATAATTTTATCACCTGTTGTCTCTGTTGTCAGTTCTTTTATTCCATAATCGAAGAAGCAATAGAACTGCTTCTAATAAATGACTTAATGTTGCTCTTTGAACAGCCAATTCAAGAAGGAGACACAAAGCATAATGTTGATCAAGTAGAGGTATATCCTGCGATGGTGATGAATAATTATCATCCCTAAAAATGAAGGAAAATCAAAAGACATACATAAAAAATAATAAAAGTATTTTACGACTGAAGATGATTGAGGAGCACATACCCAAAAACAACTTGGCGCAAAAATTTTGTAGAACGGTCAACAACTTCAAGCCAAACAGAAGAAACTCCAGCATCATCAAACAAGTTCGCTTCTGGTAAGGACTGTAAGGCTTCTAATGATTCCTTTAGAATTTCAGTACAAAGATCAGAATCTTCACCTTTAAAAAAAAAATAAAAATAGTGTTTACCATTAAAAAATATATTACAATTTTCAATGAATAAATATAAATGTAAAATGAACTTCAAAATTGGTAGTTTGCAGTCAATTATTTCTTGAAATATTAGAGAATTCAATTACCAAGAAGATAAGCTGACAATTGAATCAAGAAAGATAATGGATGATTTAATAATAATTACAAAAAAGAAAGTAAATAAGGAGAGGGCATATATGGGATGAACCAAGGACTTACACTAATACATTCTGGTATGACTAGGAAATAAAAGTGAAAGAGCAAGCTATTGATTTTGATGAATAACAAACAATTTTGATCATGAATTCGTCTCTTGTCATAAATCACTAATTCATGCTAGATATCCATCTTTACAAAATAAGAACCATATGCTGATTCACTGTGACTTGCATTGAATTCCATGTTGAACCATCAAAACCTTCGTCAAAAGAAAGGATAAAGGTAAGCCAAGAATAAATGAAGTGATATGACTTAAGAAGAAAAGTAAATTTTATAATGGGGTATGCAGCCCCCCAAGAATAATTATAATGTACTTAATTGAAGATGATTAACTTGAACTTGTCTGGAGTACAAGTTAATCATCTCCTTGTTGTTAATTTAATTACGTTGTTATTGAGTCTTGAAAATTAAAATAAAGAAAGGCACAAGTTAACATCCGAATTATAGTCAGATTTATAAGAGTGTGTAGATATCTGTAAGAGAACAGTAAAATAAGGTGACAGCTCTAAAAAACATAAAAATAATACTCTTACACATATTTGGAAGATTGATTGCTGAGGATTTGCATACGGAAGTAGGTAGGGAATTCCAAAATAAGGTAGCACGTAGGAGAAAGTATTTTTTAAAGGAAACAGTTCTATGAGAGGGTATAAACAGGATTGTGGGTTGGGATCTCGTGTTGAACGAATGGACAGACGAGCAAGGAGTAAACAGATCAAGAAGATAAGGTTTTTTTTATGTAAAGGTCCACTATATAAAAGGCAACCATAATCGAACTGAAGAAAAATTAGAGAGGAAACTAGGAGCTAGTGGGTTTTTAGGGGCAAACAATCACAGAATCTTTGAAACTGTTTTAGGGTAGCAATAGAATTTTGGAAATATGATTGTTCCAGGAGAGATATTGATCGAAAATTACTCCAAGATTTCTAACGGAATTATGGAAATGAATAGGTAATAAGGGATGGAATCGATATGATGCTTGGAGCCAATGAGAATGGCTTTGATCTTCTCAACGTTAAACTTTAAATCATTGCTCGCTACCCAAGTGGTAATAACATCTATATCCTCCACTAACCGTCGAATCGTCTCAAGCATCTCGGTAGGATGAAAGAAAGGTATATTTGAAGGTCGTCAGCAAAAAGGTGGTATTGTGAATGATGGATGGAATCAGGAATTGATGTGATGTAGATGGAGAAAAGAGTTGGAGAGAGCGAGGATCCCTGCGGGACACCAGGTGCTAGTAAGAGGAGGAGGAAGGAGCTTTATTGGGAATGATGACTGTTTGGGATCTGTGATATAAGATTGTATTGAACCACTTTAGGACACTATTTGATATGGAAAGGTTTTGGAGTTTGGAATGAAGGATTTTACAATTAACGGAATCGAAACTTTTTTAAAAATTGAAGAGGGCTAGGATAGAAATTTTCTGTTTGTCTATGGAGAATGAAGGTCTTGGGGTATTTTCAATAGAGCAGATTGGGTGGAGAACTGGGATTGGAATACAGACTGTAGGGGATTGAGAAGAGCATTTTGCTCAAGGAAGGTATTTAGCTGAGAATGGACCAGTCTTTCGAGAGGCTTTGAAAGATTGGAGAGAATGGAGATGGGTCTGAAATGGGAAACTTTGGAGGGAACTGGAACTTTGCTCAAAGGGCGGACTATAACTTTTTTCCAGGCTGATGGGAAACAGGAATTTTGAAGTGAAAACTTGTAAATATGTAGTAGGATAGTTAATATGACTGGAAGACATAATTCGATAAATTTTACAGGAATTAGATCCGGACCGTAATTATTCGTTCTGGATTTGAGGACAGAGACGAGTACATCCTCTGGTGAAATAGAAATTTGTAGGATCGAAGAAAGTTTTTGGAAGGTGATATGATGAGGAGAGCGGTACAGAGACAGGATCAGTAACTTAGGAGTTCAGTTGATCAGGAGAAATAAGATAGGAGGTAAAGGTTTTGGAATTTACTATGGAGAGATTTTTGAGGATTTTCCATTTGGACTTAGGATCTGGTGCTTGTCATAGGAAAATATGGAAGAATTGTGCCTTAGCACACCTTAAGGAAGATTGGGTAAGATTTCAGAGAGTCTTGAAAGATATGTAATCTTTTAGATTACGTGTGCGTCTGAAGCATCTTCTAGCAGCGTCTCTACTCTTCATCAACTCTCTGATTTCAAGATTCATCCAGGGAGCAGCAGGGTGTCTGAAGGTAGAGGAGCGTATTTACTCAGGAATATGGAGGAGATTGGAGGAAAGACATTCTACTATCATCAATGGAGGAATAGGAGTAGATGGGAACTAAGGATTGGGTTTCCGAAACAGCAATATAATAAAAATTATGCAGAAAATAATCAAGGAATTCATAAAAGTGGGCTGGAAGAGATTGAGAGTTAACGTGACAAGTTAATAGGATATTAGTCACATAAGGAAGAGGAAAGATATAATTCAATCTGTACAACAGTAACTTATAACATGTTTTGTCCACCATTAAGAAAACAAGGATAGAGTGGTTGAGCAGAAAATTAATAATAAATCCCCACAAAATTATTGAGGAGCGTAGAGGAGGAAACAAAAAAAAGAAGACCAATGTTGCACTGAGTTGAAGATGTAGAAACAGACTTGAGGATGATTGAAGTGGCGAAGGACAGGAAACCTTTTTCCTGACGTATTCCTACATGGACCATAGATATTGGAGAAAGAGATAAGAAATTATCGATAAATAAACAACTTAAAAACTGTGCAACTGGATTTACATTACAGATGTCTTAGTTAAATGATATTTAAAAAAAAAAAACTAACCTGATCTCCAAGCACGTCTAAGAAATGCAAATGAAAAATTTAGGGCAGCTCTGGTGCCAACTTTGGCCAATCCTGCAGAAGCATTTTCCACCAGTTTTATACTAAAATGAAATTGTATAGATTTAAATGCAAGAAAATACAATACCTGAGACAGGAGTCTCCAAACTAGAGCCCACAGGCCAACACAAAGTTACTACATTTATTGTATGAGTTGTTTCTTTTATTAAGCTAATTTTACAACTGATGTATTATTTACTAGTAGGCCCATAAATTTCTTTTCTTTCATAACTTTTTTGCCTGAATTTTCGAGGTGATTGGACTATTTTGCCCGCCTGAAGAAGGAAACCTTAAAATTGGTGGCTCAATCTTGTGATTTGGTGAAGAATTAACAATGATGTGGCTTTAACAAAAAACACCTTCGATAAATAATATAAACTCCTCCTCTCTCGGAAATAAGGGCCTCAAGTCGACGAAAGGAGACATGTATTCCATGACAGTACTACAATTAATGTAAGGTTGTGTGAATGCGAACCCTTTGCCTTGCATTATCTCGAAAATAATACGTTTTTGGACTTAAGAATGCAGGGCTTGCTGTACGCATCAAAATCTTCGAAGCCCGATTTTTCCCATATCGATCTACAGACTTACCACCGTTCCAGTATTGAAGCCTAGCAAAATGTTTGCATCAACTTAATTTATTTTAGAAAGAAAAACAAAAGCGGAGATTACGATTCCCTAAATCCCTGTGAAAGTCTGAATCCGACGATACCCCATTCACGGTATTTGAGCATGACAGGAGCTTATGTATACAAAACTGATTTCGAGCCTTACTGTAATAATTTAAGTGGGGATAGAGCAAGATTGTTTTTTTCGTCACAATCCATGGCCTGCGGGACTTATAGGTCTCAATGTGGCCTCCGGGACTTGGTGAAGGTCTCAATGTTATGGGCCAAAAATCTCCCTCTTCTGAACCTCCTCTTAGACCAAGGGTCTCCAAACTTTTTGGCTCGCAGACCACATTGAGGCCTCCAATAAGTCCCGCAAGTTGCATTAAGGCCTCTGCTAAGTATCGCAGGCCGCAAGTTGGAGAACCCTGCCTCGGACAACTGAGTACATTCTAGTGACAGTACACCTTGTCTAGTAGAGTAAGATCCCATGTTCACAGCATAAATAGGATTCTAAGAAAGTTGAAGATTAAAGTATACAGGATAACCTAACTTTATAAAGATCGCGATTTACGAAGCCGAAAAAACTCCTAATTGGTTCTTTTCAGTTGGGGTGTTAATTAGCTTTAGTTACAATGCTGCTTTCGAGTTCAACTCGCTTTACTCCTTCAAAAAGGATCAACAAACCCAAACGGGATCTTTTTAGTTTAGGGTGTAGCTTTACCAAACAGTTCAGTCACTCCAGTATACTTTCAGACACATTCCAGCATTCTCAGGATACCAATTTACCAGATTAGGATACTGTGTGCAAGACATGTGTTGCCCAGAGCAACCTATGATAAACCAAAGTTTGCTAGTTCAAAGTACTGGGAGGACTTTTTAAGCCTGGCATAATTCCCCTGCCTTCTCCCCTGGACCGGTAAAAACCCTGAATAGCCTAGAAAGGCTAGGAATTGGAGAGAAAAAAAATACCACTTATGGTGTGAACATGAGATCTTGTACCATTCATGAGAGTGGAGTGAAATTTGTACATTAATATCAACAACTGATATAAAAAATTACTTTTTTTCAGTAATGAACAATGAGTTTTTAGCTTGATGCGACTGAGATTTATCACAGTATTTAGTTGGCTCTGAAGGTCTTTGTCTTCCAAGAGCTACGAAGTATCTATGTGATATCATTAGCCTTTGTCGAAGTCTGCAAGATGACAAGGCACTTCCAGCAATGAATCTACAGAGTTCCCGTTGTTCATAATGAAGTGAGGACAAACTAGCCAACAAATCTTCATGTTCTATAAAATAAAGCTGAGTGAAATATCCGATAGATTAATACACATAATAAAAGTTAACAATCATTGATAATCACTTTGATCTGCAGCCCAGGTCCAAGAATTCAAAACTTTTTGAGAAGAAGTAGGTTTCGGTTTGTTTTTTAACTGTGGAGCATCTGTGGATAGCTGTTGGCAAGGACTACAATTACATCCCCTCTGAGGGCCACAGACTCCATCACAACATGTACAATTCAGTACTCTTAATCCACAATAGTAGACACCATTCTCACCTGGTAAAATACATTTATTTAGGTGAGTGAGTATTCATGAACATACCAAATTTTAATTGTGAAACCACTAATTAAAATAAAAAAACACAATGCAATCATCAAACCTTTATGAGCTAGAGCTCCAGCAGAATTTAATAATGACTGACTAAATTCTCCAAAAAGTTCTCCATCCTTAACCAGCTCATTCCATGAATGTGCTAATTGAGGTCTTCTAATAGCTTCTTGAAGATCTGTTTTCAGCCATTTTGTATCAAAACGAGAATTTGTAATGATATTAACATCTAAATAGGTACTCATGTCGTAATAAATATGCCTATTCAATACAAATAAAATTATTAACAATCAAAATTTAATAAAAAATATAACAAGGTAATGAAAACAATTTACCTAACAATCAACTGACAGATACTTTAAAAGTTTACTAATATTAATTAAAATGAATAGTAAATTGATAGCACTAGTCTCCATTTTCTGGAAGGAAATTGCTTGTTAATAATAATTAATCAAAATATAATACTTCAAGGCATAGCTCCAAATAAAGTTTAAGTTGACAATTCCTTGGCCGATTTGAAAACAGCGATAAACTAATCTTTACATCTCTAGTAACCGATGATAAACAACAAAGAGGTTTTATTGTATTGTAGATTCTGTGTGTGTAAAAACATGCTTGTTCTAAAGTCTGAAGTATTATTTCTTACGAATTTTACGACCAACATAAATTCATTTTTATACCTCTAGAATAGATTTCAATATAAGATGAGAATTAATGAGTAGTGTCAAATCAATTTTTTAAGTCATCTCAGTAAGTATAAGCTTTCAGGTATTACTTATGTTATTTACTGAAGTTCATTAAAATCCAATCATTGGAAGTGCTAAATGGAACGTATCCACTCAAATTACTGATATACATACTTCCGGGTCTGAAACATTATGAATTAATAATTGGAAATGACACTACCAATATAATATGGCAGTATAAATTACATTTCTGACTATGGATAGATTCAGGAGTGATGTATTTTGACAAACGAGTTGTCAAAAGAAATGAAATTTCATGAAGAAGTGACGAATCCCAAATTCGTACTAAAACACTTATAAAGTCATTGAAAAAAATAGTATGTTTTAAAACATAGATGTTGTTAAGTCTACAGTTGTGAAAGCCGAGCATATTAAAGCGATGCCGTTTAAACATTCTCGAGTCTAGCGACGCCGCACAGTGGGCTGATTCAGGTAAACTAGCGGGACAAAAGTCAAAATATCGATAATGAATATTTATTTATTGGCGGGTAGAAATTTATTCCATTGCGGACCCTTAGCATGAATTTCGACCTTTCCACTCTGGTTAGAATAGTTTGGAAACTACCTCTGAAAGAAACCTTCCCGCCCCCCTTATGTTAGAAATGGCGGTGAAGTAGAAAGTTATTGGGAAAAAAAGTCCACAGATTGAGGTGGAACAAATTTTATTTTAAATATTTCGATGAAAATTTCAAGCCCGGCAACGTTCTTTTAGGGCGTACAGGCCTATGTATTTAAAAGACTTAAAATGTACCGTTTTCGAGATGAACCATAGTTATTGCCAAAAGCTTCCTTGGTAACACGGTTACCTTGGGGTACTTATCACATGTCGGTTAGGTTTCAAAAAATTAAAATATTTTCGCCATCTATCGCCGGTTCCATTGATCAACTGATAATTCTTTTCCATCTTCTTGGGCCTTCTTCAATTCTCATCTTTATATGTTCCGGTAGATCCCCCGAACCTTCTCTTTTCATTTTAAAGTAATAGTCTTCTCGCAGAAGGAGATCGAGAGGTGTCTCCTCCTCCTGCTATTACTTGCACTGCCTCATGAGATACCGTTCTATAGGGTCTAGTGACCAGAAGTAGAGCCAATCTTTGAATCGATGCTAGCCTACTCTTCTGTCGGTGCTAGAGGTTTAGGTTACAGGCTGGGGACGTATATCTCAGAATACCCAAAACTACTCTTTTGTACATAGTCATTATAGCGGGGTATCTATTACCCCAGAACGCGCCTCTGACACGACTGAGTCCAATTAGGGCCACTGTGACTCTAGTTCTCGTATAGTCCAGATGAGGAGTCACATTGAACTTTTGACCAATTTTTATGCCAAGGTAGGAGACAACCTCACTTGGACATACCCTTTCTTTTTCCATACTCAACATAATATTATGTACCCTGTCAGTCGTGCTCCTCAAGACAATTGCCTGGGTCTTTGACATCTTCCTCTCACACCATCTTCCTACCAAACTGCTATGCTATTTGAGACAATCACGGCGGCCAAATCGTCAACATAGGCCGTGGCAGGAAACCGCTTCTCTTCGAGTTTCTCAAGACTAGTTTCCAGAAGGCAGGACCCAGATCAGATCCATGCGGGCAGCTCTTCTCGACGGTATCTTATACTTCAAAGAATCTGCTCCTAATTTTCAATGTCCGGTCCTGGAGGTAGCTTCTCACTAGGTCATACAGGTTACTTGTAGTCTCATATTTGTGGAGTTGCTGGAGACCACTAGGCCACCAAACGCTGTTAATGCAGAGGATATGTCGAACAAGAGAAGTATAATATACCTCTCCGTTCTTTCTTCTAAGTCTTGACGCACTCGCAATATGGCATCTGCGGTTTCCTTACCTTTAGTGGATCCATATTGCCGTGGATAGCTCGATCTTGATAAGACTGGCCGAAGGTTCAAGAGCACCAGGTTTTACAATACCTTGCTCATTATAGGGAGGAGACAAATAGACCTATATGGTTTGGCGAGTTGGTTGTCCTTGTCTCTTCCTTTGTAGAAGAGTCTAACATCAGCAATTTTCCAGCTTCTTGGATAGTTTCTCCTATCTAGGCAGTCGTTGAGAAACGCAAGCAGCCTATTCTCTAAATCATCATCATCATCACAGATACTACAAACCGGTACGGGTCTTCGCCGCATCAATGCGGATCTGCCAAGCTCTAGTGTCCAGAAGCTTCTCTGCGTCGGCTTCGATCTCATCTGCCCATCTCAGTCGTGGTCGTCCTCTCTTTCTTCTGACATCCACATACCCTAACTGTAGCCGCTTTATTGGTGATTCCCTATCCATCCTAGCAACGTGCCCAGTCCATCTTAGTCTAGAGAGCCGTATAAATTGCACCAGGTCTCATGAAACGACATTGATAGATTCCCACCTCTCTTTCTGCATGCGGAAGTAGCCTCTGATAGATGACGTTAGATAACACCTTATATGTGCAATTGAGGAGAGTTATACCATGGTAATTATTGCACATATTCCTTACGCTGGGCATTCACATTCTTGTAGAAGGCTCTTACATCCGCTTGACTCCTTTGTTCTTAGATTTCCTTTATTTTTTGTTGTTTTTTTTCCCTCTTTTTCCTTCTATGAATGCATTTCTCTTCTCGCCTTCTGTCTTTATATTCCTTAACTGCTTAGCGAGTTCAGCGCCTCTCTATCATTCTCCTATACGCTTCGTGTTTCATGTCTGTCGTTGCCTGGCACTTCGAGTCAAACCATTCAGATCATTGTTGGGCTCCCTTCATACCCAAACCCTCTTCTGCAGTTTGCTTGATAGCAAATTTGCAGTGGTTCCATCTTCCGTTCATCGTATCTTCATAAGGGCCTCCTTCTAAAGCTTTATAAAGTCTCTGGGTGAATTCTTCCTTACACTCTGGTTCACTTTGTTTCCGAGTTTTAATCCTTTCCATCTGAGCTCCTTTCGTTTTATGAGCATTACTTATTCTGGCTCGAATTTATGATATGACCAGGTAGTGATCACTGTAAACATTCGCTCCTCTGAATGTTCTCACTGCCATGAGACTATACCTTTGTCTCCGACTAATGAGTACATGGCCAATTTGGGTACTATATTGCTATCTACTGTAACCCTCGTGGCTTTATAGATGTTTTTACGGTCAAACATACTGCTACCAACAACCATAACTTGGGATGCGGCGAAATCCACCTGCCTTGAGCCATTACCATTAGATTCTGGATGTAGACTATGTCTTCTAGCCATTGGAAAAAGAGCGTGCTCTCTTCTAACCTGTGCATTAAGGTCACCCAGAACTATCTTTACACCATGGCATGGGCATTCTGCAACCACCCGTTCTAAGTCATGATAGAAATCATCTTTAGTCTGCTCGTCCTTCGTCTGCAAAATCAGTCGGTGCGTGAACCGAAACTACAGAGTAATTTCTAAACCTGCTCCTAATTCTCAGCATGCATAACCGATGATCAACTGCCTTGAAATCCATGATATGCTCTCTTATATTACCGCTAACCACAAAACCTACCCCAAAGACATGTTGATTCCAGTGGCAACTATAATAGATGGTATGATCTTTCTTCTCCATAATTCCAGACCCTACCCATCTTATTTCTTGCACTGCAGTGATGTCCATCCTATATTTAGAAAGTTCATTCAGGAGCAATTTTAATGCTCCAGCTCTATACAAGGTGCGAACATTCCATGTCGCCAACTTGAATTCCTTGAGAACGTAGGGTCGATACCATTTAGACTGTCCAAATCCGAGGCAATTTTCTTTATGTTTCACAGTTACAAGAAATTTTGTGAGAGAGGAGCTTCTGACCCCTCCGCTCAACAACCAACCTGGAGGACGAGTCTTGTAACCAAAGGAAGAGGCCCTTACTGGGTACTATCAGCCGGGCCAGCTGGACCCAGATTTTTTAAAGAGGTTGTTACTCCTCCTCCTCCTCCTTTATTTTCTAAATATGGAATACCATTCTAGAACAATGCCGCATCAATCACATCTAAACCTGGGGCCCGACCAGTCTTTTGCCTTTCCACGGCACTAAGGAAGTCCCAAATGTCCCATGATGGGTACAGGTCCGTCCAGATGGGGATACTGTAGCTTTTCTCACAAATGCATGGTCATATCATCCTGTGATGGATCGTCCCTGGGATGTCTCTTTATTAAACATCTTTGCTGTTTCCTCCAGAGTGGCTGCCTGAGTGTCTCCTTACTTCAGGTCTGCATGAGTTGCTGTGGGGTCAGTTTTCCAAGGGTCACCCTGTATGGGATACCCCAGAGATTCTTCACCGACTCTTCCTGGATGAATTCATCCCATGATCTTCGTTTCTGTGAGCGCACCTCATTCCGGTATATCCTAGCCTTAGACCTGTAATCCTCACGAAGTGTAACACGCCTCTCTCCGTTACTACACCTCTGGTATGACCACCTGGCCTTATAGAGCTCTCTCTTCAGGGTGGTTAAGGCCGGCTACCACCACGGGACAGGTCGTTCTCCCGCTTTGCGAAGCTAGAGGGATTCTTCCGCGGCATCCCTAATGACTTCGGTAATGCTGGATACTTTGTAATCAAGGTTATCCGTATTGTCAACATCCGCGAGGTCCCACTCTTCATCCAGCGCTGACCGGAAGAAGCTCCAGTCTTCTCTTCGGATCACATATCCTCTGTCTATATCTTGGGAGCATCTTGCATCTGTGAATCTGAACATCTGTAATCCATGCGACGCCTCTGATGTTACAAGTTACATATTCCGAAATGAATATCATAATCTTAACTCATTTTACTGACTGAATTAAGGTCAACAAATTATAATAATAAAAAATAATAATAATTAAAAATTTTAGCTTGTAATGTTGGATACAAATTTCTTCGAGACTTGAAAGTAGAGTATTAATCGGAAATTCGATTGCGTCTTAAATGGATCCTAGCAGTATCTCTTCTACTTGACTCTTTACCAACTATTTCATAAATTGAAAAGGTATAGATGATAAATTAGTTTCTAAATCAAAGGCGATTATTATGTCTAAGTAAAGGGGTGTTTGTGAAATGGGAGATTAAAAAACAGGATCAATTCTGATTTGTGGAGGGTATTGTATTAAAACTTAGCGGACGAAGAAAAATTTTCATTCACAGACATTCAAAATGTAAAGTTTCAAGAGAAGAGGATACGAGAAGGATATTTATATATAAGAGAATAATTTTAAGGCTATCGTCAGCAAACGGACCTGGGCCTTCCTTCGGATGATCCGATCGTGAAATAAATGATAAAAATGATATATTGAGGATAGAAAATAGTCGAAAGGGATATTTCGTTAAAGCCACGTTTCTGGGAGAGCAGGAATATGGAAAACGTAATAAAAAAATTCAGCAAGGTATACTGTACAATGTTGGACAATATAGTAAAATATTAATCAACTATGGAAACACTAAAACATACTATATCTATCCCTGAACAAGCCAATTTTGACCAGGCATTGTTCTCAAGTTCACAATATTGAATATTTAGCTTAACATATAGCATAAATTAAAAACCACAACTTTAGTCTTTTTAGGAAAGCAAAAGTTTATCTGATAATTTTTCATTCAGTGATAGTTCAAAAGCCCAATTATTTAAATAAATAGTTTGTAGCTCTGAGAGCTATTAAAACTTATTACAAGATTAGTTGAATTTTATTTGTTTGCTTAACTATAAGTTGACAGTTTTGAGGATTATCTATTTGTTTGAAATTTGATGTATTGGAGGTTACCCAGGATTAGGTTATTGCCTTGATTGTTGATTAGTTTATTTTGTTTTTATGCCAAGATATATTTTCATTAATTCTATCTTTAATTAGTGTTAAAACATTTCATATTTTTATTATGTATCTCAGTCGATCAAGATTGCTTTTATGATTTAAATTGTTCATTTTTTGAAGTTCTTACAATATTATTTGCCATACTTAGCAATGGCTGCTATTAGACATACTCTTCAAAGAGAAGTGTTTGAAGCAGATTATGAAAGATTGTTAGCTTTTGTGCAAGTTACCAAGACTTTAAAAAAGAAAAAAACAAGCTTTCTTTGCATTGTGGTCTCGAAGGAATCACCAATAACTGTCAAAATTTATCAAGTGAGTGATATCGGTGATTGTCTAGTGTCTTTTGATAAGACATGGTTTTCTCTAAAATTAATCAATTGACTTTTAGAAATAGAACTAGAAATAGAAACCATTTTCTAGATGATATTGATTCAATAGCAGATGTTTTAAATAGTTGACGGTTGTAGTTGACCAAACGATGTTAAAAATGATGTTGAATGTTTTGAAACCATTTTAGCAGTATCTGAGGAAAACGGTTCAATTATTTCTTCCCCCCAAAAAATAGCCATTTGTTAAAATATTAATTTTTATCTTGTGTCGATTATAACCAGGCAGGTTATAATCGACACATAATCCAAAATAGCTTTCTAGTGATACCCACAAAATTGCACTTAACATTTCTTACTGGTGCCACAGATTTACAAACACATTAAATTATACACCCATATATATGTATAGTCAAGTTGCATCCACGTATTTATCCCATATGCAATATTTTATTGTATGTAATTTTCCTGAACACCTTCTTTAATTCAAACTTTTTGGTGATCCTAATATTCCCTTAAAAAAATTAGAAATTAGTTTGAATTACTGAAATTTCATTGTGCGTTATTAAGTGAAATAAATAAATACTTAAAACATACAAATAAAATGAGATTTATTCTGAATGAGATACCATCTGAATGGTATGAACTGAATATTGAAAAATAGCTCACACAAAATAAAGAACTATAATAAAACTAAATAGAATTATAATAAATTATAAGGTAAACATTTAATTTATAGGAGTATATGACATAAAAATTAATTAACAAGATGCTGTTTACTGCTCAAGACAGTAATCTTAACAAGAGGAATCAATATCTGGTTGAAAAAAGATGTATTAATTTTATGTTCATGATTGTAAATTTATACCATTTTTTTAATTTAATTTTATCATAATTAATTTTAAACCTTTATGAATGAAATAATGCTAATTATTAAATATATAAAATATTTTCTCAAAAAAATATGTATTTTTTTTTTAAATTTATGTTATTAGTTATGTAATTATTGTAAGAAATGTCTGTCAAGCATACTTATATGCAGGACCATTGCAATACAAGGACCATTTATATGTATAATTCTATATTTAGGTGAAGAAAACTGAAAAGAATAATTTTAAGAAAAAGCGTAATTGGCCGATTACCATGATCCAGATGGTTGATGGAAAGAGCACTTCATCTGTAAGTTATGTTTTTGAAATTATGGTATTCAAATATTAAATAAATAACTTATCGATTTATTTAAATTATTTATGATTAAAATTGTTTAATATTAGGTAAATTATAGTATTTAAGTACTAATCAAAACTTTTTTAACATCAGTCATTTGTATTGTTTTAAAATCAATTAATTTCCAGGAGAACGCAGAGTTCGATTTGCATTTTGATAAAGTTTATAAATGGTCCGCAATCAATGCTCAAGAAAGACAAAGTTTCATTATAGTTTTGTGGAAGGTATGCTCTATTTATTTTTAATATTTTTTTACTTTATTTTACCTATGAAATATATAGAAAGGGAAAGTGTTGTAATTTTGCAAAATTTCAAATCTGCATTTTTGATGGAAATAAACATTTTGACTTCCCCTGAGTCAGTTATTAAAAATCCATAAATTTAACAGATATAAAAACAATAATAATTAATGGTTTTAAATGAATATGTTTTACCTTATATAATTTTTACTTTCATTTCCCTTTTCATTAAAACTCATATTTTTTCTCTAAAGTAGGATGATAAGTTGTGTGATATAGGCACCACACTAGATTTTTACTTTCACTTACCTATATATGTAATATATATTAAGGGTAAGTTTTGCGATCATGAAAATTTTTGAATCTGAGTTTTCAACAGAAATACACGTTTTGAGGTCCCCTGAATCCAAATAACCAAGTCCCGCAAAATGGTCTGTGTGTGTGTGTGTGTTAATAGTCAGACTCAAAAACGAAAAGTCATACGGAAGTGAAATTCCATATTTAAGGTTTTCATATGCTAGGGATGTTACAGCAACTTTTTCGTCAAAATCAGCTAACCGGAAGTGGCACTTTATATAATGGATTAAACACATTTTTATGATTATCTCGAAAACCGCTCAAACAATTTTGATTAAATTCATCATATCAGTGTAAAATTAAGTAGTTTTAAATAAAATGTGGTTATTATTCTGATTGATGTTCTCTAACAGGGCTTAAATAGCTAATTTTCATACATGCCAAAGTTTTATTTAAATCCCCTTATTTTCTTTTTTTATTGGCTTTTTCAATCATGTTGTTCTCACTTAACCTGTTAACTGGCTATAACAAAACATCTCTTTTTTTCTTTCTTTTATAATATGGTTTGTTGAAATAAGTAAAATCAATAAGTTAAAAATTATTTCCTTTTATTACTTAAGGTGTGGTGATATTACTTAAAATTATGAAGAAAAAAGTCCCCATTGTGAAACGAGTTGAATGAAATTTTATTACCCAGTTAACAGGTTAATTAACAAAGGGCATGAATCATTAAAAAACTTCAACAAAGCAGTAAAATACCCTATCAATTGTCACCTTACTGCACAGATTTTTACAAGACTGGCAATGTTATATCCCATCATCAACAGGAAATAAAGCCATCATAATTTATAGTAGGTATAGTTGTGAAGGGTGGGATGGAGATTTCTATATGAAACAAAAAAAATTATAAACTTTTCAAATTAGATACCTCTTTGTTTTTATGAAATAGTCAGTTATATTGGGAACTTCAGATAGAAACAGTTGACAAATTCATTTAAAAACGCTTTATCAAATTTTATTCCCAATTAGCAGCAGGTACAGTAGCTTTCTAAATAGGAACTCCATAGATTTTCTCTTAGATTTAAATCCAAATTTATGCGAGAGATTTTAATGTAAATTTTTTATTTACATATTTTTTAAATTTATTTCTTTATTATTATTGTTTTATTTTTTAAATTTATTTATTTATTATTATTGTTTTATTTTTTATTTACTTTTTCATTTTTTTTTAAATTTATTAATTATTTTTACGTCATATTTATTTTTTAACTTACTTATTTATCCTTAAGCTTTAATTGTTATAAACTTTAGAGTAGTTCATTGTTATAAACTATATGTTTCGTAAGAGGCATATTCTTTGTGTTTGGAATTTGGAAAATGTTAAAAACTTTACTTATTGTTAAAATATCAATGTATGGCTCACTAAGCTGATCCGGAAATAATAATAATCGCAAAAAGTCATAAAGTAACATTTCCTAACCTTAAATGACTATGTAATTTTCCTTTTTAAAATCAGCAAATTATATGTTTCTAATTATGTTTGATACATTAAAGGCTTTGTGTCAATTTAGTGCATTTACTATGTTTTTTAATGAAGAAATGAGGTATAAATTTACAAAAACATTCTTAAAAGTTTAGTTTCATCAAAAATGTACATAGTGACTTTTTGGAATAAACTGATTGTATGTAAAAGCAATCATTAATTATTCCTTTTTTATCTTATTTTTCTAATGTATTTACTTATTTATAATAAAAATTTTGACCCAATTAGCAATGCTGTCATTATCTAAAAGAGAAGCCTGACTTCAAAAATTTTCCTCCAGAATGGGTGGCTGGTGATCTGGGAATGCCTGTAGAAAATCAAACTAATCTAAATGGTTAGTATTTATTAATTAATGAAATTATATTTCTCTTTATTAGTTATAAAAAGTTGGTTTTAAATTTAATATTTTCAAGAACAAGTTGATCCTGGCGAAGTGGAAGATTATCAGGCTCTCACTGAGAAAGAAGAACAAGATTTGATTCAGTTAATGGAAGATTGTGGTTTCACTGTCAGCAATGCTGAAGCTTTTATGGAAACTTTAGCTAAAGATCTTTCAATTTTAGATGGTGTGAGTAGATTTTCATTATATGTTTCAATTATTTTCTTCCTTTATTACTGTAATTTAATTAATATTTTACTGAATTTATGAAAATTGGCTTTCTTACATTTATAAATGTATATTATCTTGGGAGTTTAATAGATCAGTAGATGAATAGATGATGTAAGAGATTTTAATTTAATGTTTCATATTTATTTTTATAACTTTAGGTCTTCTTCATGAGTCTAGGTGTTGTATCCCATACTTTAAGTCAGTTAGCTTACCAGAGATAAATATCTCATTAAGGATCTATTAATAAATAGTATACTGATTTTCAGCGGTGGACAAGGCTTAGCAAAGCTGAAGTTTATTGTCTCCGTACCTTCTTCCTCTAAACCCTGTCAAAATGGATCTTAAAGACCAGCCATAGTCTATTCTAGGGCATTTAGCTTTGTTAATTATTATATGCATTTTGTCTAGTACCTTATACTAGCAAGCCTATTTTTTCAATCACAACGATACTTTTACTCCCATTTTGGTCACAAGCTGAAGATTTGACAATCCTTTGTCTAGTCACCTCGATTGATAGCCGACTCTTACAGAATATTTTACACTTTACTTGATTTTTAAAAACGTTAAGGTTTTGAGATCTTAGATACACAAACCTATCACCCTATTAAAAAATATTCCTTTTTATACCTATATATTTGAAATTAACAAGATTTTGACTGCCATCTATTTATTTTCAAGCCCATTAGTTTCAAAAACTGCTTATTGAGTTATTCTGGTGCTAATTTAACTAAAATTGGGAAAGGGAAAGCCTTGCTTTAAGCATAAGAAAATCTTAAACTGAAATTTAGTGTTTAAGACTTTGCTTAATGCTTTGGAGATGCTTGTGTCCTTTAATATTCCCTATTCTCTCGAATTATTATTTTACTTCTGGTAGTTTATTCAATTGCCAATCTTATATTTTAAAGTTTAATTAAATTAATATTGATAAAGACAAGATAATAAAGAGAAAAAAAATACGGTATGAAGTTTTAGTGGGAGCCTATGATTTGCATTAGCCCACCGTTGATGTTATATTATTTAAAATTGTTTAAGATAAATTTAAAATATTTGTTTTTGTTTATTTCATGTGCTGCAGGAAAACATTCAAAGTGTATTAGCTTCTGAGCAACGAGTTTCTTCTTTGATGGGTCATTTAGATGTATCAATTGCAGAAGTTGAAAGAGTTGAAAATCAACTTAATGCTTATGATGAGATAATTTGTCACGTGCGTAATACCATGGAAAAAATGGAAGAAAAAAACCGTCTTATAGAAGTTGCTAATAAAAACAATCAAAAACTTCTAACAGAATTAGAAAAAGTTATAGTAAGAGTTTCTTTTGATTCCTAGAAAATTCTTAATTTTAGCTTTTTTTTTTTGTTTAATTTATTTTATTTTTTCAGTTAGAGCTAGAATTGGATAGTAAACATCAAGTTGCATTGGTTGATGCAGATCTCACTACAGCCCACGGTTTGAAGGATGCAATCAATGCTGGCAAAGCTTTACAGGCCGTTATGAATGCTGAAATCCATCCTGCTCTAATCCAACTTTCAGCAGTTCAAGAACAGAAAAAAAGATTTGACAAATGGAAAAGCAAATTTTCTCAAATTATATCTAGACATCTGAATAATCTGTTTATTCATTTGGTATGTTTTAAAGTTATTTGATTATTTTTTTTTTTTTTAAATTCCAGCTTTGTATCAGCATATTTCAGCATATAACAGATTTCGTTGTAGTTCAGTTGGCTTAATGCAATTACATTCTCTGTTAAGGGCAGGAGGATTATTCCCTACAGGTTACTTTTTTGTTCTAGTCAGTTCTAATCGATTTTGAAATATAAGTCCATCCTCACAGATCGGAATCAAAGGGGCATATATTTAGTTGCTGCCTTAGGCTAGTGAAAAAGGTTATATTAATTAATCTTGGATTGGTATTGATTATATCTATGGTTTAATTCAGGAACCTTTATTGTCAATTTTGGATGGAAAAGTGGTTAGTTTTGCATTCTATATAACCTACATATTTCTATCCAAGATCAAATTTTCACAAATTAATGTATTAACAATTACATTATCAGGGGTAAGTAAAGACTAGATAACAACTAATAAAAAAATCATATTAACAAGAAAGTAAGGAAATGAGTATGACAATAGTATAAGTAGGATAAATTAAGTATGTCTGTGTAAATAATTGAAATAATAAGGAGTGGAGTGGCCAAGCGAGCTAATACATTAGCAGTTTGAGTCCCAGTGCTGGGAGCATTCACCTTCCACCTTTTCCTCTGGCCTGGTAAAACCCTTTTTATTATAGCTGAAATGTCGTGATTAAGGAAAAAATAAATAAATGTAAGGTACTCCTTAAATAGCCGGTCGGGACCAATGGCTAACTGCCAATGTTTATAACCTTAACACTGATAATTCTGATAATTCCTTTCTTTGTATTCATATTTATTGTATTATATTTATATTATTGAAATTGTAATAAAAAACAAATATAAATGTAATAGTAAAAAAATACTTATATTTTACAACATATATATATTAAATAAATGAAAACAAATGTAATAATAACAAAACAGTTTTATTAAATACTTTTATTTTACAACGTATATAAAAAAATAGACGAAAACAAATGTAATAATAACAAAACAGTTTGAATAAATGGTTTGAACAAAACAGTTTGAATAAATAAAGTTTCTTTCCAACAGTCAGAATAAATGATGCTTTTCTCTTGTATATTGTTTTTAATACCTTCTAATAAAGTTTTTGCCTTTCTGTCATTTATTTTGACAGTAAAACACTCGTTTGTTTCTCGGCAAACTCCGCCAAACATCCATTACTCAGGCAGAACTCTCCCTACATGATTTTTCCTTTGTCAGGCTCTCCAATTTTTTTACTTGTACTTATCGTAGGCTGCTTTAAAATCGATGAATAGATGATGTATTGGCAGTGAACTTTTCTTTTTTCGAGAATCATTCTGAGAGAGAAGATCTGGTCCGTCGTAAATCTACCCTGACGGAAACTGCACTGGTAGTCACCAATTACTATCTCAGCGAACAGAAGACGCCAAAACAAGACAAGTGAAAAGATCTTGTACAGTAGGGAGGAGAGAGATCCCTCTGTAATTATTGCAATCCAGCTGATCGCCCTTTTTATGGATAGAGCAGATAATAGTTCCAGGATACATGCAGCGATTCTTCCAGCCAGGCAGATAGGATCAGTTCATGTACCACTTTCCTAAGGGTATCTTCTCCATACTTAAATAGCTCAGCTGGTATGTTATCTTGGCCTGGTGCTTTATTGTTTTTTAGCCTTTCGATAGCGTCAGTGATCTTGTTGTCATTGGAGGGTTCAAGCTCATCATCTGCTGTCCGAGTTATAATAAATGTTCCAGTGCCCTCTACCGATGCTACTACTTCATGATTGCCATTCAGTAGGTCATCAAAATACTGTTTCCATCTAGCCAATATTTGACCTGATTCAGTTAGGAGAGATCAATCCTAGGCTCTGCAAGCAGTAATCCTTGGCTTGAATGGCTTCCTTCCTGTATTAACTTCCTGAGAGAATTTTCTAATCTGATTATCAAACCTGAGGCTTTCTATCTACCAATTTTATCATTCTCCCATTTCCTCTTCTTCTTTTGATAAAGACGTTTCTTCCCTCCTCACTCGGCGGTACTCTTCGAGAGAGGCTCGCGTGTTTCTTCTCTGGAGCCATTCGTAAGTTAATATCACAATATGAAAAAAGTTGGTAAGGATAATAAATAGAGGAAAAGAAGGGTTTGGTGATGTGTAGAGAGAGGATAAACGATAAAGGGTATAATCTTTATTCACATCTTTCTCATATATTGTCATCTCTTACCATTATATGTTTTAATTGATTTTTATTTATCTTACATAACGTTAATTTTTATTAATTTCTCAGTATTCAATTTTTTTTTCATTATTTACACTACATACATATTTAAATTATCATTAAGATTGTTATATTATTTTCTTCTTGATGTGTTTTTCTTTCTCTTTCTTATTGGATGTTGTTATCTTGTCTTTGTTTAGATCTGATGAAGATTTTAAACTAAGACCAAAATGTCACCATATAATGAAATAAGATTTTTATTTATGTGATTTCATCTCTGATTGCACCTCCAAACTATTTCTCCTATTAATATTTATTTAGTTCTAGAAAACAGTTTTAATGAGATGACAATGGTTGAAAAATCATTTTATCCTTTGCATTACTAAATTGATTATTTTGGGAAATAATTACCTATATCAACTAGACATTTTAAAAATGAACTTTTCTTTTAACAGTTTAATCAAAGTGGAACAGATTATTAACATCATTGTCTGCTAATTGTTTTTTAAATTTAAATTTTGATTATATAAAAATCAGTACTGAAAATGTTTTTAATTGTAAATATATAGGGCAATGATCCTGGTGAGCAAAGTGGTACTCTTGGACGTGAATTGAATTTACCCAAACACTCTTCTTTACATAAGGAGCTAAACAATTACACGGAATTGATGCATTGGATAAAGGTAATGAATACATTTGTATTTTATTTATTTATTCATATTGATTATTGTTGTTGCTTCAAGGTTGTTGATTATTATATTTGAAAATTTGGAAACTCTCAGCAAGATTCATATGATGTGAGTTTTTTGTTTGTGCAATGCTCTTGGGATCGTGTTTTCAGACTAATCTCAAAATTTGACCGTTTGCTCAAATATGAAATGTTCTCATGATTTGAGTGTCTCAAATTATTTTAATCAGTTTTAAATTGATCCTGAGAAGGAGAGAATTTGTATTGTGTGCTGCTTATTAGTCAACAGATTGATTAAGAGAAAGTAAAAAGAATATGAGAATGTGAAAAATAATTTGGGAACAACTGTGAATTTTTGCTAAATTTAAGAGCTCTGTTGGTTGTTACAAAAAGCTGCCATAATTTTCTTTTCTAATAATATTATATTAGATATCTAATTGTCCAATGCTTTGTTTTTATATGAAAGGGGGGTGCTACTCCACAAAATGTGATGATTTTGGAATATGTGAACAATCTGAAGAGTTAGGCTTTCTGTGATCCTTGCCATTATAGAATATAATAATAATAATAATAATGTTCATATAAAACGTTATTGAAAAGTCCGAGTGAACTTGATTGGAAGAGGTATGAGAAGTTCTGTGGACCCTCTTGAACCTGCCTTATTATCTAACTGTTCTACTGCCACAATGCCCTTCCCTCATTATTATTTTTTTTTAAAATTAATTATGTTCAAGTATATATAATGATCGAACATTTTATCTATTTCGCTGTATTTTGTTGAATATTTCTGAATAGAATTGTACCGATATTCTATGATTTGCTTTTGTTGGTGTGCTATATCTATGTTTATGCAATAAAATAATTATAAAATGTCATCCAATAAATACATAATGATTTGATTTTAGGCAATGGATAGAAAAGCATATCATGCATTGACCAGAGTATATACATCAGCATTGGGTAAACTATATGATCGAGACATTAAATATTTTTTAGAAGAAGCAAAACGGACCATATCTGTCCAAACTGGTAACTAATTAATATTTTTATTCTGTACAATTATATTTATGCTGTATGTTAATTCATTCTATAACCATGACTGTTTCTATAATTATGTGATTTAAACTCTTTAGATCGTAGCAATACTCCATAAATACTTTTAGCAAAAACTATTAAGCCGATTTTGATTGTAAAATTGTGATCATTTTAGTTATTCTTTCTTAGTCTAGTTATGCATCAACTTTAAGTGCCTAAGTCTGATTCCCATGGACCCGCAATATTTTTTTAAAAGGAAGCAGGTCTTCGATTGGGTCATTGGGTTATAAGTGATTAGAAGAAATAAATATTATAAATTACAAAAAAAAATAATGGTTATAAGATAGGAATTTGGCTTATTAAAATAGCTTATTTGTATTTATATTGATCATTCTTATATTATATTCTGTTTATACCATGCAGTTTTTTTCTGTATTTAAAAACAAAAAAGAAATGTTAAGGTAGTAGTTTAGTTTTACATTTATTATATGCATTTAAGGTATTATGGGTGGATCCAAAGAAGATGTTAGTAACAAAAGCAAAAACCAAAATAGTACAAGTGCATTGTTAGGAATTGAAAGGGAACAATGGTCTGAATCTGACCCAGGTGAACGAGCTAGGTTCAATCAAATTTTTGAAAAAGTATTATCTCAATTGGAACCAGTATGTTTATCAGAGCAACAATTCTGCATTAATTTTTTCCAGCTAGATATACTCAGCCCTACTACTAGAGTAATGTATTGCATTGATATACAATTAATATTATTTATAAAAAGTTCATTTAACCTAGTCAATACTGAAAACTATGATATATATTAATTGAAGAATATGTTTAGAATACTCAGACTACTTTAGATACAGCACCGAGGGATTTAAAGTCAGAAGAACCACCGATTCCTTTGCCAAATCATCGTGTAGAAAGACAGATGAATGAAGAAGTTAGGAAAATGATGGCTGACATTTTTGGATGTATTGAACAGGAATTAATGACATTCATATCTTATTATGAAAAAATTGACAACATGTAGGTCGAATATTTATTTAATTAGCTATGATTCAGTTTTTTGTTCTGAACTTATTAGTTATATTTGAATTTTAAAATGAAAACATTTAAGCAATAATTTATTCCTTATCAATATTTACATTATTGACTTAAATACTTAATATTTACATTAATACAATTTGAAATATTAGTAATTACTGAAGTATACAAGTAATTTATTTTAAAATATCTTATTTTTAATCTTAAAACTTAAATTAAGGATGAAACAAAAAATTTAAGATGGTTTTATATTTATCAATGAATAACATTTTTTTTTTTTTTTGGTCGGTGTGTTACAGATATTGTTTATATATTTTAGTGCGTCTTACTCAACATGTTATGTCAGCCCAAGATGCTGGATCTTTTTTAAGTAAAAGTTTTGGCTCAGTTTTAGTACAAGTAAAAAGAAATTACGATAAATTTATGCAAGCACAATTACAATCAATCTTAGATTGTAGAGGTAGCAGAAAATCCAAATGTGGTATCATCCCATTCGTTTCAAATTTTGAGGTATGCTGTCATTTTTTCTAGTAAATTAACACCAACTAAGTCAATTTTTGACAAATTTAGTTAGGCAGATATATGGTTTAGTTTCACCACACCCGATTTCACAATGGTAACCATATATATGTCAAATATGTGTTTCCATGATGTTACACGGTTGAAGTGTGATACAAATTATAGGAAGGAGAAGAAGGTTAGGTATGTTGTTTCAACCTCTTGTAAAATTAGAAAAAATGAATTAGTGGTTGTTATTTATATGAAAATTTATTTTATTGTCATTTTCTTATAATTTACTTTTACTATGTAACTTTTCATTTTTTTAACATCAAAACCATTTATGAAATTATATTTTGTTCTAATCTCACCGTCTATGTTCTAGGTTTTTGCTAAAACAACTGAACATATTTTTAAAGATACTGCTAGACGAGCTGATTTAGATAAATGGTATGTTCGTTTGATAGGTGCAATGTTTGAATCAATACCCGTAATTGCATCAGAACACCTCAAGACACCTGCTGAAGTTGTCAAAATGGGTATGTTGTTTTTGGTTGATTTAAAAAAAAAAATGCTTTTTGAATAAAAAAATTAATGTTTCTTTTTTTTGTTTTATTTTTAGAAAATTTTCACCATCTTTATGCTCTACTCTCCCAACTTAAAATATCTGTTCTTGATAATCAACGGAAAGAGGCCAAAGTGAAATATAATGAAGCCCTCAGGGCATATGTGACTCGCTACTTTGGAAGACCTTTAGAAAAATTAAATGTAAGTACAATTTTCATTATTCAGATTATAAAAATATGAAATTTATTCAACATCCTTGTATCAAGTTAATTTAGTAAGGCATATATATATATACACACACATAAAATTATATACTTTATTTAGGTTAATAGGTTTATATAAAGCTTATAAATTTTATTTTTTAAGTTATTTTTTGATGGAGTACAAGCTAAAGTTGGACAAGGTGTTAAGGAGTCAGAAATCAGTTATCAAATGGCCTTTAGTAAACAAGAATTAAGGAAAGTTATTAAAGAGTATCCTGCCAAAGAAGTAAAAAGGGGCTTGGACCATTTATACAGGAAAGTTGAAAAGCATCTTTGTGAAGAAGAAAATCTATTGCAGGTAGATCCTGATTTTAATTATTAGTTGCACATACGTTATATTGTGTTTCCTTTTCTATTTCATAATAATTATCATTATATCATAATAAAATATAAATAATATTATAGATAATATAAATTATATTATACATAATATAATAATTAATATATTGTATTCAAGAGATATATGTATAGATCAAAAAATAGCCTCTGCCACTAGGTAAAATCAAACTACCACCTCCAGATGAATACCTCCATTTTCTGTACAAATTTTGGTCTAAAATCTTTAATTTGTATTAGGAGAATAGGAGCTCATCACATATATAATTAAATACACGTAATAATTAAAAATAAAAAACTTTGATTTTAAAGATTTAATTACATTTCTCTTTCATGTAATAAGGAATTCATTCCTTTGTTTTGTTGACTAATAAGGCATAGTTCTTTTGAGATGTGATCGTAGTTCATCATAATCATTTTAAACTCTTATTTCTTTTTTCCTAATTTTATTAATAATTAAGAAATTTAGTTTTTGTTTTTACTTTCTGTGCTAGTATTAATATTTATTAAGTTAAAAAAAGTTGATCAAAATGTAAAATTTAAATTTAGGTCAGATTTATTTTGAAAGTTGATCAAAAAGTAAAATTAATATTGGTACCAAATTTCTATATGCTGGCAGAAGCAATAAATTATTGACTCTTGTAGCAATGTAACTTCTCATATTAAACATAATTAATGAAAATGAATGGAGAAACCATGATCTAGTCTAGCTGAAAATTCCTAATGCTTAAGTCTTTATTTAGTCTGTAGTTTTCTTGAAGTTGATTTTATTATTATCTCTAGGTTGTTTGGAGAGCTATGCAGGAAGAATTTATTCAGCAGTATAAGTACATTGAAGACCTCATTCAGCGATGTTACCCAGGGGCAATGATCGCCCTGGAATTTTCTATTGAAGATATTTTATCATTTTTTTCTGAAATTGCACGCTCTCACTAATTTATATTTATATAATTTATTTCTTTTTAGAAAAATATTGTTCAGTTATTTAATATTTTGTGATATGTATATAATATAAACATTTATTTTTAGCTATATTCATTGTTACTGTTAATAAACTTTTTTTATTGTTTATCAATCTAATTTTTTTTTAACCAAGCATCTCTACTTTGGTCATTCATTATCGGCCATTCGTCCAAATGGGTCATTTCACACAATTATAATATTGTCTGTGAAACTGATGGGAATGAAGCGAATCGGCAGGATTATTTAGATATCTAATCAGTTAAATATCCATCACATCAAGCTAACTGATAGATTTAGAGTACAAAATATAAGCACTATCACTTTAGTCAATGGTAGTACTTTAATGGGCAGTGAAACTTTATTCTAAATCCTTCTAAAAAAAAATATATTAAAAAATTATCAACCCTGGCAGTTTTAATGATTTAATTGAGAAGCAAATAATCGTTTTAAGGACATCTCAGATTTTTATTTTTATAACCAGAATCATTATGGCTCAAGTTACATTGTTGAATTCTAGAGAGAGGAGCAACAAGTGAATTTGCAGCGTTTAAAAATTAAAATAGTTTTATTGTCCTTAATATTTTAAATAATTAAAGGTGGTGGAGTTCCGCCAGCATTCAGAGCATTGTGCACTTCATTACTGTACATTTAGGATATTTGAGAACAATCGATCTACTGCTGTTTGACATTGCTATTTAAATCGATTTATGGTATTCTTTTTCCGTATTTAAATGTAGTCAATATTAGATTTTCTGCATTCTACATGTAATTTACACTTATTGATTAAACATGTTATTAAATTTTCATGAAAAAAAATTTTGGTCTGACAGAAATAATGTTCAGAACTTGTGACATAATTCTACGTAGTTTAGTGTTAGAGAAATATCAAACTTTGACAAGAATTAAGTTAGAGATAACAAAAGAAATTCATAAAAAGATTTTTAATGAACCTATTATAGAATTAATTAAACTAAAAAAATTATAATTTTATCACCATTACTATCACCTTATTTTGTTTTTCCAACCCCATTCAAGCCACACCATACAGCATAAAAAAAAAAAAAAAAGCTTTGTTATAACTGTGAATAGAGATTTTTGGAAATTGGACCATTATCTTGGATTACAATTAAAAAAAAAAAAAAAAAACAGATCGGCAAATCTTACAGTGAAATAATCTTTACATTATTGGTGTAAGAGAATTATATTTCTAAATGTCATTATCCTAAGTTAAATCATACCAGTCCTAGACTAAATATTCTCTCACATCATTCTCTATTAGATATATTCTATCTTCCATAGACTGGATGTCCTGTTCTGTTTCATCATAGAAGACAAATAAGTTGTAAGCTGTATAAATAAAGCTGTGTATTTTTTTTTTTAATTAGGCATAATTGTGCACTTGTACTAAAACGTTAATTTGGTCGCATCTGTGTATTTTAATAAGCTTACGGGGTTAATAGACTCATAGCTTTCTGGATCAGCCACTTGGTTCTTGTAAAAGCAGTCTGTCTTGTAAACTTATCACACTGACATACAATATGAAAGGCTCTTTTAGTCAGTCTGAGATTGTACATGTGATAGATAGTACAGCTTACAGTATCCGGTGTAGATCGCTGTAAATTTTTTAAGTGCTGCTCTATTCAAACTGAGTAGCAGTTAGCTCCATATATTGCAGGGCCGTTTGAGGAACAACTTTTATTCGGACCAATACAGCTTGAACTTAACACCACATCCTTAACCCCAATCCTTCTTTTGGCAGTATTACATTACTCAACGAAGCATTTTTTCTTTATCATAAATGCACATGAAAAATATTTAGCTTAAAGTATATATCGCTTTAAAAAAAACACGTGTTGCTAAAATTTATATACACACATATACAGAGGAATCAATGAAGCCATAAAGGATTAGGAGCTGATTTTGCATCAGGTTTTTGATATTAAGAATCATACCAACACATTACTCCAAAATCAGCGAATCAATACATAACTTCAAAATCAGCAAGATGTTTTAATGTGCTGGCGAGCCAATCCATGAATGACAGAATCTAAATGTTAATAATGACATTTTTGAAATGCTTATCATTTGAATAGTTACTGTAGTAGCATAAAAAAAAAAAAAAAAAAAATGTGTTTTCTCAAAGTAATAGGAGTATGTCAAGTTAAGTTAACACCTAAAACAATAAAAATAAAATTATTTATACCTATCTAAATTTTCATTCTCAACAACAAACTTGAAAAGTTAGGTTAACAAATATTGAATCAACAATCTAGACTATTCAAATTATATTTATTTTTATTTCTTAATTTTTTATTTTACATAAAACGATTTCAATGCTTTACAAACAATTAACTACAAAAGTATTCATTTACCACACCGAAGTAGTAAAACAATTATTTAATCCTTAGGTAAAGGAGGAGGGGAGATATACAGGTTGAATAAACCAGATGCTCTAGCCTGTAACAAAAAAAAAGTATATATTTATAGACAAATATAACTAAATGCCCTAATATTTCTAATATAATTAATAAGTAAATTAAAAATGTACCGTTACTAATGTTACTGCAGTAAAAATTACACCAATTGCAAGATGCATGTTATATTTTGTTTGGTTTGCTTTATATTGTGTTTCCCAAGAGCCATTGGGAATAGGAAGATCATCCATGGTATTCCTTAAAGCGACTTTTGTAGCTGCATTTCTTTTCACAATACCACCTGGATTGTGGAAAACAAAAATAAACTTTTTATTAAATCAGCAGTACAAGAAAAGGTAGCAAAATGTTTTGTATATTTTTCACTTTAAAGAATAAAATCAAAGATTATAGAGTTCCAAAATGGTGTGTTAAGAACTGGCTAAAATGTCCACTTCCTTCATAATGATAATTTGAAGATTCCAAAGTAAAAAAAAAGGAAGTAAATCATATACATTAAAAACTTAAAACAAGATTGGGTACTTGTCGGTTAGGAGGTCTGGACAAAACCTCACTTGTTATCTACTGTTACATCACATAAACTCCCTTCTAATCTCGTGAAAGCCTTGAGTTATTCCATTGTTTATTTTTGTTCTATTTCTGCTATTTTTGTCAAATTATGGATGTTATTATGGATGGATTACATTCTGGGAATTACCGTCTTCAGAAGAGGCTATTGAATATTTTCAAAATGCTGGGATAGTTCCAAATGTGAAATTGTGTCAAGGACATCAAATGAAGTTAGACAGGAAGGCGAAATAGAGATGCTTTCGTACCGCTTGTAACAAAAAGGTTTCTATAACGAAATGAACGTGGTTAGAGGGAGCGAGGATTTCGTTTTCAACGGCTTTAAAATTTATTTATGGGTGGTCCCATAATTTAACAACGATAAAGTGGGGCAAGGAGCAGCTGAACTATCCAAGGAAAGTATGGTAATGTGGAACAAATGTTTAAGAGAGGTTTGTGCCCATAACACGACATACAGGTCAAGTAAAAAAATTGGAGGGCCTGGAAGTAGATCAAATTTCTTTTTGTCTATTTCAATTTCAAACCAAACTGTTTTGTTGTTATAACATTTGTTTTCATCTATTTAATATATATGTTGTAAAATAAAAGTATTAATTAATTATTTAATTTTTTTTTTTTTTTCTTACAATTTCAATAATATGCATATAATACAATAAATAAGAATACGAAGATAGGAATTATGAGAAGCCTTATCAGAATTATCAGTGTTGAGGTTATAAACATGTACCCAAGATTGTAAATGAAGTCAAGTGATAAGAACTTTAATTCAAATATGAAGAAAATGTGAAAATTAGATGGAACCTATTAGTACTATTAGTATTCATGAAGAAACTAGAATTATAACAAGACATTTAAGACCATAATACAATTTAAGTGAATTTAATGGTCATACATTGTTCGAGATCAAAGTTTTTGATGTAATACATTATTTGCCTGTTATAGGATTTGTAAATCTTCATTCCATGTACAGGATTAGAGGCAAATTAATTCAAGTAATTAAGTAGCTAAATCGGTTAAAATCATTTTATTTAGTAGCCCAACTAAAATACAAAGCTTTCCAACCTTTGGTAGTGAGGAAGTAAAATAATATTCATAATTGATACCAAATTTATTTACAGATGTGTTATTAAAGAAAATTGAAGGACTACTAATTTTTGTTCTGAAGAGGTCACATCACATCAATCCTAAGTATCTAAAATTTATTTATGAATGGTCAATTTATCTATGAACGGGTATTAAAAAAAAGCCCATAATTATTATAACAACACTTAAATATTGCTTATTACAATTTGTTTTTTAAAATTAGTAATATTCATGTATAATTTTATAAAGCAGATGATATATTGTTGCCATTAGAACCAAATAGTCTTGAATTAATTTTGTATTATATGAAGTATTTATGAGTTTTCATTTATATTTATTAATTATTTTGTTTAGAGAACAGACTTCTATATACACTTTCGGCTAAACTTAATTAATTAGTTACCAAATTCCATAGTGTAATAGATTTGGTCTTGGTCCACCTGACAACCAAAAATGACACTAATATAGTGTTAATTTAACTATAAATGTTTTTTAAAAAACCTTTACTTTCCCTAAGGGTACTACTCTAATAGATGACAGTTCTGAAGCTTTGGAGAATAATTATACTGATCTGTTTAGCCTCACGCTCAAACTTTCTTCTGTAATAAATTCGGCACAACGTAAGCAGCAATAATACAACATGATAATGTAATTGACATTCTCAATCAGTAATCAATAAGCATTAATAAAAGATAACTCTAAAAAAATACTGAAATCCGAACATTGAAAAATGAATTTGTCTATTTTAAGTAAAGTGGTCCTACCTAATGATAAAACATTATCCGTTGTTCTTTCATTAGAAATATATATTTATTACTAACTCACAGTACTAATAAGTAATACAGTAAATCAGAGATATATCATCAATTCTTAAAATAATAACTTCCCACATTCTTTCTATCATGTGGCTGATATTCTCTATTCAAAATATTATAAAAAAATCATCATTTTATAGAGAAGTTGGGTAGGCATTAACATTTAATAATAGACATAGCCTAACCTCATTACTCACCAGCTCGGTAGAGCTGAAATATATAAGCGTAAACGCTTGATGGTTAGGAAAGGTGGTTGCAACTGTGGGCAATAACTTTAAATGGATAAGTGGAACAAAATTAAAAGAACCAACATTAAAATTAGCTAAACCATAGAATAAATTTGACATTCTCCCCATGGAACCATTTCACCCAAATTTATTAAAATAATATATCAAACACAATCTATTTTTTAACAAAACAATAACCATCCCAGTTCCTTCTTTTGTAGATAACAGCTTAGATTCTATGATTCCACTAAAACCTGCAATTACAAAGGGTGGATATATGCTTGGAAGTTGAACCAATTACCTCTGAGTACATTTTGAATATTGCAAGATATTTTCCTCAATGCAATTTACTAAAATTATTCTAAAAACAGATATCTGTATAAAATGCGCACTCTTATCAAGTATATAACTTGATAAAATGCTACTGAAATTAATATAAAAAATAATTTCATAAAAACGAATAGATGGATAAGATCTTAAAATTTAGTATCTTTGAACTAAAGATTTCTTAATTGTTCATAGTATAAAACCCTAGAAAAATCTTTAATAAGCAACTAAATAAGCCGTCATTATTAAATTTCTTATAAATTCGATTAAAATAGTTGCAATATATTTAAACATACCGTCTTTCGCAAGCAAAGTGCGCCTAAAAAGTGGAGAAGTTATCTGCCTCAACATTTTTATTAATTAGTTTTTCACAAAATATCACACCGAAAAACGTCTTGAGTATAGATCTTCCACTAATGAACAGCTGTTGGTAGGAGTAAAAAAAAGTTTGTGGGAGCCCTATATCTTTAAACAACTTTCAATGAATAATAGAAAAATTTAGCTGTAAATTTAAAATTTTGTATTCGTAAAAGAATTATAATTATAAAATTTCAGTATAATATATTTTATGAAAATATTTATGAAATATATAGTAAGCATTGAAAATTTACCGCGAAATATACAATTTAAATTTTAACAATAAGATTTTCAATATAAGGAGAGATGGAAGTACTATGGTTGTTAATTATATTTATAAAACAATTTCAATGGGTTTACATGAACTGTAAGTTTAAAATATGGTTGTAAGAGTTACTATTTATTCTAAAAGAGTGTAATTTGGACCTACTATTATTCACTTGTGCTCTTCACTGTTTCTATAGTGAGCACTTGCCCAAGTGTTGATTGTAGTCTCATTGCTTATTTGTTTTAGACTTCTATTGAAGTTTGACTAATCAGAGTTGATAGAGTACTATATCAGTTTATAGTATTGTAAATTTACTTAAAATTCAACCTAAGACATATTAATTCTTAACCTATATTTATGATATGCTTAAAATTGAGTTATGAATTTCAAATATATGAATGAATCTCATTTTCCTTAGGGTTGAAAATAGGCTTTTAAAAAAAACAAGAATTAATTTGTGACACTTTATTGAATCATTGTTGTGTTGTTTGTCTGTAAAAATAAAAATCTTTTCAGTTCAGCCAATTAATTGCGTTAGATGTTTTCCCAAAGATGCCCACAAGAGGGTTGTAACAACTGAGGCACCTTCCTCTTCTGACAAGTGCTTTGAGTGTAGTCTCCAATTTTTATGTAAGCACCACCTTTTTGAATTCCTTTTTCCTTGTGGCTCATCCTGTCCATATAATGGCTCTCCGTTAATGAATGTAAATGTATATGCATTTATAAATGTGCATTCTTGTTAATCTGAGGTACGCTTCTCCTGTTGGAATCCTAATCTCTCGCATCACCAGCAGAGTAGGTTGGCTTCGATTCAGTGGATGGCACTACTGTGGGTCATCTAGGCTTACATGAGGGCGTTTCATGTGGAAGTGCAGGTCCTAGTAGGATGGTATCTCTTGACCTACTGTTGCAGGAAGACATGTTTAGGCATCAGGAGTTGAGAGAAGGCTTGGCAAGACTATCGGAGATTCACCGTGTCAGTATCAAACAAGAACCTGCCAGATGGAAGATCATACGATAAGACCCCTTTGATGAACGGAACCGACCATGGTTAACAGCTCCAAAAGGAGGCACTCTTTGGAAATATTTTCCTACTTTCGGTTGTCGGCTACCAGCTTAATTGATAGTGTTGCTTTCCTTTAAATAATTTGAAATATGGAGTTGTAAAACTCCAAGAAAATAATTTTTCTCAATATGTATATAATGTGCTGCACAAATATTTAGAAATTATAATAGCAATATATTTGATACAATATATTGAAAAGAAACAAAGTGAAGTGTCTTGTGATGATACTGACATGAAAGGGCTTACTGGTACAATTGTTTCATGTTTTCACCCGTTGAACATCTCTCATGAATGATGAAAAATTGTATATTTTTATAAATGATTTAACTTATGCTACTTACTTACGATTATACTTATTCTAAAGCACTGAAGTAGTATTATCAAGGAATCTAGATGCAAGATCTACATTGTAAGGTGGGTTTGATGTCCAAGAGTGGTGCCCTTCTTCCTCGCGAGGTTTATTTCCCTCAATAAATTGTATTACTCTCCTCTTTTTAAAATCAGTGCAAACGAAAGTAAATGTGGAACAATTGAAGATGGAATTATTCTACTGTGTCTGTGCCCATGTTTTCCCCTTTTATTTAATTGATTACTATCCTGTGCTGTGCGAGTTGTTTTGTGTTTACCATGTAGGCCCACGTTAGCCCATTGGCTCGAAACCCCGTTTTGACTAAATTTTACAAGAGACACAAATTATTGTTTAAAAAAAATCTGATACAGCGGCACATTAAAAAACTTTCACTAGCCAACCTACACTTTGGGTAAGAATAGGTGAAATGAAAAAAACTATAGGCAGTGAATATAATCTATTACATTTATTTGGTTTACACCACTGTCCATTTTTTTCTGCGACTCTATTTTAATTATTTATTTAATTATAAGAGTGCAACGAAGTTTTTTTTAGCCCATCAAGAATGCCAGTAGTAAAGGAGGCGTCTAAATTTATCTATATTTCTTTGTGGGTATTTTTGTTTTTTTTTTACGTAAGGGTATTTATTCAAATTTTAATTTTCATATTTCTGTAATCTTTATATTAATATATTATTATTTCGTATACTGAAATTCTGTATATATAAAGCTTAAAATATGTTAACATTTTGTATAGTATAAAGAATTTTTTATTTTTTAGGGTATTACTTTTTAGTAGTACTGCCTCAACGATTTATTTATTTATTAATATAGATGACCATTAAGATTTGGCATCGAATCCTATTAGTTAAAAATACATTTTAAGAAATGTTTGTAGTACAAAGAACAGTTTTCTTCTCTTATGTCGGTGTGTGAGTAGCTCCTCGTTAAGTCTGTGATGATATACCCTAGTGGTTTAAAAATGAAGTACTTAACTACCTTATGCTTAGGTTGAGAAACTTGACAATATAAAAAGGTCTGTTCCATGTTTTCCTTCCTGTTGTTTTCTGTTTTGAAACTTTTCATTACAAAAATATGCCCCCCCCAAAAGTTCAAAAATCTATCAAAATATACCCCCTTCACAAATTTTTATGGCGCAACTTGCGCCCTCTTCTGGGCATCATTGGTTCCGATTACTAGTAAAAACCCACTGGTTCTAAAAATAAGGTCGTTTGTATAATTTTCATGATTTTTTTGTCCCCTAACAAAATATTAAGTTATTTAACATTACGTATTTACTATTTATTTATTTTTATTTGTTATAGATGATTTTAGGCAAGAAGTCATAAGAAGATTAGAGTGTTCCTTTGAAGATAGTGATTATGGCTGTCCGATGAATGGCGAATGGTCTAATTGGGGTGAATGGGGAGACTGCATTGGAGAATGTGGCCAAGTTGGGCTAAGGGAAAGGTTTAGAAAATGCAACAATCCCGTTCCAATATTTGGAGGGGAAAGTTGTGTGGGACCCTCCCGATCAACATTGGAATGCCGGATGCCAGGTTATTGTCTTGAATTTATTTTAACATTTGTTGGTACATACTACTGATATATATAAGCAATTTCACAGCTTTTTTTATAGTCCATGGAGGTTATAACAAGGAATGGAATTTAAAACAACGGAAATCTATATAGTCATATTTTCTGTAAAACATAATACTTGGGTTATAGCGTTTTCTGTATATTGTACCCAGTGCCGGCATTAAACATTCGGCGCCGACGGGCAATGACGTCATCTACCTCCCCCTAAAAAAATTAAATTTATTTAATTGAACTTAATCATTCTGTCAACTGAAAGGCTCAGAGACTTAAGTTATAGCTTATGCTATGCCCCTTAAAATAATTTAATTATGCACCTAAAAAAACGATTACTCATTTTTCTCATGCTTGTCTTTTTTTATAGATTTTTAAAGATAAGATATGATTTTTTTTTTTTTAATTTAATATGGTAAACCGACGATACGGCCAGCTATACAGACTACTAAACAGAAAATCCAAACTTTCTATTGAAAACAAATTACTTATCTACAAGACAATACTGAAACCTATATGGACATACGGACTTGAACTGTGGGGTACAGCAAAAGCTTCTAACATCAAACGTATTCAATCCTTTCAATCTAAAGTCCTTCGAACAATAGTTGATGCTCCGTTCTATGTAAATAACAAAATCCTACACCATGACCTTAATATCCCATTTGTCCTAGACCTTATTCCAGAAAAATTCTCCAAATTTCACCAGAACCTTACCTATCATCCAAATCCCCTTGCACAATCTCTATCCAGCACCACCCATCCTTACAATCCTCCTCGAAGGTTGAAGCGGCAGTGGCCCAGAGACCTTTTGTAAATAAGCACCTATTGGAGTTTTGGCAATGGACAGATCCTCCACTCAAGCCCGAGTGTGTATGATTAGGTTAGTTCTTTTGTTTATATACATTTATTTTATTTTATTGTATTTATTTTTATTTTATTCATTGTATTTATTATTATTAAGTTTCTGTATTATTTTATTTTTTTTTTATTGTAAATAGAGTGTGAGTGTGCTTTCTCTGAACACTATTATAAATGTCCTTGATGTGACAGAATGTAATATTTCTAAATAAACAAATAAAAAAAAAAAAAAAAAAAATATGGTAAAAGCTTATGTGTTCCGCTGCTGTTCATTATCAGCAATTAGGATCTTTAAGAATAAAATAAAAACAAGTATCACCTATATACCACTTGAACCTACACATTTATTGGCGAATATTCCCTGTCATGTAATAATTATATACGTTTTGTAATAAATATCGATAATATTAATATAGATAAACAGCTATAATTGGTTGTCAAACTGAAATAATATAAAAATATTTTTATAAATTCCGATTTATATTTATATGTCCGAAAGGACAATCCGATGCCTAAATAGGCAAGGGTCGAAGCTCAAAGAATTGGGGAAGAAATTCCTTTCTTGATGCCCCACATTAAGAATCAATGGTCGGTGCCGTTGTTTCAATGTTTGCAGCGCCGTTGTGGACAATTCTATTGTCCAATAATGTGTTTTTTTTCTCGAGGATCGGTGCGTGGGCTGTTTCTAGGCTTGATGCGTCGGATGATCTGGCCACTTCAGTTCTCCCAGTGTTCCGAAGTTCAGCTGGGATATCATCTGGTGCTTGATTAATTCTGAACTTCTAAATTGCATACTTTATTTCCTCATCATACCCATCAGTTGTGTCAAAATGTTCACACTCTTTATAATGGGTATTTGAATCTGGATTGTTGTCCAGTGTGTATTCTGAACACTCCCTGTCAGACTGCTGCAATGGTTAAACCACATTTTTAGGAATATTACAAAAAAATCTGTACCACTATAACCCATAAAGAGTTTTGGGTTCATAGCTCTACTAGAAACTACTGTTTCAAGACCAACGGTTGTGCAGAGAGGAGATCGGGCCAAAACCACGCTCAACCGCCAGGTTTTTTCCCCTTTAATTAATTATTGAATTAATAGTACCCATTTTATAAAGGTAGAGTGTGGCCCACTATGGTCTCCATACCCCAGGATCGATCCACGAAAAGATGAAAAATGACTTCAAATCAGCCGGTCTCAAACCCGTGAACGTTAGCTTAGCAGTTGAGTTCCTAACTCACTGAGCTACTTCGCTCCCCATTAAGGAATCCTTCAAGCTCCGTAATGTTCCCGTACTTTCCTCTACTAGTTTTGATCTTGGTATAAATCCCTTTCGCTGGGAATTATCTATCTTGTAGAAAGTTCTGGCATTCGATTATAAATTTTAGTCGTTTATATCCTAGAATCTTTCTCTTCTGGACTTTTTGTAGTTAGAAACATTTTAACTAGGCTTATGTTTATCAATCAATTTCTTACAGGCATTTCTTTTCTTTTTTTTTATAAAGATTACAGTCTTCTACAGAGAAGGGTGTGATCAGTCTGGTTACTGAAATTGTCTGGGGGAAAATTATGTAGTCATTTTTCCTATAAAACATATCTCTCCACTCACCACAACATTAGGCTCAGAAGGTCTGCCGAGAAATTTCGAAGTGAAGATTGACGAGGATCCCAGAAAATGGAAAACTATTATCCGGGAGAGTGCAATTGAAGGGTAGAATCCAGAGTGGACGACAGTACGGAAAGGAGCCATCTTGAGGAAGTACTTCCCCACTGTTCAATCACGTTTGGAAGCCATCGATATTACTGGATCTCGCAATTCCACACTAGGGATGGGGGCTTTAGAGCCAAGCACCGTGGCCTTGGAAAATACATCGATCCCTATGCCTTAGCTAATGGATTCCGCAGAATGCTGAGCACATTATCATGAACTGCTCCGGCTTTGAGTTGATAAGGGCCAAATTGCTAAGCGATACGGGTCTCCATGTTCTAACAGGGAACTATATCATTCAGCTAGTCACAGATGGAAACAACTCGTACCACAAAGAATGACGACAGAAGCAGTTGGAAGTTCACTGGGACGAGGAGAAATGAACGAGAATTAGAAAAGATCATGAATACTTGAATATTTGTACCAAATATATAAAAAATATCGCCTAACTAGCTCTATTATCATTAGGCCCGTCATCCAAGCTAAGCCCACCTACTATGGGTCAGTTTACGGATTCTATTTCAACCTGCGCATAGAGGATACCTCAGACTATTTTTACATCGTGATAATGGCATTTTTTTTGGCAGTTTTGGAGATTGTGATTTTGTTCGAAACTTATTTTCTCATGATTACAGTTAGAAAGAAAAATAATAACTAAAGACATTTTTTTTAGGATGCTCTGAGGAGGAGTATTACGCATTGACTGTTTGTGACGCATTCAGAAGTTCGGAGTTTAAAGTTCTTCATAATTTTCATAAGTATTACCCGGCACTTATTCAAAGATGTCTCCTGGCAGAATGTCATTATAGTGTTGTTAAAAATATTCTTCTGAATCAAACTGTTAGTAGTAATTCTATTAAACTAAGTTTAATTCTCCAAACAGATATTTATTAATTAATGTTTTGTTTTTTCTCTCTAGAGTCGTTATTGGAATGCGCTTCATTGTGTGAAGCACAATAATGGATGCCCAGGTATACATTTTTTGTTGTAAAATAACAATCCTTAATAATCATACTATAGAAAAAATAAAATCGCTCTGATGATTTCATGAATTCTTTTTAAATATGTTTTTATATATTGAGAAGCAATTAGTCGGATTGCGGTCAATATATAATACTATACTATATAATAGTATGTTTATATAGTTTTTTTATATATACAGTAATTAAAATTAACCGTCAATCCATAGCTGACCAATCATCAAGGGAATTATAATATGCTCCCAAGATTGTTTAATTGATTTGGATCCTTACATCACAAACATAATAAGGGATGAAATAAAAGACAAGATAATAAAATAAAATATAAATTACTACACATGAAAAAAATAATTAAACTTTTCCATCTAAACACTTAAAAGACGAGAACAAAAATTCTATTAGATAAATGTATAGATATGAAAATATAATAGTACAATAATAATAATAATAATTAAAAGAAAATAATAATCCAACTCCCAATTATCGTTTCTCTTTTCATACAAGATCATCTTAATATTTTTAATTGCTTTTCAGGTAGAAAGTAAAAATGAACGAGACGAAAAGCGTATTTATTGTTTTTACATTGAATCATGATACCTAACTGTAGGTCTTCTTCAATAATACTCATATTCCTCCTTCAGAGAAGTGCTTTATTTGGGACTTTACATGGACAAGAGACTGACATGGAGAACTCATATTAGACTGACAAGAAAACAACTGAACATACGATTCGGACTGTTATCCAGGCTACTTGACTGACGCTCAAATTATCATTATCTAAAAAACTTACTATCTACAAATATACTATAAAACTTTTATGAACGTACGGCATAGAGCTGTGGGGCCTTCGAAAAAGTCTAATATCCACCAAACTAAACTTTTCAATCAAAAGATTTGGGAGCACTTTTCTATGTGACAACTGATTTATAGTGAACAACATGTAGTAGTATATAGGATGTGTTCCTAAGCTCAGCACTAATTCAATCGATTGATCAACCATCGATGAGCAGCGATTTATGCTGTGATTAGGAACGACCAGCTGGATTTTAGCAGAAAGTTGACTATCTTAGAAGGTTAAAAAACGTGTGAAAAAGAAAAGATAGCGAAATATCTATGGTAAGTTCTTAAACCCAGCGCTGAGATCACTGTTGAGTATCGAATATCCATCAGACCGTTCTCAAACTCATCGATGTAACAAGTTCCTAAAGTCGGCGTTGAGATCATTGATGAACTCCAGAAATCAGTCAATCGTTTACTGCTGAGTTTAGGAACTTGTCCCTACCTACTGAATTGTTGAGTTTGACAAGATCGAAGACGCATAAACTTAGATTCCTCGGAAAATATTTTATTGCTCTCTTCTTCCTAAAAATAGTGCAAGCGTGAGAGTAGAAATTAGGAAAATTGTAGATCATATACATTACCTTTGCTGCGTTCTGCTCCATGCTTTCCCTTAGTCTCTTGGTTTGAAACTTTTTATTCCGAAAATTCACACATTTCGAAAACACCGTCGAAATTTGCCTCCTCTCAAAAATTCAAAACTGCCGAAATATGGAACCCTCACAAAATTTGAAGGCCTGCATTAAAACCTGTTATTGACACCAGGTACAGAAATAAATACAGATAGAAAGTAAACTGTAAATAAAATGGGCAAGCAACTCAGCGCTGAGCTCAGTGATGGACATCGTAAATCTATCAGGTCGCTCATAAACTCATCCATCAATCCATCAGAGGAATTTAGCGCGTACCTTTATTCAAAAATCGAATCACCAATGGCTTAGAGTAATAAACCCTGGGGTTCATTCAAGAAATGGCAGGCGCCGTCAGCCGGCACTGCAAGTGATCAGGATAACAGTGTCCAATGCACGGGAGGGAGGAGAGAGAATGGAACATTATACATTAAGTAGTAGCCCAGTAATCAGTAGTCATAGAAGAAAAAGCAGCAGCAGCAGAAGCAGAAGGACCTCCTCATCACCAACATTGCCTGCCAGTTATTCCTCACTCTCGATCTTCTTACTAAGTCCAGCGCCTTAAGCTGTTGAGGGCCACACTTATCCCGTGGAACTCAACCTCGACAGCCAATCGGGCAGCGTTATACTTGTAAGAAGGTAGCTGCTCTACAGCCTACAAGATGAACCCTGAGCATGTTGATCTACCATCGACGGAAGAAGATGTTATCAACATGGACTTAGGAAATGAAGACCCAGGGGCTGAGAAGAAGAGGCCACATAGCGATTCCGAAGGGTTTGTGCAGCCTCCACCCAACAAAGTACTCAAACCTAGGAGGAAAGTAGACAATGGCGCAGCATCTACTTCGGTTTCTAACCGGTTTCAGGTGCTAGCAACCAATGAAGACCGACGTCCACCACCTATCATCGTAAAACCGGCCATATCACAGCCATCTGTCAAGAGGATGATGGCAATGATAAAGGTCAGAGAATATTTTATTAACAATTCAGCGAAAGAGACCAGGTTGTACGTAAGCAACGAACAAGACCACACCAAAGTGACAGAAATGTTGCTTCAAGACAAAGAAGTAGAGTTCCATACATTTGCTCCGAGAGGGACAAAAAGATCGAAGAAATTTGTCATCCACGGATTCGACCTGGACTCTGACATGGAAACCATAACTGATGCATTGAAGCGTCGGCTCCCCGGCTACAAGATGGCCAGACGCATGAAGAGGACCAATAAGGCCGGGAAAACTTATGAAACGGAGGAAATCCAGCTCATAACTGAACACACAGTCAAACTGGAAGATATCCAGAGACTCGAAGCTATCGACTATGTACGCTTCAGAGTAAGGGTGTACAAAGAAACGAAGGCCCCAGTATAGTGCAGGAACTGCAAGGAGTTCGGCCACACAATGCAATATTGTGGCCGAACCTGCCACTGTGCCTGGTGTGGAGAACAACATTTAAACACAGAGTGCCCTAAGAGAGCTCCGGCTAAATGCTGGAACTGCAGCGGTAACCACCCAGCATTCTCAAAAGAATGTCCCTCCCGACAAAAACTTATAGAAACAAGAAAGAAGCAGGGCTCAGTCACCAGCACATTGAGGAATCCGGCCAAACCAGTCCGTAAGGACCTATCATACCCTAATGTCATTGGCGGAACAAGCAACCAATCACAGCATCCCACTGCCTTCCACCACCAGACACAAAATAGCCCGACCCCAGCGATCACCAGCACACTTGAAACCCAGCCACCTAGGACAACAGAATCAACTCTAGTGACCCTCGTTGAGAAGATGTTGGACAGGATGGACACGATGTTAAATTTTATAACAACTCTCCTTCAAACCGTGATGCCCATCAAGAAAAATTACTAAACACCTCGTAGTCAACCTGAACATCAGAGGCCTCCTATCAAAGTCGGCCGAACTAGAGCTTCTCCTACAGCAGCACAGACCATCGGTTGTGGCACTGACTGACACAATGTTGCCCGCATCGTCTCGAGTATTTTTACAGGAGTATACTGTGTACCGGGAGGTGTGCCCCCCTGGGAGAGCTGAGGGCGTCGCTATACTGGTCAGAAGAGATGTACCTTCAAAAACCATCACTAACCCAGTGGAACCTACCGAGGGAACTCACATAGTCACAGTGGACGTACGATTTAAAAATCGCTATACGTTCACCTGTGTTTATAGGAGACCGAGGGCAAATCTCACATCTGTGAAGCTCCTGCTACAACAAGCCCTGGCGAGAAGTCGGCATGTAGCCATTGGTGACTTTAATGCTCGACACTCTTCCTGGCTCTGTGGTAGCGACAATCCCCTGGGGAGGTACATCACTAAGACCAGCCTGGCCGTCTTTCACCCAGGTGTGCACACTTTCCGACACGCAGCCCGCCCTGATTGGACCTCAGCGTTAGACCTGCTGTTAACCAGAGAACAGCACACCATTACGGACTGCCACGCACTACCGTATGGTCCCTCTGATCACCGGCCTGTGCTCTACACTTTCGAGGGCATGCCAGCCACATCGACGGCGAGCAAGTATCTACTAAACAAGGCAAACTGGAAAGAATACAGATCTTGCGTTGAGAACACAGTACCAGCTATTACACCGTGCAGGACTCGAGATGAGGTGGACAGTGCTGTGAAAGTCATCACCACAACCATCCAGGATTCAGCCAATCGTAATATCCCCAGTTTCGCCCCACAGCCCAACTCCATCAGAAGACCACCGCGGCACATTCTTGCACTGATAAGCCAACGGAACAACATCAGAAACATCTACCAGCGCACCCGCGATTATAGCCTGAAGCCGGCCATCAATGCGATGACCCGGCAGATAGCTAGCCTCATGCGTGACTGGAAAACTCTCTGGCATGATCAGCTACAGAGGACACACGATGATTACCGCCAGTTCTGGAGACTCATCAGGACTTTCGTCAGCAAGAAGAGAAGTGTGCATCTGACAAAAGGTGACGCGCTGCTAACACCCGGGGTACAGGCTGAACTACTGGCGAAAAGCTATGCAGCGGGTGATGCTGAGCGGACGAGAAGTGCCCCTCCTGTACAGGATGGACTATATCCCAGTCTCACCGAGAAGCCCGTTTTCTCCAGTATTAACCAGCTTGAGTCGGTACTACGGCGCACTACGGGAAACAAGGCGTCAGGACAGGACGAGATACCGTATGTGCTACTGAAGATGCTCCCAAGGAAGGGTAAAGCCTTCCTCCTGAACATCTTCAACTCATGCCTGCGAATCTCGTACTTTCCCACAGCCTGGAAACAAGCAATCGTAGTACCCCTACTAAAGCCGGGGAGGAGACACGGCTGAGCACTATCGCCCAATTAGCTTCCTATCGCACATGAGCAAGGTCTTCGAGCGCTTGATTCACCACCATCTCATAAAACACTGTAGGGAGAAGAACGTTATACCACCAGAGCAGACAGGTTTCCAACGAGGTGTCGCCTGCGAACATCACCTGGCGAAACTTCAGGCACACACCATAGAGCAGATGAATCACAACAGAGCTACGGCACTCATCTTACTGGACTGCAGCCAGGCCTTTGACTGCGCATCTCACGCTCTGTTACTCCGACGGCTGGAAGAGTACAAGTTCCCAGCCCCTCTATGCCGACTGATCAGAAGCTATCTTAACGGAAGATCTCTCGTCGTACGAGTTGGTGACGACTACTCTACCCACCTGTGGAGTACCTCAAGGGTCTGTGTTGGGACCAATACTGTTCGTCGTTTTTACGGCGCCAGTAGTGGCACTCAAGCACCCAAACGCAGTGGTAGCAGCCTATGCTGACGATATCGGGATCTATGCATCGAACACTAATGCAAAGAGTGCCCTCAAGCATGCAGAAAAAGCCACAGAAGTCATCGTCGGAGAGCTAGAGAAAAATGGCATCAGAGTGAACCCCATGAAGACCGACGCTATCGTGATGTCGTTCCAGCAAGGGAAAAAGCCACTACCCACTCACTTCACCATCGGTAGTGTGGACCAGCGAATCTCCACCTCAGTAGTCTATCTCGGCCTGACATTGGATAGACACCTAACATTCTCCAGTCATGTCAAACAAAGACTCAAGCTGGCAAAACAAAAGTCACATAGGTTCTACCACCTGCTGAAGTCGCCGCAGCTCTCGCTGAGACTAAAACTTCAGATATACAAGGCGGTCATCAGACCTACGCTGCTCTATGGTGCACCGCTCCTCCGACACCTTTACCAGACGACACTCCAGAGACTGCAGGGATTCCAAAACTCCGTCCTTCGGCGAATAGTCAGAGGTACCCATCTTCAGCGATCCAGGAACAGAGACATCTACCAGGAGCTCCAACTACCCTCGGTCCCGGAATTCATTGGCCGGAGGCACATCAAATTTTTTGATGGGCTTAAGGCCTGTGCAAATCCATTATTCCAAGAAATCGCCCCACCGCCCAGGCCTGGAAGGTGGCAAGGCAAAGTCCCCCTGGTAGATGTCTTTGACGAAGGAGGGGGTCTGTCTGGACGCGGCAGTCTGAACCCTCACATTTGTACATAGTGTAAATATATAATTATAAATATGTAAATATATTCTCATCCCTATCCTTTATGAATAAAGCAGGGCGGTCCCTCCACGCCCGGTGATGAAATTAAGGCCTAAGGCCACAGAAAGTATCCTATGCTTATGGCATAAACTGTCATTTACCTTAAAATACCCTTGGGTAAGCAAAGGTCAAGGAATAATGTATATATACATTCATAGATGTATGTTGTAAGTAGTGTTAAATAAAGTTTCTGGGGGGTCAGAAAAAAAAGAAAAAAAAAAGTAATCAGTTGATTAGCTGTAATATATATAATTATTACCCCTACGGTTTATTGAGCTGTCTGCGACTTATTTTAAGTAAGCTACCGCGAAATATTTGAGGCTGGGCCCCTTAAAAAATGTAGCGTAGTTCAATTCATTCAGCGTAGTCGCAGCATTATTAAGTTGGTCTTCATTCTCTAAACTTTTCATTTGTTTCCTTAAATGTTTTTAATTCAAGTACAACTTGCCCTCCTGATTTGGGCACCTCAGTTTATTATATTCCAAATGTTATGGTTGTACTGAAGGTATCATAACAGCTTAACATTTTAGTTCCAGGTGGTTGGAGTCAATGGGGAAAGTGGAGTGAATGTTCAGCGCATTCCGGAATAGGTAAAAGAATACGATGCCGAACTTGCGATTCACCAAAGCCCACAAGTTTGAAACTGGCTTGCAAAGGTGCAAATTGCTCTGTAGAGACTTGTCAAAATCCGCACTTCAAAGATCCACCTCGTATGCTTAATTTTTTATTATTTTCTTTTTCTTGAAATTAATTTTATGCATTAGAGAGTTAGTGATCAATATAGAAATTTTATTCCCATTGTAAGTAATGTCATACTTAGCGAAAATGTCAGTTTAATTGATCTCTTTTGATGTCTCCATCCGCTGCAATTTTTGAAGAAGTACTAAATCTTTTTTTGTTTATTTTCTCTTTTACCTCGCCTTTTCGACTATGTTGGATTATTCCCGGGCCATTAATGGGGAATTAATGCCAGAGTTAAATGCCCCTAGCACCATGACTTGAACTCGTAATTTTCACGTTATCAGGTTGCAAGGCAACGCATGTATTGCAAATGCCCAGTCGGCCACCCCACCCCTAGAAGTGCTGAATCTAGGAATATTGTGGCTTATTATAATTATAACTATTATTATAATTATAAAATTATTTAATTATTTTAGGGATGGAATCAAAGTTAAAATCAACCTATCTTTTTGAAAGTTCTAAAACTTTACATGTTTGAAGTTGGAGGAATTATCACGGAATTCATGATTCCCGGCACAATTCGTTAGTCGATGTATTCTACGCAGTTTGTTATCCAACCGATTGAAAACGAGTATTTCAAAGACAACAGAACATCCACATGACCGTGCCAAACCTTTGTGCAACAGTAATCTAGGTTAATTTTTTTGTGTGCGTTATGTTACCTATGGCATTAAGTATATGTTAGTAATTGAAAAATAAAAACTGTATTCAATAATATATTTTTGTAGTAATTGCAATGATTTAGTCAAAGCAGGATTTGCCAGTATGGTTTAGTTGTTAAGTGCGACTAGAATGTTACAAAATATTAATTTAAAAAATAATCAATTAATAATAATCTGTAAATGAATATTTTTTATTTTTAAGGTGGTGAGTGGGAAGATTGGTCTCATTGGTCACAATGTACGGCGACGTGCGGTCAAGGTTTGAGGGAAAGAGTTAGGTTCTGTAATGTACTAGAAGAAGCCGCTGTCACACCGCCGGGGTTTGATAACACATCTGGCGAGGACAGTTGTCGGCCATGGATGAGCCGCAAATATTGCTGCCCTAGACGTATCAAAAGAAGTACTGGCCAACATTCTTTTTGTATCGGACCTCATACTGAAATCGAGCCATGTTTTCTGAAACTTTGTGCAGGTATTTATTTACCTTCAATATTGAATCTCTTGTTCATATTCTGATTATAATAGAGTCATTTCAGGATCTTGCAAATCGGCATACGATGAAATAAATTCACACAGATTTAACTGCAATAGATATAATTCACGTTTTAAATATGTAAATTGGAATAAATAAGGCCAATGTCATAAATTAAATGGTACAAAAGAAATCACTATAGAATATAAATACAAAATGTATATTATTAAAAGGGAAAATCTCTTCCAATTGTTAGTTAGTCTCAATTGGAAGAGATTAATAAATGAATGAAAAATTTCTTTAGTATTGTGAGACAAAGTCCCTTAAAAAAATTTTACATAGAGGTGAGGTAAGTGTGGCCTGACTCACTGACAAAAAAAAAAAATAAATACAACGAAAAATAGCGAATAAAAATACTTTTTACATTAACTAAAATAATAGATATGCTTTGAAACTAAATAACATAAAGAAAATAGAATAGGCTAAATGAAAATGACAATGGTAATCAGTAAGTTGTTATATACCACTGAAATGAACTCTAAGGAACATTTAATGTTCGGAAATGTGCGTTTAACATAGCAAAATATTAATTAGACTGAGAAAGGAAAAGGTGGCTGAAGAGAAGAGCTTTTTAAACGAGGAAAGTATGCAAAGGAAAGGAAGGAGGCAGCTCAGGCGAGGAAGGACTTGTCAAACGCCGCCAGAAGGATGAGATCAGGTGGAACGGGATTTGATAAGTTATTTAAATATCAGGTTCTGTAAAATATAATGTGGGTGCCGAGTTGTGATTATCTGGTATAGTAAGGGTGCAAGGAACTACCAAGAGCTTTATAATGCATAGAACCACTTTAACTCGAGATAATACTGGGGTATTCGCGTATCTACCATTCGCGTAGTATTCGCGACCTCTAGTATTCGCGACCCCGAAAACAAATCTACCAAAGCAATTCATATGCTGTCTAAGTTTTGCTTCAAGATCGCCAGAGTACAACACCGTACAACAAACAACCGTAATCAAAGTGAGGGAACACAAGTAATGAAACCATGGAGGTGTTGGGTTTTACGTTGAAGCAGGTAACGTAGGTGATTGAATTGTTTTAGGATTGATACAGTCCGGCGTGAAGTTTGGAAGATATGTTTTTCAAGAGAGTGTTTGCTCAAAGGTGACTCCAATGTGAATGAGATAGGAATATTGTTCAGGGATTGCATGTTGCTGTGCCCAGCAATTAATGTAGATCATATCCTCATTTCTTATGTACAGTTGATTTAAACTTTATGGATATGTTTTTGGCTTTTTATTCTCGACATGGTTGAAATTTGTGCAACACGCCCAAAATATGTGTTAATAAAATAAAAAATAGTACAAAATAAGTTTTTATTTGAGAATGAAACCACAAATTGAAAGTGACTAGGAAAAATATGTGTTATCTTTTTTAGACTACAAGCTTACAAAGGAAACTTTGGTTTTTGAAATACATGAAAATAATAAATAGTGACAGTGCACAGAAATTGGTCTGAGAATGCTGAATGATGACATTAATTTATCTTGATATCACATCACAAGTCGCAATGCTTTCTACAGCAGTATCAATGTATTAGATCTCCGGGAAACACTTTGGATAAAAAACTAAAATGGGTTCCCAATGGCACACACATTTGTAATTGATAATAGCTGACATCAAAGAAATGATCTGAACACAGCAGAGAAAACAGTGATAACAGATGACAAAAGATAGAAAGTTGCAAAGGAAAAACAGGTTATATATAGAAAGAGTTAAGAGTGGAATGACATTTTGGTTATATATAATGGTCAGTTGAAACCAACTATAACTTATTCCTAGAAAAAGGCCTCTTTCTACAAATACGTATTACAGTCTCTTCCCCTAGATCATCTTTTATGTATAACTTGTTCTAAATTTCTTCAGTGGTCCCCAATATTTTGTTTATGGCACTAAAACTATTATAAAACCTGTACCACTACAACCCATGAAGGATCTTGGGTTCAGTACTATTTAGAGAAAGCACTGTTTATAGGTCTACGATTGTGCAAGGACGTGATTTGACCGATATCACGCTCAACCGCCTCAACTCAAGAGAATGAGAAAGAAAAAGAAAAACACACGATTTACATCTTTGCAGTCAGGTGTGTTTTTCTTTTTCTTTCTTATTCTCTTTCTTATTTCAAACTTCTCAGTTTCTTTCCTCCTTCCTTTCATCCCTCTGCTCCGTTTTTACTCTCTACTATATTATACGTTGTCTATACATATTGATAGACTGTACAACATCTCAATTTTCTATCTAACTATTCTATTCACAATATCTTAATTTTACATATCATATTTTTCAGTTTTTACATTTTATTCTAAGATTCCCATTTTAATACTTATGTCACCTTTTTTGATAATGTTTACTTCATGATTCCACACTTTGTACCGCTTATTATCATTTATCTCTTAGTTCTTACTATTGTCATTATTCTAACAACTGAATTTTGCTTTAATTTTTTTTTACCTATACTACTTACGTTTCTCATACCTAGTTATCTGGTTCTTTTCTTAGCCCTGATGATGGCCTGAACTTCAGGTCGAAACGTCGGCTAATGTCAAAATAAATAGTATCATTTATTTTTGCCTTCTTATTTGACTGATCACTCCAACTATTCTTCTCTTCATTATATAATTTAATATTTTTAATACCAGATAGGCCTTTAGCTACTTATTGCCTTCAGGCAGTCCTATTTAATAAATAATAATTTTAGAGATTTTAGGTATAGATAATATATATAATCTTAGTTGATTAGATTTATTAATCTGATTACGACCTCCACACGAGACATTTATTGTTGTATATAAACCTGATAGCTCAGATATACATGTAATTGAAAAAAATAAAATATTTGTTATCGTAATACATAATCCAATTTAAATATTAATAATAATGAAATATATTATTTTTCTGTATAATTTATTTTATTTACTGTACATAGAGTGTGAATGTGATCTGTGAACACTATTATAAATATCCTTGAGACAGATTGTAATATTTTTCAATAAATAAGATTTATTAAAATAATAGTGAGGAGTAAAACTCAATTAATTTTAGTATAAGTGTACTCATTCGAATAGAAGGAAGTTTAGGGTAGAAAAAAGAGAAGATCAAATTCGGCTCAACCCTTAACCAATTATTTTAATTAAGTGTAACCTCTTTATAGAGGCTGAGTGGGGCTCAGGAGGGTCTACCTACTCAGGGTCGCCCCACGCCCAATGAAACGGAATAAATATTTTTTCTACCATGAGCCGGGGATTCGAACCTGGGACCTTTAGCATTGGAAGCTCAGTAAACTTATAAATAATAATTGTAAAATAAATAAATATTAAATAATAATAGTAAATAATAATAATCAATAAATAAAAATAAATGAAATAAGAAATAATAATTGCATTATAAAAATACAATTATAAACCTGTAATAAATGGAATTTTGATAGTCCAATTTCATATCTTCAGCACAACAAATTTTACATCTATTAATTAATAAAATGGCAAACAGGTACATTATAAATACAATATTGTAACGATTCGTGGCAACCGAAGGAGCAAAATGGGCAAAAGGAGCAAAACCAAGTTGAGATTTGTATGATTGATTTAGAACGGCATAGAAAAAAATCCTCCAATAAAATCAAGACTTAAAGTTTATATATACTTTTATTTCAAAAGAACAATATTGAAGAGTTTTAAAGAACACCAAAGACGAATCTGAATTACTTTTCCATGACAAAAATTTACTTTGCCTACCTCTTGGTTTTTCTTCGTTGCAATGTTTTTCTTATTTTACATTATAAAGGAAAAATATATTGATATATTATAACCTAGATATCGGTTCAGAGCAAAGACAGAAAAAAATATAAAAAAGATTAAAATTTTATAAATTCTTTTTTTTAGGCGCATTGGCAAGAAACTTCGAACAATTTGAGAATACTCAACATAACATTTTTCGAATTAAAATCACAAAAAAATTTCATTGAAATCAATGGCCCTAAGTTTGCTCCATTTCTTGTTAGATACGAAAGGTTATTTCATTTAAACTAATAAAACTAAAACTATTATATTTTTATTATTATCATAGAAATCAACACACACAATAATAACTAAATAGTATTTATTACCTAAACATGGGAAACGTGTATTAATACAGTTTGATTGCAGTGGATGGGGAATGGTCCGAGTGGGAGCCTTGGTCGCAGTGCTCCTCGGCCTGCGGGGTGGGGGTCCAGTCCCGCAGCAGGGCCTGCAGCTCCCCGCCCGTCAGCGGCGGAGGCTCCGGCTGCTTCGGCCCCTACACCTGGATCAGGCACTGCTACCTGGGGCCCTGTCATGGTCGGTTTAAACAACTTTATCATATTTAATTATTTAAATTTATTTAACAAGTTAGTTATCCTATCAAATATATTTTAAATATAAGTCGGGGTGTCCAGAAGGGGTTTGAATGGCGCAAATCGGGCCATGAATTTTCTGAGGGAACCGTATCTGTTTGGGTTCTATTTGAAGTTAATTTAAAAGCAGGGAAGAAAGAGACAATACGGAACCAACACAGCAAATGTTATAGTACCTATACGATCTACAATTTTTCTAATTTTACCTTCGTTCCTATTGTTTATAGGGTGAGAATAGCGATGGAATTTATTTTATCGGGGGGAGGGGATGGGCACTCCTGAAGTTGCAATTAGGAATAACATTTATCTTTTGAGCTTATTTAAAACGATTTTTATTCATCTTATGCAGAATTAAGGATTTTAATAAAATATTTAGTTCAAAAGACCTTCTTAAATGTTTCTGCTTTTATACTTCTTTTCATATTATTATTTTAATATTTTTCCGATCGAAATTAAGGGACTCAAATTCCTCAGTAAATAAATTTTATTTGTAATTTCTTGCTCACCCTTGGTGGTAAATGGTTTTGGCCCGAGGTTTATAATTTAGATATGTAACTTAGATATAGAGATACTCGCTACTGCCCACAAAATAAAGTAATAGTATATCGAAAGCCACTAGCAGATCCAGCCGGGGGGGGGGGGCCGCGCCCCTCCCCTGGAAGCTAGAAAAAAATTCAAAAAAAAAGTTACTACAAGTAGCTATTTATAGAAAAGAGAAATATAGGGAAAATTCATCCTCATAGATGATGAATTTAATATAAAAAAAAAATTTATCGTGACCAGCACTAGCGAATTCTGCCGGGGGGCGCGTCCTCCCTTAGATGGTGGAAAAAAGTGACAAAAAAGACTTATTTAAAGAAAAGAGTAGTATAGGAAAAATTCATCCTCATTCACGAATTTCATAATGTAATATAAAAAAAAATTATCGTGAATAGCACAAGCGAATTCTGCAAGAGGGCGCGCCCTTGCTTTGGATGGTGAAAAAAAAAGCCCTATTTAATGAAAAGGGAAATGCATATACTGTAGTCTACTACAGTATCAATTAGCTTTATTTGTAGAATAAAATTAATTTTTCTCCTACCCTTTGTATTCTTTTCTTAAATTTTTAATAAGTAGCGGGTACTTCCAACCCGGTACCTCTGAGCAAATGCCCGGGTTCTCCTGCTCTGAGGCTGGCACTATCATGTAACTAGTCAAAGCAAAGAAGAGAGCGATAAGTGGGAATATAATATCAAACAGCCTCCAAAACAATCGAATGTTCATGGACACTGCAAAATGAGTATGCCTGGAAAAAGCTACTATTCCGCCGAATTCCAGAGAATTGATTTCATTAATTGGACAATTTAGCAGGAATCTTCGAAATCGAAAGAGTTTATCGAAGTACACATCAGCAGGTTACATAGAACTTACCAAGAATTCCTGAATCGAACCATATCCATATGAAATTGAGAACGCTAGAAACGAATCTCTCATAGACTACTCCAAAAGGGGACGTGTGCACTCCGTTCGAGCCATCCCTACAATGGAAGACAAAAGTGAATAACCCTTGTGATCAAATACTCGATTTCCAATCATTTTTTTATACAAACTTTCATTTGAATCATAATTTTTCTACATTTTGGAAACTGATTTTGTTCCTGTCAATCTTTATTTACAAAGTCATGGGTATTGCTACAATACATTTGATTCCTTTTACCTAAAGAATATCTTTTTTTCAAAGTAATTAAAAAGTTAAAAGTTAGAAGTAATATTCAAAGATTATTTGGCAGAAATACGATCAAAAAAGTTACATAGAACATTACATATTTTTCTTAGGTTAGAGAAAAAAATTACAAATTACATTTAATATTACTTCAGGAACCACATAAACACCATTTCATATAGGTAGTTAATTTCTTTATTTCTTTTTCAAATTAATTATCGTTATATGTATATGAAAAAAAAAATCTTTCGGACTGAAGCCTCCCCAAAATTAAATCCTGGATCCGCTCGTGCATAGAACAAAAACTACTGAAAATTTTTAGCATTTGTTCTGACAGGCTCTTGCAATGTGGCTGTCGATATACTATTGCTATTCATTTAACTTTAGACTCAAATGTGAGAACACACTTAGATGAACTGAATGCCACGTTGACTTGTTCCATTGTTTTGATTCAGTTTCGAACCGCGAGGTGACGGTGTTCTCAGGAAATGGCGCCCTATATTATCGGAAGACGGGGCACAGCAGCAGGCTGCTCCACATCTACGTGCACCTGAAGCCCTTCGGCCTCAACGGGGACGTCCTCGTCCGCTCCCCGACCAGCTGCCCCCAGTCCAGGGTCAAGGCCAGGCTCTCCCTGGCCGCTGGCTATCTCGTCTTCGTGGCCTCTTCCTGTAGCTGTCACGTCACCTTAGTTAGCAGCAGGCCCGTCAAGGTGACAGTCAATTCTTAATAGTTATTTTAAAACGTATAAGATATCCAAAATTATTGATTAAAATGTGTAGAAGTAAATTACTTATTCTGCAAAGAAGATAGTTAATAAAAAGAGTAGGGGTGCCTAATCATTTCATTACGCGATGAACAAAAAGAAACCATGGGTTTTCTATATTTTATACATACTGAATAAACGGAACACCGATCTGGTACACTGAAGTGATAAGATGTGCAAATCAAAGATAAGAACTAGGTCAAGAAACTCGCCATAGTCAATGTTCTCGCACCAACATGTCTACTATAATACCTTGGAAGGAATTCCACAAACATAATATAAAAATTGTAATGGGTGAAGTAGGTAAAGAAATGTGTTTTGTCCAAATATTGTTTACCTCTATCAAACCACAAATGATAATGATTGATTGATGATAATGACTGGCGAGCGAATTATTGATATTTCTAGAGGTAATGCATTAGTTGTAATGAGTACAATCATCGCAGACCCAGTCCATCAAGGTGACAGTCCATTATTAATAGTTGTTTAAAACTTATAAGCTATTCACATTTAATTACATATTTTTTTAGTAACGTTGTAATTATCTCGGAAATATGATATGTAGGAATATGACATCGTGAATGATATTTTTTCGGGCAAAAATACTACTGCAAAGACGTGGGATTCAAAAATCAAAGAACAAAAATAAACTTGAAAGTAAAGAGAGCTGTAGTGTGATGTTGCTACCTATTGTTGAATTGACCAAATATTTTCTACCATGAAGGGGGAACACCTGTGCTTGTTGAAAAAGTAACGCATAATAAAATATAGTTGAAAGATAATTAGAGCGTACCAATGTTTCCGAAAATATCGTAAACAATTTTTTATGTTGGACATTGCATGTAATGTTAGTGTCATGTGATATAACTTGTAAAATATAAATGTCAGAAAGAAATGAACCATTGTGTAATAATTTATTATGTTTTTATAAGAGAAAAGATCGTAAATCGGGGGACGGATAAATGAGATTCCAGTGTATCATTAAAAGTACGAAATCTTTTTTTTAAATTATTATTTATGAAATTTACAACTGTACAAATTAATATACATTCAGTAAATGTGATACAGAGAAATAGTTGATATGACAAGACTTCTAGAGAATCTACCCATTGGCAGCACTCTGATAAAGTATCTAAATTGGGAGTTTACGAGGCCATCTTTTTTTCAGACGCCTAGGAGGATGATCAGAGATCGAGGAGGAACCATGGTTAGAAACGAAGAGATTAGGATGGTTCTGAAATTTATTATGGGAGTATAGATATCTGGATAGAGCCAAATCGGAAACATATGGAACATTCAGGTCATTATGGATTATTTTATTTATTACAAAGTCAGGAGCATTAAGGATTTTACGAAGGATTATGGATAGTAAAGATTGGATATGAGAGGAATTCGATGGTTTAGTGGAGCCCCAAAGCTAAACTCCGTAAGTCCAAATAGATATTATTGTGGTCATGTATATTATAATGGTCATGTATATGAGTATTTTGTTATTAATTGAAAGGTTAGAGCGTTTGTCTAGTAAGTGTTAGAGTAGTAGGAAACGTCGAGCGGTTTCTTTTCTTTCCAGTCTGGTATGGGGATTCCAAGTTAGACGTTTGTCCAGGTGGAGTCCTAGGTATCGGATTTGTTCAACAGGGATACATAGGGTATTATTAAAGGATACTGTAGAACACGAAGTCATAGGTTTACGACGAAGGATAAGGTATTTTGATTGAATTTATTTTAATTCTCCAGTTTTGATATCGTTCGTCAAGGTTTGTGATGTGTGATTGAAGGGTGTGGGATGCAATTGTTGGGTCGTTATGAACTGATAGGACTCGTGTCATCGGCATAGGTTGTAATAATGGTGTTTGGATGGCTTAGGATGTCAGCTGTGTAAAGAATAGGACCTAGGACACTACCTTGAGGAACTCCACCTGACTGGGAAGTACGAAATCTATAATTTTAAATCTTAAAATTTATTCGCGTAACAAAGATTTTATTAAAATTGAATTAATAGCGCTTATACTTGTAAGATATATTAAAATTAGCCCTGTCTACCAAGAAGTTTTAACTGAATGTTAGTATACAAAAGAGTGACGATGGATGTAGACACATTATTGTAAAGACAGTTATCAAATAGCATTACAAGTATCATTGTATATGAAATATAGGTAAGAAAACATCGTCTTTAAATATTTCTTTATTTTAAAAACCTGTGAGAGATTTCAATGAAAAATAAATATGTACATAAGTAATTTTTTTAAGAGTTTAAAAAAACGGTATCATGAATTCGATGGCCTTCCGCAGGAAGCTGAAAATATCTTCGTCGACTGATAGTTGCGACGTTTGACAAACATTATCTGATTCATTTGAAAGACAGGAAAAATTTCTTCCTAGAATGCCAAATGGAGTGCGCGAAAAAATGTGTTTAAATAACAGTGAAAATGAATTTAAAAAATCTTAATTTATACACTCCATCTTCTTTTATATACTTTATTGATTTAAATAATTATTTGATTATTTTCTAGAGGAACTTTATACTGATATTATGAAAAGAATTTAAAACATTCAGACCTAGTTATGTTCAAAATTTAAACATGGACGGCCGTTCAAGTTTGATCACTTTATTTATTGAATATTTTAATTCAGATTGGGTCTTAAATTGGTTTAAGAACATAAAAATGTAATGTAATAATTAAGGATACTTTTTCACCCATTTTGAATGATATACCTCAATTACCCGTTCTCCCCTCCCCCCTCCGATTTACCATCTTTTCCGTTGTAAAAAAATAATAAATTATAACACAATAGTTTATTATTTTCTAACAGTTATATGTTAAAAATATCTGCAATGACCACTCAAATGACACAAACCGAAAAAACTAAGCCAACTTAACCAAGGAACAATGGAAAATCTAAAACAAGATTTTTTTAGTTCTACTTGTGTTAGAACCGTTTTTAATAAGAGGAAAGCAATAAAATGGGAAGAGAGTTATACGCCATCGGTCTGGAGAGAGATTGGCTCCCCTGCTAACTTCAGCTATCCAATACATAATAGTTGTTTTCTATGTACTAAATCCATTTTTAGAACTTCTCTAATTTTTTATTTATTTCACTAAATAAAGAAATTAGGTTAAACAAAGAAGACCCGCTCTCAATCTTTAGATTTATATACAACGACCCACCGAACCGCGGATTTTGACAGATTTTCATCATTCGATCCTTGTCCCTAATAATAATAAGGAACCTGTAAATATGTATATAAATTATTAATTTATATATTTGTTTTAAGTATTACTTTTTTAATTTAATTCATAAAGTTAGAATTTACCCTATATATATTTTTTTAAATTATTTAGTTTAAATATTTAAAACCCAAAATTGTATTATTCTATTAACCTGTATTGTTCTAATGGGGCTTGTCCCGTAATAAATAGAGCATATTATTATTATTATTAAATGTACTTGATATTTTCATTCGTTTTTTTCAGATGTTTAATTGGCTGAAAGTACTTATAACGGTTACTAGTCATGGTGCCCAGATGAGGCTAGATGATAGTGAACACTATTACAAGAAAGCGTTTAGTAGCAGTATGAAATTGCCTAATTTTGATAGCGAAATGGTAGTTGGTGGCAATTTTAGTGGTCATATACAAACACTTTGCATCAACTTTGTTCATAGGGAAATGAAATCATCACCTAAACTGGTAATTATTTAGTCCAATAACAGTGCGGTAAACAATCACACTCTATTTCAGTAAAATATTAATCTGGAGGAATTGTTTTGACTTTAGTTTGTTTGACTTTGTAGATCATATCAGGGCTGGTTCGCTCAGTGAGGGGGGAACTGATAGGGAGGAATTGAGCTCTGGCGTGAACACTAGACCACTATCACGGGTGCTCATCCCCTCCTAAAGTCGATGATACAAAAATCTATCCCCTCCCCCTAAGATATTTTATTGCTCAGCTTTTCTTAAGAATAAAGCAAGAGAAGGTAAAATTAGAAAAATCACAGATTATATACTATTACACCTGCTGCGGTTTGTTCCATGTTTCCCCTAGTTTGAATTTTTCCTTCAGGGCATCCCTGATCACTGTTACCACTATTGAATCCAGCCGGGGGCGCCCCTCCCTCCCGACCTGGAAGTTGGAAAAAGTTTCCAAAAAGCAGTTATTTAAAAAAAAGAGAAATATAGAGAAATTCATTCTCATAGACGAATTTCCTAATGTAATATAAAAACAAAATTATTATCGTGACCAGCACAAGCTAATTATGTCAAGGGGAGAAAATAATTCCGAAAAAAGTGCCAAAAACAGTTATGAAAACTAAAGAGAAATATAGGAAAATTCATCCTCTAAAACGAATTTTCTAATGTAATATAAAAAAAATTATTACCATGATTAGTACTATCGGTCTGGCTGGGGGATGGGTCCCTCTCTCCCCTCTATGGTGGGGGAAAAGTAAAAAAAACAGTTATCTAAAGAAACGAGAAATGTAGGAAAAATTCATCCTTATAGACACATTGTCTATAGTAATATAAAAAAAAATACTAACCTGACCAGCACGAGTGATTTCTGCTAGGAGGCGTGCCCCCCTCTAGGTGGAGGAAAAAGAATTTACAAAAAAGAGTAATATTAGAAAGATTACATGAGTAAATTAATAAATAGGTGATTAAGTGATAGTAATAATAATAAATATAATATAAGAAAAGAAGAATGAAAATACAGAATAGAAAATAAACTTTATTCTGGGACGATGTCCCCTTAGAATAACAATAATGAACAGTTACAAAAGAAAAAATACATATCTAGCCAAATACTAACTTAATAAAGAATTAAAGAATTCACACAACAATTTAAACAATAGTATGTAAATGACTAAAAAATAAAATAACTAAATTGTAAATAAATACTTCTAATCGTATTTGAAAAAACAACAAAAAATAAATAAATAAATGAAAGAGTTTTTTTAATTGTTACATAATTCTTTAGAATATTTTATTAGGCAAAAATTTTCTCTGCATGGATTTGTTATATATTTGATGGATTTTTAATTAAATATATTACATTATTTTGTCAATTATAAAGCATATCTTGTTTAGAAAATTGTGTACATATCTGCATCTGCATAGTACCTGACATAACTATATAGTCGTTAGAACTATTATATTTAAAAATGGTCTAAAGTATTTATTAGATAGATAGATAGAAAAATAACTTTATTCTGGGACACAGTCCCTTGAGAATAACAAAATAGAACAAAATTAAAATATTACGTCTGGCCAAAATAAAATCAATCGAAAAAAAGAAATAATGTAAAAAAAATATAAGGTAAAAATTCTATATACAAAACAAACTAAACTATATACAAAACCATTAATACTATGACAAGACACTTAAAGCTATTTGCTTTTATAGACCAGTATACACTTTTCCGAAAAAAATAAAGAATTAAAAAATAAAAATGTATCAAATTCTCTATTAAAATCCGCTCGAATGGTTAGCAAGTATCTGACTGTTTTTGTGATAGGAATTGTAATAAGAGGGATTTGAATGTGGATATGGAGGGGGAATGTCGAATTTTGATAGGGAGGGAATTCCAGAAATTGACAGAGCGAACAATAAAGGAATTTTGGAATGAGGCAGATCTGTGAGAAGGCATGTAAAGGTCAGAAGGTTGAGATCTTGTGGAAAGGGAATGGACTGAGGATTTGAACTGGAGAAGGTTGTAGGCGTAAGAAGGACGATGGTTGTTGATGATTTGGTAGAGGAACGTACCTAGAAAATATTGTCTTCGGAAGGAGGGGAAGAGCCACTTTAACTCAGTGTAGTGGTGAGAGACAGGGGAGTACCTCGGGGCACCAATAACAAATCTTACGCAGCTATTCATTAATCTTTTCAGTCTATCACGGAGCTCCACCGAGAGGCCATCATACACCACACAGCTGTAGTCAAAGTGGGGGAAGATGAGAGAGGAAATTAGGAGTCTACGGATATGTTGAGGTAGGAGATGGCGGAAGCGATGAAATAGTTTAAGGGTAGAAATTGTCCGACGGGAAATGTGAGAAATATGGTAGGTCCAGGAGAGGATTTGATCTATGAAAAATCCTAAATTTTTAACAGAGGAGTAGAAGGAAATTGGCTGGTCATTAAGGTGTAATATGGGAAAGTCAGTATGGGATCTAATAAGGGGCTTGGAACCAATGGCAATGGCCTGAGTTTTGGCAGCATTTAACTTTAATCCATTTACATTTGCCCAGGCATTGATTCGATCAAGGTCTTCTTGAATCTTGGCAAATACCCCCAGTAACTCAGAGGGAGAAAAGGATAGGTAGATCTGGGAATCATCTGCATAAAGGTGATGGGAACAATGGAGAATTGATTTAGATAGGTCGTTAATGTAGGAGCTGAAAAGGAGAGGAGATATGCTTGAACCCTGGGCAACTCCAGAGGATAAAGAAAGGAAAGCAGATAGTGGTTGGTTGGGTATGGAGACTGCTTGGGTGCGTTGGGAGAGGAAAGATTGGAACCAAGAGATGGAACTATTGGAGAAAGATAATGATTTTAGTTTGTTGAAGAGGATGGAATGGTTGATGGAATCGAAAGCTTTGGAGAAGTCTAGAGGAATAAGGACAGTTAATTTTCTATCATCTATTGCAGATTGAATGTCGTTGGTAATTTTAATTAAGGCAGATTGTGTGGAATAGCCGGGACGGAAACCAGATTGGAGAGGATCAAATTGGTTGGACTTTTCGAGGAACTTGGAGACTTGGGATTGCACCAGTCTTTCAAGAGGCTTTGAGAGGTTAGAAAGAATTGAAATTGGACGGAAATCTTCGGGTGAGGATGGATTAGGCTTTTTATTTAAAGGAAGGATAATGGCTTTTTTCGAAGAGGTAGGGAATACTGAATTCTGAAGGGAGAAATTGTAGATAAAAAGGAGAGCTGGGAGGATTTCAGGTAGACATATTTTTATTAATTTGACAGGAATGCCGTCTGGCCCTATGGAATTGGTGTGGGATTTCATTACCGCGGTTAACAGGTCTGTGGGAGAAATGTCGGAAAAATAAAAGTTATTGTCGTTAAAGGATATTTCTGGAGCAAAGCCAGAAGAGGAAGGTAGAGAAGAGGTATTAGCGACAGATATAAAATAAGAGTTTAAATCATCGGAGGATACAGGATAGGCTGCGGTAGGGGATCTGGAAGGATTACCAATGGAAAGTTTACGAAGCAGTAGCCATTTAGTATTACAGGGACAAATTGAATAATAAAGGAATAAAGTATATATACTAGTATATATATATTTAATATATGTTTTATCAGATGTCAAATAGATATCAAAAATATCAAACCCGATCAGTAATCAATTACAGTTGAATAAAAATATCCGATACAATTATTGGGGTATCAAGAAGCCCTAGTATGCATACTGGCGCATACCGCTCGGGTATCTGATAAAAGTATCTACTCTTCAGTGTTGACCTCCAAAATGTTTTGTTTTTATTAGGATAGCTGATTGGGTACCTCTAAAGGTCTCAATCAATAAGGATCCATCGCTAAGCTTTTTAATACTTTTTACGTCCCCAAAAAAATGGAGAGACTTTTTTTAAAACTTCATCATTTCTCTTTACAACCAAGAAGGTGGGGCTCACTTCCTGGCCATCTTAGATGGATATTTCATCTGGGAGATTTTTTATTCGACGCCGAGGTCTTTTTCTTTTATCCAGTTATCCATCGGTCTTTATTAATATAAAATAATGGTATCAAAAGAAAAAAAAAAAAAAATATATATATATATATATATATATATATATATATATATATCAATAAAATGAATTAATCTCTTATATAATTTAGAACAAAACAAAAAAAGAATATTATTAAATTATAAAAAAAAGCGTCCAAAGAAACACGCTTAGTAAGTGTAATTGTATATGATTTACGGCACTTTTATTTCCAATGTTCTTAAAAAGAGATAAAAAAAAATATCTTGGGGAAGAGAGAAGGTAATTTTATACGCTATCGACCTAATGGGGGAATGGGCATCCCTGAAGAAACATTAACAACAACAAACGAATTCGGTGTAATCTATTATTATAAAAAAAATAAAATAATAGGCTGTTACATTATTATTATAATATGGCGATATTAATAAAATAAATACCCACTAAATCATAATATTAAACAAATTGTGCTAGAATTTTCTTATATTTCTCTAAATAAATATAAACTTTCGTTTTTTTTTCTATTTATATAATATATTTGCCTATTATTTACTGTAAGTGCCTTTGAAATAAAGAATTTTAAAGTAATCATAATACCAATATCTCTCTTTCTGCTTCAGGTCAACCCTTTGATTTTCATAACATATTATTAATTTATTTACCTACTTTAAATTCTCTTCAATCCAACCTCAACAAGACATAAGGGTGTTCTCTTCAATTAATTAAATCTGTAACCCGGAGGTAAAGAATAGCATGTTCATTTTTGTATTTGTTCAGTGGAGCCCATGTTCCATAACTGTATGCCATTAAAATGGGTTTCTCAGTTACTAAATTATTTAATATAAAAAATGGGCATAGTGTTCCTTTACCTCCGGAAACAGAAATAAGAGAAAAAGGTACAATACTGTGCAAATAAACATTCAATGATTGGCTTGAAAGAGAGCAGTAGGTAGGTTTAGTTCTACGTTACGATTCTAGTACTCCACTACGCATTTCTGAGTGACCGAATCTGGTTGTTTTATAGACTTTGGGTTTTGTCCAACAGTGCCAGGAGACTCCATTGATATCCCCACCAAAATTGATAGTATCGAAATGATTTTTATTGACATTTCAGTACCATCCATATATTTCGGTATTTAGATCTCTTGCATAATCTCGGAAAAAACCGCTAAAATCAGATTCAGATTTAAAATTGGTATGAATGTGTTACATCATATATCACTATAATTATTGTCCGAGTGACGGTTTGTTATATATATTTTAATAAATAAAAAAATCAGATTAACGGTTGTAGGCATTATTCCCGTCACATGAATTTGACACGCAATAAAATGTGTTCCTTGATGTGTGAAACTTGGAGTGATTAGAGACTTTCGATTTTGATGACAAAAAATTTATTAATCTCTCATCTGAATACACAATTTTCTTAACTGCGGCGATGATGAAACTAAATGATTTATAGTTAATATTAAATGTAAATGGCAAGTAAGAAATTTATTAATTATTTTAACTATGTAATATCATACATTATTAATTTATTATCATGAAAATAATTGAAGAAGTGCGAATGTAATTAAAATATTTCTGAAAATAACTACATATAATCATTGTATTTTAAGATACCTTGGTGGTGTCGGCATCGAACCTTCGGGTTCGCTAAGCCTTTATTATTTTATTTTATATATTATTATTTTAAGATACCACGATCACCAAATATTTCGTTGATATTTCTGAAATAAATAAAATATATGCATTTTTATAGATATATTCGCACGTTGAGATTGATGACCTCGATGATTGCTGCTAAAAATATAACAAACGACCATTATGTTTCTATTTCATTAATTAATTATTTCTTCTTATTAATTATTGTATTCGAGGAAAGAAATATCATTCTGAAATGATGAGAGATTCATCATTAATTGAAACGTGAAGTATATGTACATGCTTTGCTGAGTGAGAGCTGATTAATATACTGAAACAATCATCTCGTCCCTTAGGTTTTAATATTGAATTTAAACGCATAAGGGTTTATTTATTCAGTTGATATTATTTGTTTCCTTTTGTAGATTTCGGAGGAAAAATATATATACCCATCTTCTATAGCCAATGTGATTTTTGAAAATACTGAATCTGATGAAGGAAGAAGTTTAAATGACTTAATATTTGTTCCATGTGGCAGCAATACGGTGTTTTCGGTAAGTAAAACGTTATAATTCTGAAGGCAGAAATAGTTTGTCAATTTGTGCGGTTGACAAATATTCATGCCTCTAATTACATTAATTAGATAGAAATTACATGCCCTGGATAAACTTGGACATTAAGTAGAACAGCTTGGCTGACTTGATAATAGTATTATTTATGTTCTTCTGTGCTCTATCTCTATCAAATTCTATTAGCCCTGAGCTGTGAAATTCGTCGGTTTTAATTGTACATTTTCTCCAATCGGCTTTCTTCATTGTGCAGGCTGAAACATTTTTCTTTGCTGCACTTTGTTGGGTGCTAAAGCTTTATTATTAAATGAATCTTATGGCCAAAGCCTCCAGGAGAGTGAAGCAGGATATGGTTTATTTTTTAGGCAGTTAGTGCAGGGTGCGCCATTCTTACATCGGGATGTGATAAGCGACCAGCATAATATTCGCAGCATATTCGCCATACAATCAGTTGTTGAGTAGCCCCAGTGAGAAGAAAGAGCACTTAGGTCTCCATATGGGAAGCCGTTCGGCCCCCATATATAGTTCCTCCAGTCATTCCTAATTGGACCTGTTTTGAAGGGGACTGTAGATAAGTTGTGCACATTTTCCGCCCACACTTCCGTATTGGAAACATTGAAGTAATCATCTTTTTTAATGCATTGTTATTTGGGACAAGGATAACGATTGATACCCTCTATCTAACTTTAAATTACTATATGCTTCGCCAGCTTCCACTATCGCGAAATATCTACATCATCATTGATAACTATAGTTTGTAAATTGAAAAATAAGGATAGGTTAAACCATATAGAATATATTGATATAATAATAAAAAAAAAACTGTGAAAATATCATTGAATACAGCAATAATAGCTTCCAATAGAAACAAAGAAAAGCGCTTTGTAGCAGAAATTCTTCATTTTCAAGAACCAAAGAAAATGTTTTCAGAATCTACGATCTCGTGTCAAACAAGTATAGAATTTGACTTACACAACCGTTCATCAAATATTAACCAATGAATTGGGGATGCGAAAAGTCTTTCACAAGGGTAAAAAGACGTCAGAAAGGAAAGGTGCTTTTACTTTTTGAGATCAAATGAAAACAATCCTCTTTTTCTGGAACGTGCCACTATTACTTATGACGAATCTTGGGTGTTTGAGTATGACTCGGAAACCAAGCACCAGAGCATGGAGTGGCACACTTCAATCTCTCCAAGGTCAAAAAATGGAAGAATGAGCAAGTCGAAAATCTGATTCATACTGATTTGCTTTTTTGATAGCCAAGGAATCATTCACAAATATTTTGTTCCTTAAGGCCAAATGGTTAATCAATATTTTTACCGAGACGTTCTCGAGAAACTTCACGTGAAAAAATCAGGTGCAAGACGCGTGAGACTACGCATCAAAAACATGTGGGTGTTGCGTCACGACAATGTTCCTTGTCACACCGCGATTCCTATCAATGCGTTTTGGCCAGAATAAAATATATTTATGTGATTCCTCAGCTTCCTTATTCACCCGACTTGAGTCCATGAGTCTGTATTTTTCTGTTCCCAAGATTGAAATATCACATCAAAAGACGACATGCAGGAACATTGGAGAATATTCAAACAGCTGTAACGGACCATATTCAACGTCGGAGGTGCAGCACTGCTGCGAGGAATGGAATACAGTGGCTTAATAATACAGTGCTGTCATACGGATGGGATGGCCATATGTTATCGGCGGGAAACTAATATTTGAATAGTTTCTTTTTGTTATTTCAATTTAAAAAGTAATTATTGCAACAAACTATTTACTAGAATGGTTTGGCAGATAGAATTGAAGTTGGGCAAGTTGAATAAAGCATATGAATCACTTATATCACGCGAAAATAAATAATAAAATCAAAGAACAATATTTTTTTTCTGTTTAAGTTCTTTTAAAATATATTCCAATAAACTTACTTATTACTAAAACAACACAATTAAACTTTCAAATAAAATATCACTAATAAAATAGGAGTCTATGAAGATGAAACCTATCACTGAACATGAAACCAAAACTATCACTTTAAACACTAAAATGTATAACTATTCAATAAAAACTACCTATTAATAAACTAAACCTATCACTTAATCAACAAAATTAAGCTTCTAAACTAAAATACTGCTATTAAAATATGAAAATTTAACCGTTTTGAGGTGCCTATAGCAGATAGCAGATAGCAAGGGACGATCCAAGATGGTCAACCAATCAGAAATCGACTCCATATGACCCCACTGTATTATTAAGCCACTGTAGAATGGAAGAATCGTCCCCGGCGCTATCTGTCTTCCCAGGGTAGTTACTTTGAAGGAGACAATGTGAATTTGTAATTTTATTGAAATAAAGAAAATAGAAGAAAACAGTTTCATTACATACGTCGTATGTTGCAAAAATTATAGTTACATTTTCCAGTGGTGGTAGAACAAAATACTGCAGGGCTGAGCACTGACCAAATAATTTTACTTCGGTTTAATTTTGAGGAGACAGTTATATTTTTATTTAAAATATGCTGTAAGTTTTCAGTTGTTTATCCTAGTCCTTTTTTTTTTGGAGTTTTTTTTCGGTGCAAAAGTTCTTAGGGCTTTTCTCTAAGGTAAAAATGTTTTTGGTACGCTTTTATTTTTAATACATATTGCTCCATGCATACACCACTTTTATCTGATTAGAAACTGAATATTATTATGAATGGAAAAAAAAAAATTGTTTGAAAACACACCTTGAATTTTTAATTGATTTACCAAATGTGCTGTAATAAATTGATAAAAAGATGTTTTAATGGCCAAGCATCTTTCAATGCTACCTCACATTCATTCGTTCAAGAATTGTGACTGAATTAAAATATTCAATGATTGAAGTGATTGCTTCTTGTCCCCACAACTCGGGTTTAAAATTCGTATTCTCCTGGTTTCGTTTTTGCCGGCCTTCTTCAAACCATTCGGATAATTATCCTCTAGAAATAATCCAATAAATAAGTAAATCAATAAACTATTATGAGCTCCCTCTGAGAATGTGTGCACCTCAGATTTCATGAATGGCTAAAATTTTGAACAAATTTTTTTACTATTAAATATTTATCTGTTTAAGCTTGCTTGTATCATTAATTTGATGCAATCTTTCAACTAGTACAACTAATTTAAGTAATATTAAATAAGTTAAATTACATTATTATAAAACTATTCTTAACCTATTTTATAATTTATTATGATTTTATTCTAGGTAGATTTTATTTTTAGGTTGAACTTGTAGTGAAAACAGCCTCACAAGACGGAATTGTGATGTTAATAAGACACGTTTCTGATACAAAGTACCTCATACTTTCATTTGAACCAAGGAGGGTACTTCTCCGACTGTTGACCAATGACTGCATTCACGAATGCTTTCAGGCTATAGAATCTCATGTCGGTCATTGGACATACATAGCAATCGACTTTGACGCAGAAAAAACTTGGGGGCTTGCAGTTAATGGGGGATTAAGAAAAATTGTAAAAAATTGCAATGTCAATTTGCTAATATCTTGTTCAGACTATATACTGGTAGGAGATGTTGTGGAAATAATACATGTAAGTCTATAACTGTACTTTCAACGTTATTGTTATTCGGATCTAAAAATCGATTGATGCATGAATGAAGTAAGTCTAAGATTTTCAATTCTGTTTTAATCCACTTTTCAGTGAACAACTTTTCTAATTGATTTATAAGTAGCATCAGTTCGCACATGTGGGGAATAGGTCATCGGCCGATAGAAATTCAGAGTTATATTGAGTTATTAAGTGTACTACTTTAGATTAAAAACAAGGTTAAGTCTGCACTGGCAGATTTATTTAAAGCGTAATTGCTGACTAACCTATTTTCTTAGATAATTTCATTTTATGGCTCTCACCAAAAGATTTGCGATTCTGGACTTGCAGTGGTATTTACATCAATACCTTAAATCATGGACTATATGTTCCAATATCTTGTAACAAGAAAACATCAGTTATTAAAATATAAATATATCAAAAATAAGTATCATCCCTTCTCCATTAACATGTTGCAAAAGTGGATTTTGACCATAGCAGTATAATTAGTGTTTACCATATGCGAGACCGAGACGAGACTTGTTCTTGCAAACTCGGTCTTAGTCATGGTCATGGTCTTGCACAAGAGTCTCGCAGCAGTCTTGCAGTTACCTATAGGTTATTATTATAGAGATATTACTGTAATTTTTTAGACAGGAGAAACCTAACTAAGCACGAATGGAAAATTAGAGGAGTTAAATGCAAAAGTATATTGGTTATACCAATTATTAACATATAGTAATTAAGATTGTCAAATATTAGTAAATATTTTGCCTTAATTTTACTTAACAAATCGATTTTTTTTTACCAGTTCTGGTCTTGCTCTTGCAACAGTTATTCGGCCTTGGTCTTGGTCTTGCAAAGTGCAAGACAAAGACTGAATTTGGGCAACACTAAGTATAATATAAGATAGTAACAAATATAGATAATTTTCTAAATTAACATTAAATCAAAAGCCAAAACAAAACAAGTTTTTTAAAATAATGATAATCAGCCAGACCAGCTTTTAAGATTTATTATTGTTAATGTGATCCTGTCCTATTGTGCATGAAGATATCTACCGTTCCCTACCGACATGATCCCCATTTAACATGATCAGGATTTATGCCCGCCAAAATACGAAATAGACAGACAAAAAATTCCACCCACTTGTAAAAAAAGTTGTATTTGTATATAATACATGGTATTTGTAGATAATACTTAGTATTTATGGAATTTTATACTCTTTTTTACCTTTAATAATCAAAATGTGATTGGGTAAGAAAGATTAGAGAAAAAAGAAATTGAAAAATGAACCATTATTATTCTAAAAAAAAAATTAATTACATCATCGTTTAGTAGCGCGTGATTCCTCTTCTTGCCTTCACTACTCCTTGAAGACGCCTCGAAATCGAGATTTACCTAAAGCTCTAAAATATGAATAAAGTGGCTGGGTCAAAACATGAAGAAATGAACACAGCAGGCTCCATAAAATCACGATGGAAGTATACCCAGTAGGAAGCAGAAAATGGCAGGCCTAGGTTGAATGTTGTAAGGGAACAGTCTTCGGAGCCTGGGAGTTGTGGGATGGAGAGGGGCTACCGAGGGATGGGAGGAGGAAGTTGAGGAGGTAAAGGTCCTCCAAGAACCATAGTGTCTTCAAATGATGATGATGATGGACGGGATTCAGACAGCATTCGACCGAACGTTCACACCACTACCAAGGAGATCCGGAAAGTCATTTTGGAAGCATAGATAACTCTGACCGGAACCCTTTATGTGATTAAGCCTGACCCTGTAAAGGCCTTAATTAGAACTAGAGGAGGCAGTACCGTTTACAGAGAGCATTCAATTTTTTAATTGTAAAACGTGAAGAAGTGACTTTTTTTTCATTTTGTACTTCTTAGGTATATAGACAATAGCGATTTTTGTAAACACAAGCTCACAAAAATATCGTTAATAAGAAAAATATTTTGGAATAGTTATAATTTTATGTTATGCAACTCCTTGGATTTCTAAATTTTAGGGACGATGTGATGGAAACATTTTTTTATTTGCATATTTTATATCAACTCGATAGTTATTAGAGCTATTTATCTTAATGTAACCAAATTTAATTAAATTATATATTTAATTCTAATGTTAAACTTGTTGACAGAAATTGGAAGATACAAATAAGATACTTATAGACAATTTAATTATTCGAAAAATATCGGGTGTTCTGGGATATGTCCGAGTTAATAAGAAAATTATGGATTTACACAATTTACCTGCTATGGTTGAGAGGGGAAATACCCCTCTTTCAAGTGAAGCAATAAGTTATACGAGTAAGTTATTTAGGTATTATCTAATTGTATTTAAAAACAGCAGCATGGACCCTTTTATATTCAAAATATTCAGACAGACAGACGAATATATATTGAACATTTATTATCAAATGCAGCGATTAACGAAGATTTACATGTATTAAACTTAGATAATTGTTTAAATTCATCTTATTTTTTACTCGTGTCTCTAAACAATAAGACAGAAGCAGAGGTGCACATCCCCCCAAGGTCGATGGCGCAAGAATTTACCCCCTCCCCCCTCCCCGCTCTCAAAATATTATATTGCTGACCTCATCTTAAAAACATAACAAACGAGTGTAGAATAAGAAAAAAACGTAGATCGCATACAATTAACTTGCTGCGGTCTGTTCTATGTTTTCCACTTGTCCCTTTGTATTAAACTTTTTATTCAGAAAATTCATAACCCACCGAAATGTCCCCCGAAAAAATTAAAAAAACTTGCCGAAATATCCCTCCTTCAAAAATTTTTATGGCGCAACTTGTGCCATCAAAAACCTTTCTGGGCACACCTAGACAGGAGAAACAAGTTCAATCTAAAAGGTATTTTATTAAATTGAAGACACACACATCTGCGTTCAATACTGCATTTTAATTATAAAGTTTTAAAAAATATATAACATGGTTTCATCTGTAAAACATTCAATTATATTTTCAGGACATTATGAAGAAATAGAGATAGTTTATGGTCAAGAGCTGAATCTCACGTGTTATTATGGATTGTACAACGATAAAGAACAGAACAGTTTTTCTAGCATTGATAGTGATGAAAATGAACCTTTGTGGATAAAGGTTGATACACCTTTGGTACCAAATGACACAGGACTCATGGATAATATGTAAATAAAATCATAATGATCTTATTATATAACACCTAAATATGGTATATAACATACATCAAGAATATTTAATCGTTTCCAGTTTCATCCAATCACGAAAATTAAAATTTAAGACCCTATGTAACTGGTTATTGTGAATATTGATTGCTTGTAACATTTTTGCTGCACTTAGCAATTTTTTTGAGTACAAAAGAATTTAAATTTACTAAAATTTTTCGTTATAAAAATATGTAAATAACTAGTTGGACCGTGCGAATAATTCGTAGAAACTTTTGTTTAGTGAAAAATAGCAAAACAATAAGGAAATATGCAGATGATATGTTTTATATGAGGAAGGATTAAATATTTTTCCTTGGTCGACTTACAATATATTAATTTAACACATAGATTAAAATATTTGTAAATATGCTTTGCTAGACAACCTATTTTAAACGATGAGTTGGAAAGATATATAAAACATAATAATGCGCGTCATGGATTTTCTAATTTATTAAAAAAAAATTATATGTAAGACAAAACAATGCCTTTTAAGAAATAATAAATTGTGTTTTGTCGGTTAATTTTATTAATCTTTCTGATTATATGAAGTGCAGTCAAGAGAAAATTTATACTTTTCGGGGAATTTTTCGCGATAAAGTTTCTTTTCCTTCATAACTTTTTTTCCAGAAATTTCAGGAGGACAGGACTATTTCGCTTCTGAAGGAGAAGAATATTTTCAAAATGAGTGGTCAATCATTGGATTTTATGAAGAATTGAAGAAGTTATGGCGTACCGACAAAAAAACACCACGAAATAATATATAGGATTGGGAAGGCTTTTGTTATAAATAATAGAATGTAATGATTAAATACGATGAAGGAGGTGTGGTTAGCTGCCACGAAAATTTTGCTTTCATTTTTCGTACATTCTGTATGCGTTTCAATCAAAAATTCTAAAATGAGGTGTTATTGCATATTTCTGTATGGATCAATTAAATTCAAGATGATAATAATGACCATTCTTGGCGAGGATGTTAGTATGAGAACCATCCTCTCGGAGGCAAGCGAAGTGGTGTGAGTTTAATTTCCATAAAGATAAGTTAAATTTTAACTCGAGATTTATGCTCATCAATAAATAAACCTTGCCATTCCCACACCAGTTGAACAAGAGAAAATGATAACTCACCCGGCCTTGCTTATAAATATTAGGAAATGAAAAAAATCGAAGGTGATAATACAACACCTTGTGACAACTTCTCCAGGTTGTCTAATGCAAGTAAATTCATTAAACTTAAATTGTTGTCCTAATTAATATATTTAATTACTTAATGATTCCTCAAGTCGTTGTAAATTGGTTATTCAAAAATGGTATAGGGAAAATAATGGTACAGTCGGTTACGAATGGTTCAATTTTTTTGTTCACACTGTAAGTAATTTTTACCAGGAATTTCCTACGAGATATTGTTTGTCTGCAAAGGCCAGCGTCATAATTTCTTCTTAGGAAACCTAAGTTTCGTTCTTGTAGATTTCTATTCCAGCATTTGTTCCATGCCTCAAGATTTCACCATAAAGTAACTAACAACAATCCTTATGGGCAATACTTTGCTTGGAAATTTGGCTGTCCACGGGTAATGACGTCATGTCTCCACCCCTAAAAAAAATTCATTTATTTCTTAAGCTGTTTAATATTACGTAATATTTGAATTTTATTTTATTCAACACTTGTTTAATACATTGCTTCATTGATAGGCTAAAATTATTTATTTTAATACTTTTTTTTATTTTTAAGAAATGGCATGCTCCCCGTGAACGTCCGCTGGTACCCTCAACGCGCCTCCCATAGGTCGGCGCCCCGGTTGTCCACCCTCAAGCCGGCAATCCTTATGAGGTATTGCGGGCTTGCATGCCTTGTAATCCGTTCTTGATGTAGTATCGCCCAGCAGAATTGAAGGGGTTCCTCACGTCCAACTTGTAAAGGCTAAATACTTCTTGTCTTCATCCCACATCCCCTCTCTCCATCTATCTCCTCAAGCGCCTCAAAACGATCTGATTCCAAGATCTGTGTCATCCATCGCCGAACTTCCCTTTCCAAAACCACCGTATTAGTTAGCAGATAGTCCTCGTGCTCTTTCTCTCAATTGGTTATTCTGACAAACACGATTTAGTCTAGTACATTAGGATTACCAGTACTATGTGTCTGTGTGATTATATGTGTTTTGTTACTTATTTTAATTATTACTTTTTTTTTACAGAGGAATAAGATATACTATTATTAATAATGGTGAAGTAACAATGCTTAAAATTTTTAATTATTCATCGAGGGAAGCAGTTGAAGGATTTTATTCTTGTTGGATTCCAAGATTGATCAATGATTCTATTGTTCTTACTTATGGCATAACGGTGATAGACCTGAAAGTAGGTAAGTAATAGAATAAAATAGCTTGTTACTCATCAATTATTGTTAAACAATATATTTCTATATTAGGAAAAATGATAAATCCACGTTCAGTATTGACAACTAACAGTTGATTTTGTAAAATGAATGGCTTGAAACATTTTAAATGGATAATAGTCAATTGAGAATAGAAATTAAGCCGTTTAGTGTTTCAAACTATTTTCAAAATGTTGAGCACAATACTGTAATTTTAATTATATTGTGTATTATGATAAAATTAAAAACTAACATATTATATTATACATGACACTCAGTTTTGGGAACCTCAAAACATGACTGCCAAGGGCTTTAATATCATTCTTATACCTCTGTGCCCAGAAACCTTTACTGGGATTTAATGGAGTGGGGAGAGATTTTGGTGATAGATGCCTCCGCCCTCCCTCTTTATGTTCTGTGACATCTAGACATAGAGAACCAGTAACGTTTTTATTTAACTAGAAAACGTAAAGATATAAACCCTTAAGATTTATTTATATTTTTAGTATTTTAGCCAGTATAATCAGAATTTCAACTTTGATTAAAAATTTCCCTTTTTGGAAGAATTTTCATAGTTAGGAGTGGAAAAAATTGTATCAATGAAAGCCTAATCTAGAAGCTGTGGGCCCAATAACACACTTCACCTTGGGTAGAAGTGAAGAACAGTACCTGAATAGTTCAGGGGTGCCCATCTACCCCAAGGTTGATGGCGTAAGAACCTTAGATCATCATAGATCACATACAATTATACTTGTGCGGTCTGTTCCATGTTTTTCCTCTTGTCTCTTAGCCCGAAAATTCATAACTCCGTCGAAATTTGCCCCCTAAAAAATTCAAAAACCCGTCAAAATATGCCCCCCTCAAAAATGTTGATGATGACGCCATGAAACTCCCTTCTGGGCACCCCTGGAAAGGCCACTGGACAGAACAGGAGAAGAAAATGGCGGTAAGAGATATTTAAAAATGAATCAAAGCAGGCTCTGTACACAGCAATTTATTACAATGCAAAAAATAAACTTACAGCAGTGATTTGTTATGCATGTGTATCAAGTCACTGCGGCAAAATAAAAAAACAAAACAACAAAAAGGCAGGGTACTGAGGAAAATAAAATAAATATAATATAAAGTCCAGTGGCGGCCTTAGGGTGGGGGGAACCGGGACAATTGCCCCGGGGCGCCATCAAAAAATACAGAACGTATTAAAATAATTAATTTAGCCTATTAATAAGGCAACAGTATTAGAGAAATATTGAATGAAAGAAAACTAAAATATTATGTAATATGAAACAGCTTAAGAAACACATTTATTTTTTTAGGGAGGGAAGATGATGTCATTGCCAAGGGGCGCCGAATGTCTAAGGCTGGCACAGATAAAGATTAATCTGAGTACACTTTAATCTAATTTTTAAATGATATAAGTAAAACAGACATCAAACGAGTTAGAGCTACATATAATATTATGTGTAATTTTTTATATAGTCTGAGAGGAAAAAGTCTGGTGAAAGTTTTTTTTTTCCATAAAAATAACGATAATTACTTTGGAAAAAAAGAAAGAAACTAACTACCTATATGAAATGGTGTTTAAGTGATTCCTAAAGCCCTTTTAAATGTAGATCCGCCCGTGCAACAACTTAATTTATTTTCTGGCAATGTTGGAGTATTATAAATTTTTTGAAATGTATTTTAAACGGAGCTAAAGCTTAAAGCTTACAGATAACAAATCATTCAGACCATTAAAATTACAAAATCTCTATTTATTATATCGACGGTAGACAATAAAAATCTAGTCACTCTGTCTGCTTTTATAAACCACACAACTTCAGTCTCTGAGTCTTTCAGTTGACAGACCAACTGCAATTTCAACATTTTTGAGTAATGTCATTTTGGAAAATTTATATCTATACAGACAGTGAGTGAGTTGATTCCACAGTAGGTGATTGCAGTGTTACAATATATATAGAACTGTGAATAAAGGTACGAATTTCCCCGCTAGAAACATCACTATAATTAATAATGAAGAATATTGAAATTGGAGTTAGTCATTCTATCAACTGAAAAGCTCATATATGTCTAGAGAGATTGAACGTAAATCTGAATATTTAACTAATAAATGATCATGGATTGTAGGACTATTAGTTATTAAACCGTTATTTTCCATTGTAAAGTTTACTAAAATGATATTACGTTATTTTCATTACCTGTCATGGATGGGTCAAAACTTGCCACACTAATTGTGAGTGGATAATGTTGAGATTTCGGAAAGGGAAAATTAATTCAATTATTCACTAATTTAATTTTCTACAAGGTACACTTGATGATTTTTCGGAATAAACGGCCGATAGATACATAATTATTTAAATATAATATCTGATCTAGAGTTATTAAACTACAGTAAATGTATTTAAGGTTATAATCATATCCATGAAATATTTTTATATTTCACTTCTTCTTTCACACAATTACAATGAATTAGTATTTTAAACAATGGCATTGTCTTGTTTCTATGGATTTTAAATGCTTCTTTTTCAAACTTAAAAAAATTTTAAGTTTATATTTATTAAGAAAATTTCATTTAATTTCCTTGGAAACATGTGATTCACGTTAAATAATGTTAGTTTTCAAAAATTATAATTTATATTTTTTCGTCACTCTTAGTTTCCTTTTATTTGTTGAAATAAAATGAAATTTATTTATTTAATATTATTTTTTCTAAAATTCTCCGCTTTCCAATGATATATTATACGTATACCTTCTGACTGTTATTTTCGGAAATTCATTATTAACCTGGATAAGCATTTTGTTTTTATCTCCAGTTTGCAATTATCATGTTCTTTCAAACTTCATATTTAGCCACTTTCTATAGTTACTGTCAATAAAAGAGAATTAATTTTTTTTATATAAACCATATTAAAGGTACTTTAGAGGAAGAGAAATATGAACTTTGGGCATTCAAGCCCTGTAAAGTGACATCAATGGGGATAAGATCTAAATGATATTAAAGAATACTTAATTCTACAATGATACAACGAGTTTAATAAAAATCGTTAAAGCCGTTTTCGAGAAAATTGTGTTTGACAGTTGATATAAAGTGGCACTTTCGGTTAGCCGATTTTAATGAAAAAGTTGCTGTAACATCTAAGTTATATCTATCTTAAATACGTAAAATCGGTTTCGAACGACTTTTCGTTTTTGAGCTGGACTGTTCACATACACACAGACCATTTTGCGGGACTTGGTTATTTGGACTCAAGGGACCTGAAAACGTGTATTTCCACTGAAAACTTAAATTTAAAACTTTTCACGATCGAAATACTTACCCTTACTATATATTTAATATACAGGTAAGTGGAAGTAAAATATCTAGAGACAATCTCTTTGCTCCTAATTGCTCAATTTTAACGAGTTTTTTTAAAAGAAAATTTCGTAAACTTTTAAATAACCATTCCGAAATCTAATTTTACAACTCCTCGTAACTTTTTTTCCAGCAGTAATGCCGATATAGGAAGATCATCCTCGGGTGACCTCTTACTTTAAATCCAAATTTGAAAAAAAATCGCAGTTTCGGAGGAAATGCGCGGACGCTGGACGGACAAAAAAAATTTAATTCGATTTTCGAATTCTACGTGTTCTGAAATGTAAAACCACAAATTTTGAAGCAGGGTTAAACTTAAGGTCGATTACAGTGGTTCATTATGAAAAATAATAAACCAAAAGTGAACTTTTTGAATAGTAAATTCTAATTTTCGACTTGGATTCCTGGGTATGGAGTAACTGATGTTCATTTCATGTATTAGTATGGTAAATAATATAAATCAAAAAGGTTTGTAGCTTTACACCTTCTGGTTAAAAAAAAGTAGCTGGTTCTATAACAGCAAAACATAGCCATGCAGACTCCTTAATCAGATTCACTCATTACCAGCATTGGTTTTTGGCTAGTTTCACAGGTGGATCTATGGGGAGGGGCATTCCAGCTGAAGCCCCTCCCCTCCCCCTCCAAAATGGTAAAATAAAACCATGTTTTCCAGGAAAAAATATTAAATACTACCTCTTAAAGTATTCTTGTTAGTGTAATTATATTTAATAAGACTTCAAGAACCACTTAAACACTATTTCTTATAGGTAGTTAATTTCTTTCCTTTTTTTTTAAAATTAATTATCGTTATATGTATATGAAAAAAAAATCTTTGGGGCTGAAGCCCCTCCCCAAAATTAAATCCTGGATCCGCTAGGGGCTAGTTTCAATTATGAAGTAAAAAAAAAAAATCCTTATTTTATCATGACAAATATAATCATGAATAAAGTTCATGAAAAAAATCGAGTACACAGACACAAAATGTACCCAAATGTTAAGTCTAGATGGATAATACTAAGAAAATCTATCAGATTCACAAATTAATTTTTTTCCTAATGATTTGTCAATGTATTTGGAAGTTATGCAAATTGTTATTACTTTATAACCTTTTATATTATTAACATTATCTATGAAACAGACTTCAAAATTCACATAAAAACGAGCCATAATTTTTGATATAATAGTAAGTTCTTTGAGAAAAGAATCCATTTAATTGTCACGATAAACAATGAGTCATACATTCCATATGCAAGAATATATTAACAATAAAATTTTTTTTTATAATTTATTGATTATCAAAATTAGTAAAGTTAATATTTATTCAGTAACTTTCAATTAGTTATTTTCTTTCCAGAATTTTCCAGTTTTTCGACATTCATTTTAAGGATTTTATCATATTTACTTTTCATTATATATGTATCAACGATCATATGGCTATTGTTTGAATATGAAAGGAGCTGCAAAACAAGGTATTTATAAATCAGTAACTACAGCTAAAATTGATAAAGTATTCCTCTCTTTTATATATTAAAAACCAATGGGACCACAATTTCAAGATGATAATAAAACATTTTTTAGGAATGGAATATTTTCAAGCATCAGTGTGGTCAAGGAACTCAGCAGCACACATATTTGTGAAATTTCCCATGATTATTCCTTAAGGTTCATTCTAAATATAAAAAGTATGATTAAAAAGAGGAAAAAGCGAAGAATTAGATTAAGAAGAATTAAAAAATGATTTATTTTTTATTGAGTAAGAAATAAGTACAGAGGTAGAAATACATATTTCTATAATACATCCAAATGTTTTTTTTTTAAATCAATACTAGTTATGAAGCATTTTTTATATATAATATACCTGTGGTCATTTGGCTGGAATATTTTCTTCCTGAGCAATCTTGAAATGTACAATAATCGTATAATATAGGTATTAAAAATATTAGGCGCTATTATGTACATACATGTCATTTCAAGAATGAATGTTTCTCCCTTTTAAAGGAAGCCATGATCATCAGGAAAAAACAAACATTAAATTGTTGATCTGTTGAAATAAGCTCCAAATAATATTAATATTTCCTTTTAATACTTTTTAAAATTGACAAAACAAGGTAAATGAACACTACAATATAACTGGGTAACTATAGGAAAAGTTATATTAAAGGCACCAACTTCTTTTATATCCTATTAATTTACACAAAATATAAAATATTACAAATGGAAAATCTTATTTTTATATTGCACATTGGTCATTAAATCCATCAAGAGCTTTTATTTGTACAAGTGCAATTGTAATTATGATGCTTAGTCTATTTCAAAATATATTCATTAATTACATTTTATAATAAACTTTGGTTTCTTTAGTTTTCTTAAACATAATTTACAGAGTTCATCCTTTCATTAAAAAAAAAATTAACATTAAAAACAAAACAAAAAAGTTTAATCGCAATATAAATACTGTGTCATGGAATAATTCTTGGAACATAACTGTTAATGAGGTAAAATCAGACCATTATATAGGTTAATAACAAATTTCACTATAGGGTGTTTTTTTTTTCATTTTTTATATAAAACATTTAAAATACGGATAGTTATTAAACCATGGAATTTCTTTTCTAACATTTCTCAAATGTAGGAGATTAAGTGATGTTCAATAGATATAAAAATATGAAATCCAATTGTGATGCAATTAGAAGAAAATCAATCATAAATAACAATAAAAATAAACAATAGATATTCTTCACAAGAAAATTATATGTAAAATGATTTATATTCAATCACTAACCCTGCTACAAACTTTGATGGTGATCTAAGACAACTTATGTCAACAAAAATTCACATAATGTTATGGAAAAAACATAAATAATTATTAATAAAAACATGAATGGTCCACATTTGATACAACTCAACAATAAAGGGAGAGTAAAATAAATTACATAAATAATCAGACCTATGAATACTTATGTACAACTTTTAAATAATTAAATTTCATATTAATATTGACTAATATGTCATGCCTAAAAAACCTATAGCACTCCACTCTATATACAATTAAAAGCCGCATTTTTATCTTTAACTGAAAAAGAAATCAAGTATTGATTTTATAATATAAAAATAAATCTCTTGCAGTTTTCTAAAGTTAATAATAAACATAACACTTATAATATCTTTATTCATAAATATACCTTCATTATAATAAATATTCAATTAATTTAATTACTGAAAACATAAAAAACAAAACATTGTATGTTACACAATTAACAAAATTTCTTGCTAAGACCTCATAGTAGCAATTTAATTATTAGGAATATTTCTTTGTAAGAGATACTTTAATTTTTACATTTGGGCTAATCAATAAGAAGTCCAAAGGCAGTTGATCAGCAATTTTTAATTGTTTAAATATTTTTATAGAGATTCCTCCATGTTTTAGCGATGAAAACAGTTAGATGATTTTTTTTTTCTTTGACCATTTATAAATGGCAGTCATTTTACTTTGTTTCTATGTGAAAATTTCAGTAAATATAAGTATTTACGGTTTTCATATTTCAAAAACTATAAAATGTAGAAAAAAGAAAGAGCAAACACTATTTAAAATGAAATGTTTTAAGCTAATAAATCTATTCTTAGCACATTTAATTAATTCTTACTCCTAATACGATGAAAACTGACCTAAAGTTTAACACTAAAATTTAAAAAATTGCTTGGTTAAGGTTTTGTGAATATTATATTATTTAGTTATTTTTTGTGACCTAAAGTACGTTTTGACTGAATCATAGAAATATTTTTCAAAAATCTAACAATCAAAAAAATATATAAATTATACACTTAAAACTTAAAAGCTATTAAGTTTGTTAATAAGGAAAGAAGTGAATGAGGAACAGTGGTAGGATGGTGAAGTACCTGACATAAATATGATCTATTAGTCCATTTATTACGTATATCCTTCAGGTTCTTTAATCAAAAACATTAATCAATCAGGAACATTAATTAAAAAATCTGTAAATGACAAAGGTTATGCGCTAATAAATAATGTTTTAAGAAAGTTAAATCGTCTATAGGCAATAACAAAAAAAATGTAGTATGAAATTTCATTACTGCTAATAAACTGTAAGCCAAAATAAAAAAAATGCAATACACAAATTAAAATCTTGATATAGACTAATCAAAAATATTCGAGTCATATAAATATTACCGAACAAAGAGAGAAAAATCTTATAACAATACAATTATACATAATTAATTATATCATCTTTAACATGATACAAAATGAAGGACATTTCTTATTTTATTTTTTGCTTTGAAAATATTAATAAGTAAAAAATTATTCTATGGACAATTTAAAACTAACTAGCACTGCTCAGGCGTCAGTCATGGATTTGCCCCCAATTTTGAACACAGCCAACTTAAACATGTAATGTTTTTTTTTTCTACCATAAACCTCTTTAAAAACATGATAAGTTTTGCAAACTTCAGATTTTTAACTCCAGTCTCACCAGAGATATGATTTTCAACTTTAAGAAGCCATAAAAAATAAACGAGAAGGAGTTGGTCAAGGAGTGCGGTCGAATGAATACTATATATCAAAATAAAATACTATTTTGAAATACAGTATTCATTTGACCGCTCCCCCAACCAGCTCCTTCCCATATTATCATCACGGTCAACCATCTCTACACTATAAAAAATAAGCCATACATTTGTAAAAATATTTATTCTGATCCATTAGAGACCGACTGCTGTTTATAGAACCTCTATTCATAGAATTTTTTTTCTTATTTGAGCATTAAATTTTAAGTAATTTTTTTATCACATTAGGAGTAGAAAATAAATTAAATGATCTAAGAATAAATTTATTATAATTAAAACTATCTATTGAATGGTCTTTTATAACCTTCCTAAGACATAATTCAAATCATGGAAGAATTGAAGAGGAACACATTCTCCAGTAAGAGAAGCAGAAACGATGAGGAGGTGAGGAAAGTTGTCACATTAAATTTTATTTCTTTAGTTACCAAATGTTAAAAACACAGAACCTGAGTAAGTTCAATGATTTAGTTATTTATTCTCTTAACTACAATAATCACCGACTGTCACAGCATTCCACAATATGTATTTTCATCATAGTTTTTTCACTGCATTCGACATAAAAAATTAGCCCTACCTAAATTTCCACTAACCACTTAACAATAATTATATTAATTTTTGGCTTTTCCATTTACCATCATGTGATAGATAAAATATAGTTCAAATTAATGCTTTAACATTCATAAGACTTCCATTTAATTTTTACTTCCGTACAGTTCACTCATATTCAAAATGGTTTGAGTGCCTGACCATTAAGTTGATGGCATTCATTCCTATACTACCATTTATAAATTCTCTAAGAAAAACTGTCTCCTACTTTATTTATATCAAGAAACATTGAGGAATCAACACACAAAATATTTAACAAATTAAAAATGGTTGAGTAAGCAATTTAATTCATTTTGGATCACTTGGTATAGATGACCAGTGTATGAAGGTTATCTGGTCAAAAATAAAAACTGAGATATCTAATATAATTCAAAAACAATAGTATATTTTCAAATGAGATTAGCTCCAGGTATCAATAAATAGGACCGGTTATTCCCGATATGGATAACATATCTCAGAAATTCTTAAATTTTATTAAAATGCATTTGATATTTTGGTCGAGTAATTATTATCTATTGTAAATAGAATCACTCCATTTCCAGCACTTTTATTTATTCCTTCTTATTTGGTATACATGATTTTATAAATTTAACAAATATTAAAAGTAAATTTCTATAAGTAGAATCAGGAAACAGGCCCTTCATGGAAGAATGGCCTATTTACAAAATAGATTACTAACTTTGGATTGTTCCATGATAATTTTTAATAAAATGGATCAATAAAGAATAAATTTTTCTGGATACATAAAATTTAATACATTAGCAACTTAAATACAGTAAAGCTAAATGATAAGACTAAAGAATACTAGACATATCTTCAAATAGTAACTTATGAACAAAATGGAAAAAATAATAATGATTAAGATCATATTGGTGATGAGTATACCTAGCTCAAAATTGGTAATAGGATATTTTTAAATATACTAAAACGTCAGATGTATACCTCTTAATACAATCTGCAACTTAAGTGGTTGTGTATCATGAAATTCTGGACATATGCCAATGAGCCATACTATATAACTTACAAGAAAGAAAATAGAACTAAATCAGAAAAATAAAAGCATGAACTCATTTAAACATATCTCCTTCCCTTTCCGCCCCACACACAGAAAATAAATGTAAACTTCTGCTCATTTTTATAAATTAATGAGAACGTTATCAATATCAGCTAATAAAGATACACTGTTTATATTAATGTTTCCATCATAAATAAATACTGTTATGATCCCTTTTGGTTTAAACAAATTAAATGTAGCAGGAATGTATCTGAAACGGCGTCTTTAAAGAAAATATAAATATATACAGGTTAAATAATTAATACAAATACTTAATTAAACTGCCTTAGTTTTATTGGTAATCTGATATTTTTTGGTTTACAATAAATTATTTTAAGATAAATATATTCTAAGGCAGTTTCTTAACATAAATCAAAAACATAATATATGTAAACAATTATGAATAAATAACATTGCAATGTTCATTTTATGTATAAATATCATACAATCAAATTAATGCATATATCTATCATAATGAGATATAAGTCAATCACACTACCAGATCCGCATTTGATACTGCCCAGATAGTATGAACCTCCTATTTACAGGATTTTTCGTTGAATTTTTCTATTATTCTTTCGTATATATATTTGTCACGTATATTGTTTGTTTTTTCACATATTTAACAAAAATTTAAGTTAAATTTTTAATGCACCCCACACAATGATTTAATTTACTCTATAAATTCAAGCTTTAGGAATTTAAATCAAACCATGGATGATCAAGTACATCTTCAGCAGAAAACCTTAGTTCAGGGTTTGATTGCAGCATGTGTGATATAAGATCTTTAGCCAATTCCGAGACTGAATCCCAATATGGAGAAGGAAAACCATACTGACCAGATAGAATATCATCAAAGAGTTCCTCTTGATCGTTATTAGCACTAACAAATGGTGGAAATCCACATAGCATAATATAAAGGATCACTCCCATGGCCCATACGTCAATCTATAAATAGAGAATAAAAACATTATAGCAATATAATGTAATCTACATATATATTTCTATATTCTGACTATATATATATTCCTAAAACAATTTCTTTTGATAACAAAGATTCATTATTGAAAATAATAAACAAAAAAAAAATCAAATTTAGTGAGTGCAACACAAAACTTTCACATACCGATCTACTTCATAAATAAATTCTTGCCTGGTAAAATTAGGCTATTACAAGAAGTTTTTGAAGCACATTTTTAATGCTGCTAAACTTTAAGCAACATATTTTTGAATTTCGGTCATAATCATCAATGCAAAAACTTCATTAGGACCATCACAATAACATAAACTCTATTTATAATATCGATTGTAGCCTACAAAAACCATAGATGAAATTCCCGTTGAAAACTGAGATTTGAAAATTTTCATGATCACAAATACTTTCCCATACTATATATCACATATATAGGTAAATGAAAGTAAAAAAAAAGAAATATATATCATAGAATTAGCTAAATTTATTAAAATAATAAAAACTTTGGAGCTACAAAAAGAATTCAAATGTGAAAAATACATCTCCAATCTTTTGAAAGATAATTAAATTCTCAAAAAGACAAAAAAATTGTCTACATCGGACCAGTATGAGCAAAGATATGGCATATTGAACTTAGTACTCCTGAAAGTAGTTTACTTTTCTTTATTTTTTTTTAATAAATCAAAAACGAAATATTTACAGGAACTCTCCAGTTTTTATTTGAAATATGATTTCATTTTCTACAAAGATTATCTTATAATAATAAAAATAATTATTAATCGGTATAATATTAGTGAATAATTTGTTGTCTCTGGCAACTAATAAAGGTAAAGAAAGGAAAGAGGACATCCCAGATTTGGAAATTTAAATATATATAAATCCATACATTAGAAACTAACTAAGGCTTTAAATTGTCTAGAAATGTGAGAACAACTGAATTTCAAGAATCATTCACTATAAATAATTTTTAAAAACATTTCATTTTTAAATTATTACCTCCAATCCATAACCAGTTTCAGTAAGAATTTCCGGGGCAACATAAGTAGGTGTCCCACAAACAGTGAACAACCGTCCAGATACCTTCTGGGCAAGACCAAAATCAGCCACTTTTAGTGTTCTTAATCTATCTTCTTCCATTTCAACCTAATAAAAATTGAAAAAATAAATATGTTAGAGCAGTGATTTAACACTATCAAACAAAAAAACGTTTAGTCCTGTAGATCGGTCAAATTTTTACAGCAGAGCAATACCATAAAAGTGGGGTTTAATTTCAGTCAAAATTTGGGTATCTCCAATAATTTTTTTTTCCAAAAATTGAAATAACACAAGTTTTACATACCTCAAAAGCCTCTCCAAATTCAATTACAGAATTGAAAATGTGTACGTGAATTGAGGTGGGGTAAGAGAAAGGAGGGCTTTTTGGGAGTCTCATTTTTATTTTACCCCACTGTCGCCATTTTATTCCTCATTTGTTCCAAAATTCAAGGTTTTTGAAACTTCTACAAATTGAGTTAAAAGGTTAACAAATGGTACGTGAATTTTCCCTTAGGTTTTCCTCTGGATCTCCACCATTTTGAAAAATCAAAATATCAACTCATTTTTACTTTTATTTTTATATGTTATTATATTCAACTTATTATCAACAACAATTTGAAACTACACAAGTCTAAAATATATTGATTTAGGGTTATTTTACTTTTATTAAAAATCATGTTCCTTCATAGATGAATAAATTGGAATGATTTTGAGTTTGATTTGGGTACAAATATTATGTTCTTTTATAAATAATTGTTCACATTATATTTTAATTATTATACATAAAAAGAAAAACATTAAATTTCATTGTCATTTATAGAAGTATTTTCGAATTTTCAATAAAATGCTGTCTTCATTGCAGACTTATATTTCAATTTATTGAAAATTAATCTACCTAGAATTTAAACTTATGTTACCTCAACTTGTTCACCTACTCCTATGCCCTATGATTAAGATCAATAAAATTATAAAATGTTTGAATATAAAACTTCAGACAGAAATTTAGCAATTCAAATTATTTTCAAATTCTATTCAAGTATTAATGAAAAAATTAAATTACTCTTTATCTGGTTCGCAAACAAAATGGAGAAAAATGCAAATTTAGTGACTGAGCAGCTTAGCTTCTCTCAACTTTTTTTTCTTTATCCATCTGGAAGATATTAATAATTTCGAACAATTACAAATTAAAACTGAAAAAATGTAAATGGTTATCTAATGAGATTCTTAAAACAACATAAATAGAAAACTCAAAATCTGAAGAGTTTAAAACTCCCTTTATCTCTTGATATAGTATTTTACCACATCATTCTTATAAAAGTAACAAAAAAAAAAAAAGAAGTTAAATGCACTGTTAAAACCAAATAATATAATTTTTAAAATAAATGGAATTTTTTTAATGCTATAAAAACATTATATGGCAAATTTTTACTAAAGCCTTCATTTAAATAATGCTATTTAAGAACTATGTATTCATGCCATTTTGTTAACAAAAACATTGTTCTGATGTAAAATAAAATACACAGAGAAAGAAACAAGCCCCAGAAAATTCAGTTACTTTCTTAGTGCAGTCTCTTATTTAAATCATTACTTGTTCGGAAACAGCAAACAGTCTGCAGTGGTAACAGATTCTTCTCTTACAAACTCTAAGGCAAGAGGTAGAGAAGGACCACGAAACATCAAACTAAACAAACATAACTGAATTTAAAAAAATAAATAAATGAGTTGCTTTTTCCAGAATACAATGTCGATATAAGACTTTAACTTTTCTCAAATAAACATATAGTTTATTGTTTTCTAGTTTAAAATTTGTTTGTATGGGCTTTCAAGATTTTAGAGGAAAGCCATCGATAATTATCATTAATGACATCTATCTCCCACCTCCTTAGAAATTTATGAGATGCAAGAGCTCTGCTCAAATTATATTTCCAGAGTTTGTCCTTTAAGAAGGAAAAGGACTTCTGGTAACAGTTTTGAAATTTTAAACAAATCTCATAATGCACAAAATGAATAGAATATTGTACAGTTGAATCTCTCTACTTAGCTACTTCAGCCTTCTTCTTATTTTTAGCATTGCGACATTCCCTATGAAGATGCAATATCTCTAAAACAATCCAATGTGAAATCAGATTATGGATATCCGCACTTAAAAAATTCTTTTACGGAACACGATATAAATTAATACATAAAATTAATAATATAACAATCTTCTTAATCCACTTATGAAAATGTTGTATGAACTTGTAGTTGAAAAATTGATGCCATCAATCACACAAATAAATTAATCATATTTTAAATTTGTATTTGAGTTTATTGAAGAGAAATATAATTACCAGGAGATTTTCAGGTTTGATATCTCTATGAACAATGTTTAGATCATGGAGATAAGCTAAAGCTGAAGCCAAATTCTGGGTCATAATTTGTGCATCAGCTTCAGGAAACTTAACGGCTCTAGAAATCGCATCAAACAGATCCCCGCCCTGTAACAAAATAAACCATCTGATGTTGCAGATTGCACCTTCAACTCATTTTCAAAAATATTCTAAATCCAAAAATGTAAGCATTTGAAATGAGTTGCTTATTTCCAAAGTGAACCTTAAATGATTTGTATGGAAACTGAGTTAAGTATGGATTCCCATCAAAAAACATCCAATGAAGTCGATGGGACAATTATTTAAAAAGAAAAAAAAAACGAACCTAAATAAAATAAATAAATAAAATATGCCTCAAACAAAACACGTTTTTGTAGACTGAACCAACACTGTGTATCCATCACTAAACTAAATTTAACCGCTGTCCTGAAGTTACCCACCCAGTCCTAAAATTACCCCATCTTACGGTAATATATTTTACACATTTGTACAATTTTCTCAAAAACAGCTTCAACAATTTTGATTAAACTCATACGGCCAATGTATTACTAAGTTTTCTTTAATTTAAGGCAGGTTTTATCCTTACCAATGCATCCTGATAAGACCTTAATTTTCAATATTTATTTTTCTAAAGTTTTTCTGATTTTGTTTATTTTAAATAAACCATTTCATATTATAGTTAATAATAAACAATAGTGAATTATAAACTATGAAAGAATTTTATAATTAACTAAAGGAGAAATAAGGGCTAAGGTGGGCCAGAAACACCTGAGTGTAGTTGGGCTCAGCTGGAACCGTTGCTCATTTTGTTCCACAAGGAACAGCAAGGGAGCCCGTGGCAAAAAAGGCATCATATTTCATACTAAGATTTATCTTTATAAATTGATCATATCCTCTTACACAGCTCTTAATCTGTTTATAAGACAACATATATGTGTATCGATTGACATACATAATATACAGATTAAGAGCTGTGTAATAACGATAATTGCGAAAAGTAAGTTATACTGTATAGTTTCATTGTTTAATAATTAAATTATAATTACTCTAGCCTTTGAATGGTTGAAGATAAGATAGGAAAGTAATATATATTCTTAAAGAAAATTTAATATTAAATAACTGTCTTCCTCATGAGTTTTTCGTTAAATGAAAAGATAAAGAGTAGACGAGTTAAATGATGATAAAAATGCGATGCAAATGTTTGCGAAATTAGTACATTACGAGGACGGATATCACGGAAATTATAGAACATAGAAAAAAATTAATAAAACCATTTTTATTGAAAATTTTTGTATTCCAGTGGCTATATGCTGGCAGACGTGCCTATTTCTCATCAGGCCTGTGGATATGGTCAATTTATAAGGGCAATCCTTAGTATAAAATATGACACCTTTTATGCCATGGACTCCAGGCAGAATGGTCCACTCCTTATCATATAGATAAAATGCTATTATATCACAGATGAGGAATGTGGGGCTCCGATATTAGAGATAAACATGAGCGATTTTGATAAATGTTATTAATTAATAAATAATTATACAGGTTATAGGAATATAAAAATTAAAATTTGTATAAATACCCATACTTAAACAATAAAAAATATCTATAATAAAATATAAATAATGGTCTCATTTATCACTGGCACTCTTGTCGGATTAAAAAATATAACTGCAGAAGGAAATTGACGGAGATGAAAAGTTATTAAATTTAATGGATTAAACGTGTGAGGAAAATGTATAGTAGTTCATTGTTTTAAATTAATAAATTGTACCATTTACAATATTATTTAATCCTGTTTCTATTTAAAGTAATGTGGTAATTGAAAGTTGTGTGATACGCGCACACCACCAGTTTTTTTAATAACTATTGAAATAATCAGCGATTTTCTAAAGTATGTATGTTGTTCAAATAAAAATTTTCTTAATTTATTTAAAAAAAATATTGGTTTTGATTTTATAACTGGAATAGAAAATATATTTCTTTGTGTTTCCTGAAAAATTGTCAATTATGATTAGGGTTCACTTTGGAAATAAACGACTTATAATAGTTTTTATTAACAAACCTTAACAAGTTCCATAACTAAATATAATTCTGATGGTGTTTCATGCTCAGCGATCAATTCTATGATATTGGGGTGTTGAATACTTCTCAATATAGCTACTTCATTCTCAATCATGTGTTCTTTACCAACACATTTAGATTTGTCAATAATTTTGAGAGCATATTCTTGATTCTTCATTCTGGAAATAATTTTAAAGAAAATCAATATTATATTTGTACATAAATTATATTACATTATAGATAAATATTTATTTCAAAATATTTACATATAATCTTATATATAATAGATATGAATAAATAAATACATTATTTAATTTTGTTTGTTGCAAAATTACACAATCATCATCATGAAGTGACCTTCCTACCTAGCCATATGTTTATTGAAAACAGGAGTCTGTCAACAGTGGGTCACATTTTCTAGTTTTGCCATTAATATTAGATTCGTTCAATGTAATGCTGAACAGATATGAGCCATTCTCCCAGAGGGAATAAAACCCTGTCTGCAGGGTATCAGCACTTTATATTAATATTTTCGCTATCAAAATAAATATTCCATTAAACTAGTAAACATTATCTGCCTTCAACATTAATTAATAATTTGATTAAATAACTCAAAATTTTGAAAAATTAAATTTAGAACTTTTAATGATTTGGCAAGCATTTGAGGTGAATCTGCAGCAGTTATCTTTTATTTGGTAATAGAAAACTAACGCTGTACACCAATCGTAGTTGGTAGGCACAGAACTTGACATGTATAACATTACTAAAACAATGTTTTAATATTAAACTTGTACAGTTGTTAGTAGAAAATCATTCCCAGCTGCGGAAAAAACAAAATGGCACCAATGATGCGGTTTGACAGAAACTACATTAACAAATAGAGTCTTCTATGAATGAATTCCAGTTTCATATTTACATTAAAAAAACAAAAACCAATTATAACAGTTATTCACCTAAATCAATTAAAAGTACACAAACTTAAAAATAAATCTACTTCTAAACACTAGTTTAGATAAAAATTAGTTAAAGAAACAACATACTTGTCTGTACACTTCCGAACAACAGCAAAGTTCCCATCTCCAATAATTTGACCAACTGAATACCTCCCAAGAATTTTATTGGATATATTTAGAGAAGAATCTTGTCTTTTCTGAGGTTTCAACGCCTTCGTTTTGTTTGGTAATTTAGGAATCCCTTTACCTAAACAATTGAAGGTAAATAATTCAAAACATTTGCTTTTTACTTGTAAAATAATATGATTAAAGTAAAATGAACATAAAATATCATTTCAAAACATGTAGGATTTAAGGCACATAATTTGTACCAGATTAAATATCTGTCAATTATGTCAGAAAGTAACTACATGTTCTAACTGGCCTCAAACATTTTTGAACAAAATTCATAAAATTTGTATTTAGAAGTCAAAACATATATATATATATATATATATATTTTTAAGTAGGAGAATATATTAATACTCCTAAATATTATATATTGCAAAAAGTCATTAAGTACATTTTTGATTAAACTAAACTTTCAAGTAAGTTTTTGTAAGTTTCGATTTTTTTTATCGATATAAAACATACTAAATGCATCAAAATGATACAAACTGTTTTATACATCAAATATAGTTGCATTAAGAGCATAATGTTTTGACCACACAGACAGAAAATTCATCAAAGTACTTAGACTTAAGTTTATAAAAGATAACTGATGATATACATAAGCATAACTTTAATTTACCACTAAATATTTGTTAAAAATAATTATATTAATGATATGTAGATATGATTAATACAAATTTCTTTATAATCAAATCAAAATAACTTTAGATAATCTCTAAATACTAAAAAAAAATTCATAAAATAACCCGAACTCACAATATTCTAAACCTATGCTATTCATTTTATCAATATTTGCTACCATTAACAAAAGTCCTTGTAGGTCTTTTAGAACACAAAAGCTTCATTCGTCATGATCTCAGCTTATTGATTTGTTTTTGAAAGTCTCTAGGATACAGTTTTATGAAAGCATATAAGATCTAATTATTTTAATTTCAACTAACCAGTACAACACTGCTGAATAACTCCAATCATTTGTAAAGAACCTTTAAATTGCAGGTTTTTAATGGAGTGAAGACACTAAATCAATTAAATATTCTACTATAAATCAAAATTTCTTTTAAATTATTGTCTCTTCAATTTAATATGGCTAATTTTGAAACAGACATCTCTAAAGATATTTAGAGAAAGTTTTTACAAAGGATTAAGATTTTTTTGGAAGAAATCTTTTCCCAAGATAAAAATTTAGCCCCAAAACTTTACTATGCCTCAATAATTTTTGTTTTTAATAGATTTAACTTAGCTGCTTATGGAACTGAATGCCTGATTGCCCATTGTTTAAATTTTCTTTTTAAATAAGAGAAGGAAACTGTTGCTACAAAAGAAGTAAAATTATAGTATGCATCGGACAAGGGCAGACCTACCAAGAAGGGTCATTCCATGTCAATTCAACAAGATCTGAACCCCACCATCTCAGGTTTTCTGGAAAGTCTACACAGTTGTACTACTTGAACAAATGTGAAGTTTTACTGAGATAAATCAACTCATTTTTTAATTAGACAGCTATAAAAAAACTGATAAAGTAGAAAAAAAAAATAGAAAACAGCAAGATTAAGAATTGCTGCTTCCTAATTTGGCTAGTGGTCTTGGAATGGTATCATTTTTCAGCACATAAAATTATTTTTCCTATGACATACAATACTGTATAAGTTAATATTAGAACTTTTCAAAACAAATTTTTAATTTTAATTTTTACATCCAACGACTCCTATATCTGTCATCAAAACAGGCCTGGAAGAAATCGGTCATAACGTCAGGCACATAGCACCCGTACTACATCCTAGGGAAAGATATCCGCTTCCATTATTTTTTATAGATTTGGAACCAGCAAAAACGAATAATGAAATATTTCAGGTTCAACGTTTAGTATACTCGACAGTACGATTTGAAGAACCAAGACAGAAGCCCCTAATAGTACAATGCACTAAGTGTCAAAACTTAGGGCATACGAAGACATATTGCCATCACGAGGCCAGATGTGTTTTCACGCTTCAGACACTTGCCAGAGGCCAAAAGATGAGCCCGCTACATGTGCTCTTTGTGGTGAGGCCCACCCTGCAAGCTATAGAGGTTGTGAGGTGTATAAAAATCTTCACAAACAGAGATCACGCAACTTAGCGACGAAAACCCTTGGACCTGCTCAAAAAACTTGTCCTGAGCCACCTGAAATTGAAAATCAGGAAACATTCCCTGCTTTGCCGACTTCACCTTCCATCGCCGTCCAACAGCAACCATCCATCTCTACACTTAAGGATTATCCTCAACAGAACTCAAGAAATTCTCAATGGCAGCCTTGCATCATTAAGAAGCAGCCTCAAAGTCAGGCGCCTCAAACCTCCCAATCCAAGCACAAAAGCTCTAATACTCAACCTCAACAGCCTCGTCAGCCAATCCCTCCCCATCAGCTACCCTTAAGGGTCAAACTCCCGCCAGAGCACCCACACCCAGCTCCACTCGTTCCTACTCCCAAGACGAACCTCCCATCACAAGTCCAACAGAATTTAGATCCTACTCCTCGTACCCCACGTCGGACCCACCCTCCACCTAGCAATCCTATTCGCATAGATTACTCATCACAACCTCATGACCTAAATCCACTTCCCAGCCAAACATCATCCGACATCAACTCTATCCTATCATCATTCCTGATAGATCTTCAACAGACTATCAAACCGCTTATAACTCTTCTCACAAGACTCCTTTCCGAAATCCCGTTTAACTTCCGATGAATACAAAGCCCCTAGCTATCCTCTTATGGAACGCTAACGGACTACAAAACCACCGTGACGAACTAGACATATTTCTCCATGACAATTATATTGACATTGCTCTTCTGACAGAAACTCATTTCACTCAACAGACACAATTCTACATACGTGACTACATCACTTATAGATCTGACCATCCAGACAACACTTCCCACGCTGGCTCTTGCATCCTTATACATAAATCTCTATCGCATTCCCTTATCCCTTCTACTCCAACTGATGCCATTCAATCAACTTCTGTAATCCTTTCAACTCGTCCTTTCCATCTAACACTTTCAGCTGTATACTGTCCTCCTGGTAACTCCCTCTCTTATAGCCTACTTGATTCCTTATTTCAATCCTTCGGAGCGCGCTTTATTGCTGGAGGAGACTACAATGCTAAACACCAACGATGGGGTTGTCGAACATCCAACTCCCGCGGTAGCATCCTATTACGTGTCTCTTCTTCCAACAGTTATTCAATCCTCTCACCCATGAATCCTACATATTGGCCTACATCTCGGAAAAAACGTCCCGATATCCTGGATATATTTATCACCTCCCAGATTTCCTCCTCCCAATCCATTATCAAATCCCTGGATGACCTTTCGTCAGATCATAGTCCAGTTTTGCTTTTACTACATTCGAACTTTGCTCCTAAACCTAAACTTCCTAAACTAATTACAGGACGAGTGGACTGGGACAAATTTTGTCATGATCTGGAAGATAAACTGGACTTAAAAATTCCCCTCAAGACAAAACAACATATTGATAATGCCATAGAAAACCTTAATACAACTATAACAGCAAGTATAAATAATAACACATTTGTTAATAATAAAAGCAATAATTTAAGACATATTAACTTGCCACAGCATATTCGAATCTTATTAAGGGATAAACGCAGAGCAAGATCGAAGTGGCACAGGACTAGATATCCTTCAGACAAAACATACTATACCGAATTGACTAACAAACTAAAATCAGAAATCAGAAAATATAAAACTCAACAATTACTGAACCTAACTGAAAATATTACAACAACTGACAAATCACTATGGACTACAACCAAAAAACTTCTGAAGTTTAAAAGATTTTAATCACCCACTTCTTACTGAATCCCAAACCTGGTCCAAATCCGATGAAGAAAAAGCCCTGTTATTCGGTCAACATCTGTTCCAAATTTTCAACCCACATCCTGATATCCTTAATCCAACCCACATCGAATGTATTGAATCAGAACTGGATACTCCTCTCCAAATGTCCCTTCCACCTAAAGCATTTCATCCCACAGAAATATCCAACATCATTCAAAGATTACCTTCCTACAAAGCTCCTGGACATGACCTAATAACATCCCAGATCTTGAAACTTCTTCCTCGAAAAGCCATCCTATTCCTTACTTTCATATATAATGCTGTACTCCGATCAACATATTTCCCTGATCCTTGGAAAATATCTATTGTCAAAATGATCCACAAACCCAAAAAGCCACCAGAATATCCATCCTCTTACCGTCCCATCTCTCTGTTACCCATCATGGGAAAAATCCTGGAAAAACTAATCTTAAAACGCCTGTACCCAATCCTAGATTCTAATCACATAATCCCAGATCACCAATTTGGATTCCGCTCCTCCCATTCCACTATACAGCAATGCATCGTGTGGTAGACGTAGTATCCTCTGCATTGGAGCGCGGTATGTACTGTACGGGAGCCTTTCTCGATGTTGAACAGGCGTTTGATAGAGTTTGGCACCCGGGACTGCTGTACAAACTCCGAAAATTCCTACCATCTACCTACTTCCTCATTATCCGTTCCTACCTTACTGATAGATACTTTAAAGTAAATCACAACAATGTATATACATCCCGTTTTTCCCAGTCTGCAGGTGTTCCTCAAGGTAGTATCCTAGGTCCTATCCTTTACACAGTTTATACAGCTGACATCCCAACCCATCCCAACACTGTCATCACCACATATGCTGATGACACATGTATCCTATCAGTCAATAACGACCCATCTATTGCATCCCAAACCCTTCAATCCCACATCACAAACCTTGAAGAATGGTGTCAGAACTGGAGAATTAAAATAAATTCCAATAAATCCCATCAAATTACCTTCACCCTTCGTCGTAAACCAATGACTTCCTGTCCTTCAGTATCCTTTAACAACACCTCACTTATTCCTGTTGAACAAATCCGTTACCTAGGACTCCATCTGGACAAACGTCTAACTTGGAATCCTCATACCAGACTGAAACGACAAGAAACCGCTCGACGTTTCCGACTACTTCAACACTTACTGGACAAACGCTCTAACCTTCCAATCAATTATAAAAGACTGATTTACATGACTATAATAAGGCCTATTTGGACTTACGGGGTTGAGCTATGGGGCTCCACCAAGCCTTCAAATTCCTCTCGCATACAGTCCTTGCAATCCAAAATCCTTCGTAAAATCCTCAATGCTCCTTACTTTGTTACAAATAAAATTATCCATAATGACCTTAATGTTCCTTATGTATCAGATTTGGCCCAATCCAGATATCTGTCCTTCCATAATAAACTTCATAACCATCCCAACCCTCTTGTCTCTAACCTTGCTTCCTATTCGATTCCTGATAACCCTCCGAGGCGTCTGAAAAGAAGATGGCCACGTGATCTTCTAATATAGACATATTATTAGAGTGCTACCAATGGGTAGTTTCTCAACATGTGTTCCATGTGCAATACCAATGTGCAAATTTACTAGATGTATTTTTTTGTATACAGTTGTAAATATCATTTAAAATAAATAAATGAATAAAATAATTTTAATTTCAATTTTCTCTGAAAGTACATTTATAATTTTCAATTATTTTCTATGAATAGATAGTGACATATTGAATCATAGAGTAAAATTTAAATGTGAGATTACAATGGCTTTGTTGCTAAAAAATTGGATAACTAATATACAAGGATGGTTTGAAACATTTCCGACCACAACATGAAGATGGCAGAACTCGTAAATAAAAGCAAGTGAATTTCTTTGTTCATCTGTTGACAATTACCCACAAAAGTTTCAGCCATTTTGGATGTGCAGTATTTATGTAACAGTTGTTTGAGTGAGTTGATGTGAGTGTTTTTGTGAAAATGGACAAAATCTAGTATCGAGCTGTTATTAAATATTTGGTTTTGAAAGGCAATACGCCTACACAAATCAAAGATGAATTGAATTCTGTGTATGATGACTCTGCAGCATCATTTACCACAGTGAAATTTTGGGCAACTGAATTCAAATGTGGCCGTAAGAGCTTGGAAGACGATGAACGTTCGGGGCGTCCAAATACTGCAACTACCGACGAAAGCATCGCCAAAATTCACCAAATGGGGCTAGAAAACCGCCGAATTAAAGTGAGAGAGATAGCAGAGATTATGAACATGTCAAAAGAACGTGTTTGTTACATATTAAATCAACATTTAGATATGAGAAAGCTGTCCGCATGCTGGGTGCTGCGTTTGCTCACGTTAGACCAAAAATGTGTTCGAATGAACATTTCCAATGCTCTGTTGGCGCAATAAATCCAAGTTTTGGTGCCGATTAATTACTGTAGATGAAACTTGGATACACCATTATACAACCGAAACAAAAATACAGTCCAAACAGTAGATTACAAAGGGAGAACCGGCTCAAAAAAAAAGCAAAAACTGTTTTCTCAGCTGGGAAAGTTATGGTGACTGTTTTTTTTTTGCGATAGTCATGGAGTTATTTTAATCGACTATCTTCAAAAAGGAAAAACCATTACAGGAGCATACTATGCATCATTACTTGACCAGCTGAAGGCAGAACTTGCGGAAAAACGGCCACGTTTGCAGAAAAAGAAAATCCTGTTTCACCAAGACAACGCACGCTCACCACCCCGTCTCACACCTCAGTGGTTGCCATGGCCAAGAGGCAATCGCCTTCGTGAAAATTAGTTTGCAGAGAAAAACGCCTGGTACTTTTTGGACAGGTTACAGAGATTTGAGCATCACTGGGAGAAGTGTGTAGAGTTACAAGGAGATTATGTTGAAAAATAAAACAATAAAAATTCAGAAAAATGTCTTGTATTTTTGTTAGGTCGGAATCTTTACAGACCACCTTTGTATAATTCCCATAAATTTAACTCTTTATTTATATTAATTATTATGATGATGCTAATATTTATATTTTTCTGTAAACAAACCAGAATAAGGTTCCAAATAATAAGTCAACACTTATACAGATTATATTAAGTAACAGGATCTGTTTATCATGATTGACACTTGTGAACTTGAAGTTGTAGCTTTACAAGTTCTTCTACAATCTTCTTTGCCTTTTAGGTTTATATCTCCATCACAGCATTATATGACTACTATCACCATACATGCATTACCATACAGACTGCCATCATCCCTTGCTTGATTAAAGTTTCAGGCTATTGGGACTTAGTTCAAATTAATTAAATAAAAATAACAAAAGAAGTATGAATTTAAATGAAGTAAGCAAGTATCAAAATATAAAAGGATTAAATAATTGTATATAAGATTCATTAATAAAATATAAACAATGTATAATTTTGATAGTCAATTAAATAATTTTGCATAACTTCCACTTAAACACTTTATAAAAAGTAAAGGATGAATAGAGGAGAGAAATGGTCCGGGATGGCAGTTATCAAAAAATCTTGAAGTAGTGGAAACTATTTTATTTAGGCATTTCGATCCAAATATGCTGCAGGGCTGGGAAGTGTTTATGTGTGAAACTCAACTACCCAATACACTACGATCAACTATTGAATATTATAAAGAATAAATAAGACTTAGGGAATAAAAGTTAGTATTTAAATTTAAGTAAATTACCAAATTTATCCAAACTGTGAGTTCCAGACTTCAAATCACCACCAGCTCGTCGAAGGCCTTTCTGTAGAGCTTGTAAAGATTTAAATTCTAAATGAGGAAAAAAATAAAAATATATATATACATTTAAACAAATAAATAAACATAAATGTACATAACGAAATGAAAATAAAGATTATAAGCCATACAACCTAATAATTCAAAACAATTAATTATCATAAGACTTCTCCATCCAATCTATTACATTTATACCTTTTTCATCAATTTCCATTTCCTTTAACAAGTATACTTTCTAATTTGGTTACTAACAGTTATAATTACTATTATAAATTTATTTAATAGTTTGTATTTAACCATTTTTTATTACTACTAACAATGATTTAGAAATATACCTAAATATTTCATACATAAGTAAGTGAAAGTAAAAATAAATTTCTCCTTCTCATAATATAATGCATTTACTCATTTCCATATTATATTACCATTTGATCACTGACCGATGTTTTGGGTTGGCAAATAAGTGCTTTCGGTTTTTCAGGGTGAAATAAAATTCAATGTATTATACATATAAAATTAATTTTAATCTACAATATATTGTCCATTATTTAATATGACTTTTTCCTATCTTTCCACTAACTGCATAATGCTATCCATGTTCATTGAATGTCTGTAGTTTATTTTTAAAAAACTGTTCCAAGTGGTTTTTCATGTCCTCTTCCTTTTGGAATTTCTTTCCATTCATGGAGTTCTGCAGAGACCGGAATAAATGGTAGTCACTTGGAGCTAGGTCTGGTGAATAGGGAGGGTGGGGCAAAAGGTCCCATCCAAGGCTCAATAATCTATTGCGAGTGACCAATGAGGTGTGGGACCTAGCATTGTCTTGGTGGAACACAACACACTTCGATTTGCCAGTTATGGGCGTTTATTTTTAATTTATTGATCCAATTTTGTGAATTGTGAGCAGTATAGAGTTGAATCAATTGTTTGTCCTGAAGACAATAGCTCATAGAAAATAAAACCCTTGAAATCCCACCATATGGAAAGCATTATCTTCTTTGGATGCAATCCGGGTTTTGAAATTCTTCTAAGAGCCTCACTACTAGGTCACCAAGATTTTCTAAGGACTGCATTACCGTAAAATATGCATTTTTCATTTCCTCTTACCAACCTTTTCAAAAATGGGTCGCTTTGTTGCCATTTCCGTAGTAAATCCCAAACAGAAATGTGTGTTGCCAAGTTAACTTTGGTTAGAGAGTGAGGGACCCAAACATTAACCCTGGAAACATAACCGAGCTTGTGCAGATAGTTTTCTAAGCTTGTGTGTGACACATTTATGGCAATAGCAATCTCTCGCACTGATTGGGTGGAATTTTGATCAACGATGGCCTTAACGTTGCTCGTTTCAATTTCATATAGGCGACCAGACCATTGAGCATCATTGATGACAAAATTTCCTGAATGAAATTTGGCAAACCAATTTTGACAAGTGTGTTCGGTTAAGGCATTATCTTCATAAACACTGCAAATTTTTTTATGAGCTTTTGCAGCATGCTTACCTTTTTTTATATTTTATATAACTTATTTGCCAATCCAATACTTAATATATTACAATTAAGCTATCATTCAGGAGGATCATGGTGATTACACAATTTTGTAATTTTTAAAAGTTTCATATTTGAAGACAAAGGCATAATATTTAAGAATTTGATTCCATTTTTTGTCTATAAGCATCTCTAATAAATAGAGCAAGAAAGTAAAATACTTATCATAATTCACTTAATTCTCAAATACCTAATATAGTTTTCTTTAAATGGCTTTGTACCATTTCTACCTGATCACTTATTCTCACATTTCTAAACTTTTTTTCATAGTAATGATTGACAATTGACAGCAAAATAATATATAATATTAATGGTACTATACAGGGATAACTCATTAAAACTAGTTCATGCACTCATATATATTTTCTGATGCAGTGAAGGTGCCAGAATAATCACTGAGTTTGAGAAACTTAAGTGGTGCAAATGCATGGCAGTGCTTGATGGTGGTTTACAACACAAGATCTAGATATAGCTCATCTTATACCTTAATCCTAAAACTTTGAAATGGAAAATCCATATTTTGGAAAGCTAGGCGATCAGAATATTACAATATCTTTAAAGTAAAAGATTAATTGAGTATTAATCTGAGTTGTTATTTACTTATTTAAGATCTGTAAATAAAGTAACATACAAACCAACTTTTTAAAAAATTTACCTAACCTAAATAAGTTTGATAAAAATGAATAAATATATATTAAATACAAGAAATACCTTCCACATCCAAGATAAAATCATCTGGATTAGCTCTCTCAGAACCATAGACAAAAAAAATCACATCTTCTTCTCCAAAAAATCCCTCTAAACTGTTAACCTGAAAAATTATTTTAATAATATAAAATTAAATAACCTTACTCGTAAGTTAAAAACTACATAGAACTATAATATTCAAATAAAAAATCATTATTGATATATAAGGCAGATGATGTATTAAGTAAGTGAATAATGGAAGAACATAAACTACCAAATTGATTTTGACTACAAGGTGGTAGACCAATACTTTGCAGGAAGCAAGGAAATAATAATATGAAAATGAACTCATTCCATAAAAAATATAATGTAATATGGTGTATTAAATGAACTCATTGCATCAACACCCGGTAATCGCTGGAATTAGGCTATTTGATGTCTCACCTAATTTACCAATATAGAATTAAATATCAAGAGTCCAACAGATTATCAAATATATAAATAATATATGAATCTGTTGGGTTTGTTTGTTTGGATTTGATAGTTTCAGCTATTACCAGCACAATTATACATTGTGGTGCAGGTGCCTCAGGTAGAGCACCCGTGTAATCTATAAATTGTTTGTTCAGAAAGGCTCTAGGTTTTGTAAAATTACATTTTATAGCTCATATCAATAATAATAAACATCAACCAATCTTGAGCGCAGTATGAAATTAAAAAAGCAAAGCTTTCTACAAATAAACTTTTCAGTCACTAAAAACAAAACACAAGGACAAAATTTAAGCTTATTGGAAACAACTAAGGAAAAGACAATTTTTCCTATGGACAACTATACGTTTCCTTATCTAGATCAACGTATTTTCCAAATATCGAGAACAATATAATTTTTGTGTTTCTGCCTGAAGAAAATAATAATCATGACGCCTTTATACTTTTTCGGACTTTTAAAATGACAATAATTACAAAGCTAACAACTCAATTAAATAAAAGTGATCAAATTGAGGATACAAATAAAAAGTCTAAACATTAAAGATTAACTTAATTTTACAACAACAGACTAATTTATTTTTCTTTTCTTCTGACTAATTCATTAATATAAACTATCTAATAAATATATGATCAAATAGTATGGATTCATTTCTAGATCCTCAGGAGCATTGGGTTTGAACACATATGGTATCAAAGAAAATAAATTTGATGGAGAAGTGATGAATCTAGATTCCGAAACTTAAATTTGTACAACTTCCAAGTCATTGAAGAAACAAATAGGTTTCAAAGCTCTGATAATGTTAAGTTGACAGATCAAGAGAAGACAAATCTGTTTTAAAGATTTTGATATGGAAATCATGACAAGGTAAAAGTCTTTTAGAACATACTGAGCCCTGCATTTAAAAGCCCTAAAATGTACTATTTATGAAAATAAGGATCATCTTAGGGTGTCTTCTTGCTTTTGCTTTGATATCAAATCTCAAAACAGTCAGTCCAGTACCCTTGGAGAAAAGCAGCGGACGGACAGATATTTTTAATATATTTTCAGATTGCACATATGTTGAAAAGTAAAACCTCAAATATTGAGGTGGGTGTACTTTTTCAGTTTGGTTGATTACAATGATTCATTGCTGACAATAATAAACAAAATATGAACTTCATTTATTTTTCTTGAATGGAACAGATCGAGTATAAATAGTATTCCCTATTAATTATGAAAATGTGGTTGTTTCAATATTGAAGAAAAATAGGTTTAAGAGCTAAAATGTTTATTATATTATAGAATAAAGTGATGAATAGCAACTTGACATAAACCTTTCTGTTATGGGACACACTAGACTACTTTTGGTATTTTAAGTACAGTGTGATCAGTGAGATTGCAAGATGTGACCTGATGGGCCAATATATGCACCATCTAGACATAAAATTTATGAACCAGAACTTTTAAAAAAATATATAAGAAAAAGAAAATTAGTTAGCTCATTTGTTTTGTTAAATCAACTATTTCAAGAATTCTTATATTGTTTCTTATCAACCACATCCAGCATGAAATTTGTGAAGTAGTAAGATATATTTTTTCTGCAAATTTTCCAACAAAATTGTCACAGATCGACAAAACGTAGAGCTAGACAATGAGCATTGTAACGCCTTGAATAATAATGGAAAAAACAAAATAATACACTATATTAACTCAGCAGAATAGTTACATTTTTAAACTTAACAATCACCAAATATATTTACCTGATTACCTTCAGAAGTGAAAATTTTCCTAACAGCCCCAGTGTCTAGCTTGGCTACTTCTGTTATAGTTGACAAGGTATGATCAAATGAAGGAGCATTCCGCTTATTGAGTAACAGTCTCATTACTTTTCTAGGTCTATTACCATTCCGCACAATAATAATTATGCGTGGTCTAACAGCATATGTTGTACTCTTAATGGAACTGCTATTCGAATTAGGAGTCGATAATCTTGTAAAAGATCGTGCAGGCCGTATTTTAGGTGTTGTCAATGATAAACTATAATCCACTTTCTTAAAAGAATCTCCTAATCCTGAACAAGCATAATATTTACCATCCTCTAAATCATCTAAGTTTGTAATTTTTTTTCCATCCATTGTAAATAGTACTCTAACACCAGTTGCAAGATTAACATTGTTTGAAAATGCCCTTGTTAATTCATTCAATAAGCTGTCAAATGATCTATATCTTTCAGGTGTTATCGCTATCGTCACACCTTTACTAAATCTGTCACCATTACATAAAAATTTAATTCTTTTTGCTTTTTTTGCTTTTGAAGGAGAACCTTGTATTTCAACATCAGTTACATTTTTATGTATTTCTAGAGAAGAATTGGGGACAAACTTTTCAAGTTTAGTTGCTGGCAAGGATTCTGGAGCAACAAGAAGTGGCATTTCCCCTGAAAATTGATAAAAAAAACAAAAACAATACTCCAGATAGATTATTTAAATAGAAAATAATTTAAATGTCAGATAAGAAAATTGAATGATCTCACCTGGCACCATTCATATATACAAGATGAAGATGTGTTGAGAAGCACTGTTCCAATACTTTACTAATCAAAATCGTTTAAATTAAGTGTTTCTAAGATATTAATAAAACCAAATAAAAGAAACAATGTTATCAACTAAATATGAAAAACACTAGTATTTTAACGAACTCCATATCCCATTACCAGAATTACACATATATTGCCACTAAAATATTTTAAATACTAAACAGCACCACTAAACAATGAATCACATCTACCACTAATGACTAACCTAACTGGAACGGAGACTTAACGAAGAGTTGTGAAAGGTTCGAGGTAATCTAAAAATCCACTGCTCAAGTAATGTACTATCAATTCATTTCAATAATAATTCAAAATAAAGAAAATAAAACTGCGAGTTGATTTGTCATAATTTTTAAAACCATAGAGTAATGAATTTGTCGATAAAAAGTTAAAATTAAATTTAAACGTTATATTTAACTGTAGATGTTTTACTTTTGGTTAATCTCAAGGTACAGTTTGAATAGAAATAATTATATTTAACTAAATAATTTTATCAATTCTTTAATTCAAGAACAATTGTTAATAAACCTTAGAAAACTAACGAACTATGGTGGAAAAATAACTATATTCATTTATGCACAATTTGAATTAATAAAACACGATATTTAGCTATTTTATTTATAGGCAAAATGAAGAAAAGGAACACTTGGTAGTTTCACAGTTGCGTCCTGATTGTTTTCAAAAAGATAATTCTAATGACAGTAATAGCTCATGAATGAGGTAATATAAAACTCAGAAATTTAAGTTCTGCGTTTTGGTGAGTTTCAAGTTACAATTTTTAAAATATATAATCAAAGGAACTATATATTTCTTGCGGTTGATATTATTAAATTTTGGAATAATTTGTTAGTTAATTGGGTTTTTTCCGGCACTCATGACGGGGTGTTAACGACCGATTGCCCGACAAGTGCCAACTTCTGTTCATCTAGGTATATACTGAATAACAGTGGCAAGGCCAGAATTTATTTTGACACAGAATAGTTCTATTTTCGGTTAATAGATCTTTTGAAGAGAATCAGATATTCTAGATTTCAATTATGTGTAACAAGGAAATCGCTGTTGGATGATATACCTTTGAAAAAGTATTAATCTCATTAAGTTCCGAGATTATCTACCATGTATACTTCATAACCCAAGAATGGTGTCAATGCATGCCAACCACCGTTTTTCAGCATTGTCGTCATCAAAGGCCTAAGAGCGAAGGTTTTGATGCAAATTTCCTGCATATACCTGCTGCACTTCTAGTTTTATAAGTTTTTTTAGATTCAATTTGAACTTCTTGTGCTGGCCTGCTCAGCGCCTGCCTTAGACAATCGGCACCTCTCCGGGCAATGACGTCATTAACTCTCCTCAAAAAAAAAATTAAATTTATTTCTTAAACTGTTATATATTATGTAATATTTGAATTTTATTTCATTCAATAAAGTTGCTTTAATGATAGGCTAAAATTAATTGCTTTAATACATTTTGTATTTTTTTTTCATTTCTAACAAATGGAGAGCGGACCGGCCGAAGCCCTCAAAAGGCACCTCTCTCTAAAGCCGGTACTGATTCTGTTGTTGGATTGACAGAAGATATCTTCGCACTGATGTGAGCTACACTGAGGTAATGGTCGGTGTCTACGTTAGCTCCTCTAAATACTCTCACATTGACCAGATTGGACCTGTGCCTTCTCTCAACCAATATATAGTCAATTTGATTAACAATATTTCTGCTAGGAGTCGTTAAAGTTTCTTTGTGTATGATTTTATGGGGAAAGATTGTGCTTCCTATGGTCAGGTCTCTCGCAGCTGCAGCTCACCAACATTTGCCCATTGTTGTTGCTAACGTCGTGCAGATTATAACTACCTGTTGTGTGTTGATATACGTTCCAGCTAAAATGTTCATATCATATCGAGGTCATGCCTCTATGATATTATAACACAACCTAGATAAAATAAATGAATGACGTAAGAACTGGAAAATAAATTTTAACCATGTCAAGTTACAACATGTTACATTAACATTACGACACGAAACCTGTTCTCCAGTTTACATCGACAATCATCCGAAACCAAAAATAAATACAGGGACTTATTTTAGGCAGAAGGTTCACATGGGGACCATCTGACAAGACAAATCTTAAAATATTAAATTTCCGATTGAGACGATTGCATCCATAATACACAGACGTTCCAAATTTCACATCAGACAAAAAAAGGAGCAGGGTGGCTGAGCGGGTTAACGCGTGTCAACACCACCGCCGCTGCCAGGCAACCTGATATGTGAGATAATTTGATTAAAATAATTCTGAGTTCGCGTCCCGGTATCGAGGCGGTCTTTTACCTCCAGTATTAATCCTCCGCCCTTACCTCCTGGCCCTGGATCACCCCTCCCCCTACCCGTATAACCTAAAAAGGAGGGGAAAGAGAAAAAAAAAAAAAAAGAAAATCAGACAAAAACTCAACAGTTTATTAAAATTAATACTTTCTTCCTTATTACTATAAAAGTAAGTTTGGTTGTTGAAGTACACTATACAAAAATTAAGAGAAAAAAGTGTAAATTGCCCCATAAAAATATTAAAACTAAAAGAATACTATTTGCAAGGCTTGCTATTATACCTTGCATCTTCTTATATACTTAGTAAAACTATTATTGTCAAATGTAAACATCAAGACAATAGTTCAAATACTGCCATCTGCGAGATTTAACATAATGTCTACACATGGTAATTCATTTCCCCAGGGGTGCCCATCCTCCCCCTACCTAGTTTCATGGCACATGAAGAGTCCCCTCCCCTCTTCCAAGATATTAGTCCAGAATATCCCCTCTTCAATAATGCAAAACGAAAGTAGAATTTAAAAATTCATAGATCATATACAATTATGATCTGATCCATATTTTCCAATTGTCCCCTGGTTTAAAATTTTTAATTCAAGTTATTCTTAACCCCGTTGAAATGTGCCCCTCGCCTCAAAAATTCAAAACCCGGTCAAAATGCTTTGTCTCAAAAAGACAGATCCAGGATCTAGGAATCTGTCTACACCTTTACAGCCTTCCAGTTTTCCACAGACCTACAATCGGAATTAATGATGGGAGTAGGGGAGCCCGGTCTGGCAGTTCAGCTTTCATTGTGCAAAAGGAAATAAACCAACATTTCAACTGCAACGTACAACAATTTTCTCCTGAAAAAATGTTGGCTATTTTTATAGACTGTGATTTAAACAAAGACCCATCTATAGATAGATATAGTTATCTAAGGAAACGCGCTCTTGATAAGTGGTGTGACCTGTTCCCTACTAACCCCTAAGTCCAAGAGATGAAGAAGGGTTGTGTACCAAATGATAGCGCAATTGAGGAAACTCAGGTAGAGGTATAGTTTCAGGCACTGGTAGATCACACAGCTGAGCGATTAGCTAAATAATCAACAGGCAAAAAGCATCCCTGATTTTCCCAGGTTTTGTAGGCCAATCAAATACATTTACGAGAAAGAGACTGTAGATTTGATAAGAAAAGAGACAAATCTTGTTTTTAAGGCCTACGCTGTAAATTATTGAAGGAAAATAAATCATGATTATACACAAAATATACCTTACTATGGATGACAGCCAAATTTGTAATGCGCTAACTGGAACAAAGTTGACTTAAAGATGTTATATTTGTGGCATGGCTCCAAAACCATGAACATTTGAACTAGTTTGTCCCCGTTTTATGCCCTTATTAGTTCTTTACAATGTTTAATTCATAATACTTACCATTTAGGTATTTAGAAATGGCGGGTTAGAAGAGATGACATAATGACCAACAAAAAATCAAGAGCTAAGATTTTTTTTTCTTTTTTATACATTTTCAAAATATTTTTTATGTTATTTCTTTTTTCTTTTTCCTTATTTGTAAGTTATTGGAGCCCCGATGGTCCTTTATAATGAAATTCTTAAAAAAAAAACATTTTTTTTGGGACTCCTCTTGAAGTTATCACAATTTTTTTGATGTTATAAAAAATAATGTCTATCAAAATAAGACAAGCTTATTAAGCATAAAATAAGGATCCAAAATAGGCCAAAAAAGTTGTGCAAACTTTTTTAATTGTTAGATTGCTCTAAAGATGAGTACTTAAGGGTTTGGTATTTGTGTTGTAGAAAACTGATATTAACTTTGTTTCTCCTTAAAAAAATAGTTTAAAATAAGACTCTGAATCATCCCATACATAACATGATTTTAATTTATAGTTCCTCAACGATTATTTGTCAGCCTAAAATCTTTGTTCCAGCCCTGTTGGGCTGGCTTTAAGAGCGATAAAGGTTGTATGTACTAGATATATACTTAGAAGTCCTTAGTTGAAATAAGTTAAGGAATTGAAGGTAGCTACTTATTTGCATTGCTTATTGATCTAAAGAAGGACTTTGATTAGGTCAACAAAAACCTGCACTAAAAGTTGTTCACCATTGCAGGAAGACTGATGAGCATATACAATAATTAGTCTGCTAAAGTTAGAAAGCCTTGGCCCCAAATTCGTTTTACTTTTTATTAGGAACATTGTCAGTTTGAGGGCTATTATACATAGTGCTATGTATGTATTTAATTATTTCCCATAAATAAATAGAACAGAGTATAATAATTACCCCTGTATAAGAGTATAATAACAAACACATGTCTGGTACCTGAGACACCCTAGTGACCTCCAAGGAGGTGCAGCTCTTTGTCAGAGACAATAAAACATCAAAGGACAGACGCCGGCAAAACTCCTACACAGGCAAGAACATACGGCATGTTTAGATAAGATCAAAAAGCTTGCCTAAGAAATAAAAAAAAAGCATTTTCGAGAAAGATGAAACGGCCGGACAACCTTAGGACATGGTCATCTCCTCTGCTACGAAACTTCAGCCAATGAAAAAAAAACAACTGAAAAAGGACAGTGGATAACAAAAGGTTTGGGATAGACAGAAGTCTGATATAGGTCGTTGAGGGGAGACAACAGAGAATAGACAAGGAGTCTGGAGCAGGTTGGAGAAGAAGAGACCTTTAATGAAACTGGCAACATCACCACACCATGAACAAACAACAGCTAAGTCAAAACATTTGTTTAGTATATCTATGTAAACTTGTGTAGGCAGTCAATAGCAATTATTGAGTTAACAGATCATTAGTAACTTCAATCAGTCCTATTCATAATAGCATTCTCCTCTAATACATATTAAATTTATAAACAGATTAATTATTATACCATCTTGATAATTTTACAATCTCCCTTGCATGCCACCAATTAGGCATAGATACAAATAGTAAATGTTTAAACATTACACCTTTTGAAAGGATATCCAATGAAAATTATATTATTCAATCAAGGATAGTACAGTAGGGACTGTGTGATAGCTAACATTTAAATACACAATTCATATATTTATAAGTAGATCAGTTCCCTTCTGGAGCTGATAGAAGTATTAAATACATTAAATAGAAATAAATGCAATTCCTGCAATCCGCTACATCATCGAAATCGGACTATTTGTTGCAGAGATATATCATTTTAAACATTTAGTACGTTTTCTTTCCCTTCCAAATTCGATTTCTTTTATTTTGTTTTTTGATAAATCGAAAACTTTTCACTTACTGAGGTAATTGGGTCTATTATTTAAAGAGATGATATCATGTAATGTTAGTGGAATGATACCTAATAAATTAAATTTAAAAATATATTCCATAATTATACTCATTGTTAAGCTAAATACTGCACAAACATTAGTTAATGGAACAGGAATGAGACTGAAGTATTAACAGGGGCTACTTTAAATTAAAGAATTTTAATTCCAAGTATTAATTTAACATTTTCTGACACTATACTTACATTCGACTTTCAAAGAACAACGTTCCTATTAATACATGCATTTGCTATGACCATAATCAAATCGCAGAATAAAAGTTTTGGAAAAATGTGTATATCATTGTGAAGTCCAGTAATTTTACATGGACAATTATATGTGGCAGCAATTAGAGCACGTTCATTTAAAATATTGAAATTTATATTTTCAATGGCAATGGGCAGAGCTATGCACTAAACAATAACAGAACATTCAGAAAGAACATTATTTACATAGAAGTTCTGAATAAAAATGGATTGAAAGTGAATTTAAATTTATTTTTTACTTGTTTAATCATAACATTAATTTATTGTGATAATAACACACATAAATTAAAATGAAAATTAAATATTTTTGAATGAGTATATTTTGTATTACTTATAAATAATTTTAAATGACTTAAGCTCGATTTTTAATTGAAATTGAAATTTTGTTTGTATTAATAAATGAGGATTTTTGAATTCTGATTTACTCTTTATTTATTTACTTTATTTTTTATTTAATTATATCTTTTCCTCAAATTTTAAAAGGCTATGGTCGAATTTCGACCACTGAGCGAACACTAGTTTTATGAAAAAGGCCTCTGCTAAAAGTATCAAAATGGTGGAAATTCTTTAGAAAAGTAGAAGTGACACTTGGGAGACAAAAAATACTCTCTTATAAATATACATAAATTGCTTGGTTATTTCTATTATTATATTTCCAATCTCATATTGTATTCTTGCTGTTTATCGGTTACAATTATAAAATAGATTTAAGATATCTACACTCTAATTAGAGAAAGATTAATCATTCAGGAAATGCAGATTTTATCAATGGTTACCAGAAATATTATTTCATATTTTTTATTATGTTGTTATTCATACATTTTTATTAATGATTTATTATTTATGGTCTAGTTTTCATAGACCACTTGATCCTCAGCACGGGCGGATCTACGGGGGGGCTTTCGGGCTGAAGCCCCCCCAAAATGGAAAAATATAACCATGTTTTATGGGAAAACATTTTTAAAAATACCTCTTACAGTATTATTGTTCGTGTAATTACATTTAAAAGTACTTAAGGAATAACTTAAACACCATTTCATATAGGTAGTTAGTTTCTTTCTGTTTTTCCAAAGTAATTATCGTTATTTTTATGAAAAAAAAAAGGTTTCGGGCTGAAGCCCCCCCAAAATTAAATCCTGGATCCGCTAGTGATCCTCAGTGCTTTAGGATTTAATTTTTCCTGACATCGTGAGCTTTCTTGTCGAAAATTATGGATAAAAGCATATATGATTATGATCCTTTGTCAGTGATGATATTGTACCATTAGTTGGCTGGTCAGACTTTCATTTTCTATGCAGGAATTTAGACTATAATCTTAAAGTAAAACAGCAGATGAAATGTTTGTAACAAAAACTTGAACTACAAAACTTAGAAGAAATTTAACTAATAAATACGAGATGATATTTATCTAATCCAAATGTATTCAATGATGTTTTTGAAAATTTAAATATTAACAGTATTTCAAATATTAACCCCACTTAGAGATCCAGTACACAAATCATTATAATGTTATGAAAAGTTATTACAATTTACAAAGAAATAAAAAACAACACATTAATTAATATATAAACAGGATGATTTAATTAATTGATATTTATTAAACCAATTAAATCAGCATAATAAAATTATGAACGTATATTTAATTGAAAAAAAAACAAAAAACTATAACATAATAGTGAAGCTGAATTTAGCACCAAAACATTTAATGTATTATTAGGAATACTTCTAACAGCTTCACAAAACAATTATCGTTTTTTCCAAGTGAATTTCCTTCTCGCACCAGCTTGACCAGGCTTTTTCCTCTCTGGACGTCGGTAATCTCTCTGCAAGAGTCCGGCTAAAAAAAAAAAAAAAATGATATCAACTAAAGTTTTTAATATAATATAATAAATGTTATTATCATTATAATTTATAGTAATAGTAATGATACAACTCTTGTTTATAATTTTTTTTTTTAACAGAAAAATTGAAAGAAAATCAGAGAAAGCTATTACAACTTCGGGCATCAAATCCAAACATAATTTTTATTTTATTCTTCTAGTAAGATGAAATACAAGATACAGAATTTTTTCAATTACTGGAATCTTTTATTTTTCATTTATTTATTTGTTATACTAATTAAATTTATTATTTTGTTAAGTAATCAAATCATTTGTTTTAATTAATTATTAATACATACAGAATGATTAGATATTATAGAAGACAAGCCAAAGCTAATGCTTTGATTTCCAGCAAATACTCCAATCTAGAACTTTAACCCTTAACTTGGTATTGTATCCCTGCAGACATGCCCAATAATAGATTAAAACACAATTATAAATTAAAATCAATATTTATAAATCATATTAATAACAATTAATTTATAAATTAATAAATATTAAAAATGATCTCCTTAAAAAAATTTGTTTGCCAAGTTAAGGGTTAATGAAATAGAAATATTTTAATCTACAATTATACTTTTCTGTATAAAAAGAATAGTGAATGGAGGTAATTATGAACAAATCTTGTAGTAGGAAAAGAAGATTCATAAGTTAGAAATCAAGAGCTTCAAGAAATAAGACAAAGAGTAGTTAGGCCACCCTTTAAATATTGGTGATTAACAAATCCAAGCATAGAAAGAAAATAATCGACACAGCTAAATGATTAAATCATTTATAAGTATTTGATGTCTATAAGTTTTTCTATTGAAAATGGAAGAGAGATACCAGATAAAAAAATATAATGCTTTCAATTTTCATTCTTAATTTTTTTCCTCCTTCTGGCTATTTGTCAATAATAATAAACAAAAAATAAATCAAAGGCTATTCAGATTATATTCAAAGATATCTGGCCATATCTGATAAGGACAACAGTGATTAAAACTCAGAAATAATAAACAAGTTAAGTCTGCTGACTAAGGGTTTAAGAATTTTCTCTTTGTATCATGTTAAAAGTGGCATACCTCAAATTCAAGTTGTTAATATAAGGCTTCTGTTGGGTGGCAATGAAAATGAATCTACTGATGAGAGCAGGCATGAACAATCAATGTGAAAAAAATAGAATAGGTCAGTTTACTTCTGTGTCATTCTGTTTGATTAAACAAAGCTTCCAATTCTTATTTATTACCTCAACACTACTTTTTTTGGAGTGGAGCTGGGAGGAGGGGAATGGGGGGTCGAGCGAGTTAAGATGCCTGCAATAATTTTATATCAAGTGTTCAAATCTCGTTCACGGGATTAATTAAATACAAAAATAATAAATTTTAAAACCAAAACTTTGTTCGGAAAATGGTATTCATCTGGGGGTGGTAGTTTGGTAGTCTGTTACCTAGGTAACAACAGTTATTTTTCTATCTAGACATTTTCCTCTTGAATACAATATACTAATTATTATTATAATGAAATAGAAAAGGAAGCACTATATGACGTACAATGAAAATATTAGAAATAAAAGGCTCAAATTTATGTTGAGTTTATGTGAAGCTGGATACGTTGAACATATATTATGGTTATAAATTGGCGATAAGAATAATTATAGTTATATAATAATATAAATTGGCAATAAGGCACGATGTATAACATACATTTTAAAAAAATTAAAAATTTGTCCAAACTGAGGTTTTGTTCAGTTTATTTTAAGTTGATAAAAAATAATACAATCTGAACTACAGAATACATGTAAATTATAGTTAAACAATTGGAGCAACAAGTAGTACAATTAAATGAACAGTTGTGTAATTTGTAAAATGGGAACAGGGAGTAGCTCCTAATAAAATTAAAAAACAAATTACTAAGCACACTGAGGTAAAATAATAAAAATCCACTACTTACCAAGCCTCATAGTTTCAAACATATCTGGGGAGACGAAGCACCGAAGCCCCCATGATATTCCCCAACGTATGGCTCCAGCTTGACCAATTTCTCCACCACCTTTCACAGTCGCTTCAATATCTACACCGTCTCGTAACCCTGTTAAATCCAGTGGAAAGAGTATCTGCCAAAAGCAATGACACACATTATTAAGCCGAAAACATAAAAAATGACTAGATAAAAATTGAGATCTACTCGCATTTCTCAGATGCCAAGTTTACAGTTTTAGTTTATACAACAATTCATCCATAATTAATTTTTGATTTTCTAACATAGTTTCAAGTTTATCAATTTTTTGGAGCAGTTGTTCATTATAAGGTCTTTCATCACCAGGAGATCTGTAAGAGGTACACGGACGCTTTTGCCTTGCTATTTCAAGAGCTGCCATCAGGATATTACGAGGTAGTCGGTTCTCACGTGGATTAAGAGGTTTCACATGTAATACAACTCTATTTGCATTAGGTGACATCAAAGATGATTTCAGCATTTCCACAATTTGGTTTGGAAGATAACCTTGAAATAAAGACAGCTCTAAGAATGAAATTAAGTCAGTTTGACGAACGAGCTTTGACAATCCGGCTGTTTTATGCAACCCTTGAATGTCATGTACAGCAATTCCAACAAGAAGATTCATCAATACAACAGTAACGAAAATTAAAAAAAGAATAAAAGTTATATGAGCACTAATATTTAATAAAAGAGGATTATTGTCCTCATCGGAAAGAAGATCCATATCTAATTCACCTGTCATCATTACTAGTACTTTAATAAATCCGATTAAAGGGTTCTTAAAAGCTTTGTTAGTAGGAAATATAACACAGAAACTGATTGTAAAACCAATCAACAAACAAGCATATGCAAAGAATAGTTTGAAAAATTCTGCTTGAACTTTTGTAAACATTTCTACATATGTTCCAAAGACAGGTAGCTGACCAATAATAACCATGAGATTAGTCCATCCACAGAGAACTCCAAAAGCACCAAGATGATTTTGCCATTCATAGGTTGTTCCAGTATAAATAAATGATGTAGCAAAAACACTAATGATTGTAAACCACTCAATAATGTTTATCAACTGTCCAAAATACTGTCCTGCAGAAGAATAGCCTGCTATTCCAAAAAGTTTTCTGAACACTTCAAAAACCGTAAACACTAATAATATATACCACAAGAGTTCCATAATAAATGGGTTTTCTAAAAGCAGGTTCCTAAAAATAGAATTTTTCATACAGATATTACTTGTCTGATTGCATTGTTTTGTACAGTTTAACGTACCATTCTTTAATGTCTCTTTTAATGTATAGTAAAGAGTTGTATTATTAGCAGTATTGTAGCAATTATGTGCTAATGCAGTCATAACATACAGACTCAATAGCATAACAAAAATAGCACTAAGAAATAAACGTAACAAATAAAACCTCCTAATTTTTTGCCACTTCAAATGCAAAAATGCACAACATAAAGGATGATCTAACATTCCTTTTTCTCCTTCATCCACAAGTGTTTTCAAAAGGCCGACTTCACCTCCAGATGAATGTTGTAGGAGATATCGAAAATCTAACTTCACTTCATTCTCCCTATAAGACTGTTCTGGATAATGAATAGTTACCGATGAATCAAGTTTTTTCTTAATGGTTGATAGAGATGCACTGGTTTTTCTCCTAATAATACTGAGAGCAGTTAATCCACCTCTTGTTCTAGCACTTACGTCTGCACCATTCATTATGAGAAGATCCACACAATTTGTTAATTCATTTACAGCTGCTATATGAAGGGCAGTGTAGCCAAAGCTATCTTTTACATTCACATCAGCACCACCTTTTATTAACATTTCTACCGTACTATATGCTAGAAGACCTTTACCCACTGCAGTGTGTAAAGGAGTCCTATTTTCATTATCTTTAGCACTGATATCGGAATGAGCTTTTAACAGTAAATCAACACATTCAGCACTCTGTGAACGAGTTCCTAAATGCAAGGGAATCTGACCCTTTTTGTTTCTTATTGATACATCAGCTTTTTTACTCAAAAGCAATTTGATAACATTAATATGGCCGCCTTCAGCAGCATAATGAAGAGCAGTATTTCCTCGGTCTCTCGTTAATAAGTCAACATTGATATTTTCTACTTCTAACAACAGTTTGACAGTACTTATGTTACCAGTATCTGCAGCAATATGAAGTGGAGAAAAACCTGTTGAGTCTAATGTATTAACATCTACTTGTTTTGATAGCAATATTGGAAGACATTCAACAGCATTCGTGCGAACAGCACAATGTAATACAGTATTATGAATTTTACAACCTGCCCCTAATAGAATTTTAACAGCCTCTAAATTATTCCCTAAAACTGCAAAGTGTAGAGGTGAACAACTATCTGCCATTACTTCCAGATTACAGCCTTCATTAATTAACCACTTTAGACTTTTTAGACATCCACTGAATGCAGCTAGGTGTAAAGGTGTATATCCTTCAAATGGACAAGTAAAATTGACGTTGGCTCCCATTTTTATCAACTCAGGTAATAAATCATCTCTTCTTGTAAAACAAGCCCACAATAACATCAAATTTGGATCTACCTTTGCTAATTCTTCTGAATTGATACTGCATCTTAATTCTACATCCATCAAAATTTTTGGATCTCTGGACATTCCCCTAACACAATCCATGAAGCTTTGCCTTATTTTCTCCTTACATATTTTTACACTTAAATCCACTTCCATATTTTCAGATATAACATCGTCAACTGAAGTTTCACCAAGTTCTATATCCTTAATGGGAAGTGTTCGAGATCTAAAGCTCTTCCACTTATTGATAAAACTGTTTTTCTTCTTCCTCCTCTCATCTAGGTTGACACTAGTCGCTCTGACTAAACTTGCTGTTTCCATCATGACTCACTCACTCAACACTGAAAACCACTGCCCCACCTCAAGGCTGTTTAACTGTATATCTTCCCCCTCCAGTAATCTCTTCAGTTTCCTCCTCAAGTAGCCAGAGCCCCATGATTTGGAATGAGGATTAGATAATAGAGAAAGTATCCAAAGTAAATATGAATAAGTGATTCAGTATATCAAATATGATATAAGTTCATATTCAGAAACTGCAATTCTTAAGTAAACAACCAGAATAATTCATTATATGAGATGTGTTATTTTAATTATTAATTTTAAAGGGAACACTTTGATATTAAACAATTGTTTTTTATAACAACAGTAATAAAATAATATAAATTGAAGAATTCTTGAATTATGATTAAAAGTAATATTAATATCTATTCTTTTTATCATTAAAGAAAAATATATGATTCAATAGAATCTAAATGTGTAAATAATATATGAAATATATAACTGGGTAGTACATAAATCTCTGAAGCACACTTCCAGAAATAGGCTTATGGTAAGGATCTATACTAAGATTACAGAGTTGATCTGACACTATTTAATAACAAATCATAGGAATCTACAGTTAGCTGTTGGTAAATTATATAGTGGATATAGTAGACATGTTGTGAGGTTACATATAGAAATATTAAATTATTTGGACCTATATAAAATTAGTTGACTATAAAAACAAAATTATAAAATTTTAAATCCAACCTGTTTTCGTGCTGCCATTGATCTGAAATATTCTATATTTTTCCCATTTATACTAATCAGACCCGTTCCAGGAGATATAACTTTAACATCTGCTTTCGCAGTTTTTCTTGGACATTCTAAAACAAATTAATAACTTATAAAACATGTAATTAATTTTTTAAATAATTTAATATGCAATATCAAAAACAAGTACCAGCTTTAAGGCTAGCTTAATAAGTCTTAACAAAACAATTTCATTGTCTACTATTAATATATCATATATATGAAACATTCACGTATTAATCTAATCTTTCAGAGAATTAAAACACTGTCTATTGAATTGAAAAATCTTTTAAACAATTGCATAAAGTTAAAAATTATTTCAAAGTAAAGAAGTAATAATAAATGGAGTTTTAAATAAAAAATTAATTACCTCTAGTTAAAACATATTTCCTTCCATCAGTATCAGTCAATGGCTAAAACATAGAAACACAGGTAAAGTAAATAATTGAGAAAAATAAAATAAATTTTCATGGGTCACGCAGCAAAAAAAAAAAAAAAAAAAAAAAATTGTACTAAAATATGGCATGAATTAAACTAGTTCAAATTAAAGAGGAGTTCAATAAGGAAAAAATTTCAAAAAAAGATTAAACCAACATAATACTATTCATACAGGTCTGATTTTATATAATTCTACTACTTTATAACATATTTTTTTTTTTTTATGAATTTAAGCTTAAGAATTTAGGAATAAAATATATTCTAATAATGGTGACAAAGCACTGATTTTCAGGTAGTTGTTCAGGTAGCTTCAGTTTTATGACAATGAGTAAAGCATGTTTGATTGTAACAAATCAAGTAAATACAGTTCAGAAAATAAAAATAAAAGAAATTGATGTCTTAAACAACTTAATCTGGTATGTTGGTTGGCCTTGAATTCCGGGATTCCCACGCTTCTATCTTAAAATTAAAACCAGCTTTAACATTCCAGGGTTTTGTTTATTAGTAACATATTTGATGTTTTTGAATGACATATTTTTTCTTGTTTTTCCTTATTATGGTAATATCTAATACACTTGGGTATGGATAATATGGATACAACTCTTATCGCTAAAATCTTCCGCGGGTTTTCAAGAAAAGACCAGCTTCCACCTTTCGTTTTATTACAAGAAAAATTGATAGACAAAATTCATGGACAAGTATTAATACCAATGTGTAAAAAAAAAGGCGTTAAAAGAATCTAAAAAATCGAAATTCGATATGCAAGTTCACTTATTTCCCCGTTTAATGAAGAAAAAAATCAACATTAATATAATAAGGCATAAAAACCTTTCTGTTAACAACTCAACTTAATGACGTCAGATAGTAACATTTTAGATGGGAGATAAAATGTATCAAATCAAACTGTACTGGAGCATTTTCACTGGAGAACACGATGGCCAACCACTATATTTTTTTCGAATTTTCATTTCAAGGGGACTCCGAGAAAGGAATCTTGAAACTCCCACCTAGGTTAGTACGTAGTGGCAGCATTTAAGGCTCCTACACATAGAATGTGATATATCTTGGCGATACGATATTCCTGTTGGGGTTGAAATGGCGATATAGTTATATATACTGCATTATAGCAGTTACACAGAGTGCGATAATCCGTACCGACAAAGAGTAATGTATCGCCGGGACATATATTTACGGGACATATATTCTGTATTTAGGTAGCCTTCAGGGATTGGCATAAGAACCCTACTACTAGTTCCAATAACAGTAAATTCTTCCCAGATTACTTGGGTAAACTACAAAAATCCAAATAAAAAGTGCATTGCATAGTTACTTATGGTAGCAGCATATTTTAAAATGTTTGACTAAACTAAGAGCGTGAATAGAAACTATGATGGGAATTAGTGGGTCGAAACGTCGGCAAAAATTAAATAATTCTACTTGCTTAATTTATTATTAATTGGACCGCAACCCCCGATCAACTCCTTCTCATATAAATATTTCAAGTGAACATGAGAAAAAAAATTATGAATATTGTTTCTTTCATAAATACCTATAAGAAAAACAAATAAAAACCTCCTTCTGTTCTCTAAATGTCTATCATAAAAATACTGATATGATCAATTGCTAGTAGGAACAATACAAATAAATTATATTAAATTTATACGAATAATAGTAACAGTCGTTACGTTTTCATACAAAATCGCTGTTACTGATTAACCCAAATAGATATAAAATCTTAACGCTGATCAAATGTCTCGAAACTACTTATTTTGTAATACATTATGTTAATTGAACAATGTTAAATAAAAAAAAATATATAGTGTCCAGTCATCTCTTTTATGGCTCAAGATTACACATGGACAGATAGCTGGCACCACAGTCTTTTTAAAACCATTTTCCGTTACATTAAATGTACAGTATAGTACAAAAAGTTGGTAACATTCACTACGACGTTTTCCTCCAAATTTTGGGAACAAAACAATTTTCATACTTTACAATCTAAGTATTTGAGATCCATTGCTTTTCTTTTCGACCAGAAAACATGTGAGAAACTAATGTAGAGCCTGGGAACATCAAAAGGACAAATAATACAAGAATGAGCCGAATCAATCGACACATTTTTGAATTAACAATGAATTGTGTGTGGAATTCTATTAGAGTATCATATCATGTACATTTAATGGTTTTGATTCAATAAAAACTACTGAACTCCTGTAAACCCATATTAAGTGAGGAAAAGTTCAAAACAAGAAGAGCAAGTAGGTGCTCCTGATATTTTTCTAATATGTATTCATTATTAACATAAATAAATTTATCTTATTTCAGAGAATTAATTATAAAATAAACAAAGTCCGCCAAGTAAATCAGTATAGCTTTCTCAACATTTTTATTATTTACATAAACAACTACGCGTATACTTTACTACAACTATAATTTAGTTAAAAACTGAATAGAATATAATGCAATAACTCCACATATAATAAACCATATTATGTTTAAAACGCTGCAAATTATAATACAATGGTTTATTATTTCCAAACAAATTAACATTACTTTCCATGCTACATTAAGGAAAATAAATAAAAAGGGATTCCTAACATTGGCCTTGATAATTTTCTTTTTTATCATTGATAATTTTCTTAAAAAATAGACAACACTGCTACAGTTGATGTAAATCTTTCAAAAAATCAAAAACCGAAACAAAATATATAAGTAAGCTTTGCAGAAGAATATATAAACCATATTTAGAACATGATATCTTTGGTCCAAATTGTGCAATTTCAATGATTTTTTTTTTTTTTTAGTAAAAATCGTAAACTTTTAAATAACCATAACGACATCAACAAAAGAGTGAATACTTTTGAATTATACGGAAATCTAATTTTACCATCCCTTGTAAATTTTTTTTCAGCTTTTTTTCGTTGAAGAACGTTATATAGATAAATTTAAAGGTCATCGAGGAGAAGACTTTAGTCAAGTTTCATTGAAATTAGTACATTCGCTCAGGCACTAGATTCTATACCAACACAGGTTTTTCGGCCGCCATCTTGGCATGAAAGGATAGTAATGTCGAGGTAAGAGGATCATCCTCAGGTGACCTCTGACTTTTATTCCAAATTTGAAATAAAAAATTCTGTCCAGTAGGAGGAAGGCGCTGGCGAAGGACGGACAAACAATTTTTTATTCGATTTTCTAATTCTACGTACCGTGAAACGTAAAACTTCAAATTTTGAGGAGGGTTAAATTTTTTAATTTTTTTGACGATTACAATGGTTTATTATTGAAAACAATAAACCAAAACTAATAAAATATGCTATAACATGTTTACTGCCAATCTCATTTCGGCGCCATTATATACATAGAAATTACATTAATTTTATTTGTTAAATGAAAATTGACACTAGACCATTTCTACGCAATTCCCCAAATATCCTACAGCTTTTGGTACAATCGTATGAGCCATTCCCGAACTAAAGCGTAGAGATAAAAACAAATCTGAGCAAAAATATAGAATGAAATTTGATAAAATTGATATTGAACATAAAAAAATAAAAAGCCATGTTAATTGAATATTTTTATTTATTTTTTCTATTTTATTTAATAACTGGATTTAAAGTGGTTCTTCACATATAATTAGACAAACGAACAAAAGTTATATCAAAAACGTTATAATAGCCATATAACAATACCATTTATGACTAAGCGAGATAAAGAAAACAGGTATATAATCGATGATATTGCAAATTTTATCAGCTTTAATTTTTTATAGAACGTCTTTTTCGATGCGATTGAAAGTTTTCCTGATAAAAGCGAAAACGTGAATAAAGTGACCTACTAGGCGCCCCTCCCACATCTGGCTCACTACCTAGGAGTGGGGACTTTTGGATGTTTCCCTCGTTACTAGTTCAAATAATATCCCAAAGTCAAAAATTGTGTGGCCGCCATTTCCTTCTATACTCCCTTTTCGGGACTATATATATTAAAACTCGCATTTTTTAAATTTTACATCTAATTATAAATGGATCAGAAATCATAAGAACTTCCAAGACATTTTTGTTCATATTGAGACATTTATCTTTCAATTACTGCAACTGATTACTTTAAATATAGACGCAAGTCTTCGAATCAAGTTCTCATTAATATCATTGTCGGATTTCTTAATACGGGAAAGTCCAGGTCCGATTGTATACAGAAAAGTTGGGCCAAAGTTAGCATTGGTACCGTGGCTGATTGAATTACCAACATCACATGTTTAAACAAAGCCGCTTAAGGCCAAACCGCTGGCCGCTGGCTTCCTCTTCTATGGACGACAAATTGTACTGAAGTTACAATTCTACTCCATTACAAAAATACTACATTCATACTTGACGTCAATGGATTTTTTTTTTAAATAATCATCATATTTTTTCCTCGATAAGAAATCACTTATAATGACATAATAAATGCCGTTGGTTGGTTAGATAATAAATTACCTAATATTATTTCCGGCCATAGTAATTGTTTTTACTTATGTTAGGGATCGGTCCTAGCAATCTAGATAGAGAAAATTCAAAACAGGTAATTAGGTAGGAAAATATAAAATATTATTTAATCAAAACTTATTTTAATTTTATTTTTTTTTAAATTATTTTAAATTAATTGTGATGAAGTTTTCTAATTTTGCGAAATAATTTTAAAAATTTATTAATTTTGTTGGATAACTTATAAATGTATGTTCATTCGTAAGGTGGCTTAGATTATTTTCCGTTCAAATGTCCATTATTGAAGATACTTTCATATACGGGTTAGCCCGCTCGGCCACCCCACCCCCTCGTATATAGGATCGAAAATAGTAGATCATAATGTGATAGGTAACACAGATCGATACCAAACCGAAATAGCCAGACCTACAAGGCAAACAAAAGAGCCCCGGTCGAGTGGTGAACTATTGATACTATCGATAGTCCATCGATTTTATAGAACTATCGAACGTGATCGACGATCGCCCATTCCTACTTTAAACTAAAATTATGATATATACTTAAAAATTGATCTATACTATCGGTGTAGGATAAAAGTATGGAATTTTAATTATATTAGATTGAAAAGATTTTTTATTTCTGTCTACTAGAATGAGTAGATTTTTTTAGTTTTTTAACGCCATCCTTTAATAAAGGACCAACCAGCAAAAATTGTTGCCTGCTTCCTTTCTTCCACTGTTCATAGTCATAATATGAAACTACTAGATGATACCTAAACAACTTCCCAGATAACTCTAGGAATACTGAATCAATTTGTACGTCACTTCAATACTGGATACCTTCGTAATGACTCCTTTTTTCAACATCCGCCTGCTTTTTCATCATCACGTATATTCTCTTTTAATGTGTCTATTTTTTAGTGACTTAAAAAAAGGGTTTCTATGTGGCATTATATATTTTGGTAAATTTTAGACCTGGTCTACATCCTTTGGGCCCTTTGGATAGAGACCGAAGAAGAGGATCAAAAAGGAGGCCCTGCCAGGTAAGAAGGTAATCTTCGGTTGAGTAAGAAACGTGTTCAGCTGTGGAATGACTATTGCTAATGATTCCAACCAGAGGAATAAACTCCTCTGAACTTTTCTCCTTGTCTTAGAACAAAATGGGTGGAGTGTCGGTTCTACCCACTAGCAAACATAGCAATAACAACCAGGGCCACTATATCCCTAGATCAAGCCACCTACAGTTCGATATATATATATATATATATATTTGTGAGTTATATAAATAAATCATGATAGCGGATATTTAAAACGATAGGCTTAGTGATTTTCAAATGTTTACAACCTCAAAATCTTTAAATTAGAAATTCTACTCCCTTGCAATAACCTTTATTTGGGCGTTCGTCTTGCAATAAAATTCAAAAGTCAAAACATCAAGATTCCCGAATTGCTTCAGTCAAACACGCTGTCCAACTTGACCTTAAATTCATCTTAAGCTGAAAAGAAAAAAAATCTATCAAGTTACATAACAAAGTATTGTATTTGTATCAGGAAATGTATTATACAAAAATTATTTGTACTACTAAGTCAAACAACAAAGCTACTTGTCAAAGTTTATATACTATCTGATGACTAATTGATGGAAAAGCTTCGATATTATCTATCACTGGGATTTGATCAAGAGAATAACTACATTAAATGGCAGGGAGAGAAGTGATTGTTAGTGCTGGATAATAAACAAATATTTGCATGAAGATTGGCCGGCTATAATGGGAATCCCAAGAAGCCCGAATGGGCCGAACTACGATATTTCCCAGGGTCACCAGTCTACCGGGGCTCTTTTGTTTGCCTTGTAGGTCTGGCTATTTCGGTTGGTATCGATTTGTGTTCCCTATCACATTATAATCTACTATTTTCAATAGTATATGCGAGGGGGTGGGGTGGCCAAGCGGGCTAACCCGTATAAGAAAGTATCTTTAACAATGGACATTTGAAAGGAAAATAATCTAGGTTGAATAAAGCAGTCATTACGAAAGTATCCAGTATTGAAGTGACGTACACATTGATTTAGTATTCCTAGAGTTATCTGGGAAGTTGTTTTAGGTATCATCTTGCAGTTTCATATTATGAGTATGAACAGTGGAAGAAAGAAAGCAGGCAACAATGTTTGCTGATTGGTCCTTCATTAAAGGAGGGCAGAGAAGAGAGGTATCCAAATCTTCGCGGTGAGAGGGGGGAGGTGATGGCGTTAAAATACGAAAAAAATCTACTCAGTCTAGTAGACAGAATTAAAAATTATTTTAATTTAATTAAAATCCCATGTTTTTATCCTACACCGATAGTATAGACTAATTTATAAGCATATATGATAGTTTTAGTTTTAAAGTAGGAATGGGCGATCGTCGATCACGTTCGATAGTTCTATAAATTCGATGAAGGACTATCGAAAATATCAATAGTTCACCACTCCATCGGGACTCTATTGCCTTCTATGTTTGGCTATTTCTGTTTGGTATCGATCTGTGTTACCTATCACATTATGATCTACTATTTTCGATACTATAAGCGAGGGGGTGGGGTGGCCGAGCGGGCTAACCAATATAAGAAAGTATCTTCAATAATGAGCATTTGAACGGAAAATAATCTAAGCCACCTTACGAATGAACATACATCTATAAGTTATCCAACAAAATTAATATATTTTTAAAATTATTTCGCAAAATAAGAAAACTTGATCACAATTAATTTAAAACAAAATTTTATAAAACATAAAATAAAAATAAATTTTGATTGATGGTTGACCGTGGTATATTATTGAGTAAGAAGCTGGTCCGGGGTGTCGGTCATAAATAGACTAAATAGTGGCAAAACTATTTTATGTAAAGCCAACGTTTCGACACGACTCGTTTTAAGAGAAGCTCCTCGCTGAATATACCTCCCTGAAGAATACCTGCAAAGTCGGGTCAAAACGTTGGCTTTTAATGAAATAGTTTTGCCACTATTTAGTCTATTTATGACAGACTCCCCGGACCTAAGCCAATTAGGTTCATTGAACCTAAATTAGTCACGGGTATTTACACCATTATTTTCCTTATAACTGATTTATGTACCACAATGAATGATTCAAGTATAAAGCTAGGTTAAACAAAGAAGCGATAATTGATCAGCATAATTATTTGATGGTTATTATTTTTTCCTCAAAAAACATTTTTAATTTATGTTACAAAATGGATTCAAAAGAGAAAAATAAACTTCAAAAACAACTTTTATAAAGATTGTATTCCTTTCAAACTTCAATAAACTTAAAAGAAATAACTTCAAAATATTCCAAAAGATACGGAACAATGATTTCCAAATGCTTTATGAGAAATGTTACTTGTTTGATTTTTAAAAGACGATAAGGAAGACATAATCATACATTATAATATAAAATACAGGAAATTTAGTTTAGAGGTTAATAAGTGATAAACTTAAGACTTGAAACATTTGTTCTTATTGAAATACCTTTTCAATGGAAATAACAGAACTGACCTCTTTTATTCAACAGAGCATCAACAAAGGAAGTTTTATGGTAATTTATAATGAAAGAAAACAAATAGAAAACAGAATAATTCCAGATGAAACTAAATATGAAATCCTTGTATTATATAGAAATGTGTCAAAGGCAGATTGTATGAAGGCGAACAGGTACGATTTGCGTCACTGGCATTAATGAGATATATTTTTGCTAAATGAAAAGAAATCACTTCTATCTTATATAAAATCATTTTTTAATAAAAACCATTACAGGGACAATTTTGTTTTTCATTTCAATGTTGACATCAAGGCATACATAAGACGACATTCACCCTTTTCCCCAAGCAACACTCAGAAAATGTGGTCTGTTGAAGTAAATTTATTACAAAAAAAATTCGAGCAAAAAATTGGATTGCAATGGAAAAAAAGATTCGCATTGCAAAGGACTCTAAGTGAGGCGCTATTATCATAAAAACTATTTCCTCTAAATCGAGGACAAGGACAGCTTACTGATTTATAAGTCTAAGATCTAGAGGATAGTGCTCGAGTTTGGCCAACCATACTTCCTTAGGACCCCCGACAAGGATGCGTTTATTAGTTTCATTCAATCTGGAGTAGGATTATCAAGTTCATTATAAAAAAGAAAAGTTTTATTTTTGCTCAAATTGTATTCTAGAAAAGAAATTAGTTATACCAATAAAAAAATATCTTTAATGGTACACAAAAAATAGATTTTTCGAAATTCAGTATAGATAATTTAGTTTTAATTGTAATTCGATATGATAAGATAATTTTTATTTTTGATAGGCGACTATGACGAAGTCATACCGAGGTTAAATGTGTATAGCTTTACCGTTTGCAGGTATGTAACGAATTTTTGAAAATGTTATAAATCAATTGAGCTCAAATTATATTATTATAATTTAAGTATTATTGATTTTTTGTCATAGCATATTTTTTTTAAAATCCATAATCATATGTGTGTGAATATGAATTGCCAATACTTGAAAAGCTAAAAGCGTCCAAATAAAAAATAATTTAATTTTCAATAAAACGACAATGGAAACACTCCTGTCTTAGATCTTATCCATCGTAAGGAACGAAACGAGAGGGCCTACTTTACTGGCAGAGCCTTTAGGTTTTTGTAATTTATGGTACATTACAACTCCTTTCATAGAATAGTCAATATTACGAAAGGACATGTGTAAAATATTTTTCGATGTAGTTGCACTGAAAAGAATTTGGTTGAAATAGGAACTGAATGAATTTAGTTTACTGAATGAATGAAATGAAAATAGGAACTTGAAATGAAACACCGACTACAGTAAACTGAATTGTAAGTTCCGATGATCGAATAGTCAACTTTAATTAATAACAACCATAACCTTAAACATGGAAGTAAATACCGCCGTTAAGCATGGTTTAATGGGTTATAAGATAAGAGTATTTCTCTCCGTTTATAATCAATTCGTTCCACTTCTGTTATTTCTGAATGTTAACGTTATAAAAAAAAAAAAAAAAAAAAAAAAAAAAAAAAAAAAAAAAAAAAAAAAAAATGAGAAGTGAATGATGTTGAATAAGATAACCATTATTAATAAAGCAAGGCCTTGAAACAGGATGGTTAGAACACAATGCTACCTCAATTTATTGATAGATTCATAATTGCTACTTCCTAGGGAAATAACAATGGGCAATTATTAAACTAGAGAATACAGAGTCTATTTCAATTAAAATACATCACTAACCTCAGTTGGTTCAAAAGACATCTGTTTGTCCATTAAGGGCTTCCTGTTCTTCATAATGAAGTCTTTTACCGCAAATGCTCTTTTATGGGAAGATAGCCTTTCCATGATATTGATAAAGTTAGCATACTGAAAAACAAAATATAATTAATACATTAAACAGCAAGTTTATAAATTATTATAATAATACAGAACCAAAAAAGTAAACCATGGGTCTTATTTTATTTGTCATTTCTTATGTTAGAAAAGAAAAACAAAAATACTTGAAAACCAATTCACAATCAATCAATTTTTTAAGTCAGTTAGTAATCTAATGGATTACTTTGTTAACACTTATTTTCATCTCTAATATATAAAAAATTCTTAAAGTATAATAACTAGATATGGAATTTTCGGGCAATTGAGCGATTTTATTTTCTCGCTAACTTCTAATTGAACCAAACCACGACAGATATTCATGGAAAGGATATCCTATTGATACTAATTTAGTTTTTACGAAATCGCCCATCTTGGAGTTACTTTATAAATTCGCACATTTTTTCCACGAAATTCTATTTTGTTCATTTTTAAAGTTTTAAAAATAATAGATTTATTTACAAATTTATTAGCGATCCAGAAAAAAATTCGAATAAATAATGACACGAAACCAACAATTAATATCTATAGCTCGATTATCCTTTCGCGGTCACTGACTCTAGTTAGACCCATACTACCTGGCCATAACTTAGGTATAGGGCGAAAAATTGCTTATTATTAGTAACCGATGGAGCGCCTAAAGGATTTAAAACCGGAAAGTTCATAAGACCCTTTTACAGATTTATGTTTCTCGACCATTTTCTTGGGTTAATTCACTTTGGCCCGCGTATAAAATAGCCTTTAATGTTATATTATATGATACGTACACATAGGTGGCGCAAGGTGGTATTAATGACTTTTCTAAAAAAAAATCTGTAAAACTTTCACCTATTTTAAGAAACTAGAATGTAAATATAATAAAAAATTCTGATTGTCCCTCAACATGTGTTATAGTACCAACGAGATTTTGAATAACATTCCTTCTTTTATGAGGTTCTTCAAATTAACTTTAGTGTAAACTAATGTGATAACGTTTAAGACTTCAACATGGCTTGGAGATGGTTTTAAATCGACAAAGAAAAGTGGGAATTTTTTTTTCATCGGGAGTGTAAAATATTAAATATAAAATGGACGTAAATTGGATCTCTAAATCATACTTAGTGACCTCGTCGAATGAAGAAAAAATATGGATTTTAATTACAAATCTCAAAGGTTTGTCTTCTGGAATATGATAAGTGTGAAAGTTATATTTTTACTTTCACTTACCTATAATTGTAATATGTAGCAAGGGAAAGTATTGTTTGGTTTCAAGACATGTAATAGTGCCTCCATGAGAGACACTTGTTTTAGTTTTTACTTTACCATTCTATTTTTCGACCGAAATACACGAAAAACGTCCGATTCAGATGATTTTTGACAATTTTTTTCAGAACTTTAACGATCTTTCAAAAAATACGCTTCAAAACCGACTCAGAAACGTTTAGATCCGTTGAAGAAACCTATAGGATGTATACGTAACCAACCCCAAAACAATTTTCTTTCCTTTATATTTTTTTTTCATGAATTGTAACAGGGATTCACTAAATATACGAAAATATTATTTTGGACACTTAAAGAATATGAACGAGTGCCGCGTCCTTCACTTTCTTTAGTTTTCTATTTAGATTTTGATTGAAAAGTTTCTCCATAACGGACTGCACACAGTGGTACCAAATGGACATGACACTTCTTACATTCTTCTCTGGATTAAAACTACCTGTGGCCAGATTAACAATAAACGTTAATGAAGTTCTGTGCCATATGCTATATATCAAATAAAAAAAAAAAGAAAGATAAAAAATCGGTAGGACGTGCAGTCAAAAAATTATCAATTATAAGAATGAAGAACAATTCATGGACGAGAATTACCGATACGTGTCCAATAAACGTAAGGTAAGAAAAATTAATTTGATACTAAATTTTATGTTGAAGTCTGAATCCTGTTTTATTATATATTTAAAACACTTTATTCAGAAATATTACAATTTGTCACAGTTTAAGGACACTTATAATAGAGTTCAGAGATTGCATTCATACCGTATATACAAAAGTATAAATAAATAAAGTAATAACAAAAGAATAAGAAAAAAGAACAAAAGAGTAAAGAAAAAAAATATATATATATATATTCACATAAGTAAATAAAAATAGAAATAAAAGTAAAACAAACACCTTATATAAAACATACCTATAACATTATTTACAATTTGCCAGGTGATCTTCGAACCAATCCTGTCCCTTCCACATGTGGAGGGAAAAGGGAGGCTTAGGAGATCCCTACGCTTCTCCCTCAGCCACTTCACTGGTATTTTAAACCAGCGGAGGATGAGTAAGAGCGCTACAGCCACAGACACTCATGACTTGAGTGGAGAATCTGGCCATTGCTAGAACTCCAAAATATCCATATTTACAAAAGGTCTCGTGGCCACTGCCGCTTTAACCTACGAAGGGGATTGTAGGGATGGGTGGTGCTTGATAGGGATTGTACAACGGGATTTGGGTGATGAGAAAGGTTCTGGTGAAATTTGGAAAATTTGGCTGGGATAAGATCAAGAATAAATGGGATATTAAGGTCATGGTGTAGGGTTTTATTGGTTACATAGAAGGGAGCATTGACTATTGTACGGAGGACTTTAGACTGAAAGGATTGAATGCGTTTGATGTTAGAAAATTTGGCTGTTCCCCATAGTTCTAGTCCGTAAGTCCAGATGGGTTTCAGTATTGTCTTGTAGATCAGTAATTTGTTTTCACCAGAAAGTTTAGATTTTCTATTCAGTAGTCTATATAGCTGGCCATATCGTCTGTTAAGTTCCTGTCTTTTAAGTCTAGTATGTGGATTCCATGTTAGTCGTCTGTCTAAGAGAAAGCCAAGATACCGGACTGTATCTGAGAAAGGAAGCTGGATGGAGTTAAAATAAACTGGTGGGCAGGTATTACGCCGAAGGGTGAAGGTAATGTGTTTACATTTAGATTCGTTTACCTTAATGCGCCATTTCTTACACCAGTGTTCAATCAGGAAGAGGTGCCTTTGTAAGTTTGCGGACGCTGTTTCAGGATCTGAGTTGGAAGAAAGGATAGCAGTGTCATCAGCGAAAGTTGCCAGGAGGGTATCGGGATGGACAGGAATATCAGCGGTAAAGAGAATGTAAAGGATGGGGCCCAAGACGCTGCCTTGAGGAACGCCAGCCTCAATTGAGTAACAGTCGGAGAATTCGGTGCCACAGCGAACTCGGAAGGAGCGGTCGGAAAGATAGGATCGGAGTACTAGGTATAAGGACTGTGGTAGGTGGATTTTAAGCTTGAAGAGTAATCCGGCGTGCCATACCCGGTCAAAAGCTTGCGCTATGTCCAGAAATGCACCCGAGCAATACTGCTTGCTTTCTAGGGTTGAGGATATATGGTCAACAACTCGGAGTCCTTGTTGGACAGTGGAATGTTGGGAACGAAATCCGAATTGATGAGTAGGAAGGTTATAGGATTCAATTATAGGTAGGATTCGTTTCAGTAGGATCTTTTCAAAAATTTTTGAGAGGATTGGGAGTAGGCTAATTGGTCTATAGGATGCTGTATTGTTGGAAGGTTTGCCTGGTTTCAAGAAGAGGACGATGGTGGAATGTTTCCATAAAAGAGGGAAGTGGGTAGTTCGTAGGATGCAATTGTATATATATGTAAGAAATATGATGGCTTTAGATGGAAGTTGTCGAAGGATCTGTGGGGTTAGAAGGTCATATCCAGGAGATTTGCGAGGAGTGATTTTCCGTAAAAGGTATTTGACCTCAGAGGGATTAACAGCTTTAGGTGGTAAGGAGAGTGGGATAGGTATTGAGAGGGATTCTTCTACTTTTACTGTGTGGCTGGGATGGGATTCTGGATGAGGAGCGAAAGTATAGGAAAGGTGTTTGGCAAATTCCTCGGCTTTATCTTCATCAGATGCTGCCCAGGAGCCATCATCTCGTCGAAGAGGGTGGGAAATATGATGGGATTTGAGGATTTTTCTGGTGATATTCCAAAGGGAATTATCATGAGCAGAGAGTGTGGTGAGGTAGGAATTGAATGATTGGGATCTGAAGGTGGCTAATTCTTGTTTTAATTTTTTACAGTGATAATTGTAGGAGTGGCGGTCGGCTGGATGTCTGGTACGTTGCCATAATAATCTGGCACGGCGTTTTATGTGGATTAGGTCAAGGAGGTGTTGAGGTAAATTATGTTTCTTAAGGATTTTTGAGGAGTGATCAGGGGAGGAAGCAGTCCAGACTGCTTCTTGAATTTTGGTAGTGAAGGAATGTACTGCTTTGTCCAGGTCTTCAGGGGTTTTCAGGGTTACTCTGAGGTCAATTTTATCGGAGAGGATTTGATGAAAGAGTTTCCAGTTAACTGGGCCTCTGATGAAGGACGGAGGAGAGGGTTTAGGAATAGGAGCTAGTGATACTTGGAGTATTAATGGGCTGTGGTCTGAGGAAAGCTCGTCAAGACGGGCAACGGAATGGTTGAGAGCACCTAAACCATTATGGATAAAGAAATCGAGGATATCGGGATTACGATTAGGATCAGTGGGCCAGTAGGTAGGTGAGTTGGGTGGAAGAAGGGTAAAATTTTGGGAATTGAGTACAGACAGCAATGTTCGACCACGAGAATTCGTGGTTCTTGAACCCCATTGTTGATGCTTGAATCCTGTTTTATGTACAAGTATTACAAAAAATAAAATATTATTTTGCTCGCTGAAAGTCTAATAATAATGGCATTATCTGAAATTTACAATAAAAAATTCTATCAGTTTATGAGAACCGATCTTATGATCTTCCATTTTGATCCCAAGAGGAAAAGCCTAGAAATAGGAGCAGCATTCATACTCTGACATGCAGTAAAAAATTGAGGCTGATGAAAAGCCGATATACGAGGAAGGAAACAGGAAAGAGAATAGTTGATAAAAGCAAATAAAATTAAGCCATCACTTTTTAATGATAAAAATGAATATACAATGAAAGTAATAGTTCATTATCTTACTGATAGGGCTG